AGTGAGAATGTTTTATGGCATTATTTGGTAGCAGTTATGGGAAAAATGTTTGCATATTTTTAAAAACTCAATTTTATATTATTTATGTAATTCTATGCACTATGTAATTGTTGATGTGGTCACTTCATGTTATTATATCTAGTCTTCAATGTGCTTATAATAAATTATTTCTGTTCAAATAAATCTTTGTTTCAATAACCTTTGGAGTAATAATATCTTTCACAAGTAGTGTTCTTTCTAGAAGTGGTGGTGCTAAAATACTCTTCTTGAAGTTACTGAATTTTCAGTTTCATATTCTCAAGCTGCAATAAAATATTTATGAACCTATTCAAGTGGAACTGCTGCTCTCTAAACAAGTGAGGCACAGGTAAGATGTGTCAGTTGTGCATCATGTTTTTCTTAAATGGGTTGATCTTGCAAACCTGCACTGAACATATTTTAAATGGATAGGTACAAATTCAGTTATTTACAGCAGTACACCTATACTTTTTTGAAATACCTACTAATCCACATCAATTTAACAAAACCGCGTACACGTACTAAGAAATTGACAGGGTTTGTAGAGTTATCTCTTCTAGCAAAATTGGGAATAGAAATAAAAGTATTGAATAGATAGTAACTTTTATTAATATAGACATAAAATGGTGTTTGAAAAAAAAAATTAGTTATTTTGAGGAGGCTTAGACCACTCCACATTTAAAATCAAGTGATCATAACCATGTCCATTGAGGGTTTGAATAGCTTTAGCAGCATCAGCTCGGAACTTGAAGTGCACGTAAGCAAATCCTTTGCAATGGCCAGTGCTCTGTAATAAATAATACACTCATTACATACATTTTTCACATTTGTGTAAGTTATTTACAATTTTATTTAGTTTCAGTAGTTTTCACCATGAATCCCTAATTTTTAAGAGACCCCTATGAAAACAAAATTCCTGTTATGTGTCACTTAAAAATTAGGGATTGATGTTGAAAAAAGAACCACTAAAATCAAAGTCAAAATTTCTTTATTTGTTTAGACTAATAAATAGTTCTTACAAATCGCATTTTGCTCATGGAGCCTACATGTCTCATAATCTTTTTACCCTACCAGCGCTTCGAGACCAACATTTGGCAAGTGCTGAGAAGAAGCTCCGCAACATTCTACACACTAAAAAAAGTTCTGTAGGATATACCTTCTCTTTAGCCAGGTACAGCTTCTGCACGGGGCCAAAGCCCTTGACCAGGTCATCCAAATCAGCTTCAACAGCAAAGTTACTCAGGTTGGAAATGCGGATGGCGGCAACATCGTCGCGGCGCGCGCCCGGGGGCTCGCGCCCGGTGCCTCGGCCGGCGACGCCGTCACGCAAGTGCGGCGCAACGTACTTGTTGGTTGTCACAGTTTTCGGGTCTGAAAATGATATTAGTAATGTATTTATTCCATATTTCGATTCAGTTTTTAATTTGTAGGTCTCATCATTAACACGTCATTGACTTTATCAATAAAACAGATTGCACTAACAGAGATTGAAGATTACCAGTAGGTGTGATTGGGTTGTCCTGATCAAGAATTGATGAAAAAAAAAAGGAATGATGTATTCCTGATCTAATAAGTCCAATAACCATCAAACATTTAATTTGAGCTAACTATTTGTTATTGTTATTAGTTTGATACAAAAAATTATAAATAGGACAAGAATAAGACCGAACAATGTTTTATAAATATTACCTGATGCTTTAGATATTTCGTTAGCTTTAGCTTGTGCAAGTTCAGTGTGCTGGAATGGACAGCTCAGAGTCCAGTGATCACCTTGGCAAGTACGACACTTGAAGATTACTCGGCTAGCTGGAGGCTGTAAGTAAATGATAATTTATTGATTAGAAATAATAACAAGTCATAATAAATTTTAATTCAAGTCAACCGTCACGTTGACATGTTACGCGCGTTCTTTCGTCCTTAGGCTATTGCTGAAAATCAGTGGTTTGCTTTAAGTAAACCAATTATTACTGAGCTATTGCCGTTTCGCATTGCTGCGACACACATTTCTGTATAAAGTGTGTAGGTACCTATATTGTATGTCATAATGTTTTCTTTCTTTTTTTATTTCAGTCTTACCATACCATGTCATTGTCCTGAGGGTACTATTTTATCCTACTTTTGGTACTTTCTGTTTGTGATGTGTGTTTCTGTTGTGCAAATAAACGTTTTATCTATCTATCTAATTTAGGTGCATCAAAATTCTGATATATAATGCCTTAGCAATGTGCATGTTAAAAATTCATCACAATAAGTGTTCACCTTAAGACCATCCAACTCTCCGTCATCTGGACGCTGACTCTCTTCTTTGCTTGAAATAAATTGCATGAAAACATCTTCCGACACATTGGTTGTGGCTGGATTTGGGCCTGGTTTATCATTGGCAGAGTCACCAAATTTGCTCCATGTCTTGCGCTTAGCAATGCTCTGAAATAATTATTACAAAATTATCAATTCTGTTCTATGTAATACCTGTTAGGGGGCGTCCATAAATTACGTGAGACTTTTAGGGGGGGGAGGGGGTCAACGAAAACCTCACTAAATCTCACGTGGGGGAGAGGGGGGGTCTCGGAAAATATCACGTAATTTTTCCCGCAAGAAATAGAGTAAAATTGCCAGTAAACTGGGTTATTGAAGTAAAGAAAATGATTTTTTTATGATGATAATGACTATTTATTCTAAACCGTCTAATCAAATTAAACTAAAAATGCCTCCATCTGCATTTGTGAACACTAAAGATGCAGAATAAATGTGCCACGCGCAGTGTAGGGTTCCGTAGTTGTCTGTCGTTACCACAATTTATTTCAGAAGCAAGCAATTACTTCATCTAAAGTCACTTTTCATATTTTTTTCTAAGGAATTTATACTGGTTAAGAAATTGTACATATAATACATGAGTCAAATAACTATTAGGTACTCTCTTAAACTAAGTAATGTATCTTAACCGTTATAGTTTTCCTTGAAAAAATTCATCCCCACTTTACATGCAGGGGAGCTACCCTAGATTTTTTTTTTAAATTTTATTTTACCGTTTTGTCGGCGTTTTTTAACTATTAGTTTACATTTACATTTTTTAACTATTAGTTTACATTTACATTTTTTAACTATTAGTTTACATTTTATTAATATTTAACCATTAGTAGCAAAATTTAACAATTAGTTATTTTAACTATGAATCAAAAAACTGGTCCTAGGTTGAAGCAATTGCTTGTCTTACTAAACGACGGGAAGCTACGGAACCCTGCACTGCGCGTGGCACGACACTGGGTTACTGATTTTTCATATAAATCTAATAGACTCGAAGCATAGACATTGCAAAATAGGCATTTTATTAAATATCACGTGAGATTAGGGGGGTGGGGGAGGGGGTCAGGCAAGATCTCACCAAATCTCACCAAGGGGGGCGGGGGTGTTGAAAAATGGCCAAAATTGTCTCACGTAATTTATGGACGCCCCCTTATGTTGAAGGTACTCATTACTCCTACTACTCATTAGTATTAATTAGAGATGAAATGGATATCCGGTAACTATCCGGTAGGCCGGATATCCGGCCTAAATTTACTATCCGGCCGGATACCGGATAGTAACTCACTATCCGGCCGGATACCGGATAATAAAAAACTACGACAATTTCCTATTAATAAAATGAAATACATTAATCTTTGAGGTAAATATCAATAAAATGGCTTACAGTAATGACGGCTTTCATTTAAAGTCCAAAAAGTTACAAAAAGCCGTATTTAAGGCCTTTCAAAACTAATTTCTTTTTCTGGGCTATTCACTCTAATGACGAATACATAAATAGTAAATATCTGTTAATGTCGAAATATTGCCAAATAAATGCGATTTTTTTTTCACTGATGGTCTGATGACATGATGCAACTAATTAAATTTTCGCTATTCAATCACACACGATTGCAACCGAAATTGAATTGATCTGCCCCCTAGACAAGTGGCAAAATCGCCCGAATTGATCTGCCCCCTAGACAAGTGGCAAAATCTGACATTCTATTCGGACGGATTCGATTTTCGAAAAGTGTGACTAGTCTAGTCTACTAATAGACCCATTGATCGCGTTCGAAGCACCTGTGCGGCGCTATACTCGTCACGACATTCAACGAAACAATGGGCCAACTATCCGGCCTAGCAGCTGGCCGGATATCCGGTATCCGGTATCCGGCCAAACAACTATCCGTTTCATCTCTAGTATTAATGTAATTCATAGTTTCAGTTCCTAGGTTGTTTTAATGTAAATTACTAGAAGATCTTTAGAAATGTTTAAAACTTGTACAAACCTTTGAGACAACGCGCTTTTCAATTTTATACGTCCGAACAATCTTTACTTTCTTGTTGTCGTTATCATATTTGTATTCTGTCACAATCTTCAAGCCATTTTCAACAACTTCCGAGGGTGGGGGCAGAGCACCTTGATCAATTTCAACCTCGTCAGCCCATGAAGACTGGATATCATCAGCAACAGGCATCTATTACACGTCAATAAACGAGAATGTATTACAAATAAAACAGAAAAATGCAATACGAACACGCAGATACCTTCTTTGTATGTACAAAACTCAGAAGTACAAAACGACAAATAGGTTATATTCAGTCTTGAGCATTGTGAAATAATCACGATTTCCAAGTTTCTTTTAATTTTTATACTGTAACTAAAAAATTAACGGTACTTACGATTAATTTACTTGGACAACTTTACCAAAAAATGAAATAAAATTTGACAAGATCACAGCAACAGCCACGCAAAATAAATTTTATTACGGAGGGAGGGAGAGGGAAGAGAGAGAGAAGGATAGAACGAATAGTGTTGCGTCTTAATCAATTGTGTATCAATATATTTATCGATAGTTCAAATGATAGTGAATCGCTACTCGCTTGACGAAGCGAGTAAGTGGTAATTTTTTTTATATAGTCTTTGGTTGTCACTGTGACACTGTCACTTGGTTGGCTTTTTTGATGACGACATTTGACATTTAGTACTTATCGCTCGTTGAATCGAGAATTTGTTGATTGGATTATTTTTGTGGGTGGATGTCATGATTATTCGAAGTTTTTATAAAATTTAACTTATTTTCATTGTGTTAACATACATTGTGACATAAACTGGTTTTATCTAACAAGTAAGTAATTTTTCCTTAGTTGTAACTGTTACTATAGTTGTGTTAAAATTGCCATACAAATTCCTCAAAACACTTGTCTGACTGGGAGTCGTGTTTGCACAATCAAGTTTTTATGCGATGGTTTGACCCGTTGCTGTCCGTACTTACGAGGATCTATGGCAATAATGGCGTTTTAGTTAACTGTATTGGTTTAAGCTTTTAACAGTTTTTTAAGTAATAAGTAATTCATTTCATATTTAAAATTGAAGACAATCTAATACCTTCAAGAATGTAGCACTATCAGCCATCAAGTACAGTCAACTAAACCTAAAAGAGAAGTATGTTTTATAGGATAGGGGTCACTGTTTTATGTTTTCATTAAGTCTTGATACATAATTCAAGTTTAATGTTCAAGGTTATCAAAGTATGTATTATCACAAGCTACCGCTTTTGAATAAATTCAATTTATTTTTATTAAAGCTAAAATAATTTTATTGCACTTAAAATGAAACATACATAAAAAATAAATAAAGAGAATATGTTAGAAAAAGAAAATGGCTCAAATCCAGAGCCTCTGTCCTCTACAACTTTAAACAAAGTAAAAATGTTCCTGTCTGACCAGAATATGAACAACATACAGTATCAAAATTATAAATCGCTAGGATTTGATATTGTTGCGCATTGGCAATTGGTACCTTTTTATAAAATGAGTATACTTATAAAACCTTTACTTACAGATTTGATTGCTGAGGGTGCCTCAAGATGCTGCGCTTCCTCAGCAGGAGAGGTCGCTCGTCAAGTCAAAACCGCAATAAACAAGGAACAAAAACATCAATCAACAAAAACTTTATACAATGTAAGGTAATGTTACTTGATGATACTGATCTATCCATAAACTTGTCTAAAAAAGCTAGCGCAGCTGATCTCTATGAACAAGTTTTTTATTCACTAGACTTGATAGAGAAAGATTACTTTGGTCTTCAATTTACTGACACCAATAATGTAAAGCATTGGCTTGATCCTACTAAAACAATTAAAAAACAAGTGAAAATTGGTCCGCCTTACACTTTGAGATTAAAAGTAAAATTTTATTCTTCGGAACCAAACAATCTTAGAGAGGAGCTTACTAGATATCAATTCTTTCTGCAATTGAAGAAGGATATTTTAGAGAGCAAACTAGAATGTCCGCATTGTACAGCTGTGGAACTTGCGGCATTAGCCCTTCAGTCTGAATTAGGAGACTTTGATGAAGCTGTACACACTCCTGCCACAGTCTCTGAGTTTAGGTTTGTGCCCAATCAAACAGAAGAAATGGAAATTGAAATCTTGGAGGAATACAAGAAATGCAAAGGACTAACACCAGCTCAGGCTGAAGTTAATTATTTGAATAAAGCAAAGTGGCTGGAAATGTATGGTGTGGATATGCATATTGTACTGGGTAAGGATGGCTGTGAATATCACCTAGGGTTGACTCCTACCGGAATTCTCGTTTTTGAAGGACCTCAGAAAATCGGATTATTCTTTTGGCCTAAAATAAGTAAGCTAGATTTCAAAAAGAAGAAACTTACATTAGTTGTTGTTGAAGATGATGACCAGGGCCGAGAACAAGAACATACATTTGTTTTTAGGCTACACAATGAAAAGGCCTGTAAACACCTGTGGAAATGTGCTGTTGAACATCACACTTTCTTCCGCTTAAGAGCACCAGTGAAAGGACCTTCTGCCAGGCAAAACTTTTTCAGAATGGGATCAAGATTTCAATATTCTGGCAAAACAGAATATCAAACTACTCAGCAAAATCGTGCTCGCCGTACTGTCCAGTTCGAACGACGCCCGAGTCAAAGATTTGCTCGTAGACAAAGTCACGTGCTACGAGAACGTGAAAAACAAAACAGTGTTTCCAAACCAGAGGCACAAACTTCTTCCGAAACTGCTGCTGAAGTGCCGAGTACATCATCAGAAACAGCTTTGCTTGTGCCTGAAGTTGAACCCTTATCCAGAAAGAGTAGTGCAAAATCACAGAAATCGTATGTTGAACATGATTCCAAGGATGTGGAAATTGGTGAATGCTCTACTAAAAATGTACTTAATGATGAACCAGCTGAAGAAGTACACATTTCCAAGGATGATGCTATCAGTAACAAAGTTTTGTTCAAGGTAGACAAACCTGCTGTTGAAGAGAAGAAAATTAACTTGACTCAACTAGTAATCAACAAACCACCTTGCAATTGTTCACCAGTGGCAGATTCTAATCCCCTTAATGATCTACTCATGAGTTTAGTCAAGGAGAAGTTGAATAGTGATGACAGCAAAAACGAAGTCAAAAGAGATCAAGTTGATTCTTCAAATGATAAAGAAGTGCCTAACAATCAATCGAAATATTTCCTATCGTCAACTAAAGCTCTTCCGCCAGGGCAATTGAAATGTAACAATATATTGAAAGCTCGCGAAAATGAAGTGAAGATTATCAATGAATCGCCCAATATAAATTTATCGTTGCCATCGACACCATCTCCAAAAATATTAAATGAACCTCAAGCTACAAATGGAAACAGTTCTCAGTACGTGTCTATCGTTGTGGTGGAGCCGCCACATACTCAGCCGAAACTGGCTTCTCCGAAACCAGTGGAGCGAAAGGAAGATTTGACTCCTAAATCGCAACCAATATCATCTTTATCTCCGTGGCTAGTGTCTTCTGAACCTAGTTCTCCTTCTGGTATCGGGGAAAAAGATATAACCATTATTCACCGAAAATCTGTAATTACTACTCAACTCTAAATTTTGAGTGAAGGTGATGGTTATTTTTACGATGTTGATACGATAAAATTTATGCAGATTAGTTAATAATATTGTCTTGCAATGTACTTGTGCCTTAATCATGGTTTTCGTAATGATTTGTAAATGAATCATATTTTTGATAAAGTAAATGTTATTTGATCGTATCTTACGCGCGTCTTGTTCAATTTATAAATTAAAATTTTCTATTTTATATCTAATGTGCTCTCTAAATTTTACAGTCATTTCGCTTTTAAGTTTCGAAAGAAACCTAAAGCGAGAGTGGTTTAGTAGGTACTCAAAAATTAAAGAATGTATAGGTAGTCACTTCACAAACTTTAAGTGCTTTCATATTATTTTCAGTAAGCAACATGCAAAGGGATTTGTACTTAAATTTTATGGTTTAAAGTTTAAGGTGAAGTGATTTTTTATTATTTTATTTAACATTATTAGATTTTGTAGCAGAAGTTGAAATATTTTTAAAATGGTGCTTTGTTTTGCAGTGAATATTTACGACGTTACATACGAAAATTGTATGCTTCATTTCGTTACCAATTACGTCAACGCTCAGTTTGATTTCCTGCTATTCCTATACTTCATCATAATGGGAAAAATTAAATGCAAAATGCCTCCTTGAGCAATTATTAACCTTTAACCGACGACGTGCGGTCTCACAGACCGCTCCGGTTTTTGCAATTTCTGGATTGCAATGTTCTACTTATTCCCGTGTCCCGAACGTCTCAGTACCTTCAAAATTAGTTGCCTAAACGCCATTACAGATAGTGGTCACATTGATGAGGGCAGTTTTAATAAGATAATTCGATTTAAAGTTCAACAGCGGTCTGTGGGACCGCACGTCGCAGACTACGTGACATTTTTGTACCATACTAAAACTTGCGTTTTTGTTTTAGACGACTCATTTTTCGTAAAAATGATGGATCCTGGGCCACCACAACCTAGGAAAAAACATTTCCTAATGAGATATTGATATTAGGACATACAATTTTGTAAAAGATGGTAGTCTGTAAAAAAATACCGCGAAACGGGTGTGAAAGCAAACATTGACATGTATTCTAGGCTCTGATATGCCAAATCAGCCTGATTTCATTGCACCAGCTGCAAAAAAGACGTACATTTTAATCCACCTAAATTGAAAACGAAATTATCTTACAGGTGTTACCTATGCATACCGAAAATGCTTGAAATGCGGTAAAAAAAATGTCCTGATTTTGCTTAATGTTTACCCTACGTCAAAATTTTTTTTGTGCATGTAGGGTACGTATCATTTATTTTTATTATATTCATTATCTTCACTATATTTAGGAAGGAGTATAGTTTTTCTTCCTTTGATTAAAATTTACAAGTTATATAGGTATTATTGAGCTTTAGTGTAATTTCAATGAAAATAAGGGTCAAAAAAGTTTTAGCCATATTTAAATAAATAATATACATTGATTCTTCACAAATTATACGTATGTTTATTTTTAATACTTTAATGTTCTCAAAAAATATAAAATCAGTATACTTTTGTACAAAAAATTATTACTTTTTGAGTAAACGGTATAGCGGTCCCACAGACCACGTCGCAGACGGCGTGACAAAAAAATCACGTCGTCGGTTAAAGGTTAAGTTTAATCACATTCTCATTGGGGCCTAATTTGTCTTAATGTTTTCATTTCCAATTATTATTCTTGAGAAAGATTGAAAGCACAGAGGTGTAGCTAGCCTATTTTTACACATTCCAATGTGATGTTAAATTGAAAGTACTTATGATTACCCGTCCAATTGTATGTAATGCTATTTAAAAGTAAGTAACAAATATATTTCCATTTATTAGCGTTTAGTACAATGAATTTGTCAGTATTATTATCATGCAACTTTAAAAAACCGCAGGTGCCATATTTTTACAATATACTCAGGACTGACAAACTACACTAACATTCCAAATTTATACATAGATCAAACGGTTCATAGTTTTTTACTAATAGCCAATTGTGCCAATAATTTATGTTCAANACTTTCTTTAATTTTTTATCTCAATGTGTTTGAAATCTTTAAGTGGGCAATAGCTATACGGTTTACCCTACCTACTTATTAAAATAAAAAGTTTTATAGAATGTAGTTGATTTACTAGATATGCTAGTATATTAAGGAATAGAGATATCTGGCCTTTACTGCCTTTATATTTTATAGTTGCAATTATTGCATACAAATAACAAAATTCTCCGGTTACTAAAACGATGCACGAAGTTACGAAATTATTCAATTTGTCATCTTTATGACTTCTGTGATAGGAATAAAATATCGTTAATTATTTCCTTTTCTGTTAATCACAATATCGTAAATGCAAACAAATCTATTTTCTAACGATGAGAGGCCATAGAGTAAACTTTAGTATCGTTTTAGTAAACGGGAGTTTCAAAAGCCTTTATTTACTTTTATCTCGAATTTTAAACAATGACTGTACTTACATAATTTGGTTTTAAAAAATATACTGAATATTATTTTAATTAAATATATTAACTTAGTAAGTGTAACATTTTGAATTTCTTTCCGTAGAATTAATTGAATTATTTTAATAATAGTAACATGACATTTATTTAATAAATAATTAATTTGGACATTACCGATGTAAGTTTTATGCATTGTTAATCCTAAATGGATTTTTTAAACTTTTATTTAATAATAAAAACATTATGCGAACCCATCGCAATTTCGCAACCGAGTTCAGTAAAATATGTTTTTTGATAAAAATTATTCATTCAACTCTTTCATGTAACCATACTCATATTTTTTTTGAAAAATATATTGAAGTCATTGGTTGAAACACATTAATTTACAACAGGAACGGAGCAATAACTTATCTGAAAATATGTTTTACGATGAAATTTCATAATGTATATGTATTTACGTATAAATATAACATAATTGAAATGTATTACTTACTTAAAATGTTAAATTAGAAATATTAAGAACATTAATTTAGTTTATAAGCCGTGTAGTGTTAAGTATTTTAGTTGAATCAACGAATATTATTTGGTTGGTATTGTTGACGTTTGAATAGGTACCTATCTTATTAATTTTATTTTGGTTTAGAACAGCTGCTGTTGATAGTTATTATTACTGACGGGATTACTACCATGTAGCTGCTGTTGACTATCAGGTTAGAGCACTTGCAAGTCTATAAATAAAGAGATACCTACATTATTTAGATACCACTTCGACAATTTGATATGCATTAATGCAACGCCTGCTGCTGAACGAACAATAAAAATGTAAAAAACGTCAACAAATAGGAATAAACCTATGTATATTATGTCCACAAATACGCAATATTTTTATTCACTGTTCAATATCTATAAACTTAGGATACTTAGAGTATGTTTATGTGGTCAATGTATTTTATTATGCTGGACAATAAACTATGTTATCTTCATTAATATTTCTCTTATTTTGTCTTAACCAAACGTTTATTAGGCCAGTAGAATTAAACACAAAAATGAATTAAATCGGAAATAATTCCTACTAAAGATTTATGTGCTTTAATGGCTTCATTAGTTGCCTATAAAGACTCTCCTAGGTTTTCGACTTCGACGGAGTTGTGCTTAAGTGGTGGGGGCCTCCGAAAGGGGCGCTTTTTCGGTTTTCCGGTTATACCACGTAAAGGACTTACCCTATCGAAAAGTGGTCTTCCTGACGGTTGAAGGGCATTTAATCCTGCATTAAATAAGACCAAATTCATATGTTTTGAACAAACCGTTCTCGTGCAAATGTTCGGCAAAGTAGAAAATATGTGTATAATTAATGACCCTCTCCACGTCCAATGGCTCGTTACCCGCACGCAGGCTTCCAAGTCTTGAAAAGGAGCACCTCAACCAGTGTAACCCTATCAAGGCTTACGAGCTGGATGCGCCTATCCTTGTTCGTCCCAGCCGTTCCTTAACTGCGGTTGCTGCACCTCTTCCTGGCACTAACCTGAACGACTCTGTGTTACCTACTGTGGCTGCCCCTCTTCCTAGTATCCTCCTGCACGACTACGTTGCCTAGCCGTATGCCTGGTCTAAGGTTTAACGCCAAAAATCAAAAATAAAGCGCCCCTTTCGGGGGCCCCCACCACTTAAGCACAACTCCGTCGAAGTCGAAAACCTAGGAGAGTCTTAATGGGAAACCAATGAAGCCATTAAAGCAATAAAATAAAATCTTTTGTAGGAATTATTTCCGATTTAAAATCTAATTCTACTGGACTATATGGCCCTTTCATGAAAGCTGCTCATTATCTTTATAAACAAACATTGGGTTTAGTAGACCATAGACCGTCACTTGGATCCTGGAATAAAACTATGGACATACAAAATATAGATGACCCAAGCTGAACTGTCCCACCAAACTCAATGACAGGGGGGCGCTACCATCGTTCAGCTATATGGTTTCCAACATGGCAAAAATCGGAACCAGGCGATTCGGTATTGACGGTGGCGCCCCACTGTCAATGTCATGCATAGGACAGTTCAGTATTTTGGAACTATAACAACCGGCAAATATGTCTGTCAAGTCAAATCAAGTCAAATACTCATGTCAGTTGAATGTGATATTGTGAGTTGTTCAATATTTTAAAATAAATCATGAAGAAATCCATGGATAAAATATCTTCCGATAAATCTACATCGGAGTTGGAGACCTTGTTCTCTTTTAAGAGATACTATATCAATAATCTCGACTCTTATCATGGAGAGTATATTTTAAAAGAAGTGTCGAAAGTTTTAGAGAAGAATGCGGTAGTATCAACAAGAGAGACGTCTCAGACGGTCGTCGGTGAAGATATGGAGCCAGCGGCACCCCCACCACCAGAACAGCTGTATGAAATTATAGGTGTGATTCTAATTCCCATGTTAAATAGCCTTGGACACGCGTGTAGCTCACCAGATTATCATCATCAGCAAATCATTTAGACAAAGACAAAGACATTTATTTGCAAAGAATAGGTTGATACAGATAGTGTTGTAAATACAAAGTGCTCTATTCTGCTAAAATACATTAACATGCAAATTTTTGTCCAGAAATTCCTGAACACTGTAAAAGCAGGAAGTGGTTAGCCATTCCCTAAGCTTTCTGGTCATTACTTTTGCAGGACCTATTTTAAATCTTTCAGGAATTTTGTTATAAACCTTAATGCACATAGAATAACAATTTTTATGACAAAGTGCGATTTTTGGGCAGAAGTCAATTTAGTCTTCACTACAGGAACAAGAAACCCTCTCTAATTTATTAGAGGCAAAAGATGATTTTAGCCTAGATGAGTTGGGGAGGCTGACGTTCTCATAAATATTATTTACCGGAACATATTATAGTAATGACTATTACTACTATTAGTATGTGAAAATAACCTTACAATATAACAGGTATTTTCATTTTTCAAATTTCCACATCAGGTACAGTAGCTGACACAAGAATCAAAAGCATTGATAATGTCGCTAGAATCGTACTTAAAACTGAGTGCTTACCACAAATGTTGACAAGCGGCACAGTTATTTTAGACATCAGCTATGATAGGGACGAACTTGCCGTTGCGATGGATTACATGAAACGTTAGTATATTTAATTACCTTTTGATTACGATATAGTTATAGAAGCTAATACAGCCAATAGTAACAAAGTAGAAAACAATATAAATTGCATTCATGAAGGTGATTTAGGTAGTTAAAGTTCTTGTTGTTATAGTTTTAAAAGATTTATTGGAAAAGCAAACACCGGCCGGTAATGTATCTGACGTTGATGACGGCGGAGGTGAATCCAAAAAAAGATATTTGATTCTGATATCTACTGTGATGACATGGGCGAGCACTAAGCCATTAGATCCGGTAATTAACCAATAATACATTGTTTCAACTAGAATAGTAGGTACGAGTATATCGTTATTATTACGTGCAAGTGGAAATATTTTATCATTATGTATTTTTATAAAACATTCCAGGATACCCCGGACATGCCGTTTATTGAGTCAGATTTTCGTAAAAGAAAGCCGCATCCGAACTATAAAATGCACTATGACGTAGAAAACGAAGTAATCAGCATTGCCAGAAAATATAGATCTCAAATTGGGTTTGTAAGATTAGATACGTTAGTTACACGAGATTATGTTTGTTGATGTAACGCTATCGTATGCGGAGGCGTCTGAACGTATCTGTGACGATATTGCATTATGTGCACAGACACTGTATTTATGTGCATACATGCGTCAATCACGACATTAACTTTTTTCTCAGCATAAATGTGGGACAAACAGTTTTTCTGTGAGTTACCAGACAAGACATTGTTCCATTAATGGCACATCGACGCTTTGACTATATGACTAATTGTTATGAGTCATAATAGGTAGATAATTCTATTATGCAGTCTCCCAAGAACACTCACCAGTCCATTCTATTGCCAATATGAAGTGTTTTATCTAAGACTTAAATTTTACTTTATCAGAGCGCTGATTATTGGGTCTGGCGTTACATACGGTGGACGCGAAGATGTCCTGTTCTACTGGTTCCAAAAAGCTTGGGAATGTGAAAAAGTTCTGCCAATACTTGGTCGCGGCGGCAATGTTGTTCCCCTTATCAACGTTATTGATCTTGCACAGTTAGTATATTCNCACATAAATGACCTCATATTAATCACATTTACCAAATCATGCGGTAATTATTCATAATAACCGGCGATTATTCATAATTTTCACATTTATCACTTTGACCGTAACATGTACATAACGACAAATAGGTTATATTCAGTCTTGAGCTTTATTTCACGATTTCCAAGTTTCTTTTAATTTTTATACTGTAACTAAAAAACTAACAGTACTTACGATTAATTTACTTGCAGAACTTTATCCAAAAAATGAAATAAAATTTGACAAGATCACAGCAATAGCCACGCAAAATAAATTTTATTACGGAGGGAGGGAGAGGGAGGGGAAGAGAGAGAGAGAGAGAAGGATAGAACAAATAGTGTTGCTGCTTAATCAATTGTGTATCAATACNTGCCTCTATTTTTTATCTAAGACTTAAATTTTACTTTATCAGAGCGCTGATTATTGGGTCTGGCGTTACATACGGTGGACGCGAAGATGTCCTATTCTACTGGTTCCAAAAAGCTTGGGAATGTGAAAAAGTTCTGCCAATACTTGGTCGCGGCGGCAATGTTGTTCCCCTTATCAACGTTATTGATCTTGCACAGTTAGTATATTCTCGTAATAGTTACCTATTTGAGTTAATGTTAAGTAGTTTAATTAATAATTATCATAATTAATTATTAACAAGAGCTCATTTGTCATCTATCGGCTTCTCAGCTAATGTCATTAATTAATAATCAACAATACCAGCATGACGTAGCATGCATTACAAAATTTAAAATGTTTAATTGAAAGACATTGCAGGTGCATTTTAAATATTGCGTTTCTTCTTTCAGAATTGTTTACAATTTGATTGTTGATTTTCCTAAGAAACTATACATATTGGCTGTAGAACAAATCATTACAAAGCAACGAGAGGTATTACTTGTTATTGAACAATATGTACCTTTTGTCGTTACCTACTCATCCATAAACGACTTAAGTGCTTAGCATTAACATTTTAACATTTTCAGATAGTGAAACCGCTCGGCCGTATCGTAGGTTCTGGAATGTTCAAATGCATACCACAAGAAGATGCGTTTTTGATCAAAGAGATAGACGTAAGCTGGATGATCTATATCTTTAGTTGAAATAAATAAATTTGGCGGCTCGGTTATTGGTGAGCTCATAATTAGAGCGTATTTTCATTGTGTGTGTGTGGCCGAAAAAAATTCCAATGACGCACCAATTGAACATAATAAATCCACACATTTACGACGTACTTAAATGTTTTTTCTTATCTAGTTTTCCGTCAGTCCCTCATGGTAAGCTAAATTACAAGTGCATAAAGTTTGTATAAGTAGTCGACTTGACAGAATAGTCAGCAGTTTTCGACGCGAATCAGTAGCGTCCTTCCCGAATCGGTAATCCGATGCCTAAACCGTTTCAGCTATTGTTGCGGTTGAGCTATTGTGTAAGTACCAACTCATTATATTTTTTCTAGCAAAGAATATACGATCTGATGATCCTGAATTTGAATATGGAACCAACTTTTATCGTGGAAACAATGGCCCTCCAATGGACTTCAGAACTTACTTTTGCTGAGAACGTCCCAGCGCTCATGAAGCAGTTCAAAAAGGAGAGAGGACTGAAACCTTTTAAGGTGATGTCCAACAATTAGCTTACCGACTGCCGTGTTACAAGGCTTCGCTGCGGTTTAAGTATTTTCTTGGCTACTATGTTGTCAGTTCAATACACGTATTACATCTTAGATAGGTACTACTTTCTTGCTAACGGTAAGGGAATTGATAAATTCCATTATAATAATATTACATTCACTTACAAAGTAGATAGATGAATAAAAAGTATCTATCCTTAGGGTTACAAACAAAAAAGCAAATGTTTAGAACAGAAAATATTATTGTAAGCTAATACGAGAGAGATAACGCCTAACAAGCGCGATTGCACATGTGGTTTTAACTTGCACGCAATCGCATCCAATTACCTACCTAGATGTTAAATAGCCAGTACAACTAATGAAATAATGAAGTACCTTTTCAATTTATGTTCAAAGGTTATTGTATATGGACCTCCAATAGTTGGCAAGACCACTTTGTCTAAACTCCTCTGCGAGGCCTACGGCTTGGTCTACATTTCACCGGAGACTGTTGCTCAAGATATGTTAGAAGATTTGGTTAGTAAGATTACTTTTTCCCACTTTGACAATAGTAGTTACTAAGATACCCAATAATTTATAATAAATAATATCCTTGGACATTTTACACTGCGCCTCTACTTAGTCCCAAACTAAGCAAAGCTTGTACTATGGGTATTAGCCCGGCCGGGAATCGAACCTGGGACCTCTCGGCATAGTGTCCGTTCTGAACCACTACACCAATCAGCCGAATTTATAGTTCTACTAAAGTGTTACATTGGTACTAACCAGATCAAAAAGAAACCTTTTGAAGTATTATCTTTATCATCTTTTTTTCACAATGTTGCCTATTTACCTACACCATCTCTCTTTTAATCTCAAAATATTATTATGCTCGTGTCGTGAGTAATGTATTTGATTAGCCCCAGTCGAATTAGAACCCGCAATCGTCATTAAACACTGTCATTATTTTTAGTTTTTGTGGCATTAGTAGTAGTAGTATTAACACTCACAAGCCTCCAGGCATGGCGTGTCAGCCACTGGGAGGTTGGTGAAATAGCCGCCCTAGCACCGCCGACGGGCGAAGAGGAGGACCCAGCGGCCACGGACGTCGATGATGACGCGGGCGAGGAAGAGGGCGTTCAAGAGGCTGCGAGGAACACCCTCTCAGTACTGCGGTCTGGCAGGCCGCTGACCGACGAAGATGTTATGGGGTTAATTAAAGATTTTTAGCTTTAACCCATTATAGACTGAGTTTTCCTAAAGTGTCAGATTTTTGGTTTTTTGAAATATGTTTATAATTATGATCTACATAACGCTATACAAGCATTGAAAAAATGATCCGACCTGTAATCTAGAAATAAAATGCTGGTACCATATGGTACCGCTAGCCTCTTACCGTGTCAGTCGGTTAAAACATAACTTTATGATGGACTTTATAAAAATAGGGTAAATTATTTATTTTATTATTATTATTATATGTATTAATATACAAGCAAATAACAGAAGTAATATTAAATGTGAAAAAACTGTATGTTGGGTAAGGAATATTCATTTTTATCTTTGAATATTCAAAAATTTGGAATGGAGCTTGGCATTGCACGCTGCACTTAGCCCCAAGTAACATTTCCTATACTCTAATATTGTTCGAGAGTTGCAATTATCTCGAGTTCATTCTATAAATATCTGCTTCGTCTTGGGACCTTCATCGTCCTCCAAAACTGCCAATGTTTCGCGTAAGTTACATCTAAAATAAACAAAAACCCATGGTTTTGTAAAGTATAGGAAACTATTTTACTTTATCTTCCTGTATACCTTATATACCATTGAATATATCACATTCTTCCTAATAAATACAGTAAAAACTAAAAATCATAAAATAATTAAAAAGACACGGTAAGCGGCTAGCGGTACCGTACGGTACCAGTAAGTTTGACATACAATATTTCCAATTATTATTACCTATCGACGTAATTTTACACCATTTCACAATAAGAGCACTTATGGAGAATACAAGATTGTAACAAAATCAGTATTTCCCTATCACACAAAAAAAATATGATCACTTACTTGAATGGCGCGTCAATTTTTAAGAGAAAATTTTGATGCGCTCACTTCAATCATTTATTACACACAACTGAAAAGAATAACTGACAATTTTTATTCCTAGAAGCATAGACCATATCTATTGGCTACGACTTGCATCAATCAGAGCACTGCATCTTTTCACGTGTTCATGTATAGAGCCAAATTAAAACACACAAAAAAGTGGTACCATATGGGACCGCTAGTCTATAATGGGTTAATGTGCATACAATGTGAATTCGAATATTGCAAAATAGCTTCAAATAATTAATATTCTACTTTACGCTTGATCGAGCATGATGGATGTTATCTTTTGATTCGTAGCTCTACAGCTCATTCATTTTATCAGTGACGCAAGCGCAAGTTGCTATTGATGAAAGTGTGGGTAGCAAGCGCGTAACATTTGTTTTGGTATGATGAAACACTCTTTTGTTTTTATCCTTAGGTATCTACGCCAACGCCTTTTATGTCGTGAATCTCTGAACAGGGGATGGGTTCTCGATGGCTTCCCCACCTCTTTGGCACAGTGTGCTGCACGTAAGTACCAAATACCTAATTTGGCCACAGAATTTGAATGATATGCATCAAAATACATAGTAGAAACTTAATATTACGAGTACATAATAATATCTACATTTTGTATTCAACAGTCTTTGAAAAAGGCGAAGAGCAAGACTCTGACGTAGAGGAAGAAAACGAAGAAGAACAATTTGATGAAGACGTAGATTTATATAGCAATGTTCTGAAAAAAATGTTGCCAGGTATTAAAAAAATAGAAAAGCAATTTTTTACCTAAGTATTTCGTGTCTTCATGATAACATTGGTAATACAAAATTCAATTACAGACATAGTAGTATCACTAGAAGCAAGTGATGACTTCATTTGTGAGAAAGCTATGCGCCAGCCCGAGGGTGACTCGCGTCTCGATGAGGAGGCGGTGCTGAAGCGCCTTAGCGAGTTCAGAACTGGAGATTCCCGTGACGTGTCACCGCTGAACTTCTTCGATGAGCTGGACATACACCCACTAGTTGTTCCTGTGAAGGAGCACAGTGATTATGGAATGAAGGGCTCGTATGCTGCTGTTGCTTTGCGTATGGGAAGGCCTTGTCGCTATGGAAAACTTTTGGGTAGCTACAACCTCATCATTTTCTTGCATTTCAGTTATGTGTAAGAAATATATTAAAATGTATTTTCAATTTCTCTAAAGCCCTTATTGAAGCTGCTGAGAAGAAAGAAAAAGAGGAACTAGAAACATTACGAGCCAAAGAAGCTAAAGCAATGAAAGAACTCGAGCAAAAGATGAAAGAGGAAAGGGAAGAAAAAATGGAGTACTGGGTAAGTAATGTAGATAGCTTGTTCAAGTCTAGCTTATGTTTAGGGATGAGTGAATTTTGGATAAAACAGTGTATAANCTTGTTCAAGTCTAGCTTATGTTTAGGGATGAGTGAATTTTGGATAAAACAGTGTATATGTTACGGTCAAAGTGATAAATGTGAAAATTATGAATAATCGCCGGTTATTATGAATAATGACCTCATGATTTGGTAAATGTGATTAATATGAGATCATTTATGTGTGTATAAAACTGAATAGGCGGCTTAGGGGTGGCCCAAGGGCCACCCCCGCCGCACCTTAACCTATTTTTCACTTTAAATCATAACAATGTGTTATAGGCATTATGCATAGCTGGGCATTAACTCGTTAATCCGTTAATCGTTAATTAACGAAGTTAACATTTCTATTAACGGATTAACTTTTAAGTTAACTTTAAAAAATGTTAACGGACTCGTTAACTTCCGTTAAATTATCCTAAGTCCGTTAATCGTTAATCCAGTACCTACTATTTACCAAAAAGATACAGCAGGCACGCTAGAAAAACGCGTTCTGACAAGTACGTTCGGGCTTCCACCCGATCACTAACGACACGTCTTGTTAGTATGTGTCGACAGTGTGGGACAACTCTTGCAACTGATTTAAGACCAGTTTTCCTCAACCGATTGAGCTGTATACCAAATACTTATTTAAGTACGATGACAATGCAATGTTATGGTACTATTGAGCTGGTCTGATGATGGAGTCTTGAGGTGGCCATAGGAACTCCTAAATGAAACGGCGGCTTCGCATCGAATTTGGGTTCGTTGGATTTATCTTATCGAGCACTTTAGTACTAGATGATGTCCAGGGTCCTGATGATGGAGTCAGGAGATAGATAGATAGATAGATAAATCGAGGGGAGAAACGACCACGCGTACGAAATCGCGGGCGGCCGCTAGTAAAAAAATAATAAATAAATGTCAGTAGGTATGCGTGCAAGACGCATGCAAGGGAACATGTTCGCCCTCAGTAATGTGGACTTCATATAAGTTCTAAACTTGTGTTTGGAATGATGAATTATTGGAGGCGGAATGTTGTTCCAGCATTTAGCGACATTTAAGGCGACAGGAGGTGGCCATAGGAATTCCTAAACGAAACGGTGGAAACTTATCGAATTTGGCTTTGCTGGATTTGTCTTTTCGAGCACTTTGGTGCTAAATTGTATTGTAATTGAACCAAGGCTCTGAGATTGAGATACTACTAAACAGTGTAAAATAAAATTTAATAATCAAAAAACTTTTTTAAAAACAAGCTTTTATTCTGAAATGCAGTTGTACTAAAACGAAAAAAATAATTGTACTTATGCAAGGTTCAAATAATTTCGAAAGCTTGTAGCGCAAACATAAAAGAAGAATAAATTCCATGCGCGATACAAGCTTTCGAAACTATTTGAACCTTGCATACAATATTTTTTTTCGTTTTATTATCATGTGTTAACGGATTAACGATTAACGTTAACTTGCGTTAAATCTTGCGAAATGTAACGTTTTAACGTTTAACGAAGTAAATTTTTTTATTAACGGTTTAACGATTAACGAAGTTAACTATCTGATTAACGGTGCCCAGCTATGGCATTATGGCAAAGTAATGTTACGCAAGAAACAGTCCAAACTCATTTTGCCAAATTATATTAATATATGATATCAAAACGTTCAAAATGTGAGGCTGTACATGAGCGTTGTACACGAGCCGGTGTTCTATTTTATGATATTTGTTAGTATTAAGGTTACATTTTTAAATAATCACTGATAAATGTGATTAATTTATCACTTTTACGTCGCCTGTCGGTAATTATTCATAATAACCGGCGATTATTCATAATTTTCAATTTATCACATTAACCGTAACATATATAATTAAATGTTTTATCAGTCCGAATTGTACGCTCTACTGCGCGAGGAAGAAGAAGCGGCCTTGGCAGCGGCCGGCGAGCCGATGCGGAACTACCTGGTGCACCACATTTTCCCGACGCTAACGCCTGCACTCCTCGAGGTGGCTAAGCTCCGGCCGGATGATCCTATTGACTTCTTGGTAAGTACCTATAATAAAAATAGAAACCTATGCTAGGACTGATTCAGTTACAGTTCCTAAGTAGTTGGGCGTTTCATCGATTATGTAATATCCTCTAGAGCGGAGCTACAGACTAAAGCTTGTTTTTATTATTGAATTTAAAGATCTCAGTTCTCTTTTAAGGGCTGAAGATCTTTAGTCACTATATTAAACGTTTCAGGCTGAATACTTGTTCAAGATGAACCCAAGTGGAAAGATGCTTGAGCCAGGCTATAATCTCCAAGCCGAAAAATTACTCGGAAAGATTAAAATACTTGACGACGCATTGAAAGATCTCGACATCAAGATCGATCCCCTCATTCCCCCCGAAGCCGAAGTGGGTGAATCTGGAGACAAGAAAAATATCAGTAGCATGAGTGCTTTTTAATATTACTCTATTGTTGTTATAATTAGGGGAAAGTAGTACGAGTTGATCCCCTGGGGTAAGATGATCTTTCGCGATTGTGCTGAAACCACTAACGTCATTTAGTTTCTTTCACTGGTAGAACATAGCTCTGGACACATCCCCGCCTCAGTCAAATCGTAATGGTGGTGTGAGCGATACATCGAATTTGACGAGAAAAAAGAAAAATAGTGTACTTCTGATCTAAAATAGGCATGACTTTGCGCTTATGTCACTTTTATTCAAACAATGTTAAATGTAATTACAGTTGTCGTTAGGCTTTCTATTATGTTTAATTTTAATATTTTGGCCATAAAAACGTAGCCGCGTACTTGTAGATTATTTTAGCAAATATTTAACAAAAAGTGGGACTTGGGTCAAGATGATCCCTTCCTAGATGTACGAGATGATCCCTGGGAATCAAAACAAAAGAGTCAATGGAGTAGGTAAAGGGAAGTAAATAAAAGAAAGAGAACTTCATATAACTCACCTGAGTCTGAAGGAGATGATACTGAGTGGCTGTACTGAACAGAATAGTTTTCAAGCGATACCAAGGGTGAAGGATGGATAAAATGTTATGCATGACGTGGAAAATGGGGCCATAAAGCATGTGCTGCGGTAGAGGGTGATGAAGCAGGTGAATTTATTTGTGATATATTCAACACAGCTCCAGCCAAAAAGCGTTTCAATTATTTAAACGCTTTTTAGTAGGTACTAAGAAAGAATCAGTTATTTTCGTTATTTAATTCGTAAATGTTTTTCTTTTCTAACTTTTTAACGATTTGTTCGCATAATTAGGTACTCCGAAAGGAATATAACCAGAAAAGAATAGATCATAGAACAGAATCATAGGGATCATCTTACCCCTACCTGGGGGATCATCTTACCCACAGGGGTGTACAAGATGATCACTTTGTAAGGTTTTGCAAAAAATGAAATATTTTAATGAAACCTCAATTAATTTCTGGTTTTGAGTAGATATAAGGAAAGTTGGATAGATAAATATACTAGTAGTAATCGTCTTTATTTTTGGTTTACCTCGAAAAATATGTATTTTACAGCGATTCCCGCTTAAGGGGATCATCTCGTACTACTTTCCCCTACTAACAATGACGACGCATTTATTTTACTATACCTAGTTCTACTCATGTAATAGAGTACTTTATTATCAGATTGTTGGCTGTAGTTTTAATAAGGGAGTAGTAAATATTTGATTAAATGTAGACCAAGAGCTCGTGTCCTGCAATTTTACACTATAAAAAATATGTCGCGGATTTAGTAGGTGTACCTATGATTGGAATTAATAGATAGGTCCCCAATAAAAAAGTAAGTACTTTATATTTTATACTTAACTGTTTGAATTTCTATAAATTTACTTTAATACTCGACACATAATAGTTTGATGAAAGTGAAATTTATCACTTTTGTTTCCTTTATTCATACACAGATCCCAAGGTGGGTGAATAAAATGTCTACATAATCGAAGTTGTTATTTTGCTGTAAGACTGTTCAGTTGTTGTTGAGTTGTTGTAGGCACACTGTTTTAAAACATTATGCGTGTTTGAATTGTAATATTGTAATGCTATAATATTTCATGGCACACTTTTAAACGGCTTTTAGATGTCGTTACAGGATAACTTTTAATAGGCAATACTTATGACATTACGTATGTCACGCAATGGGCGGTCGATATTTTTGATATTATCGGCCTAGCGTGATTCAGTATGTTTATTGCCCAACTGTGCATCATATCAGTGGTTACGGAGACGGTTGAAAAATGTGTAAAATAAAAATATGAGGGTTCACCCTGAAGGATCGAAGCGGAAGAATGGATTTGTGGACGATGATGGCAAGTCCTCGGACGGTGGACCTTTGTCATTGCTGGCCACCAGCCTTCGCCATCAAACGACTGAGTTCTTTAACAACTCCACGCTGCACGGTGTGCGTTACATTGCTGAAAAGGAACGACCGTTCTGTGAAAAGTAAGACCTGTCTGTCTATAGTTTACTCGGATGCTAAATCCCAATAAGTTATTATTCACGGAAGAGACCTAAATAAGAGACGAGTTAAAGGAAGTGGTTATACTTATATTATAACGGATTTTTTCTGGAACTGCTTTTTGAATATATTTTTTCAGGTTTATGTGGTTTAGCTTTACGGCTGTAGGTGCTGTGACCACTTGCATCATCATTGTTAGTTTGTGGGAAAAATTTCAGACCAATCCAACAATTACAGGTAAAAGCCTTTTAGATAAGTTAGTTATGTTTTTTCACTTAGGTACACTCTTCAGTGAAAGAGTTAACCAAGTTTATTTTATTTTTCTTTATTAAGGAAACAAACAGCATGAGTTTATACATGTGAACTTAAAAAATAAGAACAGAACAGTAGCCTAATCAGTTTCCACAGATAAACTTTACAAGTTAATCGAAAGTTATGCAGAGTGCGAGCAATTTAAAATCACAAAATATAAAAAAATGCACAACAAAACCTCCATTCTTAAAAGTGGATTAAAAGAAAATTTAATATTATTATTTAAATTAAAGTTAAAAGTTTAAATTTAAAGTTAAAAGCTTATTATTTAACCAGCTTGCCATTTTAAACACATTTGCAGGTTTGGATACGGATTTCCACAATTGGGACGTGCCGTTTCCAGCTGTCACATTGTGCGATGTAAATCCCGTTGATGATGAACTTCTCCAAGAATACATAGAATCGTAAGTGTATACTAACCCCATGATATTGTAATTTCTTTTGTCAATATTTTTCCATTATTATGTTGTTATTAGCTTCTTGGATATTTTCTTATTATTCTGCACAGTATCATGACACTCATTCGAGCGTTGCGAACACCATCATGCTTGAACGGTGGCTGGGTAAACCATCTGCTTTGCAACTCGGTTTTTTATTTTTATTGACTAGTAGCTGTTATCGTACATTATTCTTCTAACAAATCTTTTTTTATTTGCCTACCAGTTATATCGTCAGTTGCAGGTTCACTTGGGGTAACTGACAAAATACAGTTTTTCAGTAGAACCGTTTAAAGTTTTTTTTCGTCTTAAATCGGACATAACTTTTTTCCTATTTAACCTTTTTTGGATCTGTTTTTACAGAAATGCTTAGGTTTCTACGCGGTTTTAGATTAAATAAAAAGAATTATCTAATATGTTTTAGTAAAGGAAATAAATTGCAGTTACACCAATGTATTTTTGTACTTTTGACAGTTACACTAATTTTACACCATACTTTTGGAAAAAACATAGGACAAATTGGTGTAAGTACTGCCCAAATTAAAATAATTTGATGTTTTTGCTGGGTTTTGTTTACTTAGTTGCTGTATAATTTATGTAAAAATATTAAAAAATTAGAGAATTCATGAAAAAAATAACATTTTGTCGTTTTCTTTGTTTTTTATTTTATTTTATTAGAAGTAACTTTTATTTTATTCATTAAATAATGTTAAAAAAGCCATGGGAATCAAGAAAATATGTGTATTTAATTTTTTTAAGACAGAAATATTGAAATAACTAAAGTATTACTGTGAAACTAAGTAATTTTAATATTTTTTGAAGCTTTGACTTACCTATATCCCATTAAAACACAATTATTATGATAAATTATTTTATTTCCATAGTGTGCGTAATAAATAACTAAAAAGTCCTAAAATTATTATTAATTTCCCATATTTCGGGTAATTTTCCCACGTAAATAACTGAGAACACTGGTCTTTGACGTATTATTTTTTCGAGTGAATGACGTTTGATTTCAATTAATTTCAATATTTTAATGTCGGGAAATAAGTGATTGGATTATTATTTTGCCTGTGAAATGTGATTCCTTAATTTTTGTTTGTTCGAACAGAACGGTTTTTACACAATTTCATCACACAAGACATGTCGAATTCGTGTTGTTTTTTCGCTGCTTAAATGTGTCAACTGTGTGAAGTTTGCACTCGAAGTGGTGTAACAGGGTGTGAATGTGTGCGTGCCGGCCTGTACGTACAGGCACGCTGGTGTATCCTAATGTCACAGTATTTTGTTGATGAGAATCCGTCCGACTTTTTTTATAGGTCCATGTAGTTTAACCCTAAAATGTGTTACCGCTTTAGATCGTACGTCGCTGCGATTCGCTATTCTACGACTGCGAGTGGAAAGGTGATTCGGAGGAATGCTGTGATCTGCTTGTGCCGGTGTTTACCGAGATGGGATTTTGCTATGCTTTCAACTCTAGGCACGCTGAAAAAACATGGCCCTGGTAAGTTACATACCTACGTTTTTTTTTTGCATGCAGTTATAATTAGAGGTGTTGTATTTCGGTTATTCATTTTAGGCAAACTCAACCGCAACCGGATCAATTCGCAGAAGCGTTTATACACGAGACAGATGCAAAATGGTCGTTTCTATTTAATTCTTATCGTAACGACACCACCATTGAAGTGAGTACCTTACTTGTGTTCACCTACATACAGCATTTAGGTCTGTTTATAAGACTACACTTCAAATTAAGGCTTGGTTTAGGTCTACATACATTCGACGGAAGAAGCGGCTGGCTTAGAGCAGAGCGCTCAACATTCGTGGGACCGACGAGTGGAAAAAGTGTCATTTTCCGTGAAACACACGTACACTACAGAAGACGCCCGGCAGTTGTCTATACGCCAGCGCCGCTGTATCTTCGCAGATGAGCAGAAACTAGAAACCTCCAACATTTATACGTATTCCACTTGTATGAGGCAGTGCCGTATGCAGAGGAGTCGAGCTTTTTGCAAATGTGTGCCGCACTTTTATCCGACCACAAGTAAGAGAGCATAATTTTTTGTAAAATACACGTAGTAGAATATTTAAAAAGGTTTATTACTTTATTTATAGAGGGCTACAGATTTTGTACAGTTCCCGAACTAAAGTGCATAGCGGATAACGTAGACGCGATCACGGACGTGACGCGTTGCTCGTGTGAACTGGGCTGCAAACACACAGTTTATGAAGTCGAGAAGCTCACTGAAATTGAGTAAGTAATTAGTATAATAGTATAACTTTGTTTTTCCTTTGTTATTAAATTGGCACTCAACATGGTACATTTAAATAATGTGTTATCGAGGTCCGACAGAAATTGGCGCCCAACGTGGTACGTGGTGGAACTGTAGGTGTATAGCGTTGACGTTTTAACAGCACTTTCTGTATCTGAACTGAAGTCAATTTTAGTTTAGTCAACAAAGTACATAATTATTTCAAATTTGTAGTTCTATGAAAGCATCAGGCTCGACAAGTTCACTGGAAACGGAGTTCGTGTCGTGGCCAATGGTGCGGTACAAACGCGAGGTGCTCTTCGGTTGGGTTGACTTGTTGGGTAAGCATTACGTCGTTCATTGACTTTTTTCGTACTGTTTTTCTTGTTGTATTTCATTATGCAATGTTTGACCCGTCTCCGTAATATACGAATGTCCCTTCCCGACTCTTAACTAAGTAAATGTTTCGTCAAAACGGTCTGCGTATAATAATAATGCCAAGGACTTTTTATAAGATATTAAGAAGTTAAACTTAGCTCCAAACTTAAAAATAGTAAAAAAAAAAAAAACCAGTGATTTTGATTACCCGGTTAGAATGCACGCCACGATTTCTGTATTTATTTAAATATGCTTATCGGTGTTGTGATTTACCGCCGTGTAGTCCATTTTATATTCACACTATCAGTTTTCTTCGAAAATAAAAAGTAACTTTTTGAAAAGATTCCAATTTTTTTACACATTGTACCGTGGCGTGCGTCGTTGCGAAAAATTGTTTGGATAAATCTGAGCAAGTTCAAAAACTCGTAAAACTCATTTATATTTGCAAATTAGGCTTTTAAAAAGCTCTTTTAGAGTAGGCGCACACCGTTGATTTTTCGTCGGCCGATAGTTTAGTCGGGCTGTTGATCAGTATGGGCCTGTATGGGAGCGCGCACACTACGCCGATTCGATTTGGCCGATTCTTCATACAATTTGAAATCGGGCACAACTATCGGCCACAACTATCGGCCAACTAAAAATCAACGGTGTTCGCCTACTCTTACACGTCCCAGTATTAACCCTACCACTGCTTCGGGACAATAAACGGGTCAGTCTCAGATCATATCCCTTCTATGATCTGAGGGGTCAGTGCTGAGAAGAAGCAGCGCAAGCAACTCAGTCCTATGTTTGTGTTTTAGTATCATTCGGCGGCATAGCAGGCCTGTTCCTCGGGTTCTCGCTGCTGTCGGGCGTGGAGCTGGTGTACTACTTCACGCTGCGCGCGTGGTGCGCGGCGGTGCGCGACGCCGGCACGCTGCGGCGGGAGCGGGCCGAGCGGCTGGCGCAGCCGAAGCCGCCGTACGACCTAAGCCTCGTTCCTTGGTGCGTTTGATGCTTAAATAACGCCTAAGTAGGTTTCTGAGATAGTGTAGCGGTGCGGGAATGGTTACTTCACGCGGAAGCGTGCGGAGCGGCTGGCGCAGCCCAAGCCGCCGTACGACCTGAGCCTCGTTCCTTGGTGCGTTTGATGCTTGATAACGCCAAAGTAGGTTTCTGCCATAGTGTAGCGGTGCGGGAAGAGATTACTTCACGCTGCGGCGGGAGCGGGCCGAGCGGCTGGCGCAGCCCAAGCCGCCGTACGACCTGAGCCTCGTTCCTTGGTGCGTTTGATGCATAAATAACGCCTAAGTAGGTTTCTGCCATAGTGTAGCGGTGCGGGAAGAGATTACTTCACGCTGCGGCGGGAGCGGGCCGAGCGGCTGGTGCAGCCGAAGCTGCCGTACGATTTAAGCCTCGTTCCGTGGTGCGTTTGATGCTTAATAACGCCTAAGTAGGTTTCTGCCATAGTGTAGCGGTGCGGGAAGAGATTACTTCACGCTGCGGTGGGAGCGCGCGGAGCGGCTGGCGTAGCCGAAGCCGCCGTACGACCTGAGCCTCGTTCCTTGGTGCGTTTGATGCTTAATAACGCCTAAAGGTTCAGCCAAACCAACGCGAACACCGCTACACACTATCACAGAAACCTACTTAAGGTTCAGTCAAACCAAGCCGGCTGATCGCGTTGGTTTGGCACTTTGGCCGAACCTTAAGTCTGATCGCCATCGCTGCACGCCGGCTGATCGCGTTGATTTGACTGAACCTTAAGTAGGTTTCTGTGATAGTGTATAGCGGTGTGGGAAACTTAGTCGAAGTCAGGCTTTTAAAATCAAACTTCGTAAACTATTCAAGAATATAACTTTCCAAAAACCTGTCTTTTTTCTTTCCTTTAAATATAAGTTTCCATTCAATATGATTCCTTAGAGACCTTTTTTCAACATCTGTAGTACAAATTATGAACTTATGAAATTTGTTTCAGGTGGAAACAGCCACCGGCTGCCCGCAGCGCGCGGCCCCTGCTGGTCCGCCCGAAGGACACCCAGCCGCCACAATACTCGCCACCACCAGGATACCCCACTTATTTGCCTTAAATGGAATTGTTTTCTCTTCGTAGTGAACTTTTGTAAGCTAACTCTTTTCTTTCATGAGTTTGATGCGGTGTTTTTGAATCCTATTATGTGTAGCCATGAAACAGGAATGCTATGTACTATTAGTTTAGAAATTTTACATCACTATTATTAAACTTTCTTACACGCAACTCTACTCTTTTTATTTTTCTTATCTTCGAAAAGATTAGGAAAGGATTTTTCTAAATAAAAATAAGTTTATTATAATGAACCATTTATTTTATGGTCACATCCATCTAAAACGTCGCAGTATTAGTAAAATTTTAATCGAACTACATTATCGTGACATAAATTGGACACAAAACAGTCAACAAGTTCCAAATACTGGAGAAATATAATATAAACATAGACAATTTACAAGAGTCTAAAAACAACCACAATAATGCAGTTCAATAAATAACAAGTTTAAAAAGAGAGTTCTTCAAAAATGTATCTCTTGATATTTTACTCTACATAAGATTTGAAAAATCTAAATCAAACAAAGCACCAAAATAATCTTACAACGGACTAAATTATTAGGAATGGATTTAAGTTAATTCTACAATTGGTTGGAGCATAATACGTTATGTAAGAGGCGACTGACTATGCCAGACCAGCCTGCACATCAGAACTTGGGTTTTTGAACAGGACTGACCTTCTTTACAGCAAAAAAGAAACGAAATACACAAAAGCAATCTAATGTATTTTCATAATACAGAAGACATTAATAGTAAAACTAAGATATCGTAGATAAAATTGTAACAAACAGGGGAAACCAGTTGATTATTTTGATGTATTGAGACATTTTGTGACACTGGTTTTGAAAACCTACTTAGGTATTTCGTAAACATGTAGGTATGTTTCACTTAAAAATAATATTCATTAGTCAATCGCCACTTTACAAACTTGTGATTCTCACAAAAAACACTATATTAGTTGATACTAACTTAATGCTAGTATTGCAAAAACAAATTGACAATAGTCAATCTAAGCGAAATGCAACTTAATTTGAAAAAGTAAAAAAATATTAGTATAAAGAAGAAAACTATCACTGTTAAACATTTCACTGTACTGGTTCTAAAAGTAGTTTTATTTGCATATTGCAAGATTTAATTTTGACACCTTTTGTAATAAATCTTCACACGTTATACTGTATGATAACAAACCCCGCCGAGCAAGAGGTCTAAGTGCTAGCAATAGTAAAAAACAATGATAAAAACTTTGGTAACTGACAATTCACGAAATATGCATGTTCAAAGATATCAATATGGCAATGTCGTATTTAGGCGGTTATCACACTGCGCCGCGCTCCGCCGCGGAGCGCGGGACGACAGATTTAATCATTGTATGCAAATACCTCAGTTTGTATAGAAAACACGCGCGGCACTTCACACTGACAACGCGTCCGCGCGAGGGTTTTTTTATATGAAATCACGCGCTCCGCGTCGGAGCGCGGCGCAGTGTGATAACCGCCTTACTCTTTAGTTAAGATTTCATGGTTTGATTAAATAATACACAATAGTATAGCGAATTATACAAAACGATTTGTGCACATTGTCTTTTAAAAAATATTAAAGAAATGTGAAACAATTGAAATGAATCAGCTAAACAAACACTCAATAAAATAAAAACTAACAACAACTCAAATTTTCATTCACATTATACCGCATACAACTATACAAAAATAAAGATAAATCTAAAATCACTAATAATTAGTGTAAAACAATAAGTACATACTGTTAAGAAATTCCCGATTTTAAATCATACTAAATAATATTTTCAAAGAATCTCAATTATAAAAACTAGTATGATCATTTATCTACAATAAAATAGGACATCACTTATAAATACCTATCTATCTAATTTATGATTATAATTTAGGGGGATTAAGTAAAATTGGCTAGAGGTATTAACTATGGAGAATTCGTTATCAATCACTGAATTGTCAATTCGAAAAGGTGTGATACACAGCTACGTCAAGTGTATAAATATGCAATGTAATAAATACTTTAATTTATCAAACCCTATTGCAATAACCAGTTGCGTTGTATCATACGCAACAGAGTTCGCACAGTATAGTACGGTTTAAATTATGGATGCGTGTATAACACCTTCAAAATTCACAATTTATTCATCATCACGCATGTTACAATAGGTAATAGGCGTAAAATGATCGTCTGAAACGTTTTAATTAAAGTGTAATATTTATTGCATGTCTCACTGGGATATCTTTTTGGTTTTAACTTTCCAATAAACCCAATGTTACAATAACCTGGTTACTTATTCGAGTGAATATCTCTATCACTAACCTGTTTTAAATAAACTCTCAAAATAATGAAATGCATAAAAATAACACAAGCGATTATTTAATTATTGATATCGTGTTTTACGTCGCATGGTAGACCTCGCCTCGTAAGTAGCATGCCAATGTTTGAACCATTTTCTATTTCATCAACACTGGTAAAAAACTAAGTAGAATTGTTTAGTAAGTATCTTGTTTAAGTCTTAAGTTTACTATTTAATTGTACAAATTGCATTGTTAAATTAAAATTATAAGTGCTATGTGACAGTTGTCTAGCAGTGCAAACATAATACCTGCAATATTTACCAGTTAACAACACGTTGGTAAATAATTATCAATGTTACAATTGATTGAATGATCAATGTTACAATAAAATTGATTGCTAGTTACGGCATGAGCCAAACAATATTTCTAGACAAGTAACATTATTGACATATTTAATTTCATGAACACTTTACATACAGTAAAAAATGTAATAGAAACGAAATCGACAACGAATGTTACATTGTATAGAAGCATGTGTACACTGGTAGGTTGCGAGATTTATTTTCCTATAGATGACAAATTCACTAACACATATTTTTGGTCACATTAAGTTGCTTGGCGGCGATCAATCGTCTAAAACTATCTCACTAATCACACATATCACTAGATGATACTGCCTCGTATTAGATAGCGAATAAGGGTTACCCCATATTCTTAGAGACATTCTTCCTACATTTTCCATTGAATGTCGTTACGGTGTGTATAAATAATGAATATATTTGACAATGTGTTACTTACATGCCAACAGTATTGCTCAAATGATAATAAATGTCAATTCTGTTGTAACAGTTTTCATTCTAAACTAAATTTTAAAAAATGTGCTATATCTTTTCTTAGAAAATGATCATTCTTTGGGAAGATTAGGAAAGTTTTTAAGTTAAAAACTGGTACAATAGAATTGGATAGATTACTCTATAACACATTGCCAAGCATATTAATTTGTCGTCAATTTATAGGGCCCGATTCTAAGACATTTTTCATGTCTAAAGTCAGTCTATACTTTTCCTTCTTAAGTATAAAATAGGACAGCACCAAAGAATACGTATACTTATATTTGAGGCTTCTATGATTTAGTTGACACCATTTCCCAATATATTTGGCCAAAATCTGATCTAATTTGGTCACGTGAGTCTCAAAAGTTTGCTGTGACGGATTAGGTCACGACATAAAAATTGGGGATTGGACACTATCCAAAAATAAATGCTCATGTCGATTTTTAATTATGTATCAATAGCTGGTTCGTTATTATTTTTTTGGTCAGTTGCCTTTGGAAAACTGAAGCTTCGAGTCAAACATGCGTAATTTCACACAATCTCTACAGACGAACAACGTTTTGACATCTCATAAGAAGTAATGTCACTTGCCTGATAATATCCGAACCCTGATTGCGACCTCAATGGTAGTCACCGTCCCATTACATCAAGAAGTAAGCTATAGTGGACTTTATTACAAGTACTGACGTCTCAGAATCGGGCCCAGAGCCGTAAGAGCCGTTCGTCTCGTAAAGTGCCTCGTACCAGTCAGCAGACGTGCGCGGGCTCGCGCGGCGCCCACAGCGGGCAGGCGGCCTCGGGCGGCGGCTCCTCGACGTCGGCGCAGCGCCGTCGCACCATTTTGAACAGAGTTCGGAACTTCTCGGTGTCCGATAGTGTTGCCTGCGGATAGAAATGAGATGTAGCTTCGATATGCAGCTCGAGTGAGTTGAATACAGAGTTATTTGAAACAATTTGTGTAGGACGCTCGGCGCGTCATGACAATTTTTTTAATTTTAGCAATTTGTAAATACAAATCTATACTACTATTATAACCCTTTCGGACCCGCGCTTAAACTAGAAAGAAATTTGTAATTTTGAACATGAATTTTAGGTAATTTGGGGTCGCAGATTACGAATCTGCTATAATTTTCCAGATTTTCCGCCGCCATCTTGGAAAATTCATATACCAACAATTGTATCAAACTGGGCCCTTCACTTCCTACGTACAATTGTGAGGGTCAAAATTGTAAGGGGTTTGGAAATTTTATTAATGGCATGTATTCCGAAAAACGTATTTATAACCAGTAAGGAATCAACAGGTTTAGTTTTTATACCAGTATTTGCCATTTCATATTGATTTTTGGGCAAAACTATCTGTTCCATGAGCTCAACAGTAAATATAGCGCTCGAAATATTATTATGGAGTTTTAATTTCTCCTGGACCATGAACAGCATCTCCTGGAAGATGTTGACGATTGAATGGCATCGTCTGCTATGCCGCTTGCATACTCAGAGGAATGTATCGTCATGAATGTCTGAGCATTCATCAGAAGAAGAGGAGTAGTTCATCTGAAGTAGTCGAAACTAGCTTTTGTCGTTGTCATCGCTCTCATCCCCAGATGCATTGAGCATCTCTGCGATAGTAGCGTCGTTTAAAATCGGAAACATGGTGCGGAAACCATGAAAAATTAATAATTACGAGAAACTTAAAATACGCATAAGGTATCGTAGGGCCCACGTCGATACAATTGTGTCAGTAAAGTTCGTTAAGCCGTTACGCCAAAGCCTTTGCTTACAAGTAGTCACTGTTATCACAAAAAGATGCTATTTTTAACTATTTATCTAATCAATAACTTGTATATTACTACAATTACAAAATAACAACATAGTAGGTACTTTCTTTTGCCAAGTCGGGGAGCGCAATCAGTCATGAACTGTACAGGTTGTAACCTGCTCACCAACTGCGCTTCGTACAAAGTTTGCAAGCGAGGTGAAAGAACGCATCCCGCACAATCGTACGATACTTAGCCCATCCACTTCCGATGTAAAACTAATGAGTTAATCTCGATTTTGTAACCCGCACAATTGTATTGGAGCGGTCCGAAAGGGATAAAAGCGAAAGTAACTCTGTCTGTCTTGCTTTCACGCCTAAAACACTGAACAGATTTTAATGAAATTTCGCATAGAGATAGTTTGAGTCCTGGGAAAGGACATAGGATAGTTTTTATCCCGGTTTTTGAAACAGGGACGCGCGATAGTTTTTCTGTGACAGACAAAATTCCACGCGGGCGAAGCCGCGGGCAGAAAGTTAGTTACTAATAATCCCGTTCACCCCTCGCGGTACTGGTAAACTAAATGTGCTTGTGTTACGAGTGGGTTTCCCATAATAGCCCAACCCGCGTTCCTCGGATCACAAGTCGGACAGTCCAACACTTTCACCGTTCGGGTATTGTCGCTTCAATTGAATGGTTAAATGAAAAAGAAAACAAGAAAGCAATGGGTTCTTTAATTTTTCCTATCAAATCCGGTGCCGATATCTTATTCCAAACAAAATAAGTAAGGCGATTANGGCCCAGACCCGTAAGAGACATGTATCTCGTAAAGTGCCTCGTACCAGTCAGCAGACGTGCGCAGGTTCGCGCGGCGCCCACAGCGGGCAGGCGGCCTCAGGCGGCGGCTCCTCGACGTCGGCGCACCGCCGTCGCACCATTTTGAACAGAGTTCGGAACTTCTCGGTGTCCGATAGTGTTGCCTGCGGATCGAAATGAGATGTAGCTTCGATATGCAATTCGAGTGAGTTGAATACAGAGTTATTTGAAACAATTTGTGTTGGACGTTCGGCGCATCATGACAATTTTTTTAATTTTAGCAATTTGTAAATACAAATTTATACTACTAATATTATAAATGCGAAAGTAACTCTCTGTCTTGCTTTCACGCCTAAAACACTGAACCGATTTTAATGAAATTTGGCATAGAGATAGTTTGAGTCCCGGGAAAGGACATAGGATAGTTTTTATCCCGGTTTTTGAAACAGGGACGCGCGCGATAGTTTTTCTGTGACAGACAAAATTTCACGCGGGCGAAGCCGCGGGCAGAAAGTTAGTTACTAATAATCCCCTTCACCCCTCGTGGTACTGGTAAACTAAATGTGTTGTTGTGTATAATAGCCCAACCCGCGTTCCTCGGATCACAAGTCGGACAGTCCAACACTTTCACCGTTCGGGTATTGTCGCTTCAATTGAATGGTTAAGTGAAAAAGAAAACAAGAAAGCAATGGGTTCTTTAATTTTTCCTATCAAATCCGGTGCCGATATCTTATTCCAAACAAAATAAGTAAGGCGATTATCATACTGCACCGCGCTCCGCCGCGGTACGCGAGACGACAGATTTAATCATTGTATGCAAGTACCTCAGTTTGTATAGAAAACACGCGCGGCACAACACACTGACAACGCGTCTGCGCGCGGGATTTTTTATATGTAATCACACGGCATTTGGCTGAAACAACAACAACAACAACAATCACACGGACCGCGGCGGATAATCGTCTGATAGCCTGACTTCTATTTCTATTATTAATATTTTTAATGGTTCAAAAAAGAAATGTAAACCATTTTTCGTTTTCACTTGTTTTGTATCTCACCTCTATCCCTATAGCCAAGATAAGGTGTATGACGGGTATGATGAGCAGGTAGACACGGAACATGGTCTGCGGCGCGTCGCCGGGCGCCGCCTCCACCACCTCCATCTGGCGCGCCGCCCACTGCCACGGACACAGAAGAAGCATCACCACGAACACGGCCTGGCTCAGCAATGTTATCACCATTGCGTCTGTGAAAGAAACAATAGGGATGTTTCCTGGGTCAAAAAGCAAGAGTTTTAATTAGTCCGTCAGTTAACTTATCAAAAAATACTCTACACGTATTTTTCACTTTTTCAAACTAATGAAAATTTAAAGAGATAAAGCTCGCCAAAGTTCACAAGAAGAGGCCCGTGACGTCAATGCGTGCACAAAAGTGCCGCACGTTGTGACGTCGTGCGGAACTTCAACGCACCATAACTATTTAATTATTTGTTAGATTGACAAATAAAAATATATGTGTCCAATATTGTTTGATATTAAACATGACGGACTAAAAAAATTTTTTTAGGAAACTAGCCTATTCAATGAGGGCTATCGTTTTAGCGCTCACCAGTTAGCGCCACTGTAGAGTAAGGTCCTGTCACTTGCTAGTAGCGAAGACAGTGGCACCAACTGGTGAGCGCTAAAGTGGTAGGAGGACTATCGCATTTGCACTCATCAAGATGGCGCATCTCCCTCAAGATTTTCAGGTTGGGAGCGACCAGCGATAATTAGAGGTGTTTGTATAATACAGGTATAGACGTCCCTAAGACACCCTACGACTGCTCCGAACAATAGTGATAAAGTTCTTTTGAAACAATGCTCAACGATATCAGTACCTAAATGCCGATTTAAAAATTAATGATATCCTAGTGGTTTCTCTGTCAAATTAAACAAGCTGTTAAAAGATAAGAAAACTTACAATTATTAAAGAAAGGCTGACGGAACGGCCATCCTTTAGCGTACACGCACGCCATTATCAAATACTGGAACGATGAAATTATAAATATCACTGTGTTCTCCCAGCATCTAACTTCTTCGACTTCTGGACCCCCAACGACTGGCACAAACCTAGAAAAAAAAAAAAGAAAAAATAATGTCAGTGACCTAATATAAAATCAACGTGCAGATCGAGTCTTGATGACGTACCCCCTTTACTAATAAAACTTACACGCTCGTTGAACAGTGTTTTAAAGTAACGTTTTGTATGGAAATGTCACTTTAAAGCAGTGTTCAACAACTGTGTAACTTTTTATTAGTAAAGGGGATAACATGTAATAGAAAAGTTACGTATAGTAAAAACCTAATAGGCTAATATTATGTGCAATAAAGCTTAAAATAAATACGACTACGACGTCTAACGTCATTAGGATATTTCGGCACTCACCAAGGCTGCGCGTAGAGCAGGTAGATCGGTGCCAGCTGCATGACTAGCACCAACGATACCTGGAGGAAAAGATTAAACACTAAAGAAGAACGGTCACGCCCCATACAAAAAAAACCCAGACCCGACAGAAACGAGACATACCTCAGTTTTTTTGTCATGTCTTAATTAGTAAAATTATATATTTTTTATATTCGAAATCTATGTATAACACCTAATTATTACCCTTTGTTTTTGTTCAGGCGCCATACAAAAACTAATACAATAGCCTATTTATCACCAAAATTGGTAAATGTATGTACCTAAATGTCTATTACAGCTGCTATGGAATGTGTCTAGGTGACCTGGAGATACAGCCGGATTATACAGGGTGGTTATACATATGGAACCATAAGTGATCTCACTCGATTATTTCTAAACTATACAAGATATCGAAAAACTAGTTACTGATTCTGAAAGTGCTTCACGAGCTCTTTCAAATGGTGCCAATAATAGGTTACAGATTATGGAAGCTGGTAACATTGAATTTTTGGATTTTGTAACTTCTCGTTTCCACCCTGTATAATCCGGCTGTATCTCCAGGTCACCTAAATACATTCCATAGCAGCTATTTAGGTACATACATTTACCAATTTTGGTGATAAATAGGCATTTTGTATTAGTTTTTGTATGGCGCCTGAACAAAAACAAAAGGTAATAATTTGGTGTTATACATAGATTTCGAATATAAAAAATATTAATTTTACTAATTAAGACATGACAAAAAAATTGAGGTATGTCTCGTTTCTGTCGGGCCTGGGTCACAGATGACCGTTCTTCTTTTAATACTCAACTTGCATTTATAACGTTATTTTTTTAACGTAAAATAACGTTAGTTTACGTTACAATAACATAAGCCTGTAATGGTGCGCACAACGTCAACCTGATACTTTCTCCAGAACTGTCATCTGGTTACTGGACATCGGTCAATGAGGGCTATCGTTTTAGTGCTCACTAGTTAGCGCCACTGTAGAGTAAGGTCCTGTCAGTTGCTAGTCGCGAAGACAGTGGCACCAACTTGTGAGCGCTAAAGTGGTAGGAGGACTATTGCATTTGCACTCATCAAGATGGCGCCACTGTAGAGTAAGGTCCTGTCAATCGCCAGGGGTGCCAACTGTTAAGTATAAAAACGATAGCCCTCATTGGACAAAGATTACTAAAATATTTGGACATACTCCACTAAAATTCGCGTAGGGTCACCACTAAAACTCGCGCGGGCAGCATGAGCAGTGCACGCGAAGAAACAAGAACGAGGAAACTCTTGGCCAGTGTTGTCACCTTGATGGTTTACACCACCAGAATTGGCGCTTTGTCAAGGCTCTTGGTGGTATATTTTCATTACCTAGCGTTTAATTTTTCTGGTGGTTTTTAGTGGATTTTCAGTATTTCAATGTGGAATTGAATACGTTTTTGAAAGGAAAACCCGCCATCGTTCCGGAATTTGTAGCTTATGCTTATAAAACATTCGCTTGTATATTTTCCGCGAATAAAAGTCGTTCGCATTTCAGTTTGTAATAAATCTAGCGCTTTAATAAAATCCGAGGTGGCAACACTGCATATCGCACCCGCTCTGTGCACGGATCACATTACGCCGGATGCCGGATCCCACAAGAAAGTCAAGTCAGTTTACTTTAATCAAAATATGCGAGCCGAGAGGAGCACGGGCGAGTTGGGCGAAGGACAGATGCCGGTGAAACTCGTTCATACTGCTGAACTTCTGTTCGATTCTGCCGGAACTTCGCAGTGACAAAACATCCACTAGCCCTTTCGGGAGTTTTAGGCCGGGTTCCCACTATGCCGGACCGGCATTTCTGCCGGAAACCGGACACGAGTGTTCACATTACACCGGATCACCGGATCCGAAATCCGAGCCGAATGAAGTGCGGGGAGCACGGGCGGGGAGGGTGGGCCGCAACTCGTTCACATTACTCCGGTCCGGTGATTTTGTCGGCATTTTGTAGCGACAAAACGCTCGGTAAAAATGCCGGGCTCGGCGGAAAAGCCGGATCCGGGATAATGTGAACAGCTTCATACAATTTGTACCGCCGCTAGGCCTTCCGGCGATTTTACCGGACCGGGAGATTTGCCGGTCCGGCATAGTGGGAACCCGGCCTTACCGTTCCGGCGTAGTGGGAAACGGGCCTCAGATGTCCTGGATCGGCTTNATACAAAAGTCAATTTCTTAAGAAAGCTTAAGAATAACGAATAAAATAAAAATAAATGTTGAGCTCCATACAAAAAAAAAGGAAATTGTCAATAACTTATTAAATAATAACTTTATCAAGAAACGTTACATAACATAAAATATTCCTTTTTGGTAAAGGAACACATTGGCATATTAATTTTTTCAAAATTAGGCACTTGATTTTTGAGCGACGCTAAGTCTATGAAGCTCTAATATCAGCCCACCGTGCGCCGCGGTACGCGAGACGACAGATTTAATCATTGTACGCAAGTACCTCAGTTTGTATAGAAAACACGCGCGGCACAACACACTGACAACGCGTCTGCGCGCGGGATTTTTTATATGTAATCACACGGACCGCGGCGGAGCGCGGTGCAGTGTGATAATCGTCTAATAGCCTGACTTCTATTTTTATTATTAATATTTTAAATGGTTCAAAAAAGAAATGTAAACTATATGTCGTAAAATTCATTTGTTTTGTATCTCACCTCTATCCCTATAGCCAAGATAAGGTGTATGACGGGTATGATGAGCAGGTAGACGCGGAACATGGTCTGCGGCGCGTCGCCGGGCGCCGCCTCCACCACCTCCATCTGGCGCGCCGCCCACTGCCACGGGCACAGAAGAAGCATCACCACGAACACGGCCTGGCTCAGCAATGTTATCACCATTGCGTCTGTGAAAGAAACGGGATGTTTCCTGGGTCAAAAAGCAAGAGTTTTAATTAGTCCGTCAGTTAACTTATCAAAAAATACTCTACACGTATTTTTCACTTTTTCAAACTAATGAAAATTTAAAGAGATAAAGCTCGCCAAAGTTCACAAGAAGAGGCCCGTGACGTCAATGCGTGCACAAAAGTGCCGCACGTTGTGACGTCGTGCGGAACTTCAACGCACCATAACTATTTAATTATTTGTTAGATTGACAAATAAAAATATATGTGTCCAATATTTTTTGATATTAAACATGACGGACTAAAAAAATTTTTTTAGGAAACTAGCCTATTCAATGAGGGCTATCGTTTTAGCGCTCACCAGTTAGCGCCACTGTAGAGTAAGGTCCTGTCACTTGCTAGTAGCGAAGACAGTGGCACCAACTGGTGAGCGCTAAAGTGGTAGGAGGACTATCGCATTTGCACTCATCAAGATGGCGCCACTGTAGAGTAAGGTCCTGTCAATCGCCAGGGGTGCCAACTGTTAAGTATAAAAACGATAGCCCTCATTAGTCCTCATCATCATCATTTAAGACGGGACGTCTACTGTTGAATAAACAGAATGGAAACGATAAGTGATCTTACTCGATTATTCAATGTTTCCAGTTTTACGATATTTTTTTAGTTTACCTACGCGACTGTACCAAATGTATGGAAGCTGGAAACATTGAATTTTCGGATAGACACAGTTTATTCTGTAACCTATTATTGGTACCGTTTGAAAGAGCTCGGGAAGCACTTTCTCGATCAGTAATCAGTTTTTAGATATCTTGAGTAGTTTGGAAACGATCGAGTGAGATCACTTATCGTTTTCACCCTGTAGATCTCCCTCAAAGATTTTCAGGTTGGGAGCGACCAGCGATAATTAGAGGTGTTTGTATAATACAGGTATAGACGTCCCTAAGACACCCTACGACTGCTCCGAAACAATAATGCGCCAGAGTTGAGACTGACAATAGTGATAAAGTTCTTTTGAAACAATGCTCAACGATATCAGTACCTAAATGCCGATTTAAAAATTAATGATATCCTAGTGGTTTCTCTGTCAAATTAAACAAGCTGTTAAAAGATAAGAAAACTTACAATTATTAAAGAAAGGTTGACGGAACGGCCATCCTTTAGCGTACACGCACGCCATTATCAAATACTGGAACGATGAAATTATAAATATCACTGTGTTCTCCCAGCATCTAACTTCTTCGACTTCTGGACCCCCAACGACTGGCACAAACCTAGAAAAAAAAAGAAAAAAAAATGTCAGTGACATGATACAGGATTAACGTGGAATAGAAAAGTTTCGTAGTAAGAAAGAACCTAATATCATGTGCAATAAAGCTTAAAATAAATACGACTACGACGTCTAACGTCATTAGGATATTTCGGCACTCACCAAGGCTGCGCGTAGAGCAGGTAGATCGGTGCCAGCTGCATGACTAGCACCAACGATACCTGGAGGAAAAGATAAAACACTATTTATTACTGCTGTGTACTATTACACTATAACTTGCATTTATAACGTTATTTTTTTAACGTAAAATAACGTTAGTTTACGTTACAATAACATAAGCCTGTAATGGTGCGCACAACGTCAACCTGATATTTTCTCCAGAACTGTCATCCGGTTACTGGACATCGGTCAATGAGGGCTATCGTTTTAGCGCTCACTAGTTAGCGCCACTGTAGAGTAAGGTCCTGTCAGTTGCTAGTCGCGAAGAAAGTGGCACCAACTTGTGAGCGCTAAAGTGGTAGGAGGACTATCGCATTTGCACTCATCAAGATGGCGCCACTGTAGAGTAAGGTCCTGTCAATCGCCAGGGGTGCCAACTGTTAAGTATAAAAACGATAGCCCTCATTGGATAATGATTACTAAAATATTTGGACATACTCCACTAAAACTCGCGCAGGGTCACCACTAAAACTCGCGCGGGCAGCATATGAGCAGTGCACGCGAAGAAACAGGTACGAGGAAACTTTTGGCCAGTGTTGTCACCTTGGTGGTTTACACCACCAGAATTGGCGCTTTTTCAAGGCTCTTGGTGGTATATTTTCATTACCTAGTGTTTAATTTTTCTGGTGGTTTTTAGTGGATTTTCAGTATTTCAATATGGAATTGAACACGTTTTTGAAAGGAAAACCCGCCAACGTTCCGGAATTTGTAGCTTATGCTTATAAAACATTCGCTTGTATATTTTCCGCGAATAAAAGTCGTTCGCATTTCAGTTTGTAATAAATCTAGCGCTTTAATAAAATCCGAGGTGGCAACACTGCATATCGCACCCGCTCTGTGCACGGATCACATTACGCCGGATGCCGGATCCCACAAGAAAGTCAAGTCAGTTTACTTTCATCAAAATATGCGAGCCAAGAGGAGCACGGGCGAGGCGGGCGAGGCGGGCGAAGGACAGATGCCGGACAAACTCGTTCACACTGCTCCGGTCCGGTGATTCAAATCATTCTGGGAGTGGGTAGTCAATGCGAAAAAACGCTCAACGGTTGGAATGTGCAGGTGTCAAAATGTCCATACGGACCGGCTGTCAGTGTGGCAAAAAGTATGAACGTCAAAAAGTCCCAGTGTCAAAATGTACATTATTACCATGGTTACAATGGTTTAGTGATAAATGGTACACATCACAAAATACAAGTACAACAAAAGGTGTGATAGATAAAATGATCAACTGATATATTGTGCTCATGATTTAATTAATAAAATTAAATGTCAAAATGTTCAATGTTCTTGTAGTCCAGCCAATAAAGATTTTTTGGACATTTTTACCTTGATGCATTTAAACACGTGTTCACGTTAGCTATTATACAATAAGACGCTTGTTCGAATAATAATAGCGTTTTTTCGCATTGACTACCCACTCCCAGAATGATTCAAATGATGACAAAACATCCACTAGCCCTTCCGGGAGTTTTACCGTTCCGGCGGAGTGGGAACCGGGCCTCAGATGTCCATGATCTAACCTGCAGGATGAGCGGCAGGATGCTGGGCAGCGCGACGAGCGACACGGGCGGCGAGCGGCGCGTGAGCACGGGCCCGGGCCGCGCGCGCCCCAGCGACAGCGCCAGCAGCGTCGTCAGCACCAGGTCGATGTACAGGAACTGGTTGTTGCCCAGGATGGAGTAGAACTGCCGGCAAAAATAAACATTAGCTGACCGCTCTCTTTAACCGTTACACTTATGTACCAGAGTAAATACAAATGAGTAGGTCATCTTCATGGGAACGCACGGGCGCGGTTTGTATGTCAGCGCGCCAACACGTATGCGGCGCGCACGCACACACTGACAAAGTTTAGCGGTGGTTGCGCCGAATTTTGTCAGTGTGTGCGTGCGCGCCGCATACGTATATTGGCGCGTTCACATACAAACCGCGCTCGGTGCGTTTCTATGAAGATGACCTCTTCATTTGTATTTACTCTGTATTTACTAAGCCACGAATTGAGCAAAATTACGCCCGATTTCTACCAAGGCGGAGCGGAGCGGAGAAATGTTTAGAACAACAAATCAGATGTCTTTCAGATTTAATGGGCCTTACTATAAGGTTCAGAACTCATGAAGCAGTTTTTACCTGCACTTGCGCAACTTCTGTAGAATGCAGATAAGAAATAAGTAAAAGCACATTACAAGACGCGTTTTACGCCCGAGTTATGCGCGGTTCGTTGTAATGCCCGTAGTTTATACACTGCGGGTGAAAATCGCTTCGTGAGTTCTAAGCCTTAAACTCAAAAAATAATAATCATTTCATACTTACATTATACAAAATGAGAATAGAGAAGAACTGTATAAGCGAATAGAGAGCCATATACTTGAATATGGCGAAGGACGTGCTGAGAGCACACCGGCCCTCCAGCGCCAAAAGCTTGACGCAGCTGATGTTCTGCACTTGAGACGTGAACGGCGCAGCCACTGTAAACAAAAAGTTGTCATTTAGAGACGATGTTCTCGAACTTCTTTCTTATTGGCTGAAGACCGTTTAGCCTTCCCTTGAAATAGCTGTACACTTTAGAAAGATGTAGTAGTGGTGGTAACTAGTTATCTTACAAAAAAACAAACAAATTTCCACATAGAGTTCCCACCATTGCAACTCCTGCGCAGATAGGATCTACAACAACCGGCAATAAAAAGTAATAAAAACTCAACCAATGAAGGCACAGTTTGTACCAGGGAAAGATAAACTATCATTGGACTAGCCCAGACTTCACCAAAGCGGAGATGTGCGGAGATTTTCAAAGCGTAGACGAAAATGTTTTTTAGCTAAGGTGTGTCCACCGAAGCTGTGCAGTGTCACTACACGTCGTCAGCTTGCAAGGCACATCTGGCTATTGCACTCCGTTATCTCGTATTAGCTTTGGTGGAATCCGGACCTAAGAATCGACTTCTTATCGCAAGGCTCATGCCGTCTCGCTCGCTCACCTGACGCATCGGCCTCGGAGAGCGAGATGCCAACATGCGCGGCCTTGAGCGCGCCGCAGTCGTTGGCGCCGTCGCCGCACATTCCCACGATGAGGCCCTCGCCTTGCAGCGCCGTGATGAGTTGGGTCTTTTGATCCGGCCCGAAGCGCCCGAATACCAGACCTAAACAAACATTATGAAAACTTCCAACTGTTTACTTTGAACATTTACTACGCTCGAAATTCGATAACTCAAGTATAGATCCATATTTAGCTTAGTACGAGGGGCTAACGGGACTATTAGTAATTTCTGCGAAACAATTTCAAATCAAACGAGCAAACGGATGACCTGATGGTAAGTGATTACCGCCGCCCATAAACACCCGTAGCTTCGGGGGAGTTACAGGTGTGTTGCCGGCTTTGAAGATATTTAAAATATTATAGTTATGCGAATATCAGGCCACCCCAAACTGTTGCGTGAGTGTAGACAAAATTACTATTCCTAGGCAAAAATAAGAGGCTAGTAGAGGAAAGTTAGACTGCCGAACTCCTGCAGTTGAAACTAAATAAATGGCTTGATGATGATTCATATTTATTTAGGTATTTGATTAGATGCAACTCACCTTTGCTCAACACAGCCGGTAATAGTTCAGGATAATGGGCTCTAATAACAGTCCAGGTTTTGCCTTCCATCGCGAGAACATACGCATCCATAGACATTTTTGGGGGGCAGCCTTCACCAACCACCTGACAGAAAATCATTACATAAAGAAACATTGCAAAAACAAAACTTTATTAAATTAAATTGATACAACTAATAAGACACCTGTTAGCGATTATTCAAAAACATTAAATAAATATACCTCCATGTTGAGAGGTGGTCTAGAATGGTCAGTTTGCTGATGTCCGACTGTGATCAAAACCAGTTTTTGGTGCGGCTGAACCATATAACAACCCCGCGCTACCGACATTGCCGTCATTATGTTGTCCCCTAAAATTAAAGAAAGAAAAATTAGGACTTAGTCACAAGATTACTGAAATATTAATCCCAGAAAATATCTCATGCAGCAATATAAACTACAAAACCTAATTCTAATTTTAGCCTTATATTTATTTTAGTGATGTATATGTAAAAATGTATATGTAAAAACTAATCAACGTGAATCGCTAAAATGGCGCTAAATTGACTATAGTCTATCCAATATAGCTTGATTAGAATGACAGCTATCAAACGAATGTGACTAGTGCTGGGTATGTTTCGTACGGTTCACATAGATGTATCGATAAGTTTTCGAAAAAATGATATAAAAAAATGCACCCAATTTTTCTTCATATCTTTATTCATAAAAATGACAATTATAATTTAAATTTAAAGACAGTAATATTTAAAATAATCATGTCAAGGGTGTACAACCCAAGTCGTAGTCATTATCATCAGTGTTCTTCAGTGGTTTTTTCCTCTCGCTAGAGGGCGGTGGGCATCTCTTCTAGAGCAATGGTGCTATGAATACCCAAAAAAATACCGGTGATTGATTTCCAATGTTTGATTATTTAAGAATGAAATGTTTTTTGGTTTTTAATAGTGAACATTTAGATAAACGTATAACTTGACTTAAATATGTTAAAAAATTTGTTAGAAAAAAAAAATAGTTAAATATGTTAAAAAATGAGGATCATTTCGGTTTTTAGCTGTGAATGCAGATTTATAGGGCTAAGAAATCCTTAATATACAGTCCAAAAATTTTTGTTCTACGACAAAAATTGACGAAGTTATGGCCAAATTACTAAAAAAGTTCACTGACCGCCCGGCGCGGGGACGATGACGTCACTATATCCGATCCGAACGCTGCCGGCGTACTGCGTGGATAGAAAAAAAATTTTTCTAGCCAAACTGTCAGTTTTAGAGAAAAACTTGTAATGACATTTATTCATCAGAATAAAGTAAGCTATCGATAGGTAATTTTTTAAAATAGAAATTGTGAAAAATATCGCAAAAAATCCATACGCTCATACGATTCAATGGAACGCGGACACGCGATTGGGGTCTCCGCGGTGGTATATTTGGCGATTTATTCAAATAAAGTGTTCATACCTAAGTGTTGTTAGTCATATTGGTCATATCTTCTTCCAAGTAAAATATAAAAATGTATAAGTATTAATTTATTTACTTCTAATAATAAGATAAAGCTGAGGCAGATACACTCTGCCTAGGCTACAAGCAAGACATTGTTATGAAGATCATTTCGATGTACACGCAATACCTACCTGTTATTTAGTTTTTCTGAGTTTATCCTACTACGTACCAACCTATCTATTCGCCGTTCCCATGGGCGGGCCAGCTGCTGCAGGAAAGGACAGCTGCTCCCTCCTGGAAATTATTTAATCTTAGCCTAGAAGCTGGGTATGACTCCCCCGCCCACCTCCTCTCCCCAGGTCATAAACCGGGCATAACTTCCCCCTCAGCCAGAAGTTGGGTATGATTTACCCCCCCCCCCCCCAGGCCAGAACCAGAACCCTGCGNTGGATTGTGGTATATCATTTGAAAGGTAATTTTGTTAGCTTTCAAATGATATCAAAAAGATTTAAATAAGTTTCTTACCTAAATTTAGGAAAATATTTCAATAGGTCGAAGGACAAATGGACGAAAACTAATCTACAGGGATAGCTAATTTTGGTTTTCGTCCACCCCAGTGCTTGCTCGTGACGTCATGGACGAAAACACAACAACGTTTAAAGCTGTTTTTTGTTTTCGTCCACATTTTTTTAACGGTTTTTATGGGTTTATCACTGTTAAAAAGTGGACGTAAACTAAAATGTTTAATGTAATAGCAATAAAGATCATATTGGAAGAAAAAACATTGTATTTTGTAGGTCCATTGAAGTAAAATGATTATTAAAAATATTAACTAGACGTCAGGGTTTCCGTCCACGTGGACGAAAACCAAAATCTTGCAAAATTGTTATGCTAGTATTAGTCCCCTTAATTATCTAAGATTTCTATACAAAAACTTTAATAAACCCTTAAAATAGTGTTTATTATGCTAATAATTAGACATACGTGCCAAAAACATTACGTAAAGTAGCTAAAACAGTAATTAAACATACCATGAAAGTTCCCTACCGGCACGTTTTTTTTTCTAACTTGACGACGTTTTCCATTGACCTGTGTGCAGCAGCAACTTCCGTAGATTTTTTTGAAGTTATTACTTGTCCAATTACATTTTCATGCAGGCAGAACTGTTAGTTAGATATTGTAGATTGTAACAAGTCCAAATTTGCACGGAAAGTTAGGTTTGTATTCTAATTTTCCGTATTTGTTTGTGGCAAGTCAGTCAAATGGACGAAAACAGGAGCTGGACGGAAAACCGGCGCAATTACCCTAATTATTCACTGCAATAATCACCAACTATCTGAATCGCGGGGTGGGTCATGTCAGGTGGCGGACGCGGGCGGTACGAGTCTTAAATAATTATCGGGGATTCCCCGTTCAAAGGTAAACGACGGAGTAACCAAGTGACAATGTTGCCAAGTTATAAATTGTAAAATAACCAAATATTCGTCAAATATCAAAATACCCAGGTTATATTATAATAAAATGATATTACTTATTTAAGGAATTTGTTACATGTATACAGATAGAAAAACCGATTTAAATCCGGGTTTCGATTTTTAAAACCGGTTTTAGAATTCGTCGAAAAAGGGCGGTTTTTCCGATTTTCAACCGACTTCAAAAAAAGGAGGAGGTTCTCAATTCGACCCGTATGTTTTTTTTTTCTATGATAATAAAAATAAACTTTTTTAAAAACAAGCTTTTATTCTGAATTTCGAAAGTTTGTATCGCGCATGGAATTTATTCCTCTTTTTCTCTGTTTGCGCTACAAGCTTTCGAAATTCAGAATAAAAGCTTGTTTTTAAAAAAGTTTATTTTTATTATAATTTTATTTTACACTTTTTAGTTATATCTTAATCTCAGGACCCTGGACGTTATCTAACACTAAAGTGCTCGAAAAGACAAATCCAACGAACCCAAACTCGATGAGTTTCCGCCGTTTTGTTTAGGAGTTCCTATGGCCACCTCCCGACTCCATCATCAGACCAGCTCAATGGTACCATAATATTGCATTGTCATCGGACTTACACATGTATGCAAAATTTCAGCTCAATAGGAAACCGGGAAGTGGGTCAATTTTAAGTTGCAAGATTTGACGACAGACACCAGACATGTGAAAGTAATAAAAAGCTTGTAATAAGTAAAAGCACATTACAAGACGCGTTTTACGCCCGTGACATACGCGGTTCGTTGCCCGTTGTTCCTGTACACCGCGGCGGGCGCAGGTGAAAATAGCTTCGTGATTTCTTAGCCTTAAACTCAAAAAATAATAATCATTTCATACTTACATTATACAAAATGAGAATGGAGAAGAACTGTATAAGCGAATAGAGAGCCATATACTTGAATATGGCGAAGGACGTGCTGAGAGCACATCGGCCCTCCAGCGCCAAAAGCTTGACGCAGCTGATGTTCTGCACTTGAGACGTGAACGGCGCAGCCACTGCAAGCAAAAAGTTGTCATTTAGAGACGATGTTCTCGAACTTCTTTCTTATTGGCTGAAGACCGTTTAACCTTCCCTTGAAATAGCTGTACACTTTAGAAAGATATAGTAGTGGTGGTAACTAATTTTCTTACAAACAAAACAAACAAACTACCACATCGAGTTCCCACCACAGCAACTCTTGCGCAGATAAGATCTACAACTTAACCGACATTAAAAAGTAATAAAAACTCAACCAATTAAGGCAGAGTTGGTACCAGGGAAAGTTAAATTATCATTGGACTAACCCGGACTTCACCAAAGCGTAGACGAAACTGTTTTTAACCGACTTCACCAAAAGGAGGAGGTTCTCAATTCGGTTGGTATGTTTATTTTTTAGGGTTCCGTAGTTTTTTCAGCTAAGGTGTATTAACCGAAGCTGTGCAGTGTCACTACACGTCGTCAGCTGGAGTGAAGTCGAGATGTTTTAATAACGAAATTCTATTGCACTCCGCTATCTCGAATTAGCTTCGGTGGAGTCCGGACCTAAGAATCGACTTCTTATGGCAAGGCTCATGCCGTCTCGCTCGCTCACCTGACGCGTCGGCCTCGGAGAGCGAGATGCCAACATGCGCGGCCTTGAGCGCGCCGCAGTCGTTGGCGCCGTCGCCGCACATTCCCACGATGAGGCCCTCGCCTTGCAGCGCCGTGATGAGTTGGGTCTTTTGATCCGGCCCGAAGCGCCCGAATACCAGACCTAAACAAAGATTATGAAAACTTCCAACTGTTTACTTTGAACATTTACTACGCTTGAAATTCGATAACTCAAGTATACAGGGTGTTAGGTAAATGGGTATATGAGCTGACACTAGCCCATGTTAACATGGTCATATAAATGGTATAGTGAAGTCATAAAATTGATATCTTAATTTTAATTATTTTAATTTTCATACAAATCGGATTTTATAAAATTTATTTTGTATGAAAATTAAAAAAAATAAAATGATGATATCAAATTTCTGACTTCACCATACCATTTATATGACCATGTTAACATGGGCTAGTGTCGACTCATATACCCATTTACCTAACACCCTGTAGATCCATATTTAGCTTAGTACGAGGGGCTAACAGGACTATTAGTAATTTCTGCGAAACAATTTCAAATCAAACGAGCAAACGGATGACCTGATGATAAGTGATTACCGCCGCCCATAGACACCCGTAGCTTCGGGGGAGTTACAGGTGCGTTGCCGGCTTTGAAGATATTTAAAATATCATAGTTATGCGAATATCAGGCCACCCCAAACTGTTGCGAGTGTAGGCAAAATTACTATTCCAGGCAAAAATAAGAGACTAGTAGAGGAAAATTAGACGCCCGAACTCCTGCAGTAGAAAGTAAATAAATGGCTTGATTTTTTTTTATCCACAACGAGGATGCTCTTGGCCAGTATCTCACCTGATATGGTAAGTGATGATCAGGCCGAAACAGGAAGCGAGCTTCACTCGGAATCCTCAACCACGGAGGAACTGGCTATCTTACCTCTAATTGCCGGAAGACAATAATGCTGTTAACATTGTTGTTATGGCGACAGACTTAGGTAAGACGGTGGTAGCTAGCCAGGCGGACTCTGTCCTAAAATCTGTCCCACTGGAAATCGAACCCGGGACCTCTGCGTCCGAAGCAGGTGGTCTTACCACTAGACCACAGAGGCGGTTAAAGATGAGATGATGAAATTTAGGTATTTGAATAGACGCAACTCACCTTTGCTCAGCACAGCCGGTAAGAGCTCAGGATAATGAGCCCTAATAACAGTCCAGGTTTTCCCTTCCATCGCGAGAACATACGCATCCATGGACATTTTAGGAGGGCAGCCTTCACCAACCACCTGACAGAAAATCATTACATAAAGAAACATTGCAAAAACAAAACTTTATTAAATTAAATTGATACAACTAATAAGACACCTGTTAGCGATTAGTCAAAAACATTAAATAAATATACCTCCATGTTGAGAGGTGGTCTAGAATGGTCAGTTTGCTGATGTCCGACTGTGATCAAAACCAGTTTTTGGTGCGGCTGAACCATATAACAACCCCGCGCTACCGACATTGCCGTCATTATGTTGTCCCCTAAAATTAAAGAAAGAAAAATTAGGACTTAGTCACAAGATTACTGAAATATTCATCCCAGAAAATATCTCATGCAGCAATATAAACTACAAAACCTAATTCTAATTGTAGCCTTATATTTTTTTTATTGATTTGCACAAAAATTGTATATTATGTCAAAAATAATCAATGTGAATCGCTAAAATGGCGCATTGACAAGTTCAATAGATAGAGAATTCCAGCAAGCTTGTCTTCTACAAGACTTCATGGGATGTGTCATGAAACATTATTGTTTAGTAAATAACTCACCAGTCACCATTATCTGCTTGATTCCTGCATCGTGCAGTTCTCTAATAACTTGAGTGGTCTCTGGTTTCAGGCTATTTTGCATGACTAGAAAGCCTAGGAAACTCATTTCGCACTCAAGCGCCTCCCTTTTGATCCTTTGAGCGTCCACCCACTTCATTTTGCGGTCCAGCTTTTTGTGGGCGAGGCCGATTACACGAAACCCGTTTGACGTGTATTCATTTAACACAGAACTAAAGTTCTCAGGCAGGGATTCGGGCTTACACATACTGGCAACCTAAAAAGGTAATTCAAATATAATATAAGTAATTTGAGTAACATTTTTTTTTATTAGTACTTCTTTGGCTGTAATATGAAATAGGGTTATGATCACTGAGACATTAATGCCCGTTTACACCATAAATCCCTAATTTTTAAGCGACCCCTTTGAAAATAAAATTCATGTTATGTGTTGCCATAGGAGTCACTTAAAAATTAGGTATTCATGGTGAAAACGGGCAATTCTCTGTTTCAGCCGATTTTTATCCCATTTCATATTACGAAACTGGTGTCTATTGGCACGGATTATACGTGGGATTTGTTCTTTTAGTGATTACCTTTTCCGGTGCACCCTTGACGAAGTACACCATTTGCGGCTGACCGAGGACTCGAGCGATGACGCCCATCGACTGCTGCGACGACGAGAAGTGGAAACGCCGCAGCAGACCGATCTACACATTACGGGAAATCATGGTTACACATGTTCACATTTTCCTTTCGGAGTTTTCAGACAAACATTCCTAGAAATAACAAAAAGAATTGGGTAATTTTAAGGCTTGATTTTCTCGATGTCGGCGGCGCATACAAATACACTAGGGGGCGTAGTGTGAGGTTACTTCAAACGCATTCGATATCTACTGCATAAAATGTTACCGTTAAATCGATAAAATCGCGCGGTTGCACCGTTTCGTGGCGCGCATTCTAGACCCACAGTCCTCTTGTGGATAACGGTGTTGGTTGTATAATTACTTAACTGTTTACATAAGGTTTGAATTGTAATTTTTATTACTTATACAACTGTTTGTTTTCCTTAATAAAATAAAATAAGTGTCATTAAATGTACGCCAGATTATACATATAGCGCCCCTAGTGGAAACTTTCAAGAACTAATCATCATATATTTTTTTAACGCAGTCGATATCGAATGCGTTTGACGTAAACTCACACTACGCCCTAGGTCTATGAAGCACCGCACTGCAACGCCGTCGTGAGCAGCAGATGATTATATTCATACGCGTCGCCGACGTCCGCTTAAAAGGAAATCAAGCCTAATGACAAAATAATTAATTGAATCATATGCAGCTTGATACTACTAATATTTTTATAAGAAACCAATTTTCGATATGAAACTATCAATTTTATGTAATAAAATTTAATGTAGAGGGACTCAGACGGAGTCTGTACTGAAAGGTACACACCATACGTATCCCAGAAATTATCAATATTTGACTCAAAGGTACACAGAAAGAAATCAGCGATCGCCTTAGAAATGTTGTAGTAATATTTTGTAACTTGTATTATTGTTACCTCATAAGGAACCTCCATAGTAAACGGGTCATAGTCCACATTCTGTAAGTCGGCATCCTGGGAGGTGGCCGGCTTCACTATGGCGGGCGTCAGGTTGTCGAACCGAGTGTTCTCGGGCCCCGGCTCTTCGAGTACCTGTCGAGATAGCGCAACCATTACGCCTTGATCATTGCAGTTACGTAGTTTATCTGTTATCGCGCAATTTTAAAGCAATCAGATAAGGAAATATTTTACGGTGATAAATCAATGTGAGATATAGTAGGCAAGAATGTGCAACACCTTGTTTGGAGACGATCACCGTAACCGCAATACAAATAAACGCATGACTCACTTCGTTTTTTCTAAGCAAACAGCATAATCTATTCTAAGAATGGAATTACCCGAATGGTTTTGTTTGAGGTAAAACGAGTGACCACAATAAAATGAGTAATCAGAGCTTGTCAAACTTGAATAGTTTTTGTCTATTCGAAAAAAAAATATGCGTCAAACTAGCTTTTGGAGGCGGCTTTGCCCGCATGGATTTAGTTCTGTCACATGTCATTGGACCCGAAAAGAAATTAAACGGAAGAACATAGGAGTTCGAAGTTAAGGTTCGACTTCCCTCCAGTGCAAAGCGGATGACAGTTTGTCCTGTCATATTATGTATGTATGTATATGTTATTATTTTCGATTTATAAGAATAGTTAGTTGATCATCCATGTAAATCTTACCCATTGCGTGAATTCGAACATTTTCAGGTCAAGCGGATCTCCCTTTAGTTGTCCTTGAATGCTGGTGAGCGAGTGGCAAGAGGCAAGGGCTTGAACCAGAGGGCTTTTAGCTGGCAAGTTGTTGACGTCCACCACACACTGGCCAAACTTCTCTTCGGCTTGCACTGGTATTACTGAGTAAAAATCTAAGCCATCTTCGGTTAGGGTTCCAGTCTAAAAAAATATTTAAATTAATTAAGAAAAAAAGTATATTACTTTAAGTGTAGGCATTTATTTGTTTTCCGTTATATTTGAATTACGTATTTATGAAAATAACTGAAGGAAAAGTTTTCTTTTTTCATTCAAAGGGACAATATGATGTTTTTGGAGGGGATTTTAAATAATAGTATATAACTGGAGTGCAAATTTATTTGATGTACTTTTTGTTATCTAAATTATTTGTAAAAACTAATTTGTATTCTGTTGCTGTACCTAAATAAATAAATAGGATGTTTTACCTTGTCAAAGCACATGACTTGCAATTTCCCACACATGATAATCCGGGGCGGGGACACACAGAATATCTTGTTTTTGCGCAGGCGCTGTTGGCTGTACACTATGCCAGCTGTCATGGCGGCCGGCAAGGCTGGCGGGACCACGATTGTTATGATGTCGAGTGTTCGAAGGATTATTGTGCCGACTGGACTCTATAAGAGAGAAAAATAGCAGTTAGCAAATAGTCTAGCCCGTTTTACGAATGAGGGACCAAAATAGACTCAAAATCAAGCTTTAAATTCAAGTCTTGAAGAAGTTTATTGACCTTCAATATTTAGAACAATTACAGGATTCAATCTGGGTACAGTCCTATCAACTTAAGCTGAGAATTGCATTTGTGTGAGTGATCGCCAAAAGTACCGTTAGTAAAACACATACAAATAAAATTAATGTTTTATTAAAAGGAAGTCTATAAAACACTTACTACCAATTGGGCCGATGTAACGACACTTGACACATCCTTTTAAATAAATAAATAAATAAAAACAGGTTCTCGCTCAGCATATGCCAAGGCACGAAGNGACCACGATTGTTATGATGTCGAGTGTTCGAAGGATTATTGTGCCAACTGGACTCTGTAAGAGAGAAAAAAACAGTTAATAATTAAGCAAAGGACCCAATTATGAAGAATGACATCGGACGGAAAGCTAGTCAAGAATATTCAAACGTTAGGTTACTTTTCAAGAAAAAGGTATTTACTTAAACATAATCATTCTAATGGTGAAAGTATTTTTCAAATCAGTTCAATACTTTCGGAGCCTATTCAATAAGTACAAAGAAAAAACCAAATCTTTCCTCTTTATAAAATTAGTGTAGATAAAGTACGTATTTAACTGTGAAATACTAACCCCTCTTAAAACATACAGCCAAATGGAATAGGCCATCCCAACAGCGGCAATACAGAACATGAACATAACGAATTTCACTGCGTCGTTATAGAACTGGAAGCCCAATTGTTTGGGGAACAGAATGCTCTTGATGAGTTCTCCCTTCGCCGTGTAGAAGCCTGTTCGGACAACTTTTGCTAGAACCTAAAAAAATACATTTGATTAGATACAACAGTAAAGATCAACGCATAACTGTGTCTGAGGTATGGGGGCAGCACGGGAAGGTTGACATAACTGATATAAAATAATAATATGTCGTGATAGAGCATACAATCAGGCCTGTTCATCTCCGCGAGTTTACATCGAAAACAAAACACGCACGATGGCCCACCTACAGTATACTATTATTTTTAAGTTGCCTCAAGACACTGAGTGGTAAATAAGTAGTTAATATTATTCATGATAATTCATGCTAAATCATGTATTTCCTCCGCCATTTTCCGCAGTTTGACACCTCAAGTTACATCATTTTACCGAAGTCAGCCCTATAGCTTCGGCGCACTGCCGATCACTGACGTTTGTCAACAAAATGGTGCTTGACTCTTGAGACAGGCTAAATTACACCATATTGTTAATGACATTGAGCATACATTTTTTTAAATACCTTCGCGAAGTAAAACTTCTGTACGTAGTACTTATTATTATTCTGTGATACAATATAGAAGCACATTGAAGTCTAGCTGACGTTTTACGTTACAAAAACACCCTTCCGTGCCGCTCCCATGCCTCAGACACTGAATCAGTTATGCAGTAGACCTTTAAAATAGTATTATATGTAGAATTCATAGAAGTGGCATTAACCTGATTATTGCCATAGAATCGCGTTTGGATGACGTGCGTGCCAGCAAACAGTGTATATCTTTTGTGTAATTCGGTTGAGTATACCTCCGCCGTCGCGCAAGGGGGACCCTTCATTACTGGTACACTTTCACCTGTAAAAAAATTAAAAATAAATAAGAAAGGGCGTCTAAAATAACACGCAGGAAGGTGGCATAGTAACGATTTTTTCTGGGGCACACAAAATTTCTCTATGTATAAACAGGGCAAAAAAAAAAACAATTTTGGGGCGATTTATTATGTCTTACTTGGCCTCCCGTAGCCTAAAATATGTTCCAGCAGAAGTGAGTTACGTCACTATTCAAGCTTCCTACCGCCACTCGCGGGGTTTCCGCAGCACGGTTAGTTTATTTTGCTTATCAATGTGTTTGCCTAAATGTGTACTAGCCTACCAGTGAGCATGCTTTCGTTGACTATGACGTTTCCCGTCAGCATCATGGCGTCGCAGGGCATGACGCAGCCGTCAGGTGGCAACACCAGCACATCACCAGGCACCAGCCGACTGGCATTCACTACGCACTCCTCGCGCGTGCCGCGTGACGGACGCAAAACTGTCACGGTGAACGCGCTCGTAGAGCCCGCCATTTTGTGCAAGTTGATGCTCATCTGAAAAGAAAATAGGTTATAAGACTCAAAATTAACAATGATAACCATAATTTTAACCATGTGATCCAATCACAAAGCTAGCTTTGTCAGTAAAACGTGTAGAACCGCGTTTGCCAGAAAACGTTTGTTTGGTCTTTTAAAAAGCATAGTTTAGAATTTTCAAGTTATTTTTTGGTATGAGCCTAGGCGCAGACCACCGACTATTAGTTGGCCGATAGTTGGGCCCGATTCTAATTTGTAGAGTCGGCCGATACGAAATCGGCGTAATGAGCGCACTTCCATACATGTCCATACTGATTAACTGCCCGACTAAGCTATCGACCGACGAAAAAACAATAGTCTGCACCTAGGCTTAAGGAATGTCTAGGATAGTCTTATTTATTACCATTTTGTGACTTCATCAATTCATTGGTATTCCACTAACCTGTTTTGTCTGGTATAATGCCATCATGCAAGATATAGTAGACAACAAGAAAACGCATGATGCATATTGATAGTATTCATCCAGTGACCAGAGGATTATGGAAAATACTTGGAACAAATAAAACGGGTTGAAGACTTCATCCACAAACAGTGTCCAGTAGCTTTTAACTTCAACTTCCACTGAATTGGTTCCATATAACTTGATCCTGAAAATATAAATTAAATAACTATCCATACCCCGCCACAAATACTAGTTTGCATCTGATTACATTATTAAAATTTTAAATCAATGTCCTTATCAATATTCTGACCAATTATTTATTACGGCTGGCAGCAGTGGCCACACAATATAACCATTATATCCATGGAGTTCAATGAATATGAATAAAGTAGATAACACACAGTTAAAAGCTGTACTTTAACTACAGTTTGACTATACCACTTGATTGAGCCCACTCGTAACACAAGCTTATTTAGCTTATCACGAGGGGCTAACGGGACTATTAGTAATTTGTGCAATACAAATTGCTAATAATCTTTTAAAAAAAATACATATAAAACATCGTTACGAAATGTTAAGTTCTCATTTTTTTTAAATTATGATTTATTCCCAATAAAGATATAATTACTCACAATTCATTTTGCTGACGTTTGTTTATATAATCTTTTAAAAAATACATACAAAACATCCATAGCTGGGCACCGTTAATCAAATAGTTAACTTCGTTAATCGTTAAACCGTTAATAAAAAAATTAACTTCGTTAAACGTTAAAACGTTACATTTCGGAAGATTTAACGCAAGTTAACGTTAATCGTTAATCCGTTAACACGTGATAATAAAACGAAAAAAAAAAAATTGTATTGCATACAACATCATTGCGTATGGAATTCGTTTTAGTACAACTGCATTTCAGAATAAAAGTTTTTAAATTTTAAATATTATACACTTTAGTTGTATCTCAATCTCAGAGCCTTGGTACAATTACAATACAATTTAGCACCAAAGTGCTCGAAAAGACAAATCCAACAAACCCAAACTCGATAAGTTTCCACCGTTTCGTTTAGGAATTCCTATGGCCACCTCTTGACTCCATCATCAGCAGGACCCTGGACATCATCTAGTACTAAAGTGCTCAAAATGACAAATCCAACGAACCCAAATTCGATGCGATTCCGCCGTTTCATTTAGCAACCTCCAGTCCAGACTCCATCATCAGACCAGCTCAGTGGTACCATAACATTGCATTGTCATCGTACTTACATAAGTATACCAAATTTCAGCTCAATCGGCTGAGGAAAACTGGTCTTAAATTCAGTTGTAAATAAATAAAAAAACCGGCCAAGTGCATGTCGGACTCACGCACAAAGGGTTCCGTACCATTGATTTATGGAATTAAATTTTTTTTTTTTTAATTTAAGTTATTTATATGAAAGATTACACGGTAATAAGCGGTTTACGATTTACGAGGTATTAAAAAAAACTACTTACTAGATCTCGTTCGAAACAATTTTCGTTGGTAGTTTTTATAGTAATGTACATCATAATAATGTTTTGTTTTAGATTTTTCATTTTCTTATTTTAGAAGTTAGAGGGGGGGACCAACTTTTTTCCACTTTGGAAGCGTCTGTCACGCAAACTATTCGGTTTAGAAAAAAAGTATTTTAGAAACCTCGATATCATTTTTGAAGACCTATCCATAGATACCCCACACGTATGTGTTTGATGAAAAAAAAAGTTTTTGAGTTTCAGTTCTAAGTATGGGGAGCCCCCAATATTTATTATTATTTTTGCATCAAAATCTTAATGCAGTTCACAGAATACATCTACCTACCAAGTTTCAACAGTATAGCTCTTATAGTTTCGGAAAAAAATGGCTGTGACATACGGACGCACAGACGGACAGACAGAGTATGACGAATCTATAAGGGTTCAGTTTTTTGCCATTTGGCTACGGAACCCTAAAAATGGATTTTTTATATCGTTGAGTTGGTGATCTAGTTACAAAAACTGTTGTTTTGGGTTCTGGAAGTTCTGGAAGCCCGAACGTACTTGTCAGAACGCATTTTTCAGCGTGTCTGCTGTATCTTTTTGGTAAATAGTAGGTACTGGATTAACGATTAACGGACTTAGGATAATTTAACGGGAGTTAACGAGTCCGTTAACATTTTTTAAAGTTAACTTAAAAGTTAATCCGTTAATAGAAATGTTAACTTCGTTAATTATAGATTAACGGATTAACGAGTTAATGCCCAGCTATGAAAACATCATTACGAAATGTTAAGATCTCATTTTTTTTAAATTATGATTTATTCCCAATAAAGATATAATTACTCACAATTCATTTTGCTGACGTTTGTTTATACCATTTGCACCTTCCATCAACAAACTGAGAGTAAGCTTCTCGTTAAGCGCCAAAACATTGATGAAAGTTCCTTGTTCGTGCATCCAAATGAAGCGGGTGTGTTGATAAATAAAAAATCGCAACTTATTGTCTTTTTGGTTCGAAAGGTTCAGGTCAATTTCTTTTACTTCTTCTATTTTGAACAAGCCATCGGCGTCGGTAACTAAAAAAGAAATAGTGAATAATAGGAAATTCGCTTAGAAACGGGCAATCGTCGTTAAAGCAACATTCACAGAATCTGTGCCAAAACTTCAAGGTAAATATATCATCTAATTTTACACTTACCACAAATGTATTCAGCCGTTTTCAAACTGCATTTTATGTATTTGAGTCTGTTGTAGGATTGATAGTAGGAGAGAGCAAAATATGGCAGTCCACATAGTAAAATGCATGTGCTGTGGAATATGATGGCTCTAACTTTGGAATATTTGAAGCCATATATTTTGATAACTTGCTCATCACCACTGTTCTCTAAAGTCTGCCATTGCCCTTCACCAATGACTTCATATTCGTCTGAAAATACAGAAAAGGTCTACACACAAAACCGGAGGTCACTGTTGGAATATGGTGATTGCATTGTGTTTGCATAAGTATAACAAATTAATAGTTAGTCTATCAATACAGAATTTCTATTATATTTGCTTAACTTTTTCCTTAAAACTTTTATGTGGTAAATCTTAAGGAAAACCTGGCTTTTTTCCTGTCTGATTTTAATCTAAGATTCTTCAATCTTCAATCACTGAACTATTATGGTGATTGCAGGTTCAGTATACAGCCCTTCATGCCTAGGGTTGCTAGGTCCAAAAACACAAAAGCCGGACTCTGTGCTTCATTTGGCCGGTCATTTTACCCTAAAAGCCGGAACATACTTTTTTCAATATTAGCGTCATAGCTATTATCTTTTAATGAAAAGGACAAGCCCCTAAAAAACCAAAAATGTCCGGCTAAAGCGACTAAAGCCGGACACCTGGCAACCCTATATCATGCCAGCACAGGCATAGGAATAATACAAGCATTATATTATGGCTTACCTAGACAGTTAACAATATTAACATATTTTTACACTAGAAATAACTAATTTAATCTTTTAGTTCAGACTCAGGCAATCCATCAGTGCAATATCACCTCTTAACCAATCAGTTAAAAATGTGTTTGTATTTGTAAGACGTTCTTGAAGGAAAATGTATTGATTTTTTTTTATTTTAAGTATAATTCTAACGGGACTTTTATAAAACCAAAATACACTCATCATCAGCAGAGCCACAGGAAATGCTGTGTACAAATACAAAAAATGTCTACTGATCTTAAACATATGAATTAGTAATTATAAATGACATCAGATAAACAAACAGACAAAGGACAAAACTATTGTAAATAACTGCAAAACTGATAACAAAAAATGATTTAAAGCATATTCAACATCACAACATCCCATATTATTATGTGAAAAGAAAATTTATCAAAACAAGGTGGTGCAATAAGTATTAGCAAACACATATGCCATTTCCATATTAGTAAAAATAAGCACACAAAATGAAATACTATTAAAAAAATTACAATAATTACATGAAAAAGGTAATATAAAATGTATAGTATAATTTGTGTGTTTGTTTTTACCCCAACAGGACCCCCGGCAAAGTGTATTTTTTAAATTATTCAAAACAAAAATAGGTGAAACATAAATGATTGGGTATTAAATTATGCACAGTGCAAATAAATGTAGCAGATGATATGGTAACAGTTAAGTATTACAATCCATGTCACAAATCATTTGTCTGTGAATCAAGCAAGCAGAAGGGTCTTTAATGAAATTGGGCGGTCACTGGTCAATTGATTCCAATTTAGTATGATTGCATTGCATAACGTTTGGTCAACTTTAAATTGTGGAATATTACCATTAAGTGAACACCAACATAGATAGTTTTATGTGCACAGTAATTATTTTCAAAATGTATAAGTAGTGCAAAAAATAGTGCAATAGGAATATAATAAGAAGTTATAGTAATTCCATGTATGTGTGTTTGTCTTGTTGGTTGTCCTAATAAATAAAATAAAAAATAAAAATAAAATAATGGGAAATATTTTACAATAACATAATAAAATTAATCTATGAATAAAAATACTATTTTGAACACAAAATAATGTTAAAAAATTACAATTATTGACATGATATTTAAATAAAAAAGCTTTGATACTTAAAACATTTAAAAAAATTAGGGAAAAAAACAATAATTTTCAGGCCACTGATATCATTAAAAAATGGTATTCAATACAATTTTACACGATTAAAGACAATGTTATAACCCATGGTTATAACCATGATATTGGAACATTAAATGAAGATTATAAATTAAGTTTATTGTTTGTTCACAACTATTAATGATAGTTTTAAATAGTTAATTTGTTGTTATTTATTTCGCAAAGATTGTTAATTTCACAGAATGTGAGTCACAAGGTATTTAATCAAGTGCATGTAACTTACCACAGGCGACGATGGCATTGTTCATGTTCGATACTGCCGTAAAAACTTATTGACCTCGAATAACACAAAAGCCTTAAGGCATATTACTTAGATGTTGATTAAATTATGTATTAACCGGTGCTACCTCATCGCATTGATTATTTTATTAAGATTTCACAAAATGAAACCGCACTGCTCACATCACACGAATGAAACAGAATGACAGATTGAACTTTTAATTTAAAAGGTAGGTACGTACCAAAGACACGATCGTAGTTTTTTTAAAATTGTATATGGCGATGAAAAGAGTAGGTTAAATTGTATAACTATCATGTGTCCTGGGGTTTAGCTTTAAATTTGAAGCACATTATTTGCAACTTAAATAAATACCACCATCTTATTTTAGATTATAACAAATCATTTTATCTGATGGTAGCAATCAATGATCAAAATCATTTGTTGTCGTTTCAAGCCATTTCAACTTACATTTCAAGCCATTTCAAGCTCATAAAGTAATTTATGTATTCTTAGCTTTATATCATAGACAAAAATGGCACGAGGTTTTACCTTTTCACGCCAGATGGCGTGTTGTGTTGTAGTCTGTGGCTATGGCTGGAAAATCTTCACGACTTACGTCAGGAAAAGCGGATGTTATTGATTTGGCGCGAAGGGTGGCAGAAAAACCTACAAATAAATAAATAACTCTTGAAATATAAAATTAATTATGTCTCAGGCAGGTTTATCAAGCTTAAAATCAGAATACTTAGAAGTTGGTGAATACAATTTTTCTTGGCCAGGAGAAAATGGAACATTTCAAGATTTTGGGTCTGTAAACTACACTATGCCCTCAGGTAAATAAATGATTAAAATGTGTTACAATTTTAATACTAGCCTTTTTCCAGCGACTACACAAGCACTAAATATATTTTAAAACTGCAAAACCTACTAACCGGCATATTTTGAAATTATTTTAAAATGTAGGTATTAAATAGATTTATTTAGTTAGATCACTTTGTAAATAGAATGTTTAATAACTTACAAAAAATGTTAACAGGTCCGTGGTATTGGCCTTGGTGTCCACTATGGAAAATTTCGCAACATCCACTCTTTCAAGTAAGTGCGCCGTAAACGAAGTATAATAGGTACTTACTACTTTTAATTTATCCATTGCATCGGTATAATTAATTATGTTTATCATAATTATACACAGTGGCGGGGCAAGACCTAAATTTGATGTGGGCAAGACAGATTTCGCGAGGCCTTGTTCTGTGGCGACCTGAAGACGGATTATATAAAAAAAAAAACGGGTCAACGGTCTATTCATTGACAGTTTCTGATTTCGTGATTCAGTGATTAATTTTAAAGGAATATTGCGCCAAAGAATAATGTTCGTCACTTAAAACCGTGTTGTTGCTTAATTTTGTGTCTGATTATGGCTGAATTTGTTTGAAAAAAAATATATTTTTTTAACTACATTGTTTAGCTATCAAGAATTTATATTTAATAGTCAATGTTTGCATTTATTGTCGTATTGTGATATTGTCATCTCCACCTTGTACCTATACATTTTTTCAAAATTTTTGATGCGCGAGGCCCCTTGTTCCGCGAGGCCGTAGGCGGTGGCCCACGTCGCCTACGCCTTACGCCGCCACTGATTATACAGTTACACAACATGTCCTTACATTAAACCTACACCTTCATTTCATTTTGTTTTAGCTCTCAAATATTTTATTTGTGGCCTCTTACTGTGCGCCGAGTACGAAAAAAGGCCAGCTTTGGATGCACACAATATTGATATTTGGTATGTAAAGCATTAGATTCATTATTTGAGAATGAAAATAATTTTGCACTTAGTAAAATAATTTTATTTTAAAGTCTCAACTGGGAAAATGTATCCTGACTTTTACCACAACATTCGATTGTAAAAAAGTATTACTTGTCTACATTTTTTTCGGTAGGAATTATTTATATTATACTTATCTGCTTAGTTATAATATGTAGACTATACTATTAAGTTGTGGCATTTTGCTAAGTTACGAGTAACAACAAAAGAATTTGGCTCTGAACTGACTCACAACAATAACATACTCGTAATAAGTGAGTGGCTCGTGAAAGGCCTCTTTGTTGCTTCTGTTATAAAAATCGTTATACTTCGCATGAATTTTCTTGGGTCATATAGATCCAATCTTATAAGGAGCCTGATACCGAAATGATATTATGTTCTTAAAATTTTTCTCAAAACTAACAGTCTTAAAAATCTCTTTTTTTTGCAACGCGTCGTTAGACACCCCGCTGACTACCTACAAACATTTTGTCGGCCAATAGTTCAGTCCGGCTGTATTGGTATGAACGTGTATGAAAGTGCGCACATTACACCGATTTGGTATTGACTTATTCTTCATACAAATTAGAGCCGACCGAACTCTTGGCCAACAAAGTCTGTAGTCTGCAGTATGCTGGGTATTTTCCACTTTGATCACCTTGATTTGATCACCCAGGTGATCAAAGTGAACTCCAGGCGACACTTTGGTGTCCTTTGATCACCTAAGAATAAAATCACCTAGGTGATCAAATTGAACTTCTTATCCATGCCATGGGTGATTAAAGGTAGCCTTTCGAAGTGAGCGTCTATAGCGTCCATTAAAGGTAGTCTTTCAAACTAAGCGTCACAGACGCAGCGTCTTTAGCTTTGGTCTTAAAGGTAGCCTTTCGAACTAAGCGTCACAGACGCAGCGTCTTTAGCTTTGGTCTTGTGCCACCAACGCCGCGTCACTAACTCGCTTGGAAAGGTTAGCTTTAAGACCAAAGCTAAAGACGCTGCGTCTGTGACGTTTAGTTCGAAAGGCCACCTTAAAGGTAGCCTTTCGAAGCGAGTTAGTGACGCGGCGTTGGTGGCACCAGACCAAAACTAAAGACGCTGCGTCTGTAACGCTTAGTTCGAAAGGCTACCTTAAAGGACACCAAATTGTCGCCTGGAGTCCACTTTGATCCCCTAGGTGATCAAATCCTGGTGACCAAAGTGACCTTAGGCAGAGTTGCACCACCTAACTTTGACCGTAACTATGACGTTATCCGGTGCTTTTTGTATGGAGTTTGACAGATTTTTAACGTTAGTCAAACTTAAAATAAGATGGTGCAACCCAGCCTTATTGTTATGTAACTGTTATAAGTTTTATCGAATAGGTTTCATGCTGTACTCGATATGGGCGTGGCACGTGATTTGTTCCCCTGACGCCTTTTCGTGGAACTTCGGTTTTGTGTTCCTGAACCTGGCGCAAGTGGTGTACCTGGTGTACGAGATGCGCCCCGTCAAGTTCGACCCGGAGCTGGAAGAAGTGTACCATACTTTGTTCGAGCCTTTCAAGGTAAATTATTTATCTCATAAACCTTTGTTTTTCACCTGTCATCCGCTTTGCAATGGAGGGTAGTCGAACCTTAACTTCGAACTCCTATAATATGTTCTACTGATTAATTTCGTTGCGAGTTGGGTTTCATGACAGTTTTGGGTTTGGAGGACTGTTGTGGACGCCCTCTGCCCCATCTAGGGGACATATGACCTTAAGTCAAGTCCCATGACAGTTTAACTTTCCCCCGGGACTAACTTGACCTTCACTGGTTGGGTTTTTATTGGCGGTTAAGCTGTAAGATCCTGGCTACACAGGAGTTGCAGCGATGGGAACTGGAGGTGGGAATAGTCTAGTTCTGATAAATGTTTGTGTGTTTCGTGATAATACTCATCCTCAAAATACGTGTTTTTGCAATAATATGATAATGTTTTCCCATCAATTACTTTTTATATAGCCGTAAATGAAAATTGGATAGGTATAGGCACATTAACACCGCTTTTTAAGTAGCTACCTACACTTAATTCAAACTTGCAACGGCCAGCTTCTAGTGCGCTAATCACCAGGCTAGACGGTCGTACAATTACTTAACTTACGTGTTTCTAACGACTCTATATTTTACAAAATACATAAAATTTTGGCCGAAAATAGCGCTTGTTAGAAATTATTAGCAAAATGGCGATCGCCATGGCGAAAACTTTAGCATGTTTTCGGCGAGGACACGTTTGCTAACTTTAAAAAAGTGACGTTTTCTCATACGTTTTATTAGCAGTGATAGCACTTACCGCTAAAAGGACGCCATTTTTATTACTAGCGCTAGCTAGCGCTATATTCGGCCAAACCCCCCTATTGCTTATACCATGAAAATGTTTATGTTCATCTCATGAATACATAGAACTCGTTAGGTGTCTAGACTACAGTTCAAGAGGATGGTGTCGCCGGATTTCGCGCACGTGATGTCTCTCCACGCCGGCGAGGCGTACGCGATGCAAAACCTCACCAAGACCGATCGTCTGGGATTACTGCTTTCTGGGAAGGTGAGAAGATTTAGTTCGATGTTACTTTCCTGTATCCATTTTATTGTTTTAAACTTTCATGGTCACTAACAGAATAATTATTGCTAATTTCTTAGAGAGAGGGGGTAGACGTCTGCCCATAACATCTCACCCGCCACTTCCTCAGTTACTCCGTAATCATAGCGCTTGCAACAGTGCCGAAATATCGGTGACTCGAAATTAAGGTACAGTCGACAGCACATCAACCTTTACATTTTTGTTGCAAAATAGCCTGTATTATAATGAGATAAGACGCCACTGTGTTTAGGTGGATGTGCTGTCGTCCGTACATGTTAAAATTTTTTCCTGTATCCAATTATCTTATTTTAGTAGAATTTGCACAGACTCTTATAAAACTATTCTACAATTTCGAATGACGTATTTAGCTATCTATCCTTACCTAATAATACGATAGCCAATGGATTTGTATTCAAGACAGGTTGTAATCTGCATACATAACGTAAGAGGTAAAACCTCAACACAATTTAGCCTTAGTAGTTACTTATTCTTCTGAGGACAATAATAACATTTCCTTTTATAAAGGCTTGCCGCTCGTTGGCTTTTTAATAAACTACAATTTACTCTACCGGGAAATCCATTTGTCGCGTTAAAACTGATGTTATCCTCTATGCAAATGAAAATGTTGTATTCTATAGTGACAGAGCCAGAGTTAAAAACAATTTTGTCAGTGCACGTGCCAATGTTTGCAATGAATTTCTATGGCGAGGCTGGCGCCTGCCTAACGGTGGAAACGTGCTTATACGAGTTCATTCATATCGAATATATTTTATAAAAGACAAATATTGGTTTTTGAGCAGGCATTTATGCGGGAATGAACATAAATAATAGTCAAACAAAGCATACCTACTCGTTTTTGTTGTGTTAATAATTTATTTCACAATGTTACATTATTTTATTCATAAAATAAACAATACATTTAACCAAAAAAGTATTTTAAAACAACTTCCGAGGAAAATACAGTTGAATTTATCCTATAAAAATATTTATTCCCCGTCGGTAGAGACAAATGACATGCCGCTCACCAATTCAGGTCGTAGCTAATTTGATTACGTGTAGCATTTATTGTTCCGTGTTTTACATTGTAGAGCAATTGTAGTTGGAATTTTGTAATTAACCTTTTTAACGATTTTAATCAACAGGTAAACGTAATGAGTGGACATCAGTTTCTACACCCCATTTTGCCATGCGAATTTTTGGACTCTCCCGAGTTTGAATCAAGCAGAGCCACTATTGATGAGAAGTTCAAGGTTTGTTTACTATTTTAATCATCATAAAATAGTGTCTCATCCCTAAATTCACTTGCTCTTCTGAACATTTGAGACATAAACTGAAAATTCTTATCACTCATCCTTCTTACTGCACAAATAATCCCAGCAAGCGTCTTATTTTCCACTGAAATGCCTTGTTGAGTAGCAAGCGTTGTGAAATGAGGCAGTGGGCTAAGAAGCGCGGTCGGGTGGCAAACTGATGGGCCCATTATTCAGGAACGCTGTGCGGCGTTCAAGGCATGCCAAGACCCAAGTCCCTATCTAAACAAAGCTGTGTGAAGGCATTGTGTGATGAATACTATAATGAATCCATAGATTCCAAATCGTATTACTTGACCTCGATAAATATTTATTACCTACAAACCTACTTGGTGGGGGCACGGCAGTGCCCCCACCAAGTCGAGCAAAAAAGCGGCATTTTACTTACATTTAACGATTTATAAAGTAGGTATATAGTATATTGTCTGTTATTCGGATCTAAAAAAATAATTTAGCAGAATCGACACCTATTTTTATCCCGATTGCGTTACTTCCAATATGAACTAAGTTGGCTTTACAGAGAAAAGTTCGAAAAAATAAAGAGAAAAACATGGAATGACCGATGGGTCTTTAGGAAATGCGAGATGCCCCATTTCCTTAGCTCAGAGAACAAAATACCTTAATAAACCTCACTCAGACTAAGCAACGTTTATCTAAACTCAATAAAATGGACATAAACGCAAAAGGTGAGACTCACTACACACTCGTAAACTAAAATTGGATCGTGCTTAACTTCACCTTTCCCCTGATTCATGTGTTTACGAATGCAAATTAAGTAAAGTTGCAAAACCTACTTCCTTGGGATTGTTTCCGCAGTTTTACGAAGTTAGGGAACTTGACGTTATTTATGGTTAATTTGTCAAATGGAGTTTTTGGAGTCTTCATTACAGAGGTGTCGTTGAGGTATGTTTTGCCTCTTTTGTAGTTTTAGGGCAGTGACAGTAACTTGAACCTCACAAATACTGAATAAACATTTTTTCTTTCTTTCTTCTTCTAAATAAATAAGTATTCAAGATGCAACATTGCTTATTTTACTTACTTCACAATCAGGAACATAGTCAAAAATGCCAATAAAGAAATTAATTTATCTACCTACTTATACATTTTCTTAGCATATTTTTGTAGCATACTAAATTATTATTTAAAAAAGAATATTATTAAATCTCTTAAGAACAAAAAAATTGGGAAACCGTGTTGGAAAAGCGAGCGTTATCTAATTAGATGTCAGTCAATTTCGAAGCAAAGCAATTTTTCCCATATCGCATTGTTTGTAAGAATCCAACAGCTTTTACTGAAATTAGGCGATCCATCAAGCACTTATTGAAACTTGAACACGAATTTCACGTGTATACGTCACCGCGCGCTTTGGCATTACCTACCCCCATTCGGGTGACCTAATTGTTGTCTGATATGGCTGTATAACAGCCAAAGTGGCTATAAATGCAAGAAACTGGGTTAAATATCGATGAAGTCTAAACACTCTTACGAAAACGGGCGGCTTGATTAAATTGCTTCAGTGCACACATATTTCACAGAGGCCTATTTTTAAGAATGAAAAAGGTTACTTATGAGTGCACCATTGTGAATAAATAGAAATTAGATTCATTAAGCTATTAAAAGTCTATTGGGACTATGTGAGACACATATTGGACCCCATCCCTTTAAAGCTCTAGATCCTCCTGAAAGTCCCAGTTCTATTTGTATTTCACCAGCTCCTTGCCAGTCCCCTGAAGATTGGCTACCTACTTTGAGCACTAGATCATGTGATAATATTTTTTATACAGGTATCAATCGTAGCCGCTTCATCATGCCGCTACGTATACTGGCAGCGTAGCTCCCTCGAATATCTGTTCGTGAAAGAGCCGTACCTAGCCTGTGTGGTGACCACACTGATAGCTCGCGACATAACCACGAAGTTATACGCGATGAACAACAAAATAGTCACCGAGAGAGGGTCACACTTGGATATACGGTTGCCTAGTATCTCCCATGCGTTGGCCCGCAGCCCTAGGAGACTGAGGTCCGCCTGCAAGCCGCCCCCTCCGACCACGGTGCAACCGGTCCCACCCGAGAAACGACCCAGTAAGTGGAAAATTAAATGTTTTGGCGGATACAGGGTGGTGATATACTTTCCTGCAATATTTTTAAGTCGCAGATTTTCCTCATCAAAACCTTTAGTATAAAAGTAAAAATAATTGGGTTTGGTTCGAGCTCTGACTTTTTTAACTTATCTTAATCATACGAAAATGTTAAAGCTTAATCACGAATTAAATGTTACCAGCCACATAAATATTGCAGTTAAATCTGAAAATCACCACCTGTCATGGTAGTTTTTTAAATGGGAGGTGAGAAAATATGTCTTGAAATCAAGATATTGCGAAATTACAATAGTAAAGTTTTCGTTTTCATGAACAGAAGTAGGATTCTCTCTTTCAGCCAGTCATCGTACCATCGGTGCGAAGTAAAGAATCATGAGTCTACTTAATACTTCCATTCTGATATCGTCTGATATCAATGGCTTATTTAAGGGTCATTAGGATATTTATTACAAACCATTACGTGGCTCGGCTCGAAATAATACCGTTATTACAAGGCTTTACGACTATTGAAAAACACTTTTACAGTGTAATATTTTGAACTGAATGTCGTTGACCGTTAGGTACCTATTGGTCTAAATGAAAAATTTTTACTTGATGATTTTCACCAATTCATTTATTAAATATTAAATTATTTTTAAATAACTCCTAACTGCAAATTTTCTTTTAAAGAATTTCCATGACTAAACACGCAAGGATTTAGTTTTAAGAGCGATTCTACCTATATTTATTACGAGTCNAGTATACCTACTCTATGTTAGGTCTTGTAAATTAAAGTAAAACTATTTTGTCTGATAGGCAACTACATAATTTATAAATCCAATAATAACGATTTACCTTTATATCGTTATAGATCTATTATCGCCTTCCCCTAAAGGATAAATCCTTGGTTTTTAGCGATAGAGCTCATGGTTTTAGGAGTTGTATTACTTGTGTCAATTTTTTGTGGAGTGCAATAAAGAGCATATTTCTATCTAGATTGCTGGACGCGAGAAGCTGACAGCCTGATGAGTGCGGTCAAGAGGAACGGAGTGACTGCTTCCTCATACGCGGGGGGTGACGAGGAGTTGATGCCGCTAGCAGCCAACGAGGCGCCCGCCGCCTCGTCAGACGACCTGTCAGTGGCTGACAGCTGCCCCGATACCTCGTCGAAGTACCACAGCTGTGAAGCCGTGGAAACTGACGATGAATTGAGGCATTAAATATTTCTTCCATTATGTGCTTTATAACTCTATGATTTCTTTTTAATTTTTAATACCCACAATAAAGGTCTAGGTCTGCAACCTGATGGAAAGTGATGATCAGGCCGAAGGCGGTTGCGAACCTCACCCAGACTCCTCAAGGAACTTTCAATTGACAACAATTACTAAAATAAGCTGTTTAGTAAAACATGTGTACTACGCCTACCCAAAATAACTACCAATTGAAGAAAACGCGAAAAGTTCTCAGATTAATTAATAAAGGACCGAAAACGTGTGGTAGGCATAGTCCTTCAGACTTGTTGAACTGACGATCTGGAGAAGATAGTGGGAAGCGCCAAACTGACTGCTACTCCTGAACATAAAGCCTCCTGGAAAACTCATTTGTAATTATTGTAGGTATTTCAATCCATTTTTTTATATTTGAAAAAATGCTACTCAATAAAATAAGTCCTAAAGCATTATTACCTATGCCGACACGTTATTTAAAAAAATATTATGTCTTACTTAATTGCTTCCTCCTTACATACAAGTATTACCACAGAATAAATTAAGTACTGTATAGGTACTTACTTTAAGTTGTTGTTTTTAATTAAAATAAGAAATTGTAGATAATCTTCATATTATATTATTAATATTATTGTAAGTGATCTACTTTATGTCGTTCATTTGTTTTTGGGACAAATATAACTACAATCTCAAGCATCGACAGGGCGTATGACGAGGCATGACTTGCGTTACATCTCTCAATGTAAGTTATTATTCCTTGGTATCAAGCTTCACGGCTTGCCATCAATCATTTATTTATAATAGAATATTTTTCTGAAAGTTTGTATGATTGCAAGTGGTTTTCGTTGCCCCTGAAACTTTGGAATGTAGAGTTATTGTAGTTAAGTATATGTTGTTGACTGATATCGAAGAATCAATCATAGTTATTTTGTTTGTTCTAATTAACTGTTAAGTAGGCAAATCTACTAAAAAATAAATGCATCTGACAAAATGTTGGTTTTCATTATTTTGTTACCTGTCTTGATATTTCTTTACATAGTAAAATACCAATTATACCTATTTTGCAATTAGAGAGATGTTTGAAAAAAGCAGGCGCAAATTGCAGCTTTCTTTTGTGCATAGCCTGCACCTTTTGCAGGTAATTTTGATACGAGTAAAATCTACTGTTCCTAGAATAGCGTTTTGTAAATGCTACAGAACACTGAAATTTAAAGAAATGTACATAATTGCATCTATCTTTAAAGTACAGAACAGGTAACTAAATATTACAAAAACCTAAAATACTTATGAGCTTACCTAGTGATAAATAGTCGCTATTTGACTTGGCTACTGCAGTGGGCAAGTGTTTTGCTAAAACAAACAGTTTAATCATGGTGAACAAAGAGCAAAACGTTAACTTCGTAGTCGGGTGCAAGTTTGGCGTGCATAAATCACCTTGGGCCGCGTTTGCCAATTTTTTGTCTAAAACGACGTGAGTGTCCAGTGAGCTTCTCAAAAAAAGGTTAGGTCTGCCCGAGCCAACCGTCTAATCCCTTACCATCTGTCGAATTAAACACATATACTGTGTCGTTTGGCGCGCGGACGCAGCCGTGGGTGCCAGGAAAGGCAGCAGATATCTGCCCCCGGGTGCCAAGCCCACAGATGCAGCCTACCAGCCAAATGAAGCCCATCTAACGAGAAGTGTGTTGGCGCGCTGCTTTTTGGCGGTGTCTCCTACGTGGGCGGCGGTGCACTCGCAAATTAGCTTTATTGCATATGGAATGGCTTACCTACGCCTGAGTACCTAGCTCATCATCATAAAATGTCTGACTACTGTAACAGCGAGTCGTTTGAGGATCTGTAGAATGACAATAATTATTTTCTATCATCTTTAATGTATTAAGTAGATTACAGGCTATCGAAAAGTACATCGCTTCCAAGCAATAAAACTACATATTTAATGGAATTATTCTTATGGTTATTTTATACAAAATTGTTAGGTAATCTTTTAGGAAAGTTGTTATTAAGTATTTTAGTAATCGCAAATGAATTGAATATTTCGTTATTCTGAAAAAGCACTCTACTTAATCAGGGCCGGATTAACCATCTCGGGGCCCCTAGGCACAGCTCGTTTCGGGGCCCCCCTTTTTTTTGTCGCGGAAGAAATGCTTTGCGCACCGTCACCACTGCCGGGGGACAGGGTTGCGTGTGGGACTCAAAAGGACGTATAGGACGGGTATACCCATTAAAACCTTCGCGGCGTTCCGTCATCGCCCAAGTGGGGTGTCGCGAGTATCCGGCCGTAGCCTTAGACTTCTGCGACACCACCGGCGACAGCTAACACGGCGGACCCTACACGCCCACCTTGTGGGGGGCCAACGGGAATGGCCCGAAACGCCAAGCAGTCCAGATGGAGGTGACAAGGGTGCCCCCGCACCCCCGGCCTGCTGGCCGCCACCTGGGGGGAGAGTAGAACGGTCGTACAACCGCCTTCTCCACCCCCTTCTCCGCCTGCGGAGCAATGAGGCGAGAGGATCGTACTTCCGCTCGCGCTCCGCTGCCTCTTTCTGAAGGATGACCTCTTCGCAAAAGGAGGCGACCGCCATCCAGCATCCTTCACTTCCCAGGCCCCAGCATGGCGTTGACCAGGCTCGGAAGCGAAAGATCCCAGCCCACGACCGCAGTGAGGACACGGCGCTACTCCTCCCTGCTTGTGCAGACCGCGAGGGTGTGCTGCACCGCCTGCACCGTGTCATCCGCCGCGCCACATTTGTGGCACAGCGGGGATTCCTCTCGCCCGATTATATGCAGGTACAAACCGAAGCAGCCGTGCCCGGCCAGCAACTGCGCGCGAGTCATGTCTTCCTTCCAGCGGTCGATCATGATCTCGCGCTCTTCCTGCCTGACGGCGCCGCGCCTAGGGTAGGTATGCAAAACCGAAAGTTTATCAAAAACCGATTTTTTTTCGGTTTCCAAGAAAAAAAACCGGTTCTCGGTTTTTAATCGGTTATTATCGTTTTTTTTTTTTTTCAACAACTAGTAGTTACCTACAGCGATTTGTTACGTCCTGTCCGTTTTGTGTTAGATTACATTATTTAAGAGAGGGTTATAACAGTTTTGATAAATTTAGCTTATTCATTAGGCATTATTATAGGCACATAATGCATAATGAATAAGCTAAATTTAACTCAAGGGATGGTAGTTTATCTCCATAGTACGTAATAATTGTCAACGAATACGTTTTTAAAATTCATTACTCTGTCGGTTTAGTATTTTGTTAATTACCACCATGTACGTAATGTACATCAAAAACGTATTTGTATACAATTACTATTGATATAAGCAATATCTTAAATTATAAAGTATAATNGGGCCCGGAAAGAAGAGGGCCTAAGTCTTCTCCAGCGCGACTTTCAGGCCGAGGCGTCGTATTCTGCGAGCGACTAATGTGCCGCCCGCCGACGATGCGACGCAAATGTGACCGACCAGAGTGTCATGCGCATAGCATATGAAACTTATGCCCGCAAGAAGGACGCCCCGGAGGAGCCAGTTGAAGCACAAGAGTGGACCGAGCACCGAACCCTGCGAAACCTCGCGTCGTTAGAACTGGCTGTCTCTGTTAACATACAGGACTTCGCGATTCCGTAAGTAATCGGCCAGCAGCGCTCGAAGGTACTGACACTGAGGCACTCTGTGATGTTGAAGTGCCTAGAGTATGGTGGAATGAGGGATGGTATTGAAAGCGTGCTATATCGAATGATACAGCCAACACACCCTCAGTCACCCCTCTCCCTAGCCTCCGCAGTGAGGCTTTTTAGCCTCTGAAGGGTGTCGACGGTCGACCTGTCATGTAAACCAAAGCAATGATGCCAACGTTACAAAAATGAATTAGGTTCCACAATATCGAAATAAATAATGACGATTGAATGTGTAAACCAAAATAAGACGAAGTTTTAAGGTGGTTTGAGTTTTGTTACATAAAAATAATCTTTAACATTTTTTTTTTTTAATTTTGTCGGGAGTGCTGGGCCCCTGGTCATAGTGGGCCCCTAGGCACTGGCCTAAAGTGCCTTATGGATAATACGGCACTGTACTTAATTATTATTGACTTACCAGTTACGTTGTACAAATAAACAATGCAAACATTTGGCAACAGATTTTCTGGATCGTGCGTGCATCGTTTCCTGTGTAAACTAGGGTGATTAATTTGCAGAAAGGTAGGTAAGTAAGTCTAAGTATAACTACTTTACTCGACTAGATTTCAGTTGCAGTCTAAAAATAAGAAATGCAGGAACTATCATAAATTTTTAGTTGGCCGATAGTTGTGCACGATTTTAAATTGTATGAAGAATCAAATCGGTGTAATGTGCGCACTTCCATACATGTCCATATTGATCAACTGCCCGACTAAACTATCGGCCGACGAAAAATCGATGATCTGCGCCTAGCTAGCCTAGTTTAGTGAAGATTTAGCAAAAGTTTTTGTTCGGCAACTGGACCGTTCTTAAAATTTTCGTGTCAAATTTCTTGTCGGCTCTCTAGTTGATCAACCGGAGCGTGTGAAAGCTCATTTGACGCCGGGTAGCCGGCGCCGGTTAGCCGGCAACCGGAACGTGTGAAAAGGCACTTATAGTTGGGTATAGTTTTTACTATAAAAAAAAAAACACACTGCAATCATTTAAGTTGATGCTTCCCTTGTTGTACCTACCCCTTATAAACAACTTCGTTTGCATTTGCAATAATGTAACAAGCTGTAAATCAACTCGATGAGAAAACCAACCATAGTGACGATTATAGCAGCAATACTTATCTAATTATTAAATTACGTTTTCATTACTTTTGTTAGATGTTCCTCATAAACACTGAGCTAAAGGTAAGGTAAACTAGTTAAAGGTGTGCAAACGTTGGTTTGCCGTACAAAGCGATCGATTTTACATTTACTACGTACACGGCCTAGATCAAAAGTTTGCCAATCATGATAGCGATAAGTTAGCGGATTAGACTTCAGACATGTTGGTTTGAAATGGAAATCGAACATTTGTTGAACAACGTTTCATTAAACGAAAGTTATTAAAGTAGTTAAGGTTATAGTTAAATGTAAGAACCTTGGCATGTAGCATCGAGCACATACTTGCCCAATATGGATGAAATGTCAAGTGGCTATCTAACTACAAATAGGTAGGTACTTACATAGTAATTTTATGAAAAATCATTGTCAATTTCGTAGATTACTTAGATGGCTTATAATAATATCATACCGCTCTACTGATTATGTACTCGATTGTACCTACCTAGGCACTTAGGTACTGTTAGGAAAGAATTTACGTACCTAATAATCCATTAGTCANATCCATTAGAAACCTTACGCATCAAAGGGACTCGGAATTTAAAGAATTAAGCGACACTACCTAAAAGATCAAATTCTGCCCGTAAGATTAGGAAATCCACTTGCCTGGTGGTCACCCCATTTTAATTGCACGACTACTCTTTATCTAAGTAAATGAGTAGGCGACCTTACAGCACAAAGGTGGTTCCACAATGCGATAGTGAGATTGTATCGGATCACCTGCAGTCCACTGTGGGGCCTACTGGTCAAGGCTAGCGCGCCCTGGCGCCCTCGCCGCCCACCGCCTAGGGCGATGCTTCCTTATCCGTACCATGACCAGACCACTACACCGCTCTATTCTTGAGCATTACGTGCGATTTACCGTTTCAAGCCTTATCTGATGGCCTGCGCCTTCGCTAACAAAGCACTGAATCTAAAAAGATCGATATGCTTGCCCGGCCATTATTGCAACGGTTCTTATCCCTTGGACGATAAACTAAATAATGCAATGAAACTCATTACAAAAAAAAATAGACAGTCTTTTGTTTTAATAAATTAATCCTATACTGTGATTGAAACATCTATGTATTACAAATTCCACGTGACAAACCTGTCCGATATCCAATAATAGGATGCCTCGGCTCATTCACGTAACGTCGATCTAATTATTTTGATATTATAACCCCGGCAGAGAATGCCATTTAAGAGGATTTTGGGAGATTCACTTATAGTTGCTTTACATACAGGCTTTTACTAAGATATGGGCAATGTTTACTTTTTACTTTTATTTACCCTTATGTAGATACATAGATAGAAAATAATAAAGTTGCGTTTCCACCAAACATGGGCGAAGATGCGTAGCTATGGATGTGTTTTTAAAGAACCAATTGAATCGTTTTCATAATAATCATCATCATCATTTCAGCCACAGGAGGACGTCCTGCACATAGTGACGTGCTGAACATACCTAGGCCTCCCCAAATGACTTCCACATCACACAGTGGTAGAATCGCTTAATTTATCTTTAATTAAGTAAGTTAGCACCGAGATTAGTTTTTAATCGACTTCATGTTATTATGTACCGTTTTTTAGAATGTGACATTAGACTTTATGGTAGGCTTAATTACTTTGTACTGTTGAACCAAACCCCAATTCCCCTGTAAATGGTTAATCAATTGAAAGCCACAGTATTCTCAAATGGATTGCGGGGGCAAATTCCCGAGGGACGCACGATAGTATTTTTTGACGCAACTAAATCCACGTGAGCAGTGCCTTGGGGAAAGGCCACTTACTAGTAGGTCGGGAAAAGGTGTTTTAATATGTTGCGTTACCTAAGTAAGATCCAGAGCACACACACGTTTACCGGAAGGAAAGATGAAAAGTGGTAGAGAAATAGACACGAGCATTTATTGAACACCATTGTAATTTGAAATAGAATTGAAATAGGTTTTTTGGAGAGAAATGACACGCTAAATTATTTTTCTAGCTATTTCACGGACATGTGAAATAACGGTAAGGATCGCGTTAATGTTACCGCGGCGTAAGTATACCACTTGTTCGCCGCTTCTTTGAAAGAAAGAAAGAAAGAAAAAATATTTATTTGGTGTTTCTGTCACCGTTTACCAGTGGTAGTCCTTCCGAAGAAGGAAGCTACGAATGTTAAATTCTCTTTGCCCGTTATAAATCTTAAAGAGAATGAACTAGGACGGGAGTCTGGACTGTGCGTGAACCATCATCTTTCAGTAGTGATAAAGAAAAAGTGTTTGGTGATTTTATCGATAAAGACTGCAACTGACCGCAATGCAATCCATGCGGGTAAAGCCGCAAGCAATCTAGTAAACTATTACAAAGTAATTCATGATGTACCTGAATAATATCACCTTTTGACCTATGTTTATGAATTAGTGTTAATGATTTGATTTGATTACCTTTTAAAAACCACATATTACTATCTCAAGATAACTAAGATGGCACAATAGAATGTGTCTTCGTCCGTAGATGTAATGCTAGTTCCCAACTTTTTAATTTCCCCATTTTTTGCCTTTGTGGCGGAAAAGCCAGCTGCAGCTCGTTCGTGTTCGTGACGCTCACAGGTGTTATTCGTATTCTTTCCGTGACCCGCTCCATATTTGATGGCACATGTTTTAGTGTGTTGCTGCGACCCTCTCGAGGGCCGTAACCTCTGGGAAGAGACGTCAGTTTGCGGAGTCGGGGTGGCTGCGTCGCTGTAAGGTCCCGCTGCCGAATGCTGGAGCCGTGCCAGCCGTTAATCGTCACGCAGTTATACATTCAATCGCAGGAATCAGAACCATTTCAATTAGGAAATTCATGCATCCAAAATACCTAAATTAATAAAGTTTCAGCAGAATATTCTACAATTTGTTGCAATCGAATATAGTTCTGTATGAATAACAGTGGATTGCGGTGAATTTATGGATGCCGTTAAAATAACAATGTGCAGTTTAGTGAATAATTACGTGTGCGCGGGCTATTTCAGCTGAAAATTTCAGGACCACTTCCGGATGGTTGAAACCTGTGCGTGTCGACAAGACTGTTTTGTTCATTCAAATAAATATAAGCTGTAAGCTTTACGTAAAAATATATTTTGTATTTATAGAAAGTATTATAGGTACCTACCTAATAATATTTCATTAACTAGTGCGATACTATCCCGATCTTATGGAATCCTTATCAATGGAATAAATTAATCGTTGTCCTTTTACATCCGCTGTTACTATTCAAATCACTCGATTTCACGGTCGATAGGCGAAACATTTGACAGGCCGAGGCTATCGGACGAGTTCATGTCGTACAATAATTTTATTGATAATATCTAAGTAGGTAGGTAGTAGCGAGATGGGAGTAAGGGCGGTGAGGGCTGCGGGGGCGGGCGGGAGCGCGCGTGCGTGCGGTGCCGCGCCCCGAGAGGAGCAGTCAGTGCTGCCGCGCGGCCGCCTCCGTCGCCGGCTCCACGCGCACCGGCGACTATGCCACTCGCGTGCCGCGCGCACTCGTGTTGTGGTGCTTTATGATGGTACGGCATGAGAGTGCAAGATATGCGGACGTTCCGTGATCTCCGCGCTGCCGACCTCGCAACCGCCACCGCCACAAGTGGGCGGAGAGACGTGACGCGTCCTCGGCTGCTCAGGTGAGCGGCCCTTCGCATCTCGCACCGTTGCAGACTGGTTAAAGACGCTCCGATCTCGGGGTCGATAAGGAACGTTATCAAATAAAACCAAAACATCGGGCCTCTCAGCCTGAACTCCCCGACTCGTTACGTAGAAACACGTCAACTAAAGCAGTAATGCCACAGCTGAACAATTTTGATTTTGGTGATAAAATCGGTCGACCGAGGGAGGTATGCGTGATGCTGAACATAATAGGTAACAATCAAGCATAACTTGCAAAAACTCTACATTTATAAGCTCAGAACGCACTTCCTTGGTTACAATGAATACAAATGTTATGTGACATACAATACGTGTATAGTTAAGATAAATAAACCTTCTTGATCTTTGATGATTAGATCAAAAGTAACTAGGTAAGTGCCCACCTAGATGGGGAGTACCTATAATATAATTACTTAGTTATTAAGTATTTAACTAGCCTACAAATATTGAGGAGTACAAAACGACCGTATGTAGACGTATAAAATACGAAAGGTACAGGCTAACGACGCAGACTGAAGACGTTTTATGGGTATACTTAAGTGAAAGCATGTAAAAACTTTTATGTCAACTCAAAGTACCTGTGTAGCTATCAGTAGGTATTAAGTAAACAAGGGGTTGTTGTCTGTTGTGCTTTCACAATCAAACGTAATGTACAGCTGTCTAATGGACATCGTTAGTATCGTAATACAGATCGAATGGTTGGTAATTGCTGGGAACGTACGGAGACGCGTGTGTTTGATCATTGTTTCGTTCTATCATCGAACTGAATAAATTCGGCGCGTGCAGGTCAATAAAATTCCGAAGCATATTTGTTGAAGGGCTATGAATCGTGACTGGGTAAGTCGTCACGCAATATTGGATACAGCCAGCTTATCTGAGTCGGCAAGCTCGCGAGCACCGTCATCAATCTCGGCCTTCTGAGAACGACAGCTCGGATAGACTGTTGCATTAGACGCGTTATTTGTACAAAGGGTTTGCGAAGGATTATAAGATGCTTACAAGGCATTTTGTTGGTAACTATTTGCTTTTTCATCTGGTTTGGCATGAAACATTTGGACTGGAACTTTTGGGTAACAGAAATAAAATTGTTTCACTTATTTCCATTTATTTACTTTGGGGCTAGCTGGCGATGTGTGAAATTGTCTAAAGATTTGTTTATTTTTTATATTTATTTATTATTATTTATTATTTCCATGGCTTTCCATTAGTTCCATCTTGTAGGTATCATGTTCCATGATTAAGTACTTTCTACAGGTTACTTCGAAATCAAGCTTCCTTTTATTACTACATAAACCTAATTACGTTATTATAATACCTATGTGCAATGTGCATAGAAGCATAATATAATTGCTATTGAACATAATTGTATAGTTTACAGCAAATGTATTGATCTAATTGATCAATTATAAATTTACTTCACTAATAGGATACTCGATGCCTTCAGGAAGTCCATATGAATTAAAAATATTTCTTTCAGATAAGTACATATCATTTAAAGTTGTTAAATTCATTTGCGAATTATTGTTAATATTTAAATCAATAGATGTCTATCATATACTGCTTCAATTCAATAATTTATTAATGTTATCAGGAAGTAGTTTTCCTGCAAAATTTAGGCGTGCCTAATTAGTATTTACCTACTGTGTGTAAATTAATTGCTCTTGGCGTCAAAAGCCATTAGTAAATGTGATGTGAGTTGAGAATTACTCATTCAAAACGTTAGACACTTGAAGTGAACCCCAATTTGCGTCACGATCATAACAACATTTACGCAAAGCGAACTCACGGTGAAAGGATCAGAGAATTAAAAATAAATTAATAGTTAAAAAACTAAAAACACGCTTTTAATTACTGCATTAAAAGGCCAGAATCCATCATCAGTACCCTGGACATCATCTAGCACTAAAGTGCTCGAAAAGATAAATCCAATAAACCCAAACTCGATGCGATTCCGCCGTTTCGTTTAGGAGTTCCTATGGCCACCTTCCAGTCCCATCATCAGACATGCTCGATGGTACCATAATATTGTATTGTCATCCAATATACATATAATTGCTAAGTTTCATGATGATACAAGAATTAGAAGTGCGTGTAATTCAGATTCTTAAGATTCCATTACATAGTTAGTTACATACACGACGACCGGCCTAATAAAAGCGTTTTAAAAACACGAGTAGGTAACTACCAAACCTTAGTACCTAGGATTTCATAATTAAAAGAAAAGAATGGCCACAAGTAGGTATCTACAAAGACCATTTATACCTATTTACCATTTAAATTTCCATTCATCTATGAATGAATTAAATCTATTGAAGCCTCTGATGATTTCAGTTTCAATACTTAGCCGCGAGTTAATCATAGGACAAATCTAACTTCAGTTTGAATCGAGTTTTATCATCGTTTCGTAATACGGGCCCAAGTTTGAGACGTAGCTAGTTCCGCAACATACACAAACATAAGTTATAAGGAACTGCATCGCTATTTTGATTTGTTTCAGCCAAGTGGAGTTGTATTTGATGAGTAAGAGGATATTGGCGGCCTCGGGCAAGCCAGTCGCGACAAAGCGTCGCCACGCTCGGAACCAGTGCCAACCGACCCAAGTAGGGTACACAACGTCCTCACTGTAGGCTAATCTACGAGCCCCGTGAATCTGCATTGGCCTTAATGCAATTCGACAATTAGCACGATTTCAGCTAGAGTCAGCTACCAATTACATTCAGCAAACTTTGAACTAGAGTTTGGTTTTTACTACAAACATTTATGTAATCGGTTGTTGATTTAGCGAGTGCACATAAATTGATGTAAAAACTCATCACTTTAACCAATTCTACTGTAAAATATTAACAGTGACAAATAACATGTTCCAGACCGTATTTATTATTTATGTCGAATACAATTTTTTGTATGGAAAAAACAGTTTTTCATGGTTCCAATGTTATTTTAAATTATTATTCCGCTCTGTTTATGTCCGTATGTGGTAAAAAATGAACTATCTATTGAAAACATGGTAACTAGTATGTTTTCGAATTTTATTTTTAGGCTAGTAAAAATTTTTTTTAATATCTGCTGCCGAAACTAGCGTCAAATAATTCAAATTCGTAGTCGTAGGTATCACGAGATAGAGTTTTCAGTTTTCAGACCATAATGAATGATCCTGATTTTCGATTGTGAATTTCGACTGTTTCTGAATGCTAATGGTGTTGAAAGAAGCATTTAGCTTTTTGGAATAAAACTGTTTACTTGGACAACAATCCGGGAGGTCTCTACATTTAAGCAACATTAAAACACAAACTTATACCGAACTATGTACAGAAACAGTTAATTAAAACCCGGCGCTCCACTCAACAATAGTCCCGAATAGTTACGTTTGTATGAACAATGCCGAAAATTTGTATGAACCACAAATTGTTAATTTTAGTTAGTTTTCAATTGTCGTTTTTCATTTTCATTTTCCCGATATGTGATTAGTAGTTTCACCAAAGATATTATTTTTTCTCGATTTCATTTCTTTGTCTGACTTTTTTCTTACAGACGTTCGTTTATTTGTTTTGAAATACAGTTATTAATTAGGATGATAATTTGAATTAATATAATCTAGTAAGGTAATTTCAATATATGTACTTTTTAAATTAAATACTACTAAATATTACTTCAAACCATTAAACCAATCTATGTGTCACTCGAATTAAATACAATCATTTTGTATTACCAACCCTTTTGGTAACATTATCACAAGTTATTGAGACATATAATTGCACACGACTGGATGAATGTCTGAAAACTTGTTTTTTGAATTCTTTCCGCATATTTTAAATACTTTAATTTGTATTATGCTTTCTCTGCTACTAGGTCACATGCATGCTACTAAGCAGTTAGACTTTTTCACATTAATTGAGTACATTTTAGTATAAAAAAATATGTTGTTAATACTCGTTTAATGTTGTCAAATAATATTTTTTGTATAGTTTATGTTTTTCGCCAATTCTTTATTTACCCAATAGCACTCATCATATGTATTAAATACTCTAGAAATTATGTATTCACACATTTGTACAGTATGTATTNTTTAATACATACTCTAGATACATTACGCTTACAGATACTTATTCATATCATATCTTTAGGTCAGGACTTCAGAATAAAATTATATTATAAATGTAAATTTAACTCATTTCCTTGTATCGTGAGTTTTATTATGTGGAAATGTCCACCAGTACTTAATTCCGTTGAACTTAAAAGCTTCCATTGATGTCAGACGAGCCTCGAATGAACTTATTAAGGTTCAATAAATAGGTTTCTTAACTCCGGTCCATTGATCTTCTCTGCACAATTGTATTATAGCTAGCCATAAATTCATTCAGTTTGGCACTTCGGACTAGCAAACGCTTTCTGGTTTGAAGTGGCAGGGGAGCGAGTCTCCTTTCAAAGGTGGCTGGAATTAATGGAACTTCGTTTTATCACAATGTAGCGGATGCTATTACAGATATATACTTTTGTTATATGTTTAATAGACATACCTAGGCTGAGTTGCACGACCTAACTTTGAAAGTAACATACTTAACGCGGTGTTTTATGACGTTTGTTAAAGTCAAAGTAAGATGGCGCAATTCAGCCACAGAGTTTAAACTTTCCATAATATACGCGTTGCCTTGTCTACTCGTCTTTATTTCTATTCCTGAGAGGTGATACTAAAAATATTCCTGGCTATGAAAACTTAATGTATTCTATTCAATAAATATATTATATTGCGCAATGCCAGACAATGAAATTAATTATGTTACTTCTGTATATTGTCGAATCATGAATAATGCCGCTGTTATAACATTTTTTTATTGATGCATAAAAGGAAAATCAATATACATAATATTATTACGAATATAAATGTATAAATGCGAAAGTAACTCTGTCTGTCTGTTACGCTTTCACGCCTAAACACTGAACCGGTTTTGATGAAATTTAGTATATTAGATAGTCTTAGTCTCGAGAAAGGACATACTTAGGGTAGTTTTATACTGGTTTTTGAAACGGACGCACTCGATAATGTGTTTCTGTGACTGACAAAATTTCACGCGGGCGAAGCCGTGGGCAATAGCTAGTTCTCTATATAGAACATACGACAAGCAAACGCTTTCTGGTCTCAGCCACTGGGTAGCTTTCTTGGACAACTAGGTCAAGGCACATTTCCAACATAATCCTAGGGCTTTCCAACGGTTTCATCTCATATCATGAGATTTATGTGTCTATAATAAGTAACATTTTGGTCCCCACATATCTTGTTTAAAAATCTATGGATTAATGCTTTGTTTTAGTATTTCGGTTTTAGTAGTGGCTGTGGTAGTGGTGCTTACTGCTGATTTTCTTACGAATCGTTTCCAGTCAATTTCAAATACAACGAAACAGAAATCAGCCATATCGGTCCTGCCGTTCCTAAATTAGGGTCTGTCAACATTATGTAAATTGATTTATGATATAAACATACGTACCTGTATAATTTTTATGATAATAAATACAGAGTAGGTAAACAGACGTATAATAGTGCATAATTAAATTCGATAACGACCTTAAAATCTTAAACACAACCAAGAATCTAGTACTGTAAGCTAGACGACAAAACTCAACTGATTTTTTTTCTAGGAATTGGAAAAACTAGCTAGATTTAGAAAAAGCGAAGCCGCAGAACCTGAATGAATGCCAAAATATAACCGCCCACGCCGGCGGGAGTACGCGCTAAAATAACAGACAAAATACTGCTATTCCGGGGTGGCTTAAACTATGCACATACTTATTGGGAAAATAACTTCGTGGATCTGTGTGCATTTTTACGTCTTTAGGTTTTATTGAAATCATGCAAGCTCTTTTCAATATTGCTACTACTTCTACGATTCTACCTACTCTCATGTAGTAACGCAGGGTGATGACCAGTAAAAGATTTCTTGATTGACATGGTGTTTGAAGAGATGATTTTTGAATAAATACAAGCTTTTTTATTTTATGGCCCTTATTTTTTTTTCATTTGTGACATTTTATTTTTTATTATGCAATAAACAATTTTATAATACATGTACAAAAAACTTTAAATTAAAGGTCACAACTTGTCTACATATTTTCCCACCCTTGATATAAAATAATAAACTCAATTCACTCAACATCCAGTTGCATTTATTAACTTTAGGTATTGCGAGCGATTTACTTCTCTCTTTAGAGTAGCATTCAAGCAATAACGTAGTAGAGTCTTCATCGGTCTGTTTAAATTGCGCAACAGCAACGAACGTTTTATTGCTTACAACTACTATCTGAAATTGAAAAGGTCTTCGAGAGGCCACAGCTCGGAGGTGCAGCAACTCTGGATAAAATATTTAAGCCGTGCTGCCGTTTTAAGACCGCTGGAGCACCCATAAAACACTTTGTACATGACAACTTTACCAGCCACCATTTTGAAGTATGCAAAACTGTGCTGACGATGCCTTTTGCAAGAGCTTACTTTTTTATTCAGCTCAATTTTTGATTAGAGAGCACTTTATTTTTTATTTTCAGGACTTTTCAAATACTACCACCTATTCTGATAGCTTTTCTATTTTATATTGGTAGGGATGAATCATTCGTTTTTCTAATTTTGCCTTACCCCAAATGTCATAAACATGAAATAGTACCCTATAAAGATTATTATCTACATCGTTATTAGGTAAGTATTACTGAAATAATTATGTAGGTAGGTATATTTCACATTAGTGCGCGCGGTATACTGATGCAAAGGGTACACGTCTATGAAGAGCTAGCGTGCAATTCCTAGGTATTTTTAGCTGCTTGCTAAAAAGTAAATAATCTACTGCCAAGTCAAACTAGTTTGAAGTTCAGTTTGCTAGCCATCGAGTATAAGTTATTTGGCGGCAGGTTAGTTTACAAGTCGGAAACTTTACATAACATCGTGGTCTTATCGATCGGCGTGAGTAATCATTGCGAAAATGAATGGTGGGATGGTTGGGAATTTTATTAGTACACGTTTGATAGCACACCGGCGGGGTTGTAGGTGTGGCCTGTAATAACGGGCCTCATCAACTGGGCTGTGCTGTGGCGCGTTAATGCAATTTAATGCAAATGCAGCGATAACAAGCCCCGCGAGTGCAGCGCGGCTTCCTCGCGTTTGGCTGGCCATGCCATCACTCTTTGGTTACCCGGACAGTGGCCTAGTTTTTGGTGTCCGGGCGTGTACACGCACTAAAATTTAAATGGTGCGATAACGAACTTGCAAATGCAAATTTATATCAAAGCATTTTGTGTAATATTTTACATTTCAACTAACTGTTACCGCCAGTTCAAAATTTCTGCTATGCGTACTTGTTGACTGAGATAGAATGCCTCCAGGCATTAGACACATTTGCAGGAAAAAGCAAATAAATTATTCTACATGTAGTTCACATGTATGTATTTCATCATCAAAATCATTATTATATCACCTTATACTAAAACAAAATCATCCAAAGCATTCCGATAAAAATATTTCCAGCTGACTCTCAGACAAGTTGTTCATGACCATTAACTTGTTGATGTGGAGATATAAATCTCCGCCGCATTGCATCCCTAAACGGCTGCCGCGACAGGCGGCCGCTATGAGTTAATGTTCGGAAACTCCGCGATTTCACGCTCGCCGGCCCGCCGCATATCGCATACTGCCTCTCTCGCCTATTGTACAGTCGACGGCACATCACACTATACAGTTTTGTTGCAAAATAGCACCTGTTACAAATGCTTAAGATGTTTACAGTATAAGATTGACGTGACGATGTCTGTACAAAGGAAGAAAGGCAAACTAAACGAGTAGCGATGGAGTAGGGCTACAAAGATTTTCATCTCGTTATCGGTGTTATTCAAGACTAGTTTCGCAGTACGAATTCATTTTTCTATAAATATTCATAATATGCCTTTTGCAACATATTTTCTAACAGACATTGAAAAATATATTTTCATAAACCTCTAACACTTCCTGTGATTTGCTTTAAAATCAATTTCCAATTTCTATTCATATTAAGGAAGCTGTGGTATTTTACCTAATATTGTATGTAAATGTATAATTTCATTATGATGAAATTGGAAGCTTCATCGAAAATTATCTTGGAAAAGTTTGGGGACGAAGAAAAAGTAATATCGGGAAGAGCGTGCACCGCCTGGAAAATAGCTACGGGACTACGAGAGCTACGTCCGGCTACGAGCTACGGTCCGCTACGAGCTACGGTCCGCTACGAGCTACGGTCCGCTACGAGCTACGGTCGCTTGGAACGTGATGTCAATACATACACTATAAATAATATCTCGGCATTTTCCTGACCCACATGCACATTTTCTGCGTTGTATGTTAACAAAATTTCAAAGGATAGACGACTAGTAGTACAGAACAGGATATTAAAATACCTTCTTGTGTTATGGTTATGTTATCATGACTCGTTCACATTAGCTAAGTTATCATAAAGCCTAAGTATACGCCAGTTGTTCTGGAGTGAAGAATGGCCAGAACATTTATAATAGCAAAGAGGGCAACAACCACCCTACCGTTAAAGTTCAAGGTTTTCAGAGTATATAAAAGAAATTCTTCGCCTCCGCTCGGAGAACACGTTATTGTAACTACAATAGGCAATTACCGAATCATTATGATTGAGAAGTGTTCTTTTCTATACTAATAAACGGGGAGGTAGTTGTATAAACGAGATTTTTAATCTCTCTTTACAACTGCTGTTGCTGCTTTTAAATTACGAAAATTATTTTCGCTGGTTCATAAAATAAATGTTGATGTTAATGACTGTACTAGATACTGGAGTGGATTTCAATTTGCTACAGTAAGACTGTTGCGCATCCCTCGGGAACTGTGCATATTCAGCCATATTCCCTGGATAAACGCCATGCTTGCAGTATGGAGGTGTCTCGGGAGATCCAAGTAATTGGTTTCGCGTTTCTTAGCCTAGCTATTATTATTTACCTGCTACAGCACGAACGAAAGGTTCCCACTTTTAGAAAATATAAATGCAAAATGTTGTACTTTTAATTTTCTAAGGCTGGATTGCACCATCTTACTTTGACTTTCATAAACGTCCAAAATTTGTTGAAATCCATACAAAAAGCACTGGTTATTAAATCGTCAAACTTACGGTCAAATTAGGTGGTGCAACTCAGCCTTAGAATAAGAGTTAACTAAAAAGTTATAGGTACCTGTACGGGCGGGAGACAGTGGTTGTAAGGCACCGCTCCCGTGCCCGGGATATGCGATCAGGAAGGGAACTAACTCCCTAGTGAGCCTAGAGTCCCTATTCCCTAAGACACTTAGTCCCTAGAGCCCTAGCCCTGCCTAACAATAGATACTTAGACATAATAAGGGTTTGATAGGAAGGAAGCTGCTCCCAGGTCGCCCAGGGCAGCAGCGTTAGGACGGCAGGTAGGCGGCGGGGACCCGCTGCCAGCCCGGCAGACTCACCGGACTGATCATAGCGACGGCTAAGGGTGTCTTGGCCGCAGCGGGGGGAAATGAGACACAACGACGGATGGTTGATATCCCGTACAGTACCATAAACCATTTTTGAGTTGATTATTATTCGAGAATCGCTACAATGACGTCATATAGTGCCTTGTTATGTGACGATATTCTTTCTTTCCAGATAGAAAGAGCGCTCAGCTCGTCCGCGAAGTGGGCCGCAGCGCGTGGTGATGGAGTTGGTAATACTGAAAGCTCGGGCCCAACTGAATCGTCTCGTGTCGTCGTCGGGTGGTGGTCGGCGCGCGGCCAGCGCAGAGCGCGAGGCGAGCGCGGGGGGCGGCGGGGGCGGGGGCGCGCGGGCGGGGCGCGAGCGCACCATGGCGCCCGCCGCGCCCGCGCCGGCGTCGTCCGCGCCCTGGCTCAACGCCACGCTCGCGTTCAACGCCACGCGGCTCAATGTCACCTTCGACACCGACTACGAGCTCCTCAACGCAAGCTCCACGGATGAACACGACAACCACTGGTTCTGCGCGAAGTGGACCAGCGCTCAGCAAGACCTATTTCAGGTAAAGCCTGGTCCGTGAGCACGTAGAATTTTGTCCAATGACCCCAAGCTATCCATCCTTATCGCTCGCGCGTAATTATATTGCTGTCGCGCTCGCACAGTCACTACGGACGCGCGTCGCACAGTCGCGGGCAAAATTCTACGTGCTCGCGGACCAGGCTTTATAGACATTTATTTCACCGTAGCATAAATAAATGTAGTCGACAGAAAAACAACGGCCTACAGGACTCTAGACACGCTACAATATTATACCACAATAAGATGATTTGTAGCGATCAATGATAACAGTTCTGCTCGAAATACACTTGTCATGTTAGTATAATATTGTTATCAACATCGTTCAAAACGTCCCCGCCCTGGCTCAACGCCACGCTCGCGTTCAACGCCACGCGGCTCAACGTCACCTTCGACACCGACTACGAGCTGCTCAACGCCAGCTCCACGGATGAACACGACAACCACTGGTTCTGCGCGAAGTGGACCAGCGCTCAGCAAGACCTATTTCAGGTAAAGCCTGGTCCGTGAGCACTTAGAATTTTGTCCAATGACCCCAAGCTATCCATCCTTATCGCTCGCGCGTAATTATATTGCTGTCGCGCTCGCACAGTCACTGCGGACGCGCGTCGCACAGTCGCGGACAAAATTCTACGTGCTCGCGGACCAGGCTTTATAGACATTTATTTCACCGTAGCATAAATATATGTACTCGACAGAAAAACAACGGCCTACAGGACTCTAGACACGCTACAATATTATACCACAATAAGATGATTTGTAGCGATTAATGATAACAGTTCTGCTCGAAATACACTTGTCATGTTAAGTATAATATTGTTATCAACATCGTTCAAAACGTCCGCGCCCTGGCTCAACGCCACGCTCGCGTTCAACGCCACGCTCGCGTTCAACGCCACGCGGCTCAATGTCACCTTCGACACTGACTACGAGCTGCTCAACGCCAGCTCCACGGATGAACACGACAACCACTGGTTCTGCGCGAAGTGGACCAGCGCTCAGCAAGACCTATTTCAGGTACACACATTTCACCCGTAATTAAAAAAATAATAACCTCGTAGCTCGTAGTCGTGTTTACAGTATTTTTTTAGAGGTAATTTTTCGGGTATAGAGAAAATAACGTGTAATTTTTCGTAGTCATTTAGATTATTACTTTATAGTCCGATACAGAACTAATAAACATGCTATGACTTTTATAACTGCTACTAGTTTAGTAACCGGCTACGAGACAAGTGTACAAACCGTAGCATAAATAAATGTACTCGACAGAAAAACAACGGCCTACAGGACTCTAGACACGCTACAATATTATACCACAATAGGATGGTTTGTAGCGATCAATGATAACAGTTCTGCTCGAAATACACTTGTCATGTTAGTATAATATTGTTATCAACATCGTTCAAAACGTCCGCGCCCTGGCTCAACGCCACGCTCGCGTTCAACGCCACGCGGCTCAATGTCACCTTCGACACCGACTACGAACTACTCAACGCCAGCTCCACGGATGAACACGACAACCACTGGTTCTGCGCGAAGTGGACCAGCGCTCAGCAAGATCTATTTCAGGTATAGACTGGTATAGACACTTATTTTGTCCTTAATTCAAAATAATAATAACCTCGTAGCTCGTAGTCATGTTTACAGTATTTTGAGAAAATAACGTGTAATTTCTCATAGTAATTTAGATTATTACTTAATAGTCAGTTAGTGTGATTAAGAACCCCGTAACACAACGCGATAGTCTGTCGTCACATAGTGGAGACATTTATTATAATAACTGTAACAATATTGAAATCGCAAATTTTATTTCTTAGCCATATTTTAGCACGACTACGCATTTGTAGAGGCGCGCTTCGACTATAAAATTCAGAGTGATCCCAATTATTATTGAAGTACTACCTACTTCGAATTCATCATCAGAACCATTATACCTATGTGCAATATGTGCATACTGACGGAATCTTTAAGATTTATAAAATTTAACACAGTATACCTATGCATTCCAAAGTTTTGAACGATGTTGATAACATTATTATACTAACGTCTAGGTCTTCCTCCTACACTTGCTTCGGAACAAGTTTGCAGTTGATGGAATACTTACATAGTCAGCTTGCCTCGTTCGTAACAATGTTTAAGAATTAGTTTAAAAGTTACTTCTACTATGATAACATGACAAGTGGTGTTCGAGCAGAATTGTAGTTTTGTATTCATCGCTACGTTTCTTCAAACCTTCCTAATGTGGTATAATATCGGAACTAGTTAAGTGACTATCACCATTTTGCGTTCCGATGCAAATTAAATAATACATATAATAATAAAAGTCCATAGTAGCTGTAAGTCTACGAGGCCGTAATATGCCTCGTAGCAGTAACAAAACTCGTAGCGTGCCTACGAACTTGTCGTAGCTACTAACCTCGTAGGGTGCTATGAACTCCTAGCAGTTACGAAACTCTTAACGTATCCACGACTTCGTAGCAGTCATGAACTCGTAGCGTGTCCACGAACTCGTAGCAACTACAAGCCTCGTAGCGTATCTACAAACTCGTAGCGTGTCCACGAACTCGTAGCAGCTACAAGACTCGTAGCGTATCTACAAACTCGTAGCAGTCATGAAATCGTAGCGTGTCCACGAACTTGACTGTGATAGTTACGAAACTCGTAGCATATTTACGTACTCGTAGCAGTCATGAACTCGTAGCCGTTACGAAACTCGTAACGTATCTACGTCATCGTAGCAGTCATGAACTCGTAGCGTGTGCACGAACTCGTGGCAGTTACGAAACTCGTAGCAGTCATGAAACTCGTAGCATGTTCACGAAATGGTGAGAGTTACTAAACTCGTATGCTCGTAGCGTATCTACAAACTCGTAGCAGTCATGAAACTCGTAGCAGTCATGAAACTCGTAGCATCTCTACGAACTCGTGACAGTTACGAAACTCGTAGCGTATCCACGAGTTCTGTAGGCCGTTCGATTCCCGTCAATACTAGCTGGCTAGCTAGTAGCTGTGTGCTAAGGTAGATAACGTGTAACGAACGGGTGGTATGTAATAGACAATTTGACACCATTCCCCAATAATTCGAAATCACAACTTTTCTATAAAGACACTTCATTCTGGTTTTAAAAACTTAATTAATTTTAAATAGCCTGTAAATTACGATTTTTGATCGCAATGTAATTAAAAGTAGTTTAATTGAGTTGACAAAATAGTGACGTCACTTGCTTGTAGTGCCATACAAAATCTATAAGAAGAGTTTCGTTTTGACAGTTTTGAAAAGTACGTCAATTGATTGGTGGTGTCAACATGTCTATTAGGCGGCGAACCTGTGCTTCGCGATCGCGTTCCTGGCGCACGGTGGGCTGATATTAGAGCTTCATAGACTTAGCGTCGCTCAAAAATCAAGTGCCGAATTTTGAAAAAATAAATGTGCCAATGTGTTCCTTTACCAAAAAGGAATATTTTATGTTATGANTTCAAAACTTCCGCGCCCTGGCTCAACGCCACTCTCGCGTTCAACGCCACGCGGCTCAATGTCACCTTCGACACCGACTACGAGCTGCTCAACGCCAGCTCCACGGATGAACACGACAACCACTGGTTCTGCGCTAAGTGGACCAGCGCTCAGCAAGACCTATTTCAGGTATAGACATTTATTTGACCCGTAATTAAAATTTTTAATAATCTCGTAGCTACGAGTAGTAGTCGTGTTTACACTATTTTTTTAGGGTAATTTTCGGGTTTAGAGAAAATAACGTGTAATTTTTCATAGTCATTTAGATTATTACTTAATAGTCCGATACAGAACTAGTAGAGATGCTATGAGTTTTATAACTGCTACTAGTTTCGTAACCGGCTACGAGACAAGTCTACAAACCGTAGCATAAATAAATGTACTCAACAGAAAAACAAAGGCTTACAGGACTCGTAGACACGCTACAATATTCTACAACATTATACCATAATAGGATGGTTTGTAGCGATCAATGATAACAGTTCTGCTCGAAATACACTTGCCATGTTAGTATAATATTGTTATCAACATCGTTCAAAACGTCCGCGCCCTGGCTCAACGCCACGCTCGCGTTCAACGCCACGCGGCTCAATGTCACCTTCGACACCGACTACGAGCTGCTCAACGCCAGCTCCACGGATGAACACGACAACCACTGGTTCTGCGCTAAGTGGACCAGCGCTCAGCAAGATCTATTTCAGGTATAGACATTTATTTGACCCGTAATTAAAAATTTTAATAATCTCGTAGCTACGTAATCTCGTAGCTACGAGTAGTAGTCGTGTTTACACTATTTTTTAGAGGTAATTTTTCGGGTAAAGAGAAAATAACGTGTAATTTCTCGTAGTAATTTAGATTATTACTTAATAGTCAGTTAGTGTAGTAGTCTGTCGTCACATAGTGGAGACATTTATTATAATAACTGTAACAATATTGAAATAGCAAATCGTATTTCTTAGCCACATTTTAGCACGATTACGGATTTGTAGAGGCGCGCTTTGACTTTAAACTTCGAATTCATCATCAGAACCATTATACCTATGTGCATACTGACGGAATCCTTAAGATTTATAAAATTTACCACAGTATACCTATGCATTCCAAAGTTTTGAACGATGTTGATAACAATATTATACTAACGTCTAGGTCTTCCTCCTACACTTGCTTCGGAACAAGTTTGCAGTTGATGGAATAGTTACATAGTCAGCTTGCCTCGTTCGTAACAATGTTTAAGAATTAGTTTAAAAGTTACTTCTACAAGGATAACATGACAAGTGTATTTCGAGCAGAATTGTAGTTTAGTATCATTCATCGCTACGTTTTTTCAAACCTTCCTATTGTGGTATAATATCGGAACTAGTTGAGTGACTATCACCATTTCGGGTTCCAATGCAAATAAGTATGCCTAAATTCGAGTATAGCCAATCTCACTGCTTCAAATACCCAATAATGAAGGCCAATAGTAGCCTGAAGTCTGCTGCCCTATTTAAACGATCAGTAAACTTGTGTCGTAGCAGTTACAAAATTGTAGCGTGTCTACGAGTCCTATAGGCCGTTGGATTACTGTCAAGTACATTACTTTGTGCTACGGTTTGTAACAGTTTTCTTGTAGCTGGTTAGAAAAATCGTAGCAGTTATAAAACTCATAGCATTCTACTATGTAGTTCTGTAAGCCGTTGGATTTGTGTCAAGCACAATTTATTGAGTGCTACGGTTCATTACACTTGTAGCCGGTTAAGAAAATTGTAGCAGTTACGAAACTTGTAGCGTGTCTACGAACGCGTAGCAGCTACAAACCTCGTAGCTGGCTAGGAACTCGTAGCATTTACGATACTCGTAGCGTATCCACAAACTCGTAGCAGTAATGAAGCTCATAGCGTGTCTAAGAACTCGTAGCAGTTACGAAACTCGTAGCGTGTCTACGAACTCGTGTCAGTTACAAAACACATAGCGTTTGTACGAACTTGAAGCAGTCATGAAACTCGTAGCGTGTCTACAAACTTGTAGCAATTATGAAACTCGTAGCGTATCTACTAACTCGTAGCAGTCACGAAACTTGTAGCGTGTTTACGAACTTGTAGCAGCTACACACCTCGTAGCTGTCTACGAACTCGAAGCAATTACGATACCCGTAACGTATCTACGAATTCATAGCAGTCATGAAACTCGTAGCGTTTCTGCAAACTCGTGACAGTTACGAAACTCGTAGCGTATCCACGAGTTCTGTTGGCCGTTCGATTCCCGTCAATACTAGCTAGCTAGCTAGTAGCTGTGTGCTAAGGTAGATCCGCCGTGTAACGAACGGGTGGTATGTAATAGACAATTTGACACCATTCCCCAATAATTCAAAATCACAACTTTTCTATAAAGACACTTCACTCTGGTCTTAAATACTTAATTAAATTTAAATAGCCTGTAAATTACGATTACGACGATTTTTGATCGTAATGTAATTGAAAAAATAGTTTAATTGAGTTGACAAAATAGTGACGTCACTTGCTTGTAGTGCCATACAAAATATATGGGAGAGTTTCGTTTTGACAGTTTTAAAAAGTACGTCAATTGATTGGTGGTGTCAACATGTCTATTAGGCGGCGAACCTGTGCTTCGCGATCGCGTTCCTGGCGCCGAAGAGCTTCAAGCAGAGCATCCTCGTGCTGCGCGCGCTGGCGGCGGCGGGCGCCGTGCTCATGGCCATGTGGGCGGGCGCCGAGTTACGAAACTCGTAGCTGCTACAAGCCTCGTAGCGTATCTACAAACTCGTAGCAGTCATGAAACTCGTAGCGTGTCTACGAGTTCTGTAGGCCGTTCGATTCCCGTTAATACTAGCTAAAGCCTGGTCCGTGAGCACGTAGAATCCCGTCCAATGACCCCAAGCTACCCATCCCTATCGCTCGCGCGTAATTATATTGCTGTCGCGCTCGCACACTCACTGCGGGCGCCCGTCGCACAGTCGCGCGAACGATAGGGATGGGTAGCTTGGGGTCATTGCACGGGATTCTACGTGCTCACGGACCAGGCTTTAGCTAGCTTGTAGCTGTGTGCTAAGGTAGATCTGCCGTGTAACGAACGGGTGGTATGTAATTAGGCGGCGAACCTGTGCTTCGCGATCGCGTTCCTGGCGCCGAAGAGCTTCAAGCAGAGCATCCTGGTGCTGCGCGCGCTGGCGGCGGCGGGCGCCGTGCTCATGGCCATGTGGGCGGGCGCCGAGGTCTGCGCGCCCGACGTGCTGGCCTGGAGCCTCGCGCTCGTCCTCGTCAATTCTATACACACCGTCTTCTTAATTATAAGGTACGAGGTTCATTTTTGTTTCTTAGGTTTCGTTAATAGTACGTATGTACACACGGCGGGCAGCGCAGGACCGTTCATTGTGGAAAACCTTGGGGGAGGCCTTTGTCCAGCAGTGGACGTCATTTGGCTGAAACGAAGACGAAGAAGACACACGGCCACACTGTCAACTATCCATTTCCGTTTTTGCTCTTGCTCTAATCAAATGGTGATTCTTTGTGATAGAACGAGATGACATGACTGGCAATGGGCAGTTAACACTGTTGCCGATAGTACCTATTTGTCCTGTAGTAATCTTAGAGCAATTAAAGATTTATAGCAAATATAGCGTAGTCTGTGATACTTTTTCAGTCCCGTATTGGGCTGAAAAATAAAGTGTAGATGTTTAGTAAAGTTTAAATGTTAGTGTAATTAGATAAGTTTGTTCATTCTGCATAACGATAGAGTAAATTGATAAATAGTCTAAGACTGGGTTGCACCATCTTTCTTGCAAATAAAGTTTTCTATTCTTTCTATTCTATCTTACTTAAACTTTGACAAACGTCAAAAAGCTGTCAAACTCTATACAAAAAACATCGGTTAACGCTATAGTTACTGTCAAAGTTAGGTGGAGCAACTCAGCCTAATTTGCACTTACTTAGAGATGAAGAGATGACCAGTAAAGAAACATCCCTCACGCTCCCCCATTTCACACAAAAATACCAACCTAACACGATTGTTGCAGGTTTCTTCCACCAGCGTTATCGCTGGAACTGACTGAACTGTACCTGAAGCTGTTCAAGCCGCTGAAGGTGAACAAGAAGCACTTCCAGGAGTTGACGCGGGAGGCGCGGGTGGTGAGGCTGGAGCCGGGAGAGGCGTACGCGGTGGAGGAGGTCACGCCCGCTGATGAGAGACTGTCCATACTTTTAAAGGGAAAGTGAGTACAACATAAACCAATTTAAGATACATAAAAAAATACCCTTATGTCCAAAGGGTACTACAAGGTTCGAGACTATATTAATGACAAGGATGCGTGGTCAGTTCAGTCTGCACATATTTGATGTACTTAAATTTGACTATTCTTACCGTTAGATAATTCCTGGCAATAAGTGGTGACTGAGTTTGTTCCGGCGTTTCTTCTCAGCACTTGCCATATGTTTGTCTCGAAGCGCTGGTAGGGCCCAAAAGATAAGGAGACATGTAAAGTGCCCCATAAGAGCTACCTTTTCTTTTTTTATTATTTTCTATTGACGTTCATAAGTGCCACTTGTGGTCTAAACTGAATAAATATTTTTGATTTTGATTTTTTGAAAACACTTAATACTCGTAGTCGGTATATGACTTGATTTCAGGAAAGAAAACTTTGTCAAAACTAAGGCTGGGTTGCACCATCTTACTTTAACTTTGACAAACGTCAAAAATCTGTCAAACTCCATACAAAAAAACACCGGTTATCGTTAAAGTTAGGTGGGGCAACTCAACCTAAGTGTAGGTAATGTTTTCATAATGCAGGAGACATTTACGAATTACCACCGGAACTTTGTTGGAAACCGGAAAAATGATGCGACCTGTTACATAATAACAGACGATTTTATTATATTAACTGCACCACATTTATAAAGGCTTATGTGACTAAAGTGAAACAAAAACAGTTTAGGTCTGCTGATAAAATCTATTCAAATTGTTTAAATTGAATTTCATAGATTCATATCTTATGAGTTGAAATAGAAAAACAAATGAGCTTGGCAAAAATATGAAATAAGTATAATAAAACTATGAAAATAAATTGAGATTGATTCCATTCGTTACGGTTAGTGACTGTGTGCCTTCAACGGTAAAAAAGATTCATTGATATTTGTGTCCGACGAGAAAAGGAAAAAATACTCGTAAAATAAATGGAACAACTTTATAGACATGCATGAGTAAAAACGTAGGTAGGTTTTTGTAGCAGCTATAAAAGCTCTATAAATATCCATATTCGTTTTAGAATATTATACAGTTTTATCGGTAGTGGCTAAATATTTTATTCCTTAAAAACTCTGCGTGAAACATTTAAGTTAAACGGCCAAAAAATTATTTGTTTATCGCTTGGAAATTAAAAGAACCCAATCATCATATGCGTTAACTTGTATTCGTAGAGGTAGAAATACCTCGACAAGGGCTCGGTCGCACATACGATTAACCTAGGAAAGGCCATAACTAACGGTAATTCCCTCATATACCATTATTGCTTAACTATAGCACGTAGACCTGCTGGAATACAAACGTTCCGACGTTTCACGCTGGCATATTAATTACTTCGCCGTTGGTATATCAGACTGAAAAAATTGTGCACACTTTTCCTATTTTCCTCGAACAATTAACATTTGCTTATTGTAATGTTAGCGTAACTTCATACGAGAGACGTGTTTCGTTTTTGTATTGCGTTTGAAGGAGATATTATTATAGAGACGACAGAGGGAAGTTTTGTTCATTTGACACGAGAAATGTTTCTGAACTTACGTAAGTTGGTTGCGCCTTCGATATTTTTCTCGACCCAGGGAGCATATTTTACTCAATGCGTACGTCACATCTGTTCGGGAAAATATTACACGCCTTAGGTAGTGAAAAAGGTAGTATATTATCTACATGTGTGTGCATGAGTATCATTTGTACCTTTGTATCATATTGAATCAATTGTAAGAGTTCTATTTCATTTGGTTGTTACGCGAACTGCTTATTCTACTATATTTATATTATAGCGGTTTACTCCTGAATCTGTTTACATAAATGTTAATGTATGATGCGTAATTTAAGTACGATAGTTACATTTAAACGATTGATGATGATGTAATAGGCAAACAAATCTACTACATAATAAATATCAGAAGATTCATAATCATAATCATTTATTTGCAATTAACATGGTATATAAAGATGTTACACATCAAGCTAATCTATAAAAGAAAAAGATATCATGAATTCATTATAAATACAGAGCTTTTTGTAAGCGCACAATTACTATGTGTCCCTTAAAATACCTACGAAACTAAGCTGAACGAGCACAAATACGCTGAAATTAATTTAACTTAAATACGTTAGTAAAAAATGCTATTACCCCGACCATGCAGGCGGGTGGTAAAAGCCACGTGAAGGGTAATGAGCTGGGGAGCGGAAGGCAGACGAATCTGATAAAGCTGGGCAGCTACGGAAAGAAATGGGGCCGTAAAAGAGCGAGGTGCGAAAATGCGGGATCTTCCTGCAGGCCAAATGTTTTGTTTACATCGCTAAGACGCAGGATATTGTTGTTCGTATACGTACAATATGTCCGTGTATGTGTTGTAAATGTTTTCTTTAAGAAAGCAAATGAAGTTTTTGTTTCCATTTTACCGAGATTTATTACATTGTCTAGTTTTGTTGAGAAACGTTCTTTATGCCTTGTATCGAGTGATACACTCTATTCTAGTACGAAGCTAATAGTCACGTTCACGAATGAGAAATTATTTTGTTTTAATTAATTAAATCGCATTTAACTCTTCTTAATTCCTAGGTAATTTCATTTTGCCTATGCTTTGTGCAGGATGCGCGTGAGCTGCGACGAGACACACCTGCACTTCATACAGCCGTATCAGTTTGTAGACTCGCCCGAGTGGGAGGCGAACCGAGAGCAGTCAGACGACGTCTTCCAGGTAATGAATAAAACTATAGTATGCACTAACATTTGACTATTACTTCTTATTGGTCTTCTCAAACTCAGATTACCTTTGTCATGAAGTTTTTACCATGAATTTTCTAACATAATTATTTTTTAAGTTCATCATTTGCACTGAATCAAGTTCACAAAGCTAAGTAGAGATTTTGATAGTTCATTATGGATATGTATCTAGGTATACCTATTTTAATTTCCATTAAACATAAACATTTATTACGCGAATGTCATTTGAAGTATCAATATTAACTTATTACTTAAGAAGTAAAATGTTTATGATACGTAAAATAACTTAAGGTAACATTTAAATGAAGACTAGGCGTATTCTATTGTGTAATGCCATTATTTCGTGATTTTAAAACGAAATAGCTACCCTAGACACGAGACTAGCATGAACACCGGCAGCGTTAACTCAATCACTTAGCTTACTCATGAGTCTATAACTACGAGTAACTCTACGTACTTAACGTAACGTCTTGTTGCAAAAGGCGACCAAAACTAACTTAAAAAAATGTAGTTTAGTTGTGCTTGTAATATGCACATTCACGTAGAGTCATAGAACATTAGTGACTGATAACTTAAGGCCCTGATTCAAGACTTGCATCCGTATCAACGTGCAGAAGAGCATAAATAGTGATTTATATGTATAAATGAAATTATTAGACAAATAAGTACTTCTAAGTGAAAATGTCACTGGAATTTTTCATGGTTTTAAATACACCTATTAATATACTTCACAAATGCTTCACAATACGTTAATATATAAAAATATAAGCATTGTCTTATTGTCGCCTATAGGTATTCTGTATATATACCTACTCAGGAATCAATTGAAAGAAGTGCCCGTAGAGTCGCGCCAGGGGCGCGTCTCGCCGTAGCGCTATAATTTCACTCGATTAGCGCGAGAGCGTTGTTGACGCCCCCGTAATGCACTTAACGAACAATATCAGTGAACTCAGGGCGCTACGTTGAACGTAGCCTATTATTACGTACAATTTTACGTATTGCATCACCTTTATAATTGAGAGCAACGTAACTAACGTAAGGTTTAGAACTTTTTCTAGAAAAATAAAAGCATTTATTATGCTTTAGCATTGTTTAGAACTTACCAAGTTTAAAAAGATACATGTAGGTAGTTAATTACTGCATTATCTGTATTATTATATAGATAAAATAACTTTGTTTTGATTAACCACTAATCCGATTCCAAAACTATAGAATTAGAAGATGAAGACCAAATAAATAAATAGTTAACGATTCGCCATCTCAATTCCAATAACGTTGGGAAAATAAACCAATAAAGCTATCAGATAAGTAAATTGCACATATTCCACAAGTACGACGATGCTATCAGTCGGCAGGGCAGCTCATTGCGATTCTGTGGACGCGATTACGCTAAATAATTCAGGGGTGCGTCGTAAATAACGCATTATACCAATGACTCTGGATTCATGGCGAGAAATTAGATGAGATATACCAGAGATAATTTTCCGAAACCGATATTTTCTTTGCGCGAAAAAGAGAGCACCTACCCTCTAAATTTTAAATCCATTGTTGTAAGTTATCCATCTTTCTAGACTCTATTCGCGTGGATTTTGTGTTCACACATTGAGTGATTAGTAACGACAACTTTCTTTCATTGAAACAAGACAATGCTTTAATGATAGAATATGACGAAATATGATGAAATTCCTTGAAAAATACAGTATTATGACAATAGTAGAGTCGCACGGACGACTAACAGCATCAGTAGCTCAAAGGGCAGGTGTTCACACCCTTTTTCCCCCAGCATTTAGGCTTCATAAAATATTAAACAGAAAGTATGCACAGCTCCTAATTATGAACAAAGTTGACTATAACTTCCACGGTGTTGAGCAGGCTATACCACTAGAGGGGCGTTGTACACTCCAGAACTTTGCTGCGGCAAATACCTACTATGTTATCGATGAGCAATTGAAAAAGCTATGAAATACAGCAGCGTAGGAGGCACTTTGTAAATTAGATATCTTTCTCTGATATGAATGTTTTTTTCCACGGGTGTGCTCAGCTCATGCATTAATGCAAGCAATCCACGGCACTTAATTTAAGTGCAATGACTAAAAATACTATTATGCATGTATGAATATACACATTAATGTAAGAATACTACCTACTTACTTTAAAATTGTGTTTTTCTACCAATTCCGTTAAAGTTTTCACAAGAAAAGTTTTTCCTTTTTACCGCATCGCTGAAACCCGAAATATTTTGTAAGTTTTATTTGACAAAATACATGTCATATCATGTGAGAGGAATATTAAATTAAATTGAGCATGTCCATGATTGTTGCATCTAATAGATTAGTCACTAATAAAGTGAAGCTGGCTGTGGGGTTTTTTTATCAAAAAAAGTGAGCGCAAGGACTCAGTTATCTGAAGCACTAATGAGTAAAAGCCATTTCCGTTTATGAAAAGGGCGGGCCACTATCTAGGGCGCGCAGTAATGGGAGCCCCCAAATGCCAAAGACTTTTTTTAACTTTCTTACCAACTGGATGCAGCTGTATTTTGTATCGAGTTATAAATCTCTCTTCGTGATTAGCCGAATGAAATTATGGTATTGTAAAATAACCGTGCCATCTTTTGTAATAAACCCAATTGTTATAAGTAACATAAGTTTATTCGGTACAGAACTTGAGCAGCCCTACTACTAAGTTCTGAGGAACTTAGTAAATAGTAACTACTCAATAAACTGAACGTCTGATACATTTTATTGTGTACAATCATTGTGACAACGCGAAGGGAAATCAAGATTAAACACTGTCATTTTAAGTTACCTACTATTTTGTTATTTGTGCTATTTTGTGATATTATGTCGACTGTATCGTATTCTCCTGTAGGCCTAAGATGCGCGCCGCGATAAGCGGTTATCACGCTATTTTATCGATTTTGCCCATACATTTTGACGTCGATAAAAGTTATCACGGCTCTTGGTTCACGGTATCTTAGGCCTACTGGTCTAGCTAGGACAGATTCAAGCGTGGTACTTGTCGGCAGGTGACGGTGGTGGCCGAGGAGGTGTGCACGTGCGTGTGCTGGCCGCGCATGCGCCTGGAGCGCGTGCTGCGCCACCGGCCGGCGCTCAAGGTCGTGCTCGACTGCCTCATAGGTCAGTCCCCTTGCGTACCAGACAGGGAAGCGGGACGCGCTCATCTCGTTACAGTTCGAACTCTACGGTCCAGTGGGTACTGGGTACCCCTTTTGAAGGGATGGCGGGGCAACCCCTCTGGCACGTCAATTAGTTGTAGCTTAAACCAGCTTTAACGTTACGTTGATTTTAAATTGCCTTGTCGATCGTGTAAGTATAATGTATCAACGTAATCGGACGAAAATGCTACCAGAGTCCTTCCAACTACGAGTATAAAGATTTTGGCTTTTATACCAACGCTCTATTTTATTTGAAGCCAATAAAACTGTCCACTATTGGCCATCTGTTAACGCAACAGCTTCATTGATAGCGCTATTAATCACTCCCTCAATCGTCACTATTTGAATCCAACAGGCTCAGATCATTATCTTTCCCTTGCATGCTATTTTCTATTAATTTTTGCCTGTATCGACGACGTGATATTAGAAAATAATGATACAACTTTAACGTAGGTATAATCTGGTTTCTCTCCGAAAAAACACTAAAAATAAGTTTCATTTTGAGGAAGTTTATTTAAAAAAATATTTAGTACATTCATCTACTTACAAAATAACCTAGACACATCTACTTAGGTTGTCTACCACAATCTCTAGAACCGTTCTGATAACCTTTTTCATGAAAGTTTCTGTAAATACAAAATGTATGATTGATCATAAGTAGTTTCCTAGAATGTAAACAAAAAGTTCCGAAACGTATAGTTTGTACTTACTCGTAAATACATTTAACCTTTTGAATGGTACCTATCCAATTTGCTGCACATAATAAGAGCTTCTTTTGTAACATAAATTATTACCTTTGTAAAAATATACCTTATNATATACCAACGAAAATAATAACGGTCCCCTAAACAAATTAACTGATGGAATCGCTAGCACTTGTTCTGAAGATTAACGTCGATGACGGGGCGATTCTGAGGAAACTATTATATTCGGGCCTGGCAAATGGTTTAATGGACTTCTGCCTTAGTACATTAATAGGACTTATTATTTGGTCCTTAATGTTTATAAATAACTAATTGTAGTAGGTACATACTTCTGAAAAGGAAGAAATGGTATGTAATTTCACTATAGCAAGAAATATTCCGTCAAATAAACATTGACTTTTCTAGCAAAACATGGCTGAATATCTTCTAAACATTGCTTTCATTTTTGTTTAACCTTTTAGAATAACTAGTCGTTAAAAGCAAGCGTATAATTACACTGACTCACAAAAGGCCGATATTATTCAACCCGTCAGTTTGCAACATGAGCAACCACCAATTTAACGATGAAAGGGATCAAAACTCGTAACAGTGACCCACAATATCGGTCCCTAGCAACCGGCTATATGTAAATGCAGTCAAATCAATACGAACGCAAAATGCAAATAAACGAGACTCCAAATTGACAAATCCCTATTAAGGAGTGAGAGTGGAGAGAGTACCTACTTTTAGAGAGTGCATTGAAAGTAGTAAACATTGAAAATAGATATTTCATTTGTGACATTTCAATGAACAGCGTATTAAAAATAGTTCGAGACTCAGTTCAACATTGTAAAGGTTGAAGTTGAAATCTATAAATAGAAATTGATGGAAACTAACGTGAATTAAAGGGGCTGTATTTTTAGTAACATTCTGAAATGTGGGTGGGTAGGGTACGATTAGTCATTGCAGAAATTCATAGTTTGAGATAAGAATCTAGAATAACTACTAATAAATATGGTAGGAACTTTATGCGTCAAGTTACTGAAAATAAATAACAAAAAAGTATCCTTGATTAATTAGTATAATACAAAAGTTGATAAGGTCAGTGCGAGTACCTAGTTAAGATAGAAATAGGATCACTGGAAAATTAGGGAAAAACTATTTTCTTCTTCTGCCTCTTCAGGGATATTACTTGAAATTTGGGTCTTCCTTTGGACGCTTTTAGATTTCAGTGTAAAACTCATAGCAGACATCACTCTGAAACGGATCAACCGTATCGCCTTTCGCGGGCTGTCATCGGCTTTCGCGAGCTGTCATCGCCTTTTGCGAGCTGTCTTTGCGAGGCGAGACGTTTACGTTACAGTGCGGTTAAGTGTGGGTTACAGTATGGAGTTTCATACAAAGAATACTGACTGCTTCGAATTGATACGGTTACGATCCCTTTCCGGATTGATAGGTAAATGTGCTACGTCCTTAATAATTTAAGAATCGAATTAAATTTTATTGACCTTCAGGTAAGGATATAACCCACAAGCTGTACTCTGTGAGCGAGGGCCTGGGCGCGGGCGCGGGCAGCGAGCGCGAGGGCACTCCTGCGCACCTCACGCGCTCGGCCAGCGTCGACGCGGTGCACGAGGGCGCGCGCGGCAAGCTGCGCAGTCTCGCCTGGCGCTCGCGCACCTCCACCAATAAAGGTCAGTATTCCAAATCAAAACAGGTATACAGGGTGGAAACGATAAGTGATCTTACTCGATTATTTCTAAACTATACAAGATATCGAAAAACTGGTTACTGATCCTGAAATGCTTCACGAGCTCTTTCAAACGGTACCAATAACAGGTTACAGAATAAACGGGATCTATCCGAAAATTCATTGTTTACTTGCTATAAAATTTGCTATAATATTATCAAGAGATGAGTAACCATATCTGTGATAGTACTAAATGTATGGAAGATGGAAACATTGAATTTTTCCATCCAGTTTATTCTGTAACTTAATATTGATACCATTGGATAGAGCTCGTGAAGCACTTTCAGGATCAGTAACTAGTTTTTTGATATCTTGTATAGTTTAGAAATAATCAAGTGAGATCATTTATCGTTTTCACCCTGTATACTGACCACTTATTACAAAAAGTAAGACTCTAGTTGAACTCTAGTTTAAATGGAAATTTAGTGTGAAAATGTGATTTTTTTTGTAATGAGGCTGTGTGGGGTGTGAGTGGGTGGGTTCTTACGAAGTTGTAGGGGCGAGTTTACTACAAAAATGTAGTCTAGTGCTGACGACTGTACTTACAATAAAGAAATCGTCTTCGTTTATTTTGCGGGCTGTATACCTACTTTTTGGAATCTTGCACTATAGGTACACCTACTTGAATTGATTTCATGAAGCTAATTTTTGGTCTGTCTCCTAGTCTAGCAAGATGATGTAGAGACATAATGGATAATTCTTTTACGCTGATATTTCTGGATAACTTAGTTTTGAAATAATTTGTTTTTAAATTGTTACCATGTTTCCATTGGCATAACAAAAGGAACCATACTGAGAACCGCCACAAAATATTTAAGTTGTTAAACACTTTGTGTCCCCGACCGAATCTAGGTCAGCAGGCAAACTTTTACAATATTATATTATTAATTTTCTGTATTCACCATGTTTCTAGTTTTTTATCTTTCATCGACATTATCTTTGTTTGAGTTTCATATTAAAGAATAACAATTATTATTATATTGCAATGCGTAATGCCACATAATCCACTCTATCATCAGAATGCTGTGCGGTTTCCACTCAGAAAACAGTATTTGGATTTGTTCCAACAAGTTATAAGGCTTTATAGTTTTTTTCTCCACTTGTCTACTTTGAACATTGGCGTCTTTACAGTTGAGATTTGTCATTTTAAATTGTTGTTACTTTTAAGAGACCTATTGTTAAACTAAATTCCGGACTAATACACTATCGTAATTTCGGTGGGAAATACTTTGTAGAGGGTTAAATTTTCTCATATCCGTCGAGATAAACTTACTAAGAAAGAAACTCCTGTAAGACTGACAAAATATTGAAGGGAAAAAGCTCAGCTTCGACTATTCTCGTGCATTACAGGGAGCTCGTACTGGCAACCAATGGTAGCACGGCAATTCCTACGGAAGTCGCCGTTCGGCCGCAGCGTGACGCAGCCGCGGCTGTTGCCGCAGGCGTCGTCGGCCAGCCTGCAGCCCAGCGAGCCGGCGGGCGGCGGGGCGCGGCGCCGGAGCCCGCCGCGGCGCTCCACGTCGTTCCGGCGCGGCCGCGAGGTCAAGTTCGCGGAGGCGCCGCCGCTAGCGGAGCCCGCGCCGGCGGTGTGACGCGGGCCGCGGCCCCAGCCCGAGCTGGTGCCGCTCCGCCTGAACCCCGCGCCCGCCGCGCCCGCCACGCCGCCGCACCTGCACAGGTACCCCTGACCGGACCTCGAGCGGACGACGCCGCCGCACACCACCGACTTCTAAACGCGAATCACCCGAGGACCCTCGCTACCGGTCACCTTGGATTCGCGATCAAGTCAAGAGATGTTCTAAAAAAGAGCTTCCTATTATAGTGTTGCCGTTTATTGTTTGTGTGCGGAGTTTGTGTTCGCTCGTAACGTTATGTGAACGATGACTGACCGACAAGCTTTCGGCAACGGGAATCTAGTTTTAAGAGATTCGGTTTGTTAATTTTTACGAGTGACAGTGTTGGACTATTTAACTGTAACTATCGTGTGAGAGCGTAGACTAGTCTAGTGTTAAATGTATATTTCATAGTACGATAAGCCGCACTACGACATATGCTCGCGCGCCTACAGACGCTACAGTTGAGTGCTAACTTTTGCAACGTGACGACCGACTATTACACTGAACGACATTAATTCCGAATTCTGATATAAAACGGAATTATTACCTACCTGAATGATTTATAGCTATCGATAAATTCAAATGAGGAATTCTAAAACTATTTTAATGTTAAAATTATTGTTTACTAGTAAATAAGATGTGTTAAAGTCGTGATATAAGTATTAAAAGTTACCGCGAGGATTTATATTCGAATATATTGTTCAGTAAAGATATACCTATTTTCGTGCTCCTTGTTCTATAACGTTCATACATTAATGATCGTGTTAAATCTTTAGGGCCAATTTCTTATGTCTACCGGGAGGTGTAGTAAATACTTTATATTCGACGCTTGACCACCCTGTATTATACACGATGTAAGAGCACCGTTGCCAGGATTGACGTTGTTTAGACCATAGATCAAAATATTACTCGGTGTCTATAGTTACCTAAATGTTTAATGCCTGTTTGTGGGGCCTAATTCGTGATAGCACTATCCATCAGACTCTTTTTGAAAGTTCTTCAACTGGTTTTACTATAATATCAAATCGTTTGTTTTTCCTCTGTACCTTCTTTTATTAAACCTCTTCATAAGAGCTTAGAGAAGAGTATGTATGCAATAATAGGTATAATTAATTGAAAATCAAGATATAATCAATAGACTGGACAAAGGAATTGTTAATTGAAGCAATGTGCTACAACGAATGTCGTGGGAATAGGTGGGTGGCCAATTAAAAATTGGGCACCAAATATAGAGTTAACTAAAATATCTGCAAGCGCCAAAACAACCACGACAATGCTATACATTTATCAGATTCGTATTATAGAAGATATTATACATACATTATGTCATTTTATTTACATTTAAAGAATGATGTTCTGCAGCACAGTGAATTGTATTAAAATAAGTACTTCTTTCAACGTATCAAGATGCACATTTGAAAATATCTCACATTCAAAAGTTATTATTCAAATATGTACTAAGGATTGTGCTTATAGGAGCTTTCGCTGCGAGACCTTCTAAAGAACGGTTTTCGTACGTAAGCTCTATTTTATTAGGTGTGTTCACACCTGCAAGGCTTCTCTGTAACATGATGTGTGTTGCCAGTTCTACCCAAGATGCTGTCATAGCGAACAATAGAATAAAAAAACGCAAATCGTGTTGTGGAGTGGACCCACTGCATTATGAGTATACTTCACGTCGATGTTTAGTTGATGTTGTCGCTTTGTTACTGTACGGTGTCAGACTAGATGAGCAAGTAGTGTTCGTATGTATCATAACGTCGATCTGTGTCAAGCTCGACAAACAGTACGTAACTTACAAAGACCGTACAACGAGGAACGTACAATTTTGTAGTCAATCTAAACATTTCGATACGTAAGATAGTTTCAGTAAATACAGGTACTTTAAGGTTTCTAGTTTCTATGCTACTATTTTCGTACCGGTGAACTACGAGTACGTCTTGCGTTGTACCCAAAAAACAATAACAGAAAATGGTTTTCCACACGTAAACAATTTGAGATTTTGAACTACAGTGCACCAAAATGATCCTTGTTGTACGGTATTTCTTACGAATACATATCGTTATTTGTCTTGTCTCGTCTCTGTAGTTACTTCTTCATGATAGTAGAATCTCGATGAGCTGCAATCATATAACGCGGTAGATTACAAGTGAAATTCCTTACGTATTCCAACTGATTGTCACCACCAATTATTACAAACGCTTTATCATCTTTCTATTGGCAAACGACGACAGAGAACAGTGCGTGTTGTTATAATAGTAAAGTACTGGACTTTCGGCGACTGCGTATTCTATAACTGTTAATTTTATTCTCTAAAATAAGGCTGGCGTCACTCGCACTTTTCTCTAAAGTCCTTTGCACTACAAAAAATTGGCCTTGCTCTTATGATGTAATAAACTAACATTATAAAAGGCTAGTGAAATTTTGATAACTAAATAACAACTAGACTTGAAATTATAAATTGTAAGGTGTAAAACATTCACGTACTGTGTAAACTTCATACTATTCAATTCATACTCATTGGCTTCATAACATTTTGTATAATTCGTGTCTGTTATGTTGACTAACGATTGGGTACGACATGTAATGACGACTCGTTAATTATAATAAGGGGATTGATCTATATTTAAGACGCTAAAGTAAGTCTCTCCCACCGCAGGAATTGTAAAATACTTTAAGTGCAAATCTGTTATAACAAATCATAACATGTTATTTATGTTAAAATTATAGATGAAAATTATTTAAAGTTAAACGTTTCCATTGCTTTGCCAATGTTGTTCAGATGTCTTCCACTTGTTTAAATAACTTAAAGATCTGATCTATCCACATTCTAACTGTGTTGTGATTTTAATGTTAACTAACAACTTCTATTTGATGCAATAATAAAATAGCACGTGTACATTGAAATTCCTTAATTAAAAAAGTTATATTTGCAAGGCCCTGAATATGCAATAGATTTTCATTAGATAGTTTATATTAACTATAGGCCAGTAGAATTAAACACAAAAATTGATTAAATCGGAAATAATTCAAACAAAAGATTTACTTGCTTTAACGGCTTCATTGGTTGCCCATTAAGACTCTCCTAGGTTTTCGACTTCGACGGAGTTGTGCTTAAGTGGTGGGGGGCCCGGAAAGGGGCGCTTTTTCGGTTTTCCGGTTATACCGCGTAAAGGACTTACCCTATTGAAAAGTGGTCTTCCTGACGGTTGAAGGGCATTTAATCCTGCATTAAATAAGACCAAATTCATATGTTTTGAACAAACCGTTCTCGTGCAAATGTTCGGCAAAGTAGAAAATATGTGTATAATTAATTACCCTCTCCACGTCCAATGGCTCGTTACACACAGGCTTCCAAGTCTTGAAAAGGAGCGCCTCAACCAGTGTAACCCTATCAAGGCTTACGAGCTGGATGCGCCTATCCTTGTTCGTCCCAGCCGTTCCTTAACTGCGGTTGCTGCACCTCTTCCTGGCACTCACCTGAACGACTCTGTGTTACCTACTGTGGCTGCTCCTCTTCTTTGTATCCTCCTGCACGACTACGTTGCCTAGCCGTATGCCTGGTCTAAGGTTCGACGCCAAAAATCAACAACAACAAGTTCATATTAAAACGCTGAAGAGTTTTTTGTTTGTTTGTTTGAACGCGCTAATCTCAAGAATTACTAGTTTGATTGAAATAATTATTTTTGTGTTGAATAGCTCATAAATTGAAGAAGGCTATAGGATATATACAATCACTCTACGACTAATATAGGCGAAGCAGTAAAGAAAAATGTTGCAAGCACGGAAAATAGTATTTAAACTATTTTCACGCGTACGAAGTTGATTTTGTGGCGTCGAACCTTAGACCAAGCATATGGCTAAGCAATGCAATCGTACAGGAGGGTACAAGGAAGAGGGGCAGCCACAGTAGGTAACACAGAGTCGTTCAGGAGAGTGCCAGGAAGAGGTGCAGCAACCGCAGTTAAGGAACGGCTGGAACGAACAAGGATAAGCGAATCCAACTCGTGAGCCTAGACAGGGATACGCTGGTTAAGGCGACCCTTTACAAGGCTTGGGAGCATACGGGTGACGAGCTATTGGACGTGGAGAGGGTCATTAATTATACACATATTTTCTACTTTGCCGAACATTTGCACGAGAACGGTTTGTCCAAAAAATATGAATTTGGTCTTATTTAATGCAGGATTAAATGCCCTTCAACCGTCAGGAAGACCACTTTTCGATAGGGTAAGTCCTTTACGCGATATAATCGGAAAACCGAAAAAGCGCCCCTTTCGGGGGCCCCCACCACTTAAGCACAACTCCGTCGAAGTCGAAAACCTAGGAGAGTCTTAAAGGGCAACCAATGAAGCCATTAAAGCAATAAAATCTTTTGTAGGAATTATTTCCGATTTAAAAGCTAATTCTACTGGACTACTATTATTGTACATAGCGTCAATTTAATTATTCAGCTGTTGTACAAAAAAGGGAGCAACTTCTTAAATTATTTTATTCTGAATATTTTTCCATGCTTCACAATTTTTTATCAACCTATTTCAGAGAAACTGAAATGAGCGATGTAATTCATTGGTTTAAAATTATAATTTATCAATTCCCACCTCTTATTTGATATTTATTTAGAAAGAATCGATCACTTTCTTAAAAAATCTGAAATATGAGGTACGTATTGATCATAAATAGGCTGGTGCGTGTACAAAACTTAATTAATATTATTGCATGAAAAGTACTGATGTTCTTCAAGATGTTAAAGTGCATAGATTTTAATACACTTTATACACATTGTGTAACAATACATACGTTTAATGCAGTAGATTGTCGTATAGCACGTTTAATTTAAATAAAAAATACAGTCGTATAATCTTCAGTATACAATTTAGATACGTGTAGACAGTTATGATGTGATAAGTATCGGCATATTCATAGACTTGAAAAGGCGCCAGATGTGGTTTGTTTACATGTTGTTTTAGATATCACTATAATCTCCAATTAATAAATATTCAATAGGCTACGAAAATATCGAGGGAGTGGATTGATTGAAGGCAACTTATTTAATTGGTATTTTTTTATTGTCATGTTAATTAAATGTTAATGAAACTAAAACAATGATGTAGCAAACTCGACAAGCGCCTCTGTGATACACGTTAGCTATTTAGTATAGGAGTCGTCGGTTGAAATATCATGTACTCGCAATCTAATGTTATTCGATATGGGTTGCCCCTGCGTCTCGTCATGCATAACATTACAGTTATCGATTATATATTATTGTATTTATTCACTTTATTAACATGTTTATTATGTCTTTAATAAAACAATTGCTTAATTTATCGTTTCAATTTTGTCCTTGTCATAGTATCGTATCATATGATACCAACCAATATAAGCTGCTTTTATGTTTTCACAAAAACCAGTAACACCTGACATTTTAACACATTATAAGATAATTCATTATTTATACTTATCTGTCATTTTTATGAGAACAGAACCGTCATGATACCCTATGTATTAACGAAATGGTTTTCATTTTCTAAAATTGTAAACATGCTTAATAGATAACAACTCGTTACGTGAAACATTGACCTCCGCTGACGTGAGGCTCACGACACATCCGACCGAAATGTATAATTGAGTTTAAAATGTTAATCAATGCGTGGCCCACTGATAAAGCGGTGATAAGCCAGTAGCGCTCGCGAGCCCCGACGCGCCGGCGCACGCCCGCGTTGTGCTACTCGGATCTTCTATAATTTGATGTAAAATAAATCATTGCGACGCTAATTTAGTTACAATGGCATTTCTATTAAGGAAGTGTGTCGTCAACTTGAGGACTGTGAACCGATGCCGCAAGTTACGTCTGCCATTGCGAAGTGTAAGTGACTCTACATTTTTGAGTAAATATTTTGCTGTCGTAAACCGGTTTTGCGGACGGGAGGTTATGTCAGGGTTTTATAATTGTAGTCTTATCAACTCTCTTCCTCCAAAGTTGTATTATTCATTCAAGCATAAACCAAGTTTGGAATAAAGCCAAGTTGTTAGCATTTCCCCGTCTTGGTTTTTTATGATAGTTACTTAAAATATCAGTAGTATTTTATACTCAAAAAAGTTGTAACTTATTTGAGTATAAAATTAAATAAATTAAATACTTATTTTATGTCATACCACCGAAACTTTACCAAAAAAATAAGTACGAGCAGGTCTTACTTTTAAAAATTCAAGGTGGAATGAAGAGATACGTAGATAACAACTTGCAATATTTTAATACAATATTACGTAGCCACCAGCAGGGGTAGGTACAGATACTTAGATTTACTAATCAATCGAATGATATGATGATAAGAAATTAATCCCTAAAGTTTGATTTGTTTGAATAGTATCTCTGTGCCTGTGTACGGTTGACAAAAACATTGTTTCTTGTTCAGTACTTAGTAATAAGATAACGGTTGTGAGCATACAATTCTTATCAAACCATTTAAGCAAATAACCATAAGCAGTTTAAGATAGTGTGATATAATGAAGTCGCTAGGGCAAATTAGTTACCCATAGATTTAGCATGGTTATGTGACGTAGGTTTATTGCTTCTTGTTTAAAATACCGAACTTCACAATCTTTCAATTTCTTTCGACCTATAAAATGTCAGAAATATTTTAATATTTAACTGAAAATCATTCACAGGATTTCAAACATTCAAGGGGGAGTAGCATAGAAAATATTGAATTCTCCATTGCAGGAGCACACACAACATGGAGGCAGTTCCATACTAGTCAAATCACTCAAAAAACAGTAGCCTTCAAGTTATCTGATATCGGAGAGGGAATCCGAGAAGTAGTTATCAAAGAATGGTAAGAAAAATGACAAGTTTACTGAATACTCCTACTTCCCACTTTATTATCGTGGCTTTTATAATAGTGTGAAGACTCTGAGCTTGTCCAAAGTTTACGACATGACTTCAATATAAATGTATAAAATAATCATTAAAGATCAGTGTAAATTAGGTCATGAACACGAAACAGTATAAATTGAAGTTATTCTAAAAACTCTTTGTAGATATGGTTGAAGACATTCTCACAACATGACAATAATGACATAATACAAATCATTACAGGTTCGTAAAAGTCGGCGATAAGGTGGCACAGTTCGACAATATCTGTGAGGTCCAGAGTGACAAGGCCGCGGTGACCATCAGCAGTCGCTATGACGGAGTGATCACGCGACTCTACCATCAGGTCGACCAAACAGCGTTGGTCGGGCAGCCGCTCGTGGATATAGAAGTAGAAGGAGAAGAGGACAATGGTAAGTATTACCTAAAATCAACGTAGTGAAGTTAGGAATAATTTCCACTAAAATTAAGAATAACTTCCACTAAAATTCTAAAGGTATCTTTCGTCAAATGCCGTCACGTCACATGTTTGTAATTTAAAATTAATTACAGACTCTTCAGACTCTGAAACTGAAAAAGCGAGTACACCCGCTCCTGCTACAGATACAAAACAACGAGTAAGAGTGTTGACTACTCCGGCTGTTAGAAGAATAGCTGCACAATTTCAAGTAAGATATTAAAATATAACTTTAAATTCGCATAGTTCGTCATTTAAATACCTTACCATAGCAAGATATCCCTGTCATTAACGAAACACTTATTATTTTTAAGGTAGACCTAAGCACTATTAAAGCTACTGGTAGAAATGGAAGGGTCTTGAAAGAAGATGTGCTAGCTTATCTCAACATGAGCTCAGACGAATCTAACGAAGTACCAAACTTGACAGCAGTACAAGCAGTTTCTATTCCTGTGGTGCAGGCGCATGCTAGGACTGAGATAGTTTTAGATGACAGAACCGTACCAGTCTCTGGCTTTACTAAGGCCATGGTTAAATCAATGACTGAGGCAATGGTGAGTCTCGTACATTGAGTATAAAAAATATATTTTAAGAACTTAAACGAAAGAGGATTTACAATACATTTTCTGTTGTTAATGTTACAGCTACATTGTGTTACAGAAAATCCCACACTTCGGATTCAGCGATGAATATGATGTATCAAAATTAGTAGAGGCTCGTGAAAAATTAAAGAAATTAGCCCAGGACCATGTAGTAAAGCTCACTTATATGCCAATCATCATGAAAGCGGCCTCGCTCAGCCTGACTTCCTTCCCGATTCTGAACAGCAGCCTCGATAGTACTTGTGAAAATGTAACGTACAAGGCGAGCCATAATATCGGAGTTGCTATGGATACCCCTAATGGATTAGTTGTACCAGTTATCAAGGTAAAACACAAGCCCTTTGTTTCTATGAAAGAAGTTAATCATATTATCATTTTTATTAGTTATCAGATATTTACTGAGATTACAAACCTCATTTTGATAATTTTAGAATGTTCAAAATAAGAGCATATTAGACATCGCTCGAGAACTAAACACCCTTCAAGAGAGAGGAACCAAAGGTCAACTCGGACTCGCAGATCTAAGTGGAGGAACGTTCACAATTTCAAACATCGGGATTGTACGTATTGATTTTTGATCTATTACGAGTAATAGATATACCCACTTAAATGAATGCTAAAAATTTACATATCTTGCAATGTTACAGGTTGGGGGAACTTACACGAAGCCTGTTATATTGCCACCACAAGTTGCTATTGGCGCACTAGGAAAGATTCAGGTAATTTACGAAATTATAGAGTACATTTTTAAATGAAAATCACAAAGTAACTTAAAGATAAATTGCACAAAAATTCGGGAATCAAAGATACTTTGAATATTCGTTGTAAGTTGCGAGATAATAATATCATTTGGAATTTTCAGGCCCTGCCTCGATTCGATTCGGAAGGCAAAGTTATCAAAGCTCACATTCTGACAGCGAGCTGGTCTGCCGACCACCGGGTCATCGACGGCGTCACTATGGCTCGCTTCTCCAACAGCCTCAAGAAATACCTCGAGGATCCATACACGCTGCTATTAGATCTATAAATTGTCCAACAATATCCCCATCTCAGTCTCTTTACTGTTTTAAGTACGTAATGTTTTTGTTAAAATAAAACGTCTAAGCTAAAATTAAATTATGTACTTTTTTATTTTCATTTCAAGCGTACTGGCGCTAATCAATTATGCATTCAAAAACATGCAGAAAAGTCATACAACAAATTTTACGATCTTGTCAGAGAACTTTGGAACACTTACAATGTTATCTTCTTAGTATTTCAAACCTTGTAATTTTGAAGTAAGCGATAGTCCATTCTGGGATACAGTGTGGAGTGTACTCTCTGTGGAACCGGGCAAATATTTCCGTAAAGATGAGCGCATCTATACTATTGATTGGGGCCCACTTGAGAGCCAGGAATGCCATATCAATATCACAAAATCTTTTATCTGCAAACAAACAAAAAGTTTGTAACCAGCTACCACAAGAAATGGCTATTTAGGCTAAGAACTCATGGCGCGATTTTCACCCGCGCCCGCGGCGGTTGCGGGCCCGCAGATTCTGTAGAATGCAGATACTTATGTGAAAACTAATGCACAACTCACGACGCGGTTTTCGCCCGCAGCGGGCGCGGGTGAAAATCGCGCCGTGAGTTCTTAGCCTAACAATCTTAACAGGTGTTTTGAATAACAGGCATTAAAAACTTGAAGCCAAATCTGGTCATATTATCTTATCAGGGCAAATTTTAATGTCAGTACGATATTATTCAATATCTCACTAATTTGTAATGATTCGATAACCGATAAGATATGAATGACACTCAAACAATATTTCATAGGTCATAACAACACTAATTAACACAAAATATTAGTTCACTAACTAAAAAATTTTCACGTTAAAACTACTCTTATAGCAGTTATTGGTCGAATGAATCAGCTTCGCAAATAATCGCTACCGACTTGGTTAGTTAAAAATGGTTAGGACTACATAACATAACATATTCTCTAACCTGCAATCCTGATGAAGTAGACTTTCCTCGGAGACGATATCTGTATGTCATCGCGGCTGAGTGCTAGCAGCGTGCGCTGGCGGTCGCTCCAATTTCTTTCCAACTCTCGCAGAAGACTCATACGCGCTGCTTTAGTTAGCAGCCCATTCAATTCCGCGAACTGACCGTCGCTGATGACCTGGGTTATTCGGGATATCGCCTGAAAAAATCCAAAATTGAAACTCCTGCGAGTCAAACAGAACTATGCTATTCTTTGAATCAGAAAAAGTCTGATATTTCTTACTTGTTTGGTCCCAAACTTAAATTCTTTTTCTTCGAATGACGGATCCCATACATTCCTCAAAACACTGAAGTCTATCTTAATCATTAGCCACGTAAATGGGTTTTGTATTAATATCAACCTCGGAACTCGTCTTTTTCGATTGTCAGGATTCTCATTTTTGCGACGAAAGAAGAATGATTTTGGGAACCCATTTACAAATTCAAACTGATTATGTGTTGGTTGTAAAAGTTTAGGAACGTCATTTCTTGAAGGGTTAAACTGATGAAACTTAATTTGCGAATACGAGTTCAACTTAGGAATAACACGAACTAAGGAGGTTCGTGAAGAGTTAAGTAAACTACTGAAATAGCAGTTGCTTTCGCATTTCAACAAACTTGGAATCTGTGATGCGACTGGCCAACTACGTCCCCCAAGTAATTTAATAGTTCCTGACATCTGCAATAAAAATATATAGAAATTATTAGTACTCCACTTAGATCATGTTAGCAGAATCTATTTGTAACACATAAGCACAGGTCTTCTTTTAGGGGTGGTGGTGGGTCCCAAATAGTATTGAGAGCAAGGTTAAATGCTTGCAAAGAGTATTGAGAAATTCTAAGATTGAGAAAACACTCACAGTTCTTTCGGATGTAGGTACTTTCTGAAAGAAGAGTTAATAAAAATTGATTACCGTCATTATCTTGGCCCCATTGCCGAGTATCGGCAATAACTTATAAAATTTGACTATTCTGCAACATAAACACTTGAACAATTTTCCATTTTTGTTAAATTATCAACATTTTTAATGCTTTAAAAAATAACGTGCATTATTTGCTTGAAATGACAACCATGTCATTATAAATAAATAACAGCTGTTTTTTATTACAAAGGAGAACCTATCAATAAGTAGGTTACATACATAGATACGATTTTCGTAAGTTTATGGTCTCAAGTTCAAAGTTCTTCCAGAATTTTAGCGTTAATTTTGCAGTCGAAGTTATTTGACCACTTGACACAAGGCACGAATTAAGTGAAAAGGAGACCTACAATACATCCTACTAATATTATAAATGCGAAAGTTTGGATGTCTGGATGTTTGTTACTCTTTCACGCAAAAACTACTTTACGTATTTTGATGAAAGTTTACAGTATTATTGTTTATAACCCAGAATAACATATAGGCTATAAGTTATGACGATCTGTGTCAAACTAAATATCACGCGGGTGAAGCCGCAGGCAAAAGCTAGTAGTATATAGTTTCTAAAAATAAGCAAAATATCCTTCATCTTCGAAATCTTCGAATAGTGTTATATACTTAGTGCTACGGATTATGCTACGACTTACTACGGCTTTATTTCTACGGGTAGGTTTGGTAGGTTCAGTTGACCGTTTCTTTCGTCTACTGAAATCCGAAGAAGGGAAGTGAGTGGCAAATTTTTAAATAATTGAAAATTTTAAATAACAAGAGTGACGATTTAATTAATTAATCTTCCCACTCTCAGATAAAACCACCAATTGATTAGTTTATACAGACTAACGATCAGAGGACTTCAATTTATTCGTCAATTAACATCTCTACGATGAACGACTACAAATCACATTGGTTTTAGGCAGTGGCGGCGTAGCATGGGTTGGCACCCGGGGCGAACCCCCCCCCCCCCCCCCGTCATAAGTCCTAAGGCACCCCCTGGTACCCCTCAGGATTTTGGGGTTATCTACCGATTCGAAGATTGTAAGACAATCGCACCCCAGTATNTCCTAAGGCACCCCCTGGTACCCCTCAGGATTTTGGGGTTATCTACCGATTCGAAGATTGTAAGACAATCGCACCCCAGTATCATGACATAGACCGCAGATTTGCCATGCAGATGCGCCGTGAGTACTAATCTGCGCGACTTTTGTCACCCCCTGATGCTTGGCACCCGGGGCGGACCGCCCCCACCGCCCCCCCCTTACGCCGCTAGTGGTTTTAGGTTGGGAACATCCCAACCGTTATATCCGCGTTTCCTATGAATAATGGGTAATTACAGAAATCTAATTTTAAATTAGAGGATATTATTATAAGCGTAATGCGTGAGAATTCAAGAATGATTCTAGGTTCAACGTCACTGTATTTTCATAATGATAAGGGACGGTTACGGAGAACTTGGTTGTGTTTATCATTTGTAAAGAGGTAGAAAGAGGTAGAGTAAATCAATGAGGATAAGTATAGGCCTAAAGAACATTTTCCGTCCTAGGCTGACAATGGCGGGTGGAGTATATAGCGTGCGGTGGTTTTAGTTACGCTTCAGTGCTCTCATTGTCAGGCAAAATAACCTTTAACACACTTGCAAATAAATATTACAAGTATTCAACTGCAACACAAACAGTTGGAGTAGTATCATTTAGAGGGAGCACTGGAATGGATGTGCTTCAGTGTCAATTAAGGAACTAAAAATCAATTCACCCATAACGGTTGGAGTTAAAATTAGTGAAAGAAACAATAATTAACACAGCAGACACAGAAAAGAAAGGTAGGTTTTTAATTATTTGTTTAATTTATATTACATTAAACAGTGAATGTTATATTTAGTTAATCAGTGAAATGCGAGTTGCATCATTCGCGTGCAAATCTTATTATTATGATCCTGTTATTTTTAATATTGGGCGGAACCGTTATTAATAAACAGGTAGTGAGCGAATAACAATTGATAAGACTGATTATTTTTGTAGATACAATCTTACTTATTCAATCGTATCTGCGATGGATTGAAGATTATTGCACTTCAAACTACTATAATAGGCAAAAAAACAAGATTACTTTTTTAGTGTTCGACAAGGCTTCGGCAGAACTAAAAGCCGGTAACTATTTTCTCTATACTGTTAAATTGAAAATAACAAATGCAATGTATAATCAAATTTTAACTGGGGAATTAGCAATCCTTTTATTTCTCACGTCTTAGGTAATAAGTTGTTTTCATTAGCATCAAGTGCGAGTTTTTATTCTTTGACTTTTTTTTTCAGACAAAATGTGGCTTTATACTGTTGCTGTCTTGGCGCTCGCTTCTCTGAGCAGCGCGTGCACACCCAGTGTAACCGCAGTCAGCGGTACCCACGCTCCAGCCAGCTTCTGTGCTGGAGACCTCATCTTTTCCGACGACTTCAACGAATTTGATCTTGAAAAGTGGCAGCATGAGAACACGCTTGCAGGCGGTGGTGTAAGTACTTAAAACGCTTTTACGTTAAAAGTTGAATTGAGTTTAAATTATATCCCCGTGCTCGTCAGATCATGTTTATCCGCGCGCGCCATTTTTCTCCTGTCTACTTATTATCATCAACCTGCATCAGGCATAGCTACTTGTTGTTTAGCAACTTGATGTAGGTAAGTTATTCCCAATGCTGTACCTTATCGTTGCTATATCTTGATGGAGGGCGTTCCACAGTGCGCTACTCAAAACAATAAATTTTGCTTGTCAATCCCATCGCTGCCATTGGTTCTAGTCGCGAAATGTAAGTGGATCAGCTTTTTTATCGCGTAAAAATGATTTCCATCCTTCAGAAATCACACGTGGGCTTTTCCGTAGTCCCTTACTTCTCCCTTTTATATCGTCTTTCTTTTGTCCCTCATGAAAATAACTGTATTTTATGTCTTTATTTTTTTTTTCAGAACTGGGAATTCCAATACTACAACAACAATAGGACAAACTCTTTCACCAACAATGGATTATTGTACATTCGTCCCTCTCTGACCGAGGATCAATTTGGATCTGCGTTCATGACCAGTGGTCATCTGAACATCGAGGGAGGTGCACCAGCTGACAGGTACGTAACTGATGAAGCACGTTACAGTACAAAGTTCAACGTCTGAAATAATTACTCATTGTGATGCTTGACTTCCCACAATAGATAAATAACAAACTAGGTAAATGGTAATTACCAACTCCGCGCCGAGAGTCATTCTATTCAACTTCCTTTTGTGTCTATTAGTAGGTACTTGTAGTAACTTTAGGTAAGTGTAAGTACTATCGGCAACAGTGTTAACTGCTCATTGCCAGTCATGTCATCTCGTTCTATCGCAAAGAATCACCATTTGATTAGAGCGAGAGCAAAAACGAAAATGGATAGTTAACAGTGTGGCCGTGTGTACCTATCCAAACTAGACAAATACCCGAGCTAGGTTTCCAAACAACCCAAAATGAGAAGAAAATATTTGTATTATGCTGTGCTACCTAGTTAGGTACTCTGGGATAACACAATTAAATACTGTATTAACTTGTAAATTAATTCCTTTTATCTCCACAACAGATGCACAAATCCCCAATGGTGGGGTTGCGAGCGTACCGGCTCCCCGACTAACATACTGAACCCCATCAAAAGCGCACGCCTTCGCACCGTAGACTCCTTCAGCTTCCGATATGGAACCGTGGAGGTTAGGGCTAAGATGCCAGCTGGAGATTGGTTATGGCCAGGTAAGAAACTAGACAGAATAGGTATAGAGTAATAGAATAGAATAGAATAGAATAACGTTTATTTTGCTGCCACATGAATACACATACATACAAAAAACAAACGTAATAAAAAATTAAACAACATTAATATGTATAATTAAAGGAAATGTCAAAATTAAATGTCAAAATTAAATGTCAAAAACGATAGAATTGTAGATGTCAAAAAGAATCTTATAGAACAACTAGAGGACTTGATGATACTTAGCAACGTGTCATTTTTTGAATGCTGAGTAAGTGTTTTCTAAGTTTACTTTTGAAAGTAAACTTAGATTGAGCTTGTCTAATGGGCGGGGGCAGGTTGTTCCAGCATTTGGTTGCCAAGTATCTAAAGCTACCCCTAAACGCGGCGGTCCTGTGTTTGTGATTGACGAGTTTCCAGGACCTACCCCGTAATCTAGACAGATATCAGATAGTTTATAGAGTTAGACAACTTAACACAAGAGCTAGGCCTAAGTAGGTATATTTCACCAAAGGGTGCCATTATCGATATCTATTAATCGCGAATAATTTAATTGAACTCTTATATTGACGTCTTTCGATAAACCCTAATTAAAAACAATAATCTTAGGTATTTCAGATGAGATTAATTATGATAACTGGCATAATTTTCCATTACGCTTGTTCACAGCTATTTGGCTTATGCCCGCTTTCAACGTGTATGGAACATGGCCAGCATCAGGGGAGATCGACTTAGTGGAGTCCCGCGGCAACCGCAACATGTTGTTCAACGGTGTCCACATCGGCACTCAGGAGGCTGGCTCCACCTTGCACTATGGACCTTACCCAGACCTCAATGGATGGGAAAGAGCGCACTGGCTCAGGAGGAACACAGCTGGATACGATTCCCAGTTCCATCGCTACCAAGTTATTTGGACACCAGGTTATAAAAAACTATGTAATTTATGTCACATGTGCACTTAACCTATTTAACTGTATTTTTATCTCTTACCATTTTAAATACAATATATGCAAATTCATTCTCATAAATTAAGGTTAAACCTTCTTACTTAGTTACGTAGATACGCTGCTTACCTACTTACTCGTCGTAAGTTTGTAACTAATTAAAGAAATGCAGAATATATTCTACCTGTATTATTAATTAACTGATCAACATTCATTTGCAACAATACCTACCTTTCTGTCCCCGTCAAACGATGTAGGGACATCAATTCTATGGATTCTCATTTAGTTGCTACTTGCTACATGCAATTCTTTCTATGTAAAATAGATTTTATTTTTTTCTAGATTTGATAAGATTCAGCATCGACGATGTGGAGCTCGGCCGAGTGATGCCTGGCAACGGAGGGTTCTGGGACTTCGGAGGCTTCAACAGCAACCCGAATATTGAGAACCCGTGGCGGTTCGGGTCCAAGATGGCGCCCTTCGATCAAAAAGTAATTAGAATATTGATGACATAATACTAATGTGTGTTAATGCAAATTAATCTGCATTTTTATAATATTCATTTAAATATAAATAGATGTAATTTAAAAAATAACAATTTAATGTAAACTTTTCAGTTCTACATCATCATGAACGTGGCAGTCGGAGGCACGAATGGTTTCTTCCCTGACGGCGTCACCAACCCCACCCCCAAACCTTGGTGGAATGGATCTCCTACGGTTAGTTTACTTACAAAAACAAAATCAAATCATAATTTAGCATTAAAAATTTCGCCTTCGAAACTTTTGACAGTTAGCACGCAGTTTTCTTCTATTAAAGTTTCCATGCTAGTAACATTTGCTAGCTAATTTATTTATCTTCACTTTTACTTTACTTTAATCTTCAAATGAACAAACAGGAAAAAGACTACTGATACTGAAACGAGATATGACAAAGTTTTACACAATAGTGTCTGAATAGTAAATAACACATATCGTTGCATAAGTAATTATTTCATTTTTCCAGGCCGCAACCGACTTCTGGAACGCAAGGACCAACTGGCTCCCGACCTGGAGACTGGACCAGAATGACGGACAAGACGCTTCTTTGCAAGTGGACTACGTGCGTGTGTGGGCTATATAAATTAAATACCATATACAATAAATTATGTGATATGATCACGAAATGTCTTTTTCTTGCTAAATTTTCTCAAGTAAGGCGACAACAGCCCGATATGGTAAAAAATAGAACTTGAATGTGATAGGTGTTGATCGTTAAAAGACTTTTAGCTATATAAACTTTAGCAACTTATTTATTTACAAATATTACCAATCGGTTCGTATGTACTAACTATGATTTTGGAATGATCAATAAATATGTGAACCGATTTTCCAATTCGATACAACTTTAGTTTAGATAGTTATCAACAACTCTTATAAAATAATGTAAACAAGTTATTTAAAGCTCTGCATGAATAAAAAAAAATATCAGAACCACAATAAAAATCAATCCATGTGGTAAAACCTGGGACTCAAGTACTGAGGTGGTCTGTTACTGGATAGTGGTGTAGAAGTAGTCATCATGTACGACGGTATCTGTCTGCGTTTGTCCGGGAAAGGACTGATGCGCGAATAATATCTCCGTTCTATTACCTGTAAGAAACGAAAGTGTGGATGGTTAGACTGTTCGTAGACACCTTAGTAAGTAGGTAGGTATGTAAGTCAAAGCCGACAATAGAATATCAAAGACGATCCTGATCCTGAAACTGTACCTACTATTTAACTAGGTAAGTAAAAAATTCATTATAAATATTGTAATATTATAGGCACTCTCAGCCACAGAGCTAGTTGTGGTTCCAGCTGCCCATTTCCGGTCATGTCGTCTCGTTCTATCGCAAAGAATCACCATTTGATGAGAGCGAGAGAAAAAACGGAAATGGGTAGCTAGAACTGTGGCCGATAGTAGCTACGATTTGTAAAATTTCGTATGCCAATAATTCCTGCCTGAATACGTCTAAAGCCAACTTGGACGAGATGCCTTCGCGGAAAATAGCAATATTCAAATATAATTTAGAACCTTCTTCTGATCAGTTCTGATCATCACAGTACTTTGTGACTTAACCATTTGTGTAGGGACTAGGGCGATTAAAAAAGGGCAATCCAGCCCCCAACAACAATAGAGAAGCGACGTCATTAGGAACGAAAAAAGTGGCGAAGCAATCTTGAAATATAATCTGTCACGATTGTTCCTCTATTTAGGGGAGATGCAGGCTAACTGAGACTGTGTAAGAGTTATGAAATAAAACAAAAAATGATTAGGCACTTACCTTATCGAAAAACCTAGTCAACTTCACTGAATTACTTGTTCCTGGAGCTAAGGACCTGAAAACAATAATGAAATCGTATTACAAAATCTTTCAAAATCATTGGTGCTATGAATGACTCATCCATCATATTCTAATACCTGGATTGATGGCAGTTGACAAATATTTCATCGGACCCACACTGCTCTGCAATGCTACTGGCTAGTCTTCTATATTGATTCTTCTTTTGTTTTTCCTCCGCCATGTCAAATTTGGTCCCAATTACAAGTATTGGAATCTAAAACATTATCGGCTTTCATGTACACTTATCCTTAAGTAAATAGCAGAGCTAAGTAAGTACCTATACGTAGTCTTTATTCTTAAAATACTTACTTGAGTAGAACCCAAAAACTGTTCTGGATCGACGTCTACATGCTGCAAAGGACTTGGACCGTCTTGATTTAATATTTCTGATAACCATTTCTGTAAGTTAATTTGACTTTTTCTGTTTGTTAAGTCATGTACCAAAATAATACCTGAAACATAAAAGTAAACTATCTGTACAACTGCGCATTTGCTAAGAATATTATGAAATAAGTATAGGTAGTCGACGATGAATAAAGATGTTCCATGAACTCACCATGCGTCGGCTGATAAAACACATTCCTGGTATTTCTATGGCCATTGGATCCGCCTACGTCCCAAAGCTCGACAAAAAAAGTATTTTGCGCCTGAGTGCCTTCTTTATACTTATGTAGCTTCACTTCCACAGAGCAGCCTACAGTCCACCCAGGAGATAGCAGAGGTTTATTGTGAGCTATCAAGTAAGTCAGCGATGTTTTGCCAACACCTGTTATAATAAAACACGACTTTTACCTCATATTTTATTCCCGATACGGATTTTGTGTGCTGATGGAAGCTTACCAGGTTGGCAGCAAACAAAATGGATACCTACATAATTTATGTATTAGGTTTTTAAGCCTATATTTTGTCATTAGCATAGCGTTAGCGATCCCAACTTTTGACCGAACGCTAATATTTTACAAGCTTTATATTGACTTCACTTGTTAGTATGTGTGGGACAAATCTTGCAACTGAATTTAAGACCACTTCTCCTCAACCGATTGAGCTGAAATTTGGTATACTTATGTAAGTACAATGATAATGCAATGTTATGGTACCATTGAGCTGGTCTCATGATGGAGTCAGGAGGTGGCCATAGGAAATTATCGAGTTTGGGTTCATTGGATTCGTCTTCCCGAGCACTTTGGTGCTAAATGATGACCAGGGTCATGAGATTGAGATACAAACTAAAATGTGTAGGTAAAATAAAATTATATAAAAAAACTTATTTTAAAAACAAGCTTAAATTCTGAAATTCTAGTACTAAATGAAAAAAATAATTGTATGCAAGGTTCAAATAATTTCGAAAGCTTGTAGCGCTAACATAAAAAACCGGCCAAGTGCGAGTCGGGCTCGCACACCGAGGGTTCCGCCGTACAAACGTAGCGGTTTACAATTTATGACGTATTAAATCAAATTACTTACTTGATTCCGTTGCGAGTAGTGGCGAATTTCAAAATATGCGGTATGATTATTCTTTATTTATTTATTTTTCCTATATTTGCATTATAGGTACCTACCTCAGCGTTTTGAATTTTTGCGTTGATTTAGAATTTCTCACAGTTTAGAGGCAATTAGATTTAAGAAATGTTTGATATGAATTTCAACTTTAATATCTCTACGCGTTCATGTGCAAANCTATTGTAAATTTTAAATCTACTGTACATTGATCTCGGAGCCATCTACTTAGTAAATTCAAATCTAACTAGAGTGATTCAAAGTCAGCACCTGACAATATTATTCTTAAAGCGGGCAATCACTACCAGTGGGCAATCACTCTCTGGTTTACCCTATATAAAAGAAAGTCGTGTTAGTTACTCCACTTATAACTCAAGAACGGTTGAACCGATTTAGCTGAAAATTGTCAGGGAGGTAGTTTAGAGCCAGGGGAAGGACATAGGATACTTTTTATCCCGTTCGAAATTTAAAAAAAATTAATATCTAATCACAACGTGTGATATATCATTGGAAAGAAGAGAAGCTAGAGATATTTTTAAGATTATTGGCAATCCATTATCACCATTAGTTTTTTTTTAAATCGAATTCGAAGTAGAATTTTTTATCGTGGTTTGTACTTTTGTTAAACTTTGGCGGCTCGTAACTAGTTATTCAATCATTATCTGGATCTGAAATTTATTTTATTTGACAAAAGGTTTATTCGATATTGGTATCAAATAAAAAAATGGGTTAAAATCATGCGAGAAAAAAAATTAAGTAGTTTTTAGGTCAAATTTCGGAAAAAGTATGAAAATTGACATATCTTCTAAACTATGAAACTTTAGCCATAGAAAGTAAGGTTCAATAATTAGCAAATGACCTCCTCTATACGCGTATTAGCTATGGCGGGTTCAGTTCCAGTCACCCTGTATAACTAAAAAAATGTAATTTTGGCAATTTTTCCTATATTTGCATTATATGACAATGCTTTATGCCAAATTTCAAGATTCTGAGTTTACGGGAAGTATCCTGTAGGTTTTGATTCAATATCGACATAATCGGCTGTATCTTTTGATTGGCTTGGCTTAGAAGTTTGATATTTTCACAGCTTAAAGGGACAATAGACCTGAGTATTTCATGTGAATTTCAGCTTGATACGTTCACGCGTTCTTGAGATAAAGGGTCTTGACAGACGGACGGACAACAAAGTGATCCTATAAGGGTTCCGTTTTTTCCTTATGAGGTACGGAACCCTAAAAAACAGTAGTCAGTAAATTCCATGCGCGATACAAGCTTTCGAAATTATTTGAACCTTGCATACAATTATTTTTTTCATTTAGTAGGTACTAGAATTTCAGAATTAAAGCTTGTTTTTAAAAAAAGTTTTTTTTATATAATTTCAAATTGAGTAACCCGTTACTCGAAATGTTAAAGCTAGAAGTGGGTAGTCTTAGTTCAAAATACATACATAGGAGTATGAAAAAATTGAAAATTATAATTTCTCCTAAAATAAAGCATAAAGTGACTGGCCTTAGACATAACATAATTAATTAATAAACTATAATTTACACTAATAAAGTATTCAAAAGCATCTTAAAAAAGTTACGGACAAAATGACGTCGAAAATATACAGATTTTTATGGAAAGACCCACATAGGTACGTAAACGACAGTGCTAATTAGCACGATTAATAACACTAAGCACAAACTTACAAATAATTAGAAGACCGCGCGATTATCTCTCGTATCGTACTTACGAATCAAAAATGTATTACGAATAATCCACCCTTCTTCATTTATTTTTATTCGGCATATCCTACTTTTATATTTTAAAGTTACATAGCCTATTATGGTAAGTTTTATGTAGGTACCTAAGTGCAATTTATTTTACTGAAATAAAATGCAATCTGTTGCGCGTTACAAAAATACCTTGATGATCAAAACTTTCAAGTGGTGGTGATAAAAATAGTAATCAACACATCAGTAAAAAAAACAAATTAGAATGTAGCGTGATATGAAAAAAATAATAAAATATCAAAAAAAAAAAGAATACAAGTAAATTAAAAACTTTTACGCGCTCACTTTTTAGATCTTAATTTGTGGCGGGAAAATATTGGCGTAATGTTGGCGGCCCTTTTATTTTTGTGTCATGGCTGAAGTCATGTTGGCAGACAATCAGTTGATAAATTCTCAACAGTGATTTTAATTTCGTAGAGCAACACATTAGTAAGCTGAAACTGTAAGTCATATAATACATTATTTTTATACCTGAATCGCCAAGAACAACTACTTTTACTTTCTCAATTGCTGCCATTTATAATGAATTTTTCACACTCAGCTCGGCAGGTTCTGTTTTGACATTTACTGCCAACCTTAAGAAATAATTAATGTTGCCAGTAACATTATGCAGCGTTTTGTTTTTACAAATAATATTCAAATCGGCATTGATTTCATAATTATAAAATATTATTTATTGATTAAAAGTAGAATTAATGCCTTGTTTAATAAATAGTTCTATGTTGCTGCTTATTAAGTTCTGAGAAAATTTATTATTCTATTTTTTGTAACATTTATAAAATAATTTTACTTTTTCCTAATAGGAAAATCTGGGAAAAACTAAACGCAACTANGTACCCTGCTTTACACAATACACTTGCTTGCAGCTGAATTTTTACGAAAAGTAAAATCAATAATAAATAATGCGTCCGCCATTGTACATTCAGTATCGTGTTTAGATAATTTTCTTAAACCTCACAATAAAATGCAACGATATATGACGTACGTGCAACTCGGGAAGGTCATACAGTAAAACAATGGACATCCACTGCAAATTATTTTTGGTGCTTCTTCTCATAAAATCAGTGCATCTTTATTGTGGTCCCTACAATGGACAGATTTGCAAAAGTTATTCTACGGGCTATGTTTGGTACAACCACACAGGAGGACTAGACAATGAGAAGATTACGACTGGCTTGTGGAAAGAAATGATATCTACTCTCAAAGAGCCATGTAGAAGTAGAGCTGAAAAATTACTTTGTGCCTACGCTTTTCCCAAATGCGTCGACAAAGACGGAGTTGGTTATTTTGCATTGCCACTTTGTTACGAAGACTGCATGGCTGTTAAAATGCAGTTTTGTTATAATGACTGGATTGTTATTGAAGAACAAAAGCGACGTGGAGTTATATTTGAATCTAGAGGTCACTTCAGATTTCCAGAATGTGAAAAGCTACCCAAATTTTCTGGGAAAGGCAACCAAGTAACTTGCTACAACACAGGTATCACTGACATGGATTACAGCCAAGTGACTACTACATGTGTGAGGGGTAATGGGCAGTATTACCAAGGCACTATGAATGTGACAGAGACTGGACTAGCATGTCAAGCATGGGAATCACAGTCTCCACATCAGCATACAAGACCACCATTAGTCTTTCCTGAAGTTCAAAACTCAACAAATTATTGCAGAAATGCAGGAGGAGAGGAACGTAAACCCTGGTGCTATACGATGAACCCAAATGTACGGTGGGAGCTATGTGACATACCAGTATGTGCCAACTCAAGTGATGAATTTGACAATATCAGTGGACCAAATATAGTTATGGAGAATTACTTCACACCTTCATTTGTCCTGTTGCTATCAGTTGGTGGACTAGGTTGTATCATAGGAATAGCATCTGTTGCTTTGCTGTGTCATTACTTCCTTAAGAACCACTACTCCAAATGCAATATGTCAAGCCGCAGAAATGTACAAAATATGGATATTGATCTTGACAAACTTCCTAGCAATCTGGCTTACCACACAACTGGAGCACAACTTAATCCTAAACTAGAGAAATTGGAATTTCCTAGAAACAACATTATTTACATTCGTGATTTAGGACAGGGCGCATTTGGCAGAGTGTTTCAAGCCAAAGCTCCTGGACTAGTGCCCGAAGAAGAATTTACACTAGTCGCTGTTAAAATGCTCAAGGATGAAGCTTCTCACGACTTGCAGTTGGATTTTGAAAGAGAAGCTTGTTTACTTGCAGATTTTGATCATCCAAACATTGTTAAATTACTAGGAGTATGTGCGATTGGGCGACCAATGTGCTTGTTATTTGAGTTTATGGGGAAAGGTGACTTGAATGAATACTTACGTGCTTGCAGCACAGGTACCAATTTCTCTACAGCGATTGAAAATAGAGAAGATCTAAGACTCCTAGCAGCGCCATTAGGACATCTAGATCTTCTTCATATTGCAAGGCAGATAGCCTCTGGAATGGTTTATCTATCAGATCGCAAGTTTGTTCACAGAGATCTAGCTACAAGAAATTGCCTGATAAATGATGATATGGTAGTGAAAATTGCAGACTTTGGTTTATCTCATAAAATTTATCTACAAGACTATTACAAAGGAGATGAACATGATGCTATTCCAGTTCGATGGATGCCTTTGGAGAGTATACTGTACAATAAATATACTTTAGAATCTGACGTATGGGCATACGGTGTATGCCTGTGGGAAATATTTTCCTTTGCTCTACAACCTTATTTTGGTATGACACATGAAGAAGTAGTAAGATTTTTAAAAGATGGAAATGTTCTAGCATGTCCTGACAATACCCCAAGATGTGTATATGATCTTATGAAACAATGCTGGAATCATCAACCTAGTGACCGCCCCAACTTTAGGGTTATTTATCAAACATTAGACAACATACAAATAATTCTTGAAAGAACTCATGAATAATTTGGTGTTTGTTATATTTAAGATTAGATGTTAAGAATCCAATTTCAGTATAATTTAAAAGTTGTAAATGCAATTTTACCTCAATAGTAATCATGTTTGCAACTGAAAGTGGAACAAAATGTAAAATTTGTTAATTACCGTCATGTGTGAATGAATGCACAGATGTTGATTGACACCTTAGTCTTAACGGCAGCTATTTAAATGTCAACTGTGAAAGTTTCTTTGTAAAAAATATGATTCCATGGCATGTGCATGTGAGTGTTTTGATTTAAAATATAACTAGCTACACATGATAATTATGCTATAAACAGTACTATGTACAGTAATACAATGTTTTTATACTTGTTTTAAATTATCTTTGTACAAATTGAAAGCTGAATGCATTTTAATAATTTTTTAGCATTTTTACCATAATTGAAGATAAAAAAAACGATTAAGCTCTCAATTAGGTTTTGTTAGTTATTGTTCCTGTAAAATATAATTTGGTGTTATAGTTATTTATTTATTACATGCATACTTTGTCAATTTTTGTAAGTAGTAGTTAGATTTTGAAATTAAGTATAAATACTCTGATTTAATGTTTGTCTCATAGCAGCTTNAGCGACAGGCACGGGCACGGGCGAGATGGGCGGCAGCGGCGGCCGTTCGATGTTGTTCTCCTTGAGCGTGCCCAGGAGTAGCGTGCGTTCGGCCTGGTGGAACAAATGTAATATTATATTTTATTTATTTATTTTATTTTATTTTATAAAACACATGACAAATTACAATTTTCAAAAAAATATTTTTACAAAATTGTTTTGCTTAAATCTAGATTGTAATTCAGAAGTATGTGTTATTAGAAAAGCAAGGTGGGTAGGTCAGTACAGTTCAAACGTCACCGCAGTCATGCACGTAACGTACGGACGCGAGCAAACAAATAAGTAGGTAGGTTAATCAGGCGAGACTCAGCGACGACGTCGAGCCGACTCAAAGTCATCACCGAGCCCGTCAGGCGCGGCGTAGAGGACATCCTGCAGTGATTTGATATAATGTGTGAGTCTGGAAGCAAAAATATCGAGCTCCGGGTTATGCTTTGCCAATTCATTATACTGACGAGCCATTCTAACTAAGGGACTGTAAAAGGAGGTATTGTTTTTAAAAATCTGTAATGCAAAAAGGTTAGTTTTGTAGGATCTTCGAGCACTATGTTTGATGTTATATGATATTTGAGAAAGCAAGTAAGGGGTGTCTATAACCGAATTAATTATTTTGTAAAGATAGACAAAGTCAAAATATTTTCGACGCAATTCAAGTTTTTGAATGCCAAATTTTTGAAGACTTGCTTCATAATCGAAACCTGGACGACCCAGACGCAGGCGATAGTTAAGCATTCGTAAACATTTCCGCTGTACCCGCTCAATTTCGTCAATATGTACCCTGTAGTGAGGAGACCAAACGGGGCTGCCGTACTCCAAGATACTCCTGACGATAGCGGAGAATAAATAAAGCAAGGACCGGGGTTTTTTAAAACCTTTAGTGGATCTGAAGACGAAACCAAGGAGTTGATTGGCTTTTGATGTTATGTGCTCATAGTGTGGTCGAAAAGATAGTTTTTCGTCAAAATAAACGCCAGATCTGTGTCCATTCCTCTTATTCAAGACAACATACAAGCATGAGTGGCAGCGACGGAGAGAGCAGAAAATGTGAAAACATCACACAACACTCGCAATTTTCCTTAAAGCAATGAGAACTATCTTATACTGAATGATTTTTTTACCACACTTGAGAGTTCGGGTTCGATTCCCAGGCCAAACCTAACCTAGTTTCCCAAATTATACCTACCTACTGCCTAATTACTAATCATTTTTCTATTTTAGGTATGAAAGAAGATGACATCTGCGAACTGCTCAAGTTCGAAAGAAAAATGTTGAGAGCCAGGATAGCTACATTGAAGAACGATAAATTTATTCAAGTTCGATTAAAAATGGAAACAGGTTTGATTTGCCTCTGCTTTATTAAGCGACTGAAGTAGGTACCTACTTTAGTGGATAACTATTAACTACACGTCTATAGATGCCGTTATTGTCTACATAAAACCAAAAGTTATATCGCGCAAAATCATATTATATTTTCGTATTATAGGTCCTGATGGAAAAGCACAAAAAGTGAATTACTACTTCATCAATTACAAAACATTCGTGAACGTGGTGAAGTACAAACTGGACCTGATGCGCAAGCGCATGGAAACGGAGGAGCGCGACGCCACCAGCCGCGCCAGCTTCAAATGCCCTGCGTGTGGCAAGACGTTCACAGACCTCGAGGTAAGGAACTGCTAAACTGAGAGTAGCCCATAAATTGGTTGGTTACTGCAGTAATGATGTGGTGCGGGAGGACTATAAGTATTACTTCTAGCATTCCGACTTGTTTTACTTACGCCCCATGTCATATCTCGCACATCGCTCTACTACGACAGAAGCCTTCTTAGTTATCATTTAGAGTAGGCGCATACCGTTGATTTTTAGTTGGCCAATAGTTGTGCCCGATTTTAATTTGTATGAAGAATCGGCCAAATCGAATCGGCGTAGTGTGTGCACTCCCATACATGCCCATACTGATCAACTGCCCGACTAAACTATCGGCCGACGAAAAATCCACGGTGTGCGCCTACTCTTACAGAAATAACTTATTTTCTCTGAAACTTGGAAGTAAGTAGATGTAGCAAATAAAAGTTTGTTAGGTACAAAAGCAAAACTTCCGAGTTCTACTCCATGTCGAGTCATTAATATTTTCTCCTGTGCCATTCATAAATCTTTATTTATATTTTATAATATTTTAGGCAGATCAATTATACGACATGATGACACAAGAGTTCCGATGTACATTTTGTAACCAAGTTGTTGAAGAGGACCAATCGGCGCTACCTAAAAAGGATTCCAGATTATTGTTGGCCAAATTTAACGAACAGTTGGAAACATTGTACATACTGCTACGAGAAGTGGAAGGAATAAAACTGGCGCCTGAGATATTGGAGCCAGAACCAGTAGACATCAACACAATCAGAGGGTAATAAGAATTTCTGTAGACGTTTTTGTATTAATTTCACCAGAAAAACTATTATTTCTCCTGAAATAAAAGGAAAACTATTATCTTTTCTGAAAACCTCTGATATCACTTTGTTTTGATAAAATTAGTCATGTAGCTATGACGGGCGCGGATATTAGAACGCTTCAAACTCGGTACTTCTTTCCCAATTCCATAAAATTCAACACTTAAAAAGTGACAAAAAAATTTAAAATAGGTAGTTGAAACATTGCACAGCTAATTTTCATAGTGGACTGTACTATACGATAAACATGTCAGTCAATTTGACAACCATTGTCGGAAACATTATTCAATGAAAATATTGTCCGAACCCTTAGTATTTCTCTTAGACTAAACTGTAACACATTGTGAACCACTTTTCTTTCACGACTATAAAAAGATTTTAGCAATTTAATTCACAAAATCAATTGCGCACATTTAAAATAAAGTTTGTTTACACTTTGACAGCAATAGACTGACATGCAAGGTGACATGTCAATGAAGTTTTCAGTTACTGTTGCCATTAAAAGAAATTAGTACCATTAGTTTTCCGCAACATGGCGAGGGTTTTTATGTTCCTGGTCAGGCTATACAGCTTTTAACCAAGGTTTCGCTCGCGTCAAACTTTAAGGACGTAGCACACTTATCAACCCAGAAAGGGATCGTAACCGTATCAACTCGAGGCTGTCCGTATTCTTTGTTGCCAAATGTTTGTCTTTGTCTCGAAGCGCTGGTAGGGCAAAAAAAAGAATGAGACATGTATAGGCTCCTTAAGAGAATTTGACGATTTGTAAGTAGGTACTAATTTATTTAGTCTATCTATACAAATAAAGATAATTTTGTATGAAAGTCCATACTACTACATACGCACACTTAACTGCACCGTAACGTAAACGCCTCGCCTCGCGGTTGGCAGCGCGCGAAAGGCGATACGGTGTTGATCCCTTTCCGAGTTGATACAAAGAGAATATAGAATATTGATCGTCTCGAGTTGACACTGTTACGATCCCTTGCGGACAAAGATTTTAACCTTTGTCACCTGTCATCCGCTTTGCAATGGAGGGAAGTCGAACCTTAACCGATTGAGTCCCAGACGGCATTAATTAATGTCATAACAATTGATTATCTATTGTGTCTAGATTCGCGGAGCTTGAAGGATTAATTTCGAACTTCTCCTATGTTCTTCTGATTAATTTCGTTGCGGGTCCAATGACAGTTTAACTTTCCCCCGGGACAAACTTGACCTTCATTGGTTGGGTTTTTATGGCGGTCAAGCTGTAGATCCTGGCTACACAGGAGTTGCAGTAGTGGGAACGAGAGGTGGGAATAGTCCCGCGTTACGTTCCCTTTCCGGGTTGATAAGTGAGCTGCGTCCTTATACTGACAACTTACCGGGAAGACTCGGTTATAACTTTGTATACAAGTATTTTTATTTATTTATTTATATCTGCTGTGTGATGCCCATAGTACAAGCATTGTTTAGCTTGGGACTAGATGGCGCTTTTTGAAAACTAGTTATTCATTTATTTTTTTACAAATAAAAATGAATTTTTAGGAACCTTCTGAGTCACAGCCATCGGTTGAAGTTCCTGTGGTGTTCGAATCAGTTTTACTGGACGAAACGAAGACGGATGAGCAGAAAAGCGCCGTGGAGACAAAGTAAGAAAATATTGTTTTTAGTAACGATTAATGTTGCTGAAAAATCGATTAACGAATCGATTAAAAACTCATAAAAAAACACGTCAAACTCATTTAATTTGCAAATAGGCTTTTAAAAAGCACTTTTACACGTCCCAATATTAACCCTACCACTGCTTCGGGACAATAAATGGGCCAGTGCTGAGAAGAAGCAGTGCAAGAAACTCAGTCACTATTGTCGGCAGGGCCGGATTAACCATTTCGGGGCCCCTAGGCACAGCTCGTTTCGGGCCCCCCTGTTTTTTTGTCGCGGAAGAAATGCTTTGCGCACCGTCACCACTGCCGGGGGACAGGGTGGTGTTTGGGACTCAAAAGGACGGGGTATACCCACTAAAACCTCCGCGGCGTTCCGTTATCGCCCAAGTGGGGGTGTCGCGAGTGTCCGGCCGTAGCCTTAGACTTCTGCGACACCACCGGTGACAGCTCGCCTACACGGCGGACCCTACACGCCCACCTTGTGGGGAGCTGACGGGAATGGCCCGAAACGCCAAGCCGTTCCCGTCAGACGGAGGTGACAAGGGTGCCCCCGCACCCCCGGCCTGATGGCCGCCACGCCACTTGGAGGGAGAGTAGAACGGTCGTACAACCGCCTTCTCCACCCCCTTCTCCGCCTGCGGAGCGATGAGGCGAGAGGATCGTACTTCCGCTCGCGCTCCGCTGCCTCTTTCTGAAGGATGACCTTTTCGCAAAAGGAGGTGACCGCCATCCAACATCCTTCACTTCCCAGCATGGCGTTTACCAGGCTCGGAAGCGAAAGATCCCGGCCCACGACCGCAGTGAGGACACGGCGCTACTCCTCCCAGCTTGTGCAGACCGCGAGGGTGTGCTGCACCGCCTGCACCGTGTCATCCGCCGCGCCGCATTTGTGGAACAGCGGGGATTCTTCTCGCCCGATCCTATGCAGGTACGAACCGAAGCAGCCATGCCCGGTCTGCACCTGCGCCAGACGGAACGTGAGGAACCCGTGTGGTCGTTCCAACCATTGGTCCAGAACAGGACCAATGGCGTCCAGATTGCGGCGGCCAAACTGCGCGCAAGTCATGTCTTCCTTCCAGCGGTCGATCATGATCTCGCGCTCTTCCTGCCTGACGGCGCCGCGCCGTTCCGGGGCCGGGCGCTTTCCACGCGCCTTCTGGTCTGCCATCCAGTGATAGATGACAGACAAGACTCCAGCTTCTAGCTCCGTTCGGTAGGTCCTTGTGACTTTCTGCGCTATGGGCCTATGGCCCGCTGAGGCCTGCGCAGAAGGGCGGCATTCTTCCTCTTGTTGAGTGCGTCCGCCCAGATTGAGGCGCCATACAGCGCCATGCTCCTCACAACGGCGGCATAAAGTCGACGACACCTCGTTTGTGGCCCTCCCAAATTCGGGAGGAGCCAACTCAGTGCGCCGGCTGCCTTGAGGAGGCGTGGCGCTAGCCCGTTGAAGTGCGGGCTAAAATGCGTGAGGCCCGGATATTTAATCTTTGACGGCAATCCTAACGTCCTCAACCACAATGTGGGCGTCGGGAGGGCCCAGAAAGAAGAGGGCCTCAGTCTTCTCCAGGGCGACTTTCAGGCCGAGGCGTCGTATTCTGCGAGCGACTAATGTGCCGCCCGCCGACACCAGCCGTGCCGCGGCCCCAAATGTCTTCCCCCGGGTAGTGACCAGAGTGTCATCCGCATAGCATATGACACTCATGCCCGCGAGAAGGACGCCCCGGAGGAGCCAGTTGAAGCCTAGGTTCCACAAGAGTGGAACACAGGTTCCACAAGGCTACGCCGCGCCGTTTGAGCTGGCTGTCTCTGTTAACATACAGGACTTCGCGATTCCGTAAGTAATCGGCCAGCAGCGCTCGAAGTTACTGACACTGAGGCACTCTGTGATGTTGAAGTGCCTAGAGTATGGTGGAATGAGCGATGGTTGTTTAAAGCGTTGGCTACATCGGATGATACAGCCAACACACCCTCAGTCACCCCTCTCCCTGTGAGCCTCCGCAGTGAGGCTTTTTAGCCTCTGAAGGGTGTCGACGGTCGAACTGTCATGTAAACCAAAGCAGTAATTCCAACGTTACGAAAATGAATTAGGTTCCACAATATCGAAATAATTATGACGATTGAATGTGTAAACAAAAATAAGACGAAGTTTTAAGGTGGTTGGTTCGAGTTTTTTTATAAAAATAATCTTTAACATTTTTTTTTTCATTTTTTTTATCGGGAGTGCTGGGCCCCTGGTCATAGTGGTCATACTGGCCTAAAGTGCCTTATGGATAATACGGCACTGATTGTCGGTCTCCTTTTTGATTGGCGTAATAGGGGTTCAGTTATCCATATTGTGCACATTAGTCATTGGCACAATAGGGATGTTTCCTGGGTAAAAATAGCACGAGTTTTAATAAGTCCGTCAGTTAACTTATCAAAAAATACTCGACACGTATGTTTCACTTTTTCAAACCAATGGAAATTGAAATATATAAAGCGCGCCAAAGTTTAACAGAAAAGGCACGTGACGTCAAGGAGTGCTTAAAAGTGTAGCACTTTGTGTCGTCATGCACCGTAACTTCGTAATTACTTGTTTGTTTGACAATTAAAAATATGTGTCCAACAGTTTTTGATAAATAATTGACATACTAAAAGTTTTTTTAGGAAACTAGCCTATTTTATTATTAAATCGATGGTGGATAAATCGATTAAGCGACAAGTATACTGAAATCTAAAATTTTACAAGAATATGTATCTACTGGTCTGATCTATTTTATTTATTACATAATCTTTTGTTTCCCATATTTTTTTTTATTTCAGAAAGAAAGTAATAAAAGAAATTGTGAAATTATTGAAAGCAAGCGTCCAGCAGCTATTAGCAATGGTGGAATTCATGGAAAGGTAATTATCTTAACTACAAGTTATCTATACTTACTAACTAATATTATAATGCTGAGGAGTTTGTTTGGTTGAACGTAATCTACCCTAATCTCTATCCTAAAATAAGTAATATTACCCTACAGCCAATAGGGTCGAAGCAGTAACGAAAAATGTTTCAAAAACGGAAAATATTATTCAAACCATTTTCACGTGTACGAAGTCGAAGGAACAGCTAGTATAATCCCAACTAATATTATAAATGCGAAAGTAACTCTGTCTGTCTGTCTGTCTGTTACGCTTTCCCGCTTAAACCTCGCAACCGATTTTGATGAAATTTGGCATAGAGATAGTTTGAGTCCCGGGAAAGAACATAGAATAGTTTTTATCCCGGTTTTTGAAACAGGGACGCGCGCGATAAAGTTTTTCTGTGACAGACAAAATTCCACGCGGGCGAAGCCGCGGGCGGAAAGCTAGTATCATATAAATAGACACGTTATGCGCCTACATTATTGTATTTTAAAATGGCGCAAGTAGTCCTATTTTATGACAGCTATTCATTATGACATTTTGCACAGAAAAGGAGAATGGGGTAGAGTGAACCTCACAGATATAGAGAACCTATATTGTATTTTCGAATGAACTATCAAACTAATATTTAAACAAAAGCAAGACAAAACGTAACTTATTATTTTCCCTCAAATCAACTTGAGTCTTATGCCTTTTTGTCTTTTTTAATGAGTTTTCAAATCCGGATTATTTTTATGTGCAAAATTTATGAGGTTGTACCCTGAGATTAAAAGTGGAATATTCTCTAGCTAGCTACAGACATACAGACAGACATGACGAACCTATAAGGTATATACCTCTTATATTCAAACCATTTTCACGTGTACGAAGTCTAAGGAACAGCTAGTATGATTATAATAAAGCTAAAGAGTTTGTTTGAACGCGCTAATCTCAGGAATTACAGAAAATATATTTTTGTGTTGGATAGCCCATTTATCAAGGAAGGCTTTAGGCTATAACAGCACATTCNGGCGGTGGAGGAGACGCGCGTGGACGTCACCATCGGCGAGGACACCGGCGCCGCCGACGCCGCCGCCGCGCGCAAGGAGCGGCCCGTCTGGATGGTGGAGAGCACCATTGCCGCCAACGACCAGGCAAGCAAAGCTCTAGAAATATGGCCTTTATAGACCCAGGGCGCAGGGATCCGGGTTCGACTGCCAGTGGGAGCAATACCAGGCCTATTCATCTCCGCGAGTTTACATCGAAAACAAAACACGCACGATGGCCCACCTACAGGATACTATTCGACAAGGCCTCACATACGAGCGAACATTGACTCATGCAGTCACGCATGCGTATTCTTGTGTATGATGGAAGAAAATAAAGAAAATGGTGTACTAAATACTGTGCAGTATTTAACCGCCTCTGTGGTCTAGTGGTAAGACCACCTGCTTCAGACGCAGAGGTCCCGGGTTCGATTCCCAGTGGGGGCAGATTTTTCTGTTCGGTTTGGTTGGTGGTAGGGCTTGTTCTAAGTCCGCCTGGCTAGCTACCACCATCTTACCTAAGTCTGTCGCCATAACAACAATGTTAACAGCATTGTTGTGTTCCGGCAGTTAAAGGTAAGATAGCCAGTTCCTCCGTGGTTGAGGATTCCGGGTGAAGCTCGCTTCCACCTTCGGCCTGATCATCACTTACCATCAGGTGAGATACAGGCCAAGAGCTTCCTCGTTGTGGATAAAAAAAAAAAAAAAAAAAACCCTACAGCCAATAGGGACGGAGCATGATTCAATCTATTTTCATGCGTACGTAGTCCCGGGCACAGCCGGTAATATTATAAAGAAGAAAGATTTGTTTGTTTCTATTGAATAGACTCCGAAACTACTGGCACGATTTAAAAAAATCTTTCTTCATTAGAATCCATTTTTTTTCTGCTGAACATAGGCGGTACGAAGTCCGCCGGGTCAGCTAGAAGTTTACAAAACTGCTTGTTTTTTAAATATTTTTTTGATTGTAAATCTAGTGCATAACTCAGGCAGTGTCTGAGTATGGAAGCGGCACGGAAGGGTGTTTTTGTTGACGTCAAATGTCAGCGAGACTAGATTTGTATCAGAGTAAATACAGGGTGGCCCAGAACAAAATTCACTTTTGAAAATTCAAGGAAACGAAAACTGTACATTTTTGTAGAACTTTAACTATTGCTATTTAAAGGAAATTTAGTGCAATTTATTTTAAAATTTACTTCTTTTATAAATTTAATCGTACATGTGATTCCCTTGACGTTTACAACATTCGGTCAACATACATAAAAATTTTGGAAAACTTACGTTAGAGTTACCTCGAAATGGATTCATTGATGGATTATTAGAGTATACTCTGCTCATAAGGTAACCCCACAAAAATAAGTCTGCTGGAATGAGATTAGCGCTTCTTAGAGGCAGTGAGATTTCACCCCTGCTTAATTGGTTTGTTGCATTGAAAGGATGATTAATTTTTGAGAGCGCTATACATGTAGGCTGAAAAGCTTTTTGATTTCAAAGCTGCAAGATTCGCAAGGCTATGACCGGAGCACTTGGTTTCATCAAGATGGGGCTACGTGTCACACTTCAAATGAGAGCATTTAGATGGTAAGAAAAATAATTTCAGGCAGGGGTGACATCTCCTGGCCTCCAGGAAGCCCTGATCTCACTCCAGAAAAAATTTTTTTGTGGTGTTACGTTAAGAATAGAGTATACTTTTATAATCCAACAACCATGCAGTAACTGAAGCCGAGCATTCGGCAAAAAATTGAAAATAGGTTTCGAGGTAATTCTAACGAACGCATTCCAAGATTTTGATACTCGTTGATCGAATGTTGTAAGCGTCAAGGAAATCTCCTGGGCGATGTAATTTAATAAAGGTAAATTTTAAAATAAATTGCATGAAATTTCCTTTAAATTGCAATAGTTAAAGTTCTATAAAAATGTAGAGTTTTCGTTTCCTTGAAATTTCAAAAGTGAACTTTCTTCTGGGCCACCCTGTACAAATGAGTAGGTCATCTTCATAGAAACGCACCGAGCGCGGTTTGTATGTGAGCGCAACTCCCCGCTAATCCCCGCTAAATTTTGTCAGTGTGTGCGTGCGCGCCGCATACGTGTTGGCGCGCTCACATACAAACCGCGCCCGTGCGTTTCTATGAAGATGACCTACTCATTTGTATTTACTCTGTTTGTATGGTCTGTCACGTCAATGCCACCCCTCCCGTGCCGCTACCATACCTCAGACACTGAGTTAAGTGCTAAATCCCGGTCTGTGAGCACGTAGAATTTTGTCCAATGACCCCAAGCTACCCATCCTTATCGCTCGCGCGTAATTATGTTGTTGTTGCGCTCGCACACTCACTGCGGGCGCCCGTCGCACAGTCGCGACAGCAATATAATTACGATAACGATGGGTAGCTTGGGGTCATTGGACCAAATTCTACGTGCTCACAGACCAGACTATAGACCTATAGATCTATTTATTGTATACAGAAAAGGCGACCCATCTAAGTGGTTCAGTTCAAATCGAGTGAAACTATGGGCCACTTTAACTGTCATGTTGAACGACATACCTGGTTATAATAAACACATGGAGCAGTGGGAACAGGTATGTTATTTTATCATCATCATTCATCACCATCATCATTCATTATCATCATTAATATCTAGGTATAATAGGTATATAAGTAGTAGCAGGCCTGTTCATCTCCGCGAGTTTACATCGAAAACAAAACACGCACGAAGGCCCACCTACAGGATACTATTCGACAAGGCCTCACATACGAGCGAACATTGACTCACGCACGCGTATTCTTGTGTATGATGGAAGAAAATAAAGAAAATGGTGCACTAAATACTGTGCAGTATTTAACTGCCTAAATAATAATAAAAACACAGAATGTACTTTTTTAAGTTGCCTCAAGACACTGAGAGGTAAATAAGTAGTTCATATTATTCATGATAATTCATGCTAAATCATGTATTTCCTCCGCCATTTTCCGCAGTTTGGCACCTCACGTCACATCATTTTACCGACGTCAGCCCTATAGCTTCGGCGCAGTACCGATCACTGACGTTTGTCAACAAAATGGTGCTTGACTCTTGAGACAGGCTAAATTACACCATATTGAGCATAAATTTTTTTAAATACCTTCGCGAAGTAAAACTTCTGTACGTAGTAGGTACTCATTATTATTCTGTGGTAGTAGTGCCTAAGGTATTGGGGTGGCAGTGCACGGAATGGCATTGACATATTATATTATGACGTGACTGACTGAGCAATTATTGAGCTTAAAGTCAAAGCAGATCTGAAGTCTCACTGACGTTTGACGTAATCTTTTCTTAAAGGTTTTATACCTTTGTTTGTCACTCTGTCATCCGCTTTGCAATGGAGGGAAGTCGAACCTTAATTTCGAACTCCTATGTTCTTCTGATTAATTTCGTTGCGGGTCCAATGACAGTTTAACTTTCCCCCGGGACAAAATGACCTTCACTGGTTGGGTTATTGGCGGTCAAGTGTAGATCCTGGCTACACAGGAGTTGCAGTGGTGGGAACGAGAGGTGGGAATATTCCTGTGACGTTTGACGTCACAACAACACCCTCCCGTGCCGCTACCGTACCAAAGTCAAAGTCAAAATTTCTTTATTTGTTTAGACTAATAAATAGTTCTTACAAATCGTCATTTTGCTCTTAAGGAGCCTCTACATCTCAGGCCCTGACTCAGTTAGCGCTAGACTTAAACTTCTTGTTTACTATCATGGTGTGTGTTATTATAATGTCGTTCTTATAAATTCAAGGTATGGCATACTTGGAAGGACCATACGAAGCAAAAATTGCAAACTACCGACAAGGCAAGTTTGACTTCGCTCGAGCAGAGATTGTTAAAAATAACTGGCCACACAGAGGAACTAATTAACAAAGACCAATCGGTGACTGAAGAACGGAAAGTTTGTGTAAGTTGTATCTGTATTTAATATTTTATTTGTCTATCCCCATCACTTAGATGGTTGGCAGTCCACAACAGTACGTTTTTCTAGAAACTTCCTGCCCCGTACAACCAAACTGTGGAATGGACTGTCGTCTGCGGTGTTTCCGGACGGATACGACCTGCAAGCTTTCAAGAGGAGAGCGTATCTTCACCTTAAAGGCCGGCAACGCACCTGTAACGCCCCTGGGTCTGCGGGTGTCTATGGGCGACGGTAATCACTTACCATCAGGTGATCCGTCTGCTCGTTTGCCTCCTATCACATAAAAAAAAATCTCCCTTTCTTTTAACCCCTCTCTCCAAGGTGAGAGCCCCTTCGTTCCTGCTTTCCACCTCTCTCTTCGTTTCCCCACCCCTCCTTATTTCTCCCCTCTCTTAGTTTATCCTTCTCTCTCTTCGTTTCCCCGGCTCTCCTTTCTCCCCTCTCCCTTCGTTTCCCCACACCTCATTATTTTATCCCTTCTCTCTTAGTTGTTCCTTCTCTCCTCTTTTCTCCCATTTCCCTTCGTTTCCCGTTCTCCTTTCTCCCCTTATTCTCAGTTTCCTTTCTCTCTTCCTTTCGCCTCACTCCCTTCGTTTTCCCTTATCTCCTTCTAACTCCCCATTTACTACAGACTATAGTCTGTTCTGCGAGCACGTAGAATTTTGTCCAATGACCCCGAGCTACCCATCCTTATTGCTCGCACGTAATTATGTTGCTATCGCGCTCGCACACTCACTGCGGGCGCCCGTCGCACAGTCGCGACAGCAATATAATTACGCGCGACCGATAAGGATGGGTAGCTTGGGGTCATTGGACAAAATTCTACGTGCTCACGGACCGGGCTTTAGTAAATAGTTTGAATTTAATATTTTAAACCCATTTTAGGAGACTATACCTACGGAGAAACCACAACCTACGAATCTCGTCAGAGTGGGATTCTTGAATTCTTTTGAACTCTCTGATGAAGAAGTTACGGAGGGAAATGGCACGAAAGAAAGAGAAACAAAGTAAGGAGCAATATTATATTTATACGTATTTAAACATTAAATTAAGACAGAAGCGCAGCGTAAGACGATTACCCACAAGGTGGACCGACGCCCCTCATAAAGATTGTAAGGAAGGCGCTGGATGCAGGCCGCTACCAACCGGACATTGTGGAAATCATTGGGGGAGTCCTATGTTCAGCAGTGGACGCCCTGTAGCTAAGTGATGATGATGATGATGATAATTGTTTCATGTTTTTTAGAAAGATGGGCCATGAATTGAGATCGCGATCGAGCGTGGAACAGCTTGGCGTAATGTTGAAGTACTTCGAAAGGTAAAGATATTCTTATTTCTATGGGATAAAGGTCTACAGGGTGGAAACGATAAGTGATCTCATTCGATTATTTCTAAACTATACAAGATATCTGAAAACTGGTTACTGATCCTGAAAGTGCTTCATGAGCTCTTTCAAACGGCACCTACTCGTATAATAGGTTACAGATTATGGAAGCTGGTAACATTGAATTTTTGGATTTTGTAACTTCTCGTTTCCACCCTGTATAATCCGGCTGTATCTCCAAGTCACCTAGATACATTCCATAGCAGCTATTTAGGTACATACATTTACCAATTTTGGTGATAAATAGGCATTTTGTATTAGTTTTTGTATGACGCCTGAACAAAAACAAAGGGTAATAATTTGGTGTTATACATAGATTTCGAAAATAAAAAATATATAATTTAATTAATTAAGACATGACAAAAAAACTGAGGTATGTCTCTTTTCTGTCGGGTCTGGGTCACAGATGACCGTTCTTCTTTGTATGGGCAAAATCGATAAAATGTCGTGATAAAGGATAGGTAGCTTGGGGTCATTGGACAAAATTCTACGTGCTCAGCGATCAGACTAGGCTAAAGGATAAATAAAAAAAAATCATTGCTTGTTTTAGACACGGCGAGCCAAACAACTGGCACAAGCAAGACCCGCTTCTGTCTCTGCCTGAAGGGCGCGTGAGGGCTGAGCGGATGTGGACGGAACTCAGCGCGACGCTCAATGGCGTTCCCGGCGAGCGTAAACCCGCCGACAAATGGAAAAAGGTTGGGAACTATATTCCCACTCGAGCAGGTGGGAACTATATTCCCACTGTCTATGTTCCTGCTCGAGCAGGTGGGAACTATATTCCCACTGTCTATGTTCCTGCTCGAGCAGGTGGGAACTATATTCCCACTGTCTATGTTCCTGCTCGAGCAGGTGGGAACTATATCCCCACTGTCTATGTTCCAACTCCAGAGCTCTATTCAACGTTGTGCCTTCGATTTGCTGCTTCACTTAAGCAAGCATCGTTTGTGAATACTTCACTTAAGCTAGTAATAGGCTAGTTGCCTAAAAAATTTTTTTTAGTCCGTAATGTTTAATATCAAAAAATATTGGACACATATATTTTTATTTGTCAATCTAACAAATAATTACATAGTTATGGTGCGTTGAAGTTGCGCACGACGTCACGACGTGCGGCATTTTTAAGCAAGCGTTGACGTCACGGGCCTCTTCTTATGAACTTTGGCGCGCTTTATCTCTTTAAATTTTCATTAGTTTGAAAAAGTGAAAAATACGTGTAGAGTATTTTTTGATAAGTTAACTGACGGACTAATTAAAACTCTTGCTTTTTGACCCAGGCAACATCCCCATTGTTGTCAACTGTATTCTCTTCTATCCAAGGTCTGGGTTGATTGGAAGTGTAAGACCAAGAAGAAAATGCTAACAGAAGGCATGGACAGCTTGAGTGCGTATGGAAGACGGGTCATGGCCATCGCGGGACACTCGGGCAAGCCCGCTGCTAATAATGAAGATGGAGGACCAGCTGTGAGTATTACCAGGCCTGTTCATCTCCGCGAGTTTACATCGAAAACAAAACACGCACGATGGCCCACCTACAGGATACTATTCGACAAGGCCTCACATACGAGCGAACATTGACTCACGCACGCGTATTCTTGTGTATGATGGAAGAAAATGGTGTACTAAATACTGTGCAGTATTTAACTGCCTAAATAAAAACACAGAATGTAGTTTTTTAAGTTGCCTCAAGACACTGAGAGGTAAATAAGTTGTTAATATTATTCATGATAATTCATGCTAAATCATGTATTTCCTCCGCCATTTTCCACAGTTTGGCACCTCACGTCACATCATTTTACCAAAGTCAGCCCTATAGCTTCGGCGCAGTGCCGATCACTGACGTTTGTCAAAAAAATGGTGCTTGACTCTTGAGACAGGCTAAATTACACCATATTGTTAATGACATTGAGCATACATTTTTTTAAATTCCTTCGCGAAGTAAAACTTCTGTACGTAGTACTTATTATTATTCTGCGGTATTACGTCATTTTAAATAGGGAATTTTTATATAGAGAAAAGTGAAAAGTAAGACCTTGCATGTTTCATCATCATCATCATCAACAGCCCTTTACAGTCCACTGCTGGACTACTATGAGCCTCCTCCACTATAGTGGAAGGTTTTTCCATAATGCCATAATCCCCACGCATGTTTATTCAGTTAATTCTCACCCCACTTTTTTTCACCTAAAAAAACAAAATAAATTAACATTTTTTACCCGACTGCGCCAAAAAAGGGTTATGTTATTTATGTACGTACTTCATATTTCAGAGTCAAAATGCCTCACAATCAGCATCGTTATCTAACACTTTGGGCTTCCACCTAGAATTTGAGGTTTCGGACGAAGAAATGGCTGAGAGAACTGATAGAACTGACAGAACTGAAAGAACTCCAGCTATCTACAAGTAAGAGCAAATACATCTTTATTCACAATAGATAGTTGTTTCAGCCAAATGACGTCCACTGCTGGACAAAGGCCTCCCCCAAGGTTTTCCACAATAAACGGTCCTGCGCTGCCTGCATTCTTCCCGCGACCTTCAACAGATCGTCGGTCCACCTAGTAGGAGGCCTGCCTACGCTACGTCTTCCAGCCCGTGGTCGCCACTCCAGAACTTTTCTGCCCTAACGGCCATCGTCTCTACGAGCTATGTGCCCCGCCCACTGCCACTTGATTTTAGCAATTCTGCGTGCTATGTCAGTCACTTTGGCGAATTTCGTAAAGCCGCTAAAAAGTTCTTATAACTTATCTAAAGCCCGGTCTGTGAGCACGTAGAATTTTATCCCATATGACCCATATTGCTGTCGCGACTGTGCGACGGGCGCCCGCAGTGAGTGTGCGAGCGCGATAGCAACATAATTACGCGCGAGTGATAAGGATGGGTAGCTTGGGGTCATTGGACAAAATTATACGTGCTTGCAGACCAGACTATATAAAATAACAATATTGTGGACTCGGTAATGAATTCGAAATTGTATTTAGTCCGTATTTAGTTGAAATGTCGCGTGACGTCACTTATAGGTAAATAATCTACCTAGGCGTGACGTCACGCGCCATTTCAACTTGATGTAGCGCTGCTATTATTTAATTATGAAAGGAAGGAAAAAATACGTGTTCAATATTTTTAACCGACTTCAAAAAAGGAGGAGGTTATATGTTCGACTGTATGTATGTTTTTTTTTTCCATGTATGTTCACCGATTACTCCGTCAATTGTGGACCGATTTTCAAAATTCTTTTTTTGTTCGATAGGGTACACTTCTGAGGTGGTCCCATTGTCACCAAGTCAGGATCTGATGATGGGATCCTAGGGAAATCGAGGGCAACCCTCAAATTTTATAGGCACGTATATCGTTTTTCAAACTTTTTCTTAAGTTATTCAAGTATTTGCTCCTGGAAATCATCATCTCATATTGATGAGCTGATGATAGAAGGTAAAACTCCTTAATGCTTAGGAGTTGGAGGATAATTCTTTTAATTTTATAGATAAGTATAGTTTCTAAAGTTATTCAAGTGTTTACATCAGATATTCATAATCTCATCACGATGAACTGGTCATGGTAGGTACAACTCCTTAATGCTTAGGAGTTGTAGGATAATTCTTTAAATATTGTAAGTACAAATAGACCAACAGTTGTGTTATTTCATGTTTTTAAAGTGGACGGTTTAAGGTCTTTTTAGGTTTCCTATATGGTAACCTTTATTTTGTAGAGAATATTATTTTACACTCGACATGAAGAATATGGTCTTAATGTACTGCCTACCTTCAGTGGTAACATCAAGGTAATAATTAGTTAACTAAAAAGCAAGAAATAAGTAAAATTTTATAATAAAAAAATAAAACCGACTCCAAAAATCCTACACTAAAAAGTAGAAAAATAATTACTAATTACCTACTTATTCATTAGGACGAATTAATATTTATGTAGGTATACCATGATTGATACTTTTGGAGTCGGTGCAGGCAAACTTTACATGTTTCATAATCTTCGCACCGACTCCAAAAGTATCAATCATGGTATACCTACATAAATATTAATTCGTCCTAATGAATAAGTAGGTAATTAGTAATTATTTTTCTACTTTTTAGTGTAGGATTTTTGGAGTCGGTTTTATTTTTTTATCTTATTATCTGTTTGACGGTCAAGTAATTGAAATTTTGTCCAATAACATATTTTTCTGAATGTATGTTTTTGACACCTATAATAAGGTATTTTTTGTTGTTTCATAGACACATAGAAATTGAGAATAAAGTGCGATCCAGCTACCAACAGTTTGCAGCCATGCTGGAGTATATGGAAAGGTAATAACATCATCATCATCATCATTTCAGCCACAGGACGTCCACTGCTGAACATAGGCCTCCCCCAATGATTTCCAGATTGATAGAAACTTTCAATCAAAAATTAACACCCGTATTCACAAACGATGCTTGCTTAAGTGAAGCAGCAAATAGAACGCACAGCGTTGAATAGAGCTCTGTGATTGGTTCGTGTGTCACCCTGTGCGTCCACGCGCACTGTGAGAAATAGTAAAGTTAGTGAATACGGGCGTAAATCTTTCCTTTTATACTAGTTGACCCGGCGAACTTCGCACCGCCATTAAAAACATTTTTTGAAAATATTCTAAAGCTTATGTTCAGCAGATTTTCTTTTGGATTATAATTGTGAAATAATTTTTGAAATCAATGCAGTAGTTTCGGAGCTTATTCAATACAAACAATCAAATCTTTCCTTTATAATATTAGTAAAGATAATTTTAATTTGTGTGATAATGGAAGCTTTTGCCGGAAAAAAGCGCTTTAATCGCTTATAAGCAAACTGGCGATCGGTACGGCAGATTTCGGCGAGGACACGTTTGCTAATATTTGCTATAGTTCTTGCAACTCACGAAGGCGAGTGAGCTTTCCTTTTGTGTGTACGTGTACATGCACATAACGATAGTGTAATGTCTACCAAAACGAACAGTAGTGAGCCACCACACATGTAAAGCTCACTCGCCTTCGTGAATACAACAACAACAACAACTTCAACAAATAAATACATATCTTTGGACATTTTATACCGCGCCTCTAGTCCCAAACTAAACAAAGCTTGTAAGGCCGGGAATCGAACCCGGGACCTCTCGGCATAGTAGTCCGTTCTGAACTACTACACCAAATCGCCACAATAGTGAAGTGTTTCATTATTTTTTAGCAGTGACACTTGCCGCTTAGCGGTCTTCATTTTGCTTATACTTATAAGCGCTTTTTTCCGCCAAACGCCCAATTGTTTTTGTTTCACCATATAGACACGGTGACCTAGTATATTGGAACATGTTGAAACGTGAGGCCATGTGGGCAGAGCTGACTACCATTCTGAACTCTCTGCCTGGATTCACTAAGACTGAGGAGAAATGGAAGAAGGTATTTATTTCTATCGCTCTAGACGAATAATTGACTCTTCCCAGTTTCCCACCTCTCTTTACCACCTCTCGTTCCCACCGCTGCAATTCCTGAGTAGCCAGAATTCATCATCATTTCAGCCATAGGACGTCCACTGCTGAACATAGCTTGTTTTCCACGGGACTATTCCTACCTCTCGTTCCCACCGCTGCAACGCCTGTGTAGCCAGGATCTACAGCTTGACCGCCAATAACCCAACCAGTGAAGGCCAAGTTTGTCCCGGGGGAAAGTTAAACTGTCATTGGACCCGCAACGAAATTAATCAGAAGGACATACGAGGAGTTTGAAGCTTGATTGCCAATAAAAATATGTTCATAGCAGACTTATCCACTTGGAAAGAGATCAACACCGTATTGCCTTTCGCGAGCTGTCATCGCCTTTCGCGAGCTGTCAACAACTAGGCGAGGCGTTTACGTTACGGCGTGGATAGGTTTGCGTTGCAGTATGGAGTTTCATACAAAGAATACTCACCGCCTCGAGTAGAGTTGATACGATTACGATCCCTTTCCGGGTTGATAAGTGTGCTATGTCATTTAAAGACCCAGAATGAAATGTGTTTTAGAATGAGGGCTATCGTTTTAGCGCTCACCAGTTAGCGCCACTGTAGAGTAAGGTCCTGTCACTTGCTAGTAGCGAAGACAGTGGCGCCAACTTGTGAGCGCTAAAGTGGTAGGAGAACTATCGCATTTGCACTCATCAAGATGGCGCCACTGTAGAGTAAGGTCCTGTCACTTGCTAGTAGCGAAGACAGTGGCACCAACTTGTGAGCGCTAAAGTGGTAGGAGGACTATTTTATTTATTTATATTTACTATTTATATTTGCACTCATCAAGATGGCGCCACTGTAGAGTAAGGTCCTGTCAATCGCCAGGGGTGCCAACTGTTAAGTATAAAAACGATAGCCCTCATTATCGGAGAATGGTATGAAAGTTTGATGATGATGATCTATTTTCAAGGTGTGGGCGGATTGGAAGTGTAAAACCAAGAGGAAAGTCATGAAGTCAGGGTTAGAGAAACTGACTGATGCTGAGAAACGGGTGTTGACCGTCATTGGGCGCGGCAGCCGGTGCGACGACAGCGACAGCGATGCACCCGTGAGTACACAGTACACACCATAAGGTTACGGGACTATTCCCACCTCTCGTTCCCACCGCTGCAACTCCTGTGTAGCCAGGATCTACAGCTTGACCGCCAACCCAACCAGTGAAGGTCAAGTTTGTCCCGGGGGAAAGTTAAACTGTCATTGGACCCGCAACGAAATTAATCAGAAGAACATAGGAGGTTCGAAATTAAGGTTCGACTTCCCTCCAGTGCAAAGCGGATGAGAGGTGACAAACAAAGGTTTAATAACCATAAGGTTATCCTTCGGAATAGAGCAACAACCATGAGCTATAGTTCCAAAATACTGAACTGTCCTGTCCATGACATTGACAGCGGGGCGCCACCGTCTATACCGGATCGCTGGTTCCGATTTTTGCCATGTTGGAAACCATATAGTTGAACGATGGTAGCGCCCCCCTGTCATTGAGTTTGGTGGGACAGTTCAGCGTGGGTCATCTATATCAAACGAGACCGATTTTGGATGACACTGGATGTCATTTGTGTGTCAGTGTCAGGATTATTAACCATTTCACTCACGTAAAATCTGAAAAAATCTCAGAGCTCATATTTTCAGCGTGTCAATAAGTGCGTCAAAAGTTGCAAAAACGGTTACGACTAATAAATTACTAATTACTATTAATAATGTATTTTTTCCAGAACACTTCAGAACCCAAAGGCGTGTACCTGGAACTGAATTCGAATTCATCAGACGAAGAAACGGCGAAAGAAAATAATCTCAGTAAAATTGAAAGGGAATTGAAGTAAGTTGTATCCACACTATACGTCTAGCGCTTAACTGGCTCAGTGCTTGAAATATGGGGGCGGCACGGGTGTGGTGACTGAGTTTGTTCCGGCGTTTCTTCTCAGCACTTGCCATAATGAAGAATGTTCACTAATTTTGTTTTTTAGCTTTTTGTATTCAATGTTAAAAAATAAAAAATACACATGAAAGAATTATTTCGATACGTCAATTAGTTTCCAAGATATTGAATTTTAAAAGTGCGGGCGGCGGCCGGCCCGCCATTTTATGCGCGTGACGTCATATTACAACGACTGGCTCATATTTGTATGGGTGGAATCTTGCTAGCTGAATTAAGACCCACTTCCAGGCAACCGATTAAGCTGAAATTTCGCAAACACATGTGATTTGGATGACCATGCAATATTATGATGACATGGAGCTGATCTGATGATGGAGCTGGAAGGTGGCCATAGGAACTCTATAATAAAACGACTTAAATCCATCGAGTTTGGGTTCGTTCGTTTTGTATTGACGAGTACTTTAATTCTATATAGTAATCAGGGTCTAATGATGGAGCTGGAAGGTAATTCGCAATAAAACGACACAATCGCATCAAGTTTGGGTTTGGTTCAATTTTAATTTCTGTGATGGGTCTGGGTGTTAATATGTATAATAAGTTTGTATTTACAAAAAAAAATGTATTTAAGTATGTTTATATCCGTTTTCTAGTGAGCGGACACTGTGAATGTACGTCACGCGGGGTCACGTGACCGTCGGCGGGACTCAATATTTAAGCGAACTTTGAATGCCTAATAAAATCATAACTACTGGGTATTTTTGAATGAAATAAAAACTAATGTATTTGTAAATGTAAAAGCCTAACTGTAACATAGGTTTCAAGTGATTTTGCATACCTAGTAACATTCACAATTATGTTTGTCTCGAAGCGCTGGTAGGGCCCAACAGATAAGGAGACATGTAAAGTGCCCCATAAGAGCTACCTTTTCTTTTTTTATTATTTTCTATTGACGTTCATAAGTGCCACTTGTGGTCTAAACTGAATAAATATTTTTGATTTTGATTTTTTTGATTTTATAGGGGTGTTTTGGAGACGTCAAATGTCAGTGAGCCTGCAAGATTTCTCTCAGATTTGTATGCCCTGTCACGTCTTAATATGTCAATGTCACCCCTCCCGTGCCGCTCCCATACCTCAGGCCAGTGGTTCCCAAACTTATTTAGTCAACTGCCCACTTTGAGAATAAATTATTTTTTAGCGCCCCCCATTTTTGTAGTCAAGAGTCGAGCTCAGTCGGTGTCTAAGAGTCCTCCTAGTAAATGACGCCTCCCAAACCTCTACACAACGTCCCGATTTTTTTTCTGGGTCTCTTACCACCCCCCTTTAAGCCTGCAGCGCCCACAAGGGGGCGTTATCGCCCACTTTGGGAAAGACTGCCTCAGGCGCTGACTCAATTTAAACCTATAATATTATTTAACCGCCTCTGTGATCTAGTGGTAGGACCACCTGCTTCAGGCGCAGAGGTCCCGGGTTCGATTCCCAGTGGGGGCAGATTTTTCTGTTCGGTTTGGTTGGTGGTAGGGCTTGTTCTAAGTCCTGGCTAGCTACCACCATCTTAACTAAGTCTGTCGCCATAACAGCAATGTGTTCCGGCAGTTAGAGGTAAGATAGCCAGTTCCTCCGTGGTTGAGGATTCCGGGTGAAGCTCGCTTCCACCTTCGGCCTGATCGTCACTTATCATCAGGTGAGATACAAGCCAAGAGCTTCCTCGTTGTGGATAAAAAAAAAACAAAATGTCTCTTCAACTCAAAAACTACTTAACGAATTTTCATGCGGTTTTCACCATTCCATACAGTGTCAGTACAAAATTTGTCCAAAATTAAATTTGTTAAAATTCGACCTTATTCCCCTGTCTTAGGGTCCACTAACAACAAAAAATGCAACTTGCTATGCCGTTTACTAATTGTTTTATCTTTTTAGGAAATATGGACAAGAAGTTCGAGCAAAGGCCAATGCACCCCAACATTTGATGCTACTGGAATATATGGAAAAGTGAGTAAATAAATAAATAAATAACCTTGGACATTTTACACTACGCTTGTAGTCCCAAATTAAGCAAAGTTTGTACTATGAGTACTAGACAACGGATATAAATAAATACTTAAATACTTTTTTTTTTGTAAATAGGTACATACATAATATTATACATAGACAATACATACATTCACAAGCACAGGGATGTTATAGATATCCGTAACCGTAACCGATTCAAAAGTTTCGGATAGTTTCGGATGTAGGCAGTCTAAATTGTTTTTTGTATAGCATTATATGTAAAGGCATAACAGCCTGATGTACCTTTATAATCTACCATCTAGTATCAATTTTTTTTTCACTTTTTATTCGATTTAAAGTGTGCGGCCGTGAATGAACCGTGTTGGACAACTAATGAAAATTGCATTCTAAAGCACAGATAACCGTAACTGAAACTTTCGGATATCCGAAATAAAAAAATATCCGTAACCATAACCGAAAGCGATATAATATTATTTCTATATCCGTAACCGTATCAATAACCGAAACTACATATCCATAACATCCCTACACAAGTATACCACAAACTTAGATTGCGCAGCGAAAGTTAAGGCGAACACATAGTTGTCCAACATTGAACCGTCCGGGTCCCAGCTATGACATAGACAAAAGGGGGCTACTATAAATCCTGAACTATTCGTCCCGATTTTTGTCACGTTGGACACCCTTCATCATCATGTCAGCTATAGGACGTCCACTGCTGAACATAGGCGGGTATTTCTCATCGCCACGGTTCTCATCGTCACCTTCGTGGCAAATTTTATTTTTAACTTATTTCAACTTTTTGTAAACAAAAATTGTAGCGCTTGATGTGAAGAGTGTATTTTCAGTAAATCAGTCAAATAGTGAGTCTGGTTTGGAAGCTTTAACGTTTTGAATTTTTTGATGCCACGAAAGTGATTCTGCACTTCACAACAATATTTATTTCAAACTTTACTACTGTAAATGACTCTTAAGTATTTATAAAATATATATTTTGTCTTATTTTCATAGATAAATGGCAATAACATATTATAAATAGGTAGGTAGTTAAATACAAGATAAAATTTTACCGATAACGTCACCTACTAAGTTACAAGATTCTACGCAATTGGCTTTAAGGGTGATACTGGTGGCATTCTGAAATCCTAAAGAAGCAAAAAAAAGGATTATCAGTACCTCAATAAAAAAGAACTCTTAACTTATCAGTCCCTCAACAAAAAATATGTTTATTTATTGAGGCCAGATGGCCTTGTATTTTTGTTGTACAACTTTTAACTCAAACTTCAGATTAAAGAAGAACGGTCATCTGTGACCCAGGCCCGACAGAAACGAGACATACCTCAGTTTTTTTGTCATGTCTTAATTAGTTAAATTATATATTTTTTATATTCGAAATCTATGTATAACACCAAAATATTACCCTTTGTTTTTGTTTAGGCGTTATATAAAACTAATACAAAATGCCTATTTATCACCAAAATTGGTAAATGTATGTACCTAAATGTCTATTACAGCTGCTATGGCACTATGTTACGACCGGCACATGCGGCCGTACTGTGTATTTTCACGCGTCAGTGGATATCGGAAGAAATAAAATACATTGCGCAGTAGTTACGCATGACATAAAGTGGTTGCTAACTAAATCGTCAATGTACAACGTGTTTGAATTTTTATCACCACTAATTGCGATATCGCAGTAAATATCACGGCACTGAATTCGTTCGTAAAAATGTTTAGTTTTTTTTATTTATAAGCAAAATACCAATGGATTTGCAATACTTACATGTGGTAAATGACTTCATTGTTCCTGTAGTTCTTCGTTTCACTTAAGTTATTGCACGTTACGACGCATTATCCAACAATATCGGAGAACATTTTCTCAGTACGACTGAATCGCGACCTCAGATCATAGAAAGAGAATAGATATGAAGTCGCGCGTAACTACAACGAGAACCATTGTCCCCACATTTCCCCCACCACAGCTCCCACACACNGGATTATACAGGGTGGAAAAAATAATAAGTTACAAAATCCAAAAATTCAATGTTACCAGCTTCGATAATCTGTACCCTATTAATGGTACCATTTGAAAGAGTTCGTGAAGCACTTTCAGAATCAGTAACTAGTTTTTCGATATCTTGTATAGTTTAGAAATAATCGAGTGAGATCACTTATCGTTCCATATGTATAACCACCCTGTATAATCCGGTTGTATCTCCAGGTCACCTAGATACATTCCATAGCAGCTGTAATAGACATTTAGATACATACATTTAGCATTTTGGTGATAAATAAGCATTTTGTATTAGTTTTTGTATAACGCCTAAACAAAAACAAAGGGTAATATTTTGGTGTTATACATAGATTTCAAATATAAAAAAAAATATATTTTAACTAATTAAAACATGACAAAAAAACTGAGGTATGTCTCGTTTCTGTCGGGTCTGGGTTTTTTTTTGTATGGGGCGTGACCTCAGATCATAGAAAGAGAATAGATATGAAGTCGCGCGTAACTACAACGAGAACCAGTGTCCCCACATTTCCCCCACCACAGCTCCCACACACACATTCAACTGTGTANCATACAAGCATTTTTTAAACCAATTTCGAGCCTTGCCCCCAGGATTTAAAGTATCGATATCTTATCGACTCCATTTTATCTTTCTTCTCTCTAATTGCGTTTTTCAAAGTGTGCGTCACGTTACGCGGCCATTGATTGGCCATAAGGCACGCCTTCTGGCCAATCACAGCACTTTTAAGCCGGTTGCACATGTTGTCGTAGACTCTCAGTCGCTTTGTTTTTACACAGTTGAATGTGTGTGTGGGAGCTGTGGTGGGGGAAATGTGGGGACACTGGTTCTCGTTGTAGTTACGCGCGACTTCATATCTATTCTCTTTCTATGATCTGAGGTAATATAGCATAGTAATATTGTTNAATGGATTTGCAATACTTACATGTAGTAAATGACTCCATTGTTCCTGTAGTTCTTCGTTTCACTTGTTTTATTGCACGTAACGACGCATTATCCAAAATATCGGAGAACATTTCCTTAGTACGACTGAATCGCGACTAACCTAGCTACGCGGCCGATGTTCGTTTCTGGGCATATCGCGGAGACACGCGCCACGCCCCCGTTTCACATCTATTCCCTTCTATGATCTGAGATCGCGACTAACCTGGCGTCGCGGGCGATGTTCGTTTCTGGGCATATCGCGGAGACACGCGCCACGCCCCCGTTTCACATCTATTCCCTTCTATGATCTGAGGGCGTGACCGTTCTTCTTTATCTTACAAACAGATACACAGTCACATATACAGACATACATACAGTCATACAGACAGACAGACAAAAAAAATACAAGGCCCTTATTTTTTTATTGATGTTCTGAACTCTACTTAACACGTATAATTTATTCGTTATTAAAATATTGTAAAAACTTAAACACCAGTCATTATATTTTAAAATAAACCAAAGCAAGAAATCACTTTCGTGGCCTAAAATCACATTCGTGTATAAAACACCACGAAGGTGATGCCACGAAGGTGACAAAAATTTTAGTTTTTTATTCATTATCCCTAAATTTGAGTTTAACGGTTCAAGTCGAATACTACACAAATAAGTCTAACATGTTAAGTTTTCAATGGCCTAAGTTTCAATTAAATTGTTTAAATTTTAGAGGTAGAAAATATTGATCAATCAAGCGACGGAATGTCTATGGATAATCACAAAAAGTTACGTATTTTTTTCCCGGAGCGACGATCGACTTACTTATCTCACCTCCGCAATGGCAGGAGCGCGACTGACGTTAACCAAATAGAACACAGTGATTAGTTGATGGTGTTCGGTACGGCAATCTTGTATGATTACTCAAAATTTTAGGTACCTAAAATCGTGTGACCAACGTATTTTCCTTCCTCAATTCGAAATAATTATAAGAAGATATTTTTTTTGACTATTGTGTGGAAAGTATATTTAATTACGATGATTTTAGTATACAGGGTGGAAACGATAAGTGATCTCACTCGATTATTTCTAAACTATACAAGATATCCAAAAACTGGTTACTGATCCTGAAAGTGCTTCACGAGCTCTATCCAACGGTACCAATAATAGGTTACAAAATAAACTGGATCTATCCGAAAATTCAATGTTTCCAGCTTCCATACAATTAGTAAAACCACAGAATATTAAAAATTATACAAGATATTCAAAAACTGGTTACTGATCCTGAAAGTGCTTCACGAGCTCTATCCAACAGTATCAATAATAAGTTACAAAATAAACTGGAGCTATCCGAAAATTAATGTTTCCAGCTTCCATACATTTAGTACTGCGACAGTCATGGCACTCATGTCTTGATAATATTATAGCAAATAAAGCCTAAAACCAATGTTTTCCATGAATAATTTTAAATAAGAATGCATTACGAGTTCATTTTAAGTGTTTATTATTTAATGAAAACATTTCACACTTCTAATATTGTGTGGCCGGCATACATTTAGTATGGAGGCTGAAAACATTGAATTTTCAGATAGATCCAGTTAATTCTGTAAAGTATTACTGATACCGTTTGAAAGAACTCGTGTAGCACTTTCAGGATCAGTAATCAGTTTCTCGATATCTTGTAAAGTTTAGAAATAATCGAGTGAGATCACTTATCGTTTCCACCCTGTATGTTACACACAAATTGAATGAAAATTGTGAATGCAGTAACCAAATGTTTCATTGCAACCGAAGGTGTGACACGATGAGAACGCGAAATATGACCCCGTTTTGTATCGTTTCTTGTGATGTTTTCGTATTATTTTTGCTTCTATTACGATAAAATTTGTTTTGTATGTAGCTAAATAGATATGTTATCACCTGAATTCAAAGTTATTGTTCTAACTTATACCGTTTATGAACTATTATTGTGTGACCATCAAATTTGAGTGTAAATGAGAAGTACCCACCTCCCCCAATGCTTTCCATGTTGATCGATTGGTAGCGGCCTGCGTCCAGCGCTTCCCTGCTACCTTTACGATGTCGTCGGTCCACCTTGTGGGTGTACACCCTGCGTTTTCCGGTACGTGGCCTCCACTCCAGAACCTTGCTGCCCCATCGGCCGTCAGTTCTGCGTACTATGTGCGTACTATTGCCACTTCAGCTTGCTAATCCGTCGGGCTATGTCAGCGACTTTGGTTCGTTTACGGATCTCCTCATTTCTGATTCAATACGCGGGGGTGGTGCGGGCGGTAACAAGCGCCGTCTCGGAAGTTTTAGGAGACGTTTGAACAAGGTTTTTTACTAATAAAGTAGTATAGTCTGGTCTGCGAGCACGTAGAATTTTGTCCAATGACCCCAAGCTACCGTACGTAATTATATTGCTGTCGCGACTGTGCGACGGGCGCCTGCAGTGAGTTTGCGAGCGCGACAGCAACATAATTACGCGCGAGCGATAAGGATGGGTAGCTTGGGGTCATTGGACAAAATTCTACCTGCTCACAGACCGGGCTTTAGTTACAATTTTATTTATATTTTTCTTGTAATTACTTTTATGTGTACTACCACCCCTGAAACGGGCGTTCTTTTACAAAAGCACACCCTGTATTTGCTGTTGTTTGTATTATTCAGACACGGTCACCCTTCGGTCTGGTGCAAAGACGATGGCCAAGCAGACCAGTTGTGGGCGGAGTTAGCGGAGAAGTTGAACGCTGTGCCCGGGGGTGTTGAAAAGACTGTGGAGAAATGGAAGAAGGTATCATCATCATCACTAGTGTTGCGTATCGATGGCCTATCGATAGTAAAGGCAATAAGAGTCATCATAACCGCCTTTGTGGTCTAGTGGTAAAACCACCTGCTTCAGACGCAGAGGTCCCGGGTTCGATTCCCAGAGGGGACAGATTTTTCTGTTCGACTTGGTTGGTGGTAGGGCTTGTTGGTCTAAGTCCGCCTAGCTAGCTACCACCATCTTTTCCAAGTCTGTCGCCATAACAACAATGTTAAGAGCATTGTTATGTTCCGGCAGTTAGAGGTAAGATAGCCAGTTCCTCCGTGGTTGAGGATTCCGGGTGAAGCTCGCTTCCACCTTCGGCCTGATCGTCTCTTACCATCAGGTGAGATACAGGCCAAGAGCTTCCTCGTTGTGGATAGAAAAAAAATGTTCTGTTACCAAGTCCTCTACAATTTAAACTAAGTTTGAATCATATTAAATGATTGCATATTTAATAAAAATATTATTGAAACAACAAAAACCCAACTGCGTAAAAATGAACACTGCCTAACTTAAACCGTAACAATAACGTTAACCGGTGTTTTTTGTAGCTCTCATATCTCGCATGTCAGGGAATACGTCTAGTTACCAGTAACCCTGATAGAATCTTTCTTTTGTGAATATTTTCTATACTCTGTATATTTTAAAGACAGCAAACCCTTGAAAAATAGGCTGACAATAGTGACTGAGTTTCTTGCGCTGCTTCTTCCCAGCACTGGCCCATTTATTGTCCCGAAGCAGTGGTAGGGTTAATACTGGGACGTGTAAACGTGTTTTTTAAAAGCCTACTTGCAGAAATAAAATGTGTTTTATGAGCTCTGTTTAAATGTGTTATTTTAATTTAATATTCATCATCATTGCAGCCATAGGACGTCCACTGAACATAGGCCTCCCCCAATGACTTCCACATCGCCCGGTTGGTAGCGGCCTGCATCCAGCGCCTTCCTGCCACCTTTATGAGGTCATCTGTCCACCATTATATTAATTTATTACTTTATCTAGGCGTGGGCAGACTGGAAGTCTAAAACCAAGAAGAAACTTCGCACCCTCGGGCCGAACCACCTGTCCGAATATGAGGTGCGAGTGCTGACGTTTGCCGGACGGCAGTGGCCGGGGCACAAACTGGGCGCCGTGCGGCTGGACGAGGATGGAAACGAGGTAACAACTGTTATAGATCCAGAGCACATAACTGAGTCAGTGCCTAAGGCATGGGAGTAGGGTTGCCAGGTGTCCGGCTTTTTACGGTCTTGTCCGGCCTGTCCGGCTTTTGTTAGGCTTTTTATTAGGCTGCCTTGCTAGGCGAAAGTCGAGCCACAGAATAATATGAAGCGCAGCAAGCGCGAATCAGGATGTTCGACAACCGATGATGATGATAGTACTCACTCGTGAGCTATGACACTAATTGCACCCTCCCCCCGTCACATGTCCGGCTTTTAGGGTAAAATGTCCGGGCAAACGAAGCACAGAGTCCGGCTTTTGTGTTTTTGGACCTGGCAACCCTACATGGGAGTGGCACGGGAGGGGTAACATATGACATATATGACATGAGCATATCTGAAGTCTCGCTGACGTTAGACGTCACAAAAACACCTCACCTGTTGTTATAGGTCTAGCTAGCGCATGACTGAGTCAGCGCCTGAGGCATGGGAGCGGCGCGGGAGGGGTGACATATGACGTGAGCACATCTGAAGTCTCGCTGACGTTTGACGTCACAAAAACACCTCACCTGTTGTTATAGGTCTAGCTAGCGCATGACTGAGTCAGTGCCTGAGGCATGAGAGCGGCATGACATGACGTGACAGCACACAAAACTGTAGTCTCGCTGACGTTTGATGTAACAAAAAACACCGGCAGACAGTGGTGACTGAGTTTGTTGCGGCGCTTCTTCTCAGCACTTGCCAAATGTTGGTCTCGAAGCGCTGGTAGGGTAAAAATATTATGAGACATGTAGAGGCTCCTTAAGAGCATATGACGATTTGTAAGAACTATTTATTAGTCTAAACAAATAAAGAAATTTTGACTTTGACACCCTCCCGTGCCGCTCTCAGGCACTGACTGAGTTAAATCATATAAAGCCGCCTAAGCAAAGCTTTTTTCTTCCTTTCTTTAATCTTTATTTTCTCCTTTAATCTTTATCTTGCAGATTTTGATACTAAATTCTGTTGTAATTTATGTCAGATTGCACCGCAAGAGTCACAATCGGACGTGGTTACTACTGAGCTTTACATGGAGCTCTCTGAGGAAGAAATGGAGTCCGAGGAAGACAGCGACAGTTCTGACGACGACAGCCCAAAGTGAGTGTAGTCCATAGAGACATACAGAGATGCCAACTAATGCGCTGAGTTCAAAACTCAGTGTCGCATTAGAAATTCACACACAAAGAAATCAAAATATGTACTCATTATCCACTGCGGTATCAGTACTCAACGTTCGAATAATCTTTAGTACTACGCAAGCAATGTCAAGTGTTTACATTATGACGTCGCTGCTGTCATTATTGCTGTCACGAGCAATGTGTTCTGTTTTTGGGCATATTGCTGCGATACCGGCCACGCCCCCTTGTCACATCTCCCTTTAGTTTCTGTGAACTGTGGTTTATTCCAACGATTTTGAAACGTCAAGTGTCAAAAATCAAAAACTAACATTGATAGTAACGCCCTCCCGCTAATGTCACAATGGGGATGTTGCCTGGGTCAAAAAGCAAGAGTTTTAATTAGTCCGTCAGTTAACTTATAAAAAAATACTCTACACGTATTTTTCACTTTTTCAAACTAATGAAAATTTAAAGAGATAAAGCGCCCCAAAGTTCGTAAGAAGAGGCCCGTGACGTCAACGCTTGCTTAAAAATGCCGGACGTTGTGACGTCGTGCGCAACTTCAACGCACCATAACTATGTAATTACTTGTTAGATTGACAAATAAAAATATATGTGTCCAATATTTTTTGATATTAAACATTACGGACTAAAAAAATTTTTTTAGGCAACTAGCCTATTATGCTTGTCCAACGTGGCAATAATCGGAACTAATAATCCAGCATTCAGAGTAGGCGCACACCGTTGATTTTTAGTTGGCCGATAGTTGAGCCCGATTTTAAATTGTATGAAGAATCGGCCAAATCGAATCGGCGTAGTGTGCGCACTCCCATACATGCCCATACTGATCAACTGCCCGACTAAACTATCGGCCGACGAAAAATCAACGGTGTGCGCCTACTCTTATAGTAGCGCCCTCCTGACAGTGTCATAGATTGCGCTAAATATTTTCAACTGCAACGCGACCAACAAAAATCAGTCAGTGTCGCTTTGACAGCTAGTTCAGACGACGCTGTAACGTAAACGGAGCCCAACTGCGCCTTTACGTAAAAGCTGACAGAAAGCTACTTTTTCTCAAACGCAAGTCAAACGCTTCACGAACATTTGCTGTGTTTTAGTGAATAAATAGGTGTTCGGGCTTTTAATGTAAAGTTTAATTTTTGTTTTAGTTATAATGAAAGGGGAAAAACAAGGAGACCGAAATACACAAGGACCACCGTGCAACAACACACTGAGATGCTCAAATTTTTTGGGACGTAAGTGTTATATTTGTGTATAGTTGTTTCAATATTTATGTATAAAGCCTGGTCCGTGAGCACGTAGAATCCCGTCCAATGACCCCAAGCTACTCGCACACTCACTGCGGGCGCCCGTCGCACAGTCGCGACAGCAATATAATTACGCGCGAGCGATAAGGATGGGTAGCTTGGGGTCATTGGACGGGATTCTACGTGCTCACGGACCAGGCTTTAGTTGTTACTATAGACGTGTTGACACCACCAACCAATTGACGTACTTTTTAAAACTGTCAAAACGAAACTCTCCCATAGATTTTGTATAAAAAAAACTCATAAAACTCACAAGTGACGTCACTATTTTGTCAACTCAAATAAACTACTTTTTTCAATTACAATTCGACTAAAAATCGTAATTTACAGGTAATTTAAAATTAATTAAGTTTTTAAGACTAGAATGAAGTGTCTTTTTAGAAAAGTTGTGATTTCGAATTATTAATTGTGGAATATGGGAGTTCAAGGAAAGAAGTAATTCTTCAGCATTAAACTGTATTTAGCGTTTTCTACAATAATACACAACCACACCGGCCCGCCTCCATGACAGCAGAGGGCGAGGGCTTGACTTCCGTATCCGCTAGTGAGGTGACACGACATTAGTGATGTGGCATTGTTCTCACCACAACATTATTAGAGTATTTCTCAAAAAAAGTGTACATTTTGAAAAAAAAAAGTGTGCTTTGAAACAGTTATTAAGTTTTATATTTATAAATCATCACACAAAAAAAACACACACAATTTTGAAGGATGAATATTAATCTTTAAGATAACGAAGAATTATAGCTATAATCCTACTTATTACCAAATATTTAGATATTTTAAAAATAGTCCTTTTTTACCTTTCATACAAAAACCTGTTTGCCACCCTAGCTTTTTCATGTATTTTTGTTTCATAAAATGCGATACGTAACTAAATTATTGTAAATTTCTTTGTATTATCGTTCTACAGTAATCGCAGTTTCTGTATCAAATTGATTTTCTATGGGGTGTCATAATGAATTGGCAATTTAAAGCAAAAAAACAAAATGAGTCGCTCTCATTTACTATTTCGTTATTTACTCTTTAGTTACGATTTATTTCTACTTTCCCATGGTTTCTGAACAATTCCGTATTTATTTTACACGGACAACAATAGCTGCACTCTGAATGGCTGTTGGCCTGACGTCTCCGCCATAACATCTATCGCGAAAATTAGTGAAAACGTGTGTGTTTTGTGGGATTACTTTTTCGTAACAGGCAGTAAAATCAGCGATTTTATATAGAACGGTAAGTCTTCATTTAACCATTTTTTGTAATACGTGTGGTACGAACATTTAGTAAGCTTTTATATTTGCTGTAACAAATTTTATCAAAAAAATACTTGTTTCTGATCTCATTTTGTCTAATATTTCGTTACGTTTTTTACGAATTTCGTTACGTTACGAAAAAGTACAACATAATGCTGAGTGTATACTGTTATTACCTGACTAAGCATAGTAATATTCACTACTTAATTTATTTCAAAAAATATAGAGCGTTAATAACAAAAGGATTGGATACTATCTGCTTTACAGAAGTGCCACCAGCAAAAAATTATCAAATCATTTAGATTACGTTTTTATGTGATTACTTCTTTTGTTTTTTTAGGAATGCCGCCAAAAACCAATGCCGAAAGGCAAAAAGCTTACAGAGAACGACTCAAAATGGATAAACATGATGAAACAAAAATAATTTTATTAAAATAGTATGAATGATTACTAACTTATTTTATTTCTAACCCCTTAATATTACCCCGTATTTGGGTGCATACTTACAAATATTTCGAATTGAATAAATGAAGAGCATTCACAATATTTCGCCAATGTATAACAAGCCTTATGGCCTTACTATTTCGTTACTACCGTTTCGTTACGTACATTTTTTTTGAGAAATACTCATTAAGGAATGGTGTCAAAATGAATTCACGAAGGCGAGTGAACTTTACATGTGTGGTGGCTCGCTACTGTTCGTTTTCAAAAGTTTTGACAGACATTACACTATCGTTATGTGCATGTACACGTACACACAGAAGTCAAGCTCACTCGCCTTCGTGAGTTGCAAGAACTATACAAGCTGTGCCCGCGACTTCGTACGCGTGAAAATTGTTTAAATAAATATTTCCCGTTTCTGCAACATTTTTCTTTATTGCTCCGCCCCTATTGGCTGTAGGGTGATGTTGTATAGCCTAAAGCCTTCCTCGATAAATTAGCTATCCAACACAAGAATAATTTTTCAAATCGGTCTAGTAGTTCCTGAGATAAAACAAACAAACCCTTCAGCATTATTAGCAGCCTTAAAAGCGAAAGGTTACTGACTGACTCACTCACTCATCACGAAATCTCAGAAACTACAAGTGCTAGGAGTCTCAAATTTTGCATGGGGGTTCCTTTTAGAACGTAGGTGCTCACTAAGAACGGATTTTACGAAACTCCACCCCTAAAGGGGTAAAAAGGGATCCACGCGTACGAAGTCGCGGGCGGCCGCTAGTATTAATATAGATTGAAATTCGAATATAAATCTGGTTGACTAATATGTTTGTATGCACAGTCACGGTCATCCCAACTACTGGGCAAGCTTAGAGCGTGGGCAAGGCGACCAGCTGTGGGCAGAACTAGCAGAAACCTTGAACAACTGCCGCGGAGGCAGCAAGCATGTGGAGAAGTGGAAACGGGTATGTATGTATATCACATATCATCATCATCATCTCAGCCATAGGACGTCCACTGCTGAACATAGGCCTCCCCCAATGCTTTCCATTCCTAGTGTTAATTGTGAAAAATCTAATACGTTAAAATAACGGTCTTGTTATAGCCAATGAGCTGCTGTCACAGTGACATTGACGTAATGTCAATGTCACACTAGAAACGTCAGATTGGAGGGACGCGCGGACGATTCCGCGCGCTTTTGTGCTAAGTGATGAATAGGGATGATGACTGAGTAATGAAATCGAAATTCTATTTAGTCCGTCAGACAGATAATAAAAAAACAGACAGACAGCGGAAAGCGACTTTGTTTTATTAACACGCTTTTATTAGGTCGTCGTGTATGTAACTATGTAATGGAATCTAAGAATCTGTATTACACGCACTTCTAAGTCTTGTATCGTCATGTAAATTAGACGACAATACAATATTATGGTACCATCGAGCTGGTCTGATGATGGGACTGGAAGGTGGCCATAGGAACTCTTAAACGAAACGGCGGGATCGCATCGAGTTTGGGCACAGAATAATAATAAGTAAGCCCGACCAGGAACATAAAAACCCTCGCCATGTAACTGAAAACTTCATTGACATGTCACCTTGCATGTCAGTCTATTGCTGTCAAAGTGTAAACAAACTTTATTTTAAATGTACGCAACTGATTTTGTGAATTAAATTGCTAAAATCTTTTTATAGTCGCGAAAGAAAAGTGGTTCACAATGTGTTAAAATATTTGTCGAAGAGAAATACTAAGGGTTCGGACAATATTTTCATTGAATAATGTTTCCGACAAAGGTTGTCAAATTGACTGACATGTTTATCGTATAGTGCAGTCCACTATGAAAATTAGCTGTGGTTTGTTTCAACTAGCTATTCTAAAATTTTTTGTCACTTTCTGAGTGTTGAATTTTATGGAATTGGGAAAGAAGTACCGAGTTTGAAGCGTTCATGAGCAGACATTGTAGTTGAATATTCAAGTTCTGAATTTATTTATTGATGAATAATAAAATAAATCCTACTTGCTCGATTTTTGGTTTCATTTAATTTATTTAAACCAGGTTACCTATAATAATATGTTTTCGTTAATTTATGAAAATATCAAATTAACTAGCCTATTAATTTAACACAGGTACGACTGTACTCAGTGTTGCACTATCAAATGCAATTGACGCGCCTCTATGCCAGGGTTTTTATGTTCCTGGTCAGGCTATACTACGTACAGAAGTTTTACTTCGCGAAGGTATTTAAAAAAAAATGTATGCTCAATGTCATTAAACAATGTGGTGTAATTTAGCCTGTCTCAAGAGTCAAGCACCATTTTGTTGACAAACGTCAGTGATCGGCACTGCGCCGAAGCTATAGGGCTGACTTCGGTAAAATGATGTGACGTGAGGTGCCAAACTGCGGAAAATGGCGGAGGGAATACTATGATTTAGTTGATTTAGCATGAATTATCATGAATAATATTAACTACTTATTTACCTCTCAGTGTCTTGAGGCAACTTAAAAAAGTACATTCTGTGTTTTTATTATTATTTAGGCAGTTAAATACTGCACAGTATTTAGTACACCATTTTCTTTATTTTCTTCCATCATACACAAGAATACGCGTGCGTGAGTCAATGTTCGCTCGTATGTGAGGCCTTGTCGAATAGTATCCTGTAGGTGGGCCATCGTGCGTGTTTTGTTTTCGATGTAAACTCGCGGAGATGAACAGGCCTGGTTTGGGTTCGTTGGATTTGTCTTTTCGAGCACTTTAGTGCTTGATGATGTCCAGGGTCCTGATGATGCAGTCGGGAGATGGCCATAGGAACTCTAAACTATGAGCGTGTTTTTAGTTTTTTAAACGATTATACTATGTAGTATTAAAGGCCGGTCGATCTATTCTCATAAATAAAACACTGGATACTCATCTTTCACATTATATTGCCTTATTTTAGATACAATTCATCACTTAGCACAAAAGCGCGCGGAGGCGTCTCCGTGCGTCCCTCTATTCTGACGTTTGAACCTAGCGTGGCATTGACGTATTGTCAATGTCACTATGACAGCATCTCATTGGCCACAACGATACCGTTATTTTAATGTTTTTCAAAATCAAAATCAAAATCAAAAATATTTATTCAGTTTAGACCACAAGTGGCACTTATGAGTTTTAGATTTTTCATAATTAACAGTAGTGATTGCCTGAACGTATCCTGTTTGAAAGTTCCTTGTAAGAAACGTGCTTTTTTATTATCTTTCCCTTTTCAGGTGTGGACAGACTGGAAAAGCAAGACGAGGAAGAAAGTGGCCGCCATCCGCCGCCGCGGGAAGAAGGCTGGCGTGTCTCTCACAGCGTTGCAGAAGAGAGTCCACCACATCATGAACTTGAAGAGCGACGAGCCTTACGTGCACGTCGAGGTTAACGAGTTCGATGTGAGTTCGACATATCTCCGCTCCGCTCGTCATCTCCGCTCCGCCAGATACCTTTCACTGCGCTTGACATATCCACTCCGTCTGACACATCTCCGCTCCGTCTGACACTTCTCCGCTCCGCCTGACACTTCTCCGCTCCGACAGACACTTCTCCGCTCCGACACACTTCTCCGCTCCGCCTGAAACTTCTTCGTTCCGTTCGTTAAATCTCCGCTCCGCCTGACTAATCTCCGCTTGACACCTCTCCGCTCCGCCTGTCACTTCTCCGCCCCGCCTATCACATCTCCGCTTCGACCAGCATCTCCGCTCCACCCAAAAATACGCTCCGCCTAACATCTCCGCTCCGCCCGGCATAAGTATCTCCGCTCCGCCTGTCACATCTGCGCCTGTCACATCTCCGCTTCGACCACCATCTCCGCTCTACCTAACATCTCCGTTTCGCCCGACATAAGTATCTCCGCTCCGCCCGACATAAGTATCTCCGCTCCGCCCAAACCATCTCCTCTCCGCTTGATCTTCAAAACACCTCGCCCCGTCTCCGCTCCGCTCCGCTCCGGCAGCGGCCGCGGCCGCCGTCCGCCGCCGCGGGAAGAAGGCTGGCGTGTCTCTCACAGCGTTGCAGAAGAGACTCCACCACATCACGCGCCTGAGGAGCGACGAGCCTTGCGGGCACGGCGAGGTCAACGAGTTTGATGTAAGTAGGTACACGCCAGGAGACTAAAGCGGAGAGCAGCGGAGATATAACTTGTGAGAGTTTTCTAGTGTGCGAACCGCAAGGAAAAGGCATCTCCGCTCCAAGCGACATATCAGCTTCGCCTAACATCTCCGCTCTGCTCAACATATATCGCTCTGCCTGACACTTCTCCGCTCCGCCTAACACTTCTCCGCTCCGCCTGACTCATCTCCGCTTGTCAAATCGCCGCTACGCCCGACATCTCCGCTCCGCCCGACTCATCTCTACTCCGCTCGATATATCTCCGTTCCGCCCAATATCTCCTCTCCGCTTGGTATATCTCCGGTCCATTTCCACTGGCGTGTCCCTGACCGCGCTGCAGAAGAGAGTCCACCACATCATGAACTTGAAGAGCGACGAGCCTTACGTGCACGTCGAGGTCAACGAGTTCGATGTGAGTACACTGAAGCGGAGAGGAGCGTAGCGGAGAGACTTCTGAGAGTTTTCTAGTTTCTAGAGCAGGAAGAAGGAATCTCCGCTCTGCCTGACATCTCCGCTCCGCTCAACATATTTCCGGTCCGCCAGACACCTCTCCGCTTCGACCAGCATCAGTATCTCCGCTCCAACCAAAATATCTCTCCTCTCGCTTGATCTGAGCGGAGAAATTCACTTCGCTCCGCCCGATCCATTTACACTGGCGAAAATAATGTAGGTAATTTAAATAATTAATTTCTTAGCCATTTCTTGATGGATTAAAAAAAAACTTGACCGTGTTTTTAGTTTCGCTTATATTATTATTTTAATCCCATTCAGTGACCATCACGAAACTTCTCCATTGTCAAAATAATCAAAATAAATAAAGTCTGGTCGCGGAGCACGTATAATTTTGTCCAATGACCCCAAGCTACCCATCCTTATCGCTCGCGCGTAATTATATTGCTGTCGCGACTGTGCGACGGGCGCCCGCAGTGAGTGTGCGAGCGCGATAAATATTCATCGCTCTTTTTGTGATTATTTCAGGAAAGCAGTCAGTCTTCGAATGCTGGGCAGGATGAAGACGAGTTGGGGAATCTGTCTGAAGCGGCAGAAGCGATGGAAGTGGACTCTGAAGTCATCATAAGCGAAGGTCAAACAGAGTGAGTCTTGTTTTACCTGGTTGCAGAAAATAAAATGATTTTAGAAATTTTAACGACTAGGTACTATCGGCAACAGTGCTACCCATTGCCGGTCATGTCGTCTCGTTCTATCGCAAAGAATCACCATTTGATGACAGCGAGAGCAAAAACGAAAATGGATAGTTAACAATTTTGCACGTTTGACAGTTGACGCGTTTAATCAATGTCACATTGCAGACATAAAATGACAAGAATGATTTAAGGTCAAAACTGAGTTATTATTCATATGAAATAAAAAAATTGAAGTAGTTTTCAAGTCAAATTTCGGTAAAAAATTGATAAAGACAAAAATGTCAATTAAAAAAAAAGTAGCTCACTTAGGGTCAAATGGGCGAACTTGTATTCTCAAAATGACCTTACCTATACATCCACGAAGTTTGTGTAACCTCCCGCCAAACGGTTTATTCCACTATTCCCCGTTGACAATCCCCGTCAACTAAAAAGTAAATTAATCCCTATTACGTTAAAAATAAAATCCTAATAATATTAATAAACTTTTTAGTTCATTATTCCCCATTATAAGCTCCAATTGGCGTTAACGGGGTTTATTTGTCCTGTCTGTCCTGTATATTTGTTTATTCAAAGCCTACTTCCGATAAATTAATGTGAGGAGACGTGCGATTCGTCTCCCACACTTCCGACCAATGTTCGACCACCACCGTTCGACCGACCCACCTTCGACCAATGACAGGTCGCGCGACCGATGAAAGTTCACGCGACCTGTCATTTCCCTATGATCGCGCCGGCGATGGCGATCTGCACGCGTTGGCGTGGCTGAAGCATAAGATAGTTATCGTTACATTCCCTCTAATATGGTCGAGTGAAGCGATGGCTGGTTCACTCGTCATGTCTGTGAACAGGCGCTGCTTTCGGGGACTGGTCAATCCAAGTTATTCAAATTTATGTATGCGAGTCATTTCTACTAGTATCTTAATATGTAAGTCTAGATATTAGCACGTCACTACCTTGTTTAATATACCACGCAATCTTGTATACCCATTCTTATAAGATACACCATACAAGAATGCATGGTAAATTCAGTGAACTGCTCCTGAATCGAATGTACCTACTACTACTATTTCTATTTATTTATATTAACCGGCAGACAGTGGTGACTGAGTTTGTTGCGGCGCTTCTTCTCAGCACTTGCCAAATGTTGGTCTCGAAGCGCTGGTAGGGTAAAAAGATTATGAGACATGTAGAGGCTCCTTAAGAGCAAAATGACGATTTGTAAGAACTATTTATTAGTCCAAACAAATAAAGAAATTTTGACTTTGACTTTGAGTGGATTGTTATAAGAGCATGTTTTTATTTGTTTTCAGGCAAAACCAAGATCCGGCTTCCCAGCGACCGACTATCCATCAGCTCGCTTCGATGTTGGCTTACATGGAAAGGTACGTGTTATTTTATAGACCTAGTGCTTAACTCATTCAGTGCCGGAGGTATGGGAGCCGAAGACGTGACATTGACATAATAATATTATGACATGACAGAGCACACAAATCTGAAGTACATTTTGAAGTCTCGCTGACGTTTGACGTTCCAAAAACATCTTCCTGTGCCGCTCCTATACCTCCGGCACTGACTAAGTGCTAGACCAGCGGTTCCCAAAGTTATTTAGTCAACTGCCCACTTTGAGAATAAATTATTTTTTAGCGCCCCCCATTTTTGTAGTCAAGAGCTCAGTCGATGTCTAAGAGTCCTCCTAGTAGATGACGCCTCCCAAGCCTCTACACAACGTCCCGAATTTTTTTCTGGGTCTCTTACCGCCCCTATTTAAGCCTGCAGCGCCCACAAGGGGCGTTATCGCCCACTTTGGGAAAGACTGACCTACAAAACCTCATATTTAAACAAAAATTAAGAAGAAAAAGTTTCATATCTTAAAGAAATTCTTCATGTCAGAGCGGAGAAGAGAAGTGTTATGATGGTTATGAGTAATCAATCAGATTTCATTATCTTCACTTCTCTTTTTGGCACGAAATTTAAATATACATACAGGGTGGAAATGATAACTGTTCTCACTCGATTATTTCTAAACTATACATGATATCGAAAAACTGGTTATTGATCCTGAAAGTGCTTCACGAGCTCTTTCACACGGTACCAATAAATAGGTTACAGAATAAACTGGAACTATCCGAAAATTCAATGTTTCCAGCTTCCATACATTTGGTAAAGTTACAAACAAAAAATAAATTACACTTCTAATATTGTGTGGTTGGCATACATTTAGTATGGAAGCTGGAAACTTTGAATTTTCGGATAGTTCCAGTTTATTGTGTAACTTATTATTGGTACCGTTTGAAAGAGCTTTTGAAGCACTTTCAGGATCAAATAAGTTTTTCGATATCTTGTATAGTTTAGAAATAATCGAGTGAGATCACTTATCGTTTCCACCCTGTATAACTCAAAGGTGACTGACTGACATAGTGATCTATCAACGCACAGCCCAAACCACTGGACGGATCGGGCTGAAATTTGGCATGCAGGTATAACGTTATAACGTAGGCATCCGCTAAGAAAGGATTTTACGAAACTCCACCCCTAAGGGGGTAAAACGGGACCCACTCGTACGAAGTCACGGGTCCACTAGTACCAACTATTTATGTAATATGTGTGTTAATTGTTTTTTTTTTCTCTTCTTTTATTTGTTCATTTGGATTTTCGTGTCAAATAAACGTTTTTCTATTTATATTTCTTATCTCAGCTCCGCGCCGCCGCCGCTGTCAAAATCTATAGAAAAATTTGACGGCCCGTCCCTTCTCCGCTCTGCTCCGCTCCGTCTTGGTGGAAATCAGGCCTTAGTTATAAATAATAAATAAATAAATAAACAATAAATAGTTTATTTCCAAACCATAACACTATTACAGCTTAAAATCTTAATCACGTTAATTGATAACTTCGTGTTAGTCATCATTTCAGCCATAGGACGTCCACTGCTGAACATAGGCCTCCCCCAATGATTTCCACAATGACCTATTGGTAGCGGCCTGCGTCCAGCGCCTTCCTGCTACCTTTATGAGGTCGTCGGTCCACCTTATGGGTGGTAGTTAGTAACATTGTTTATTTTTGACTATTATATTGCAGAAACGGAGACCCCGCCTACTGGTCGAGCAGAGACCCATCGCGAGGCGACAGACTGTGGGAGGATTTGACGTCACGACTCAACGGTGTTAAAGGAGGATGCAGGAGGGACACGGAGGCTTGGCAGGAGGTATGTATTGTTTATAATAATTTAGAGTTTAGACAAACGGAGGCGACAACAGAGTTGTAAGAAATTCGAGTCTTTTAGTCTTCATTTTTAGACTTGTCTAATGGACAGTTTGACAACATTCTCCAATAATTCGAAATCACAACTTTTCTAAAAAGACACTTCATTCTGGTCTTAAAAACTTAATTAATTTTAAATTATCTGTAAATATACGATTTTTGGTCGCATTGTAATTGAAAAAAGTAGTTTAATTGAGTTGACAAAATAGTGACGTCATTTGCTTGTACTGCCATACAAAATCTATGGAAGAGTTTCGTTTTGACAGTTTTAAAAAGTACGTCAATTGATTGGTGGTGTCAACATGTCTATTGAAAGAAAGAAAGAAAAGTATTTATTCGATTATTAAAATTCCTTAGCGATTGGAGTCGCTTCTCAAACTAAATTTTAAATAAACAACTTGAAAAAATCGAATTGCCTAAGGCGAGAATTGAACCCACGACCTTTCGCTTGCCGGGTGAATCTTCTTCCAAGCAAGCAAGCTTGAGTTTACGAAACTTCACCCCTAAGGGGGTATAACGGGGTGCACGCGTACGAAGTCGCGCGAAAATAAAACAATGTTGGTCCTCAACCTGTGGGTGGCCTTTTTGACAACTTTATTATTATTTTTTCCTTTTTTCTTTCTCCTTTTGATCTAAAATGTTATGAATGTATTTATTTTTTACTATTATGTTGTCAAATAAAAAAAATTCTTTCTTTCTTTCTTTCTTTCAACCCGTCTGGCCAGTACCCCACTGGCCTGGCTTTGACTTGTAGGTCAAAAACTCCACTTGCTTCTGGCACATTTTTGGTGAGGTTTTGGGGTCAAACGTCAGCGAGACTTCAAAATTCAGATTTGTACACTCTGTCACGTCATAATATGTCAATGTCACCCCTCCCATACCTCAGGTACTGACTGAGTTAGCGCTAGATCTATAATAACTATTTACTTCCAGATATGGTCAGAATGGAAAGAGCGAGCCAAAACGAAAGCAGAAGCTGATAAAAGGTTGACTCCGAGCGAAAAACGCATAATGGTCGTCATCCGGCCTCCAAAGAAGAAAAAGAAAAAAAAACATGCGTGTGAGCATACCACGGAATTCGCACATGTGAGTGATTGATTACGAAGGACTATACACAAAACATCAATTATTTGAAAGAAAGAAAGAAAAATATTTATTCGATGCAAGTAGGTACACAGCAAGATAATAACTAAATCTAGACAACAGAACGTCTACAAGCACCAAAATGGCATCAGCTCAGTATACGCCGTGACGGCAGAGAGCGCATCACGACCACTGGTATTCTGCGGATGCCAGTTGAGGTAAAGGGCGCAGCTCGCCCAGGAACAATCGGTTAACGTAACAAGTAATTTTAAACATAGATAGCCTAGACAGATTTTTCCGTCAGATAGAATAATTATAAAATATTAGACTCGTATTAAATGATAAAAGTGCTACATCGAGTTGAAATGTCGCGTTACGTCACGCTTGAGTAGATTTTTTACTCAAAAGTGACGTCACGCGTCATTTCAACTCAATATTGTCAGGTGGTGTTAGGTAAATGGGTATATGAGCCGGCACTAGACCATGTTAACATGGGCATATAAATGGTATGGTGAAGTCAGAAAATTGATATCTTCATTTTAATCATTTTAATTTTCATACAAGTCGGATTTCATAAAATTTATTTTGTATAATATCACCCTGTATAATACTGTAATTATTCAATTATGAAAAAAATAAAAAATATGTCTCCAAATTTTTTCTATTATCTGTCTGAGACGGACTAAATAGAATTTAGATTTCATTACCCACTCATCATCCCAATTATGATTGTGACATGATGATGATGATGATGATGATGATGATGATGATGAATATGATGACATTACTCAATATTGAAACTTATTGTTTCAGATACAACCTACAGAAGATTTGGAGTTGCAAGAGGCGTACGCGTACCTACATCAATTTGAAATGCCAATGAAGATGTAGCTATATTGTTATTTGTTAGCTAGGTTTTAATAAAAAATCAATCAAAAATTACTGTTTTTAATTCAATTCAGTAGACTGGCGTATAAACCAATTTTAATAATAAAAAGACAGATAAAGGACAGCTCAATTTTAATATGTACTCAAAATTAAAATTAAAAACCTGCAATTAGTCTAAACATACAATTAGTTAACTTAGAAATTATACAGACCATAGAAAATAAAAAATATTCCAGTATTACTATAATTTAATCAATATTGTATAATGTTTATGTACATAGTGAACTACACGAAATAAACATTTGACGAAGATTTGATATTATTTCCATTATTTTTTCATCTACCTACTCCCTAAATAATTTTTTACAAGCTAGATAGCAAGAAGCTAAAATTAAATATGCTTGCTATGAGAATGAGTCTATCAAGTCACTATAGTTTACGTTTGATGGTTATTAATTGACGTAAAAACTACTGAAAGGTTTTTTATAAAACCAAAGGGGGGATTTCACCCATCTATACTAATATTATAAATGCGAAAGTAACTGTCTGTCTGTCTTGCTTTCACGCCTAAACCACTGAACTGATTTTGATGAAATTTGGCATAAAGACAGTGAGTCCCGGGAAAGGACATGATAGTTTTTATCCCGGTTTTTGAAACAGGGACATGCGCGATAAAGTTTTTCTGTGACGGACAAAATACCATGCAGGCGAAGCCGCGGGCTGAAAGCTAGTAAAACTATACAATGCATTAAAAAAAACATCTGTTGCTCGCGTTCCTTCAAATTCAAATTCAAATTCAAATTCATTTATTCACAGAAATACACGTCCATTAGATGTTTGTAAATAATCAATTAATAAATAATTCTGTTAAGTTCCAAGTTCTGCCGGTAGTACAATGGTCAAAACCATCGAATTATTTGTAGAACCACTGCAATCTTCCGTGATTCATTTGGTAGGTAGGACTGAGTAGAACTACTGGCAAGGCACGTAAAAAGTACATTAAGCTCAAAATAGGCAAATTAAATTAGAATAAATTTTGTAATTTAGAAAATTAATAAAATTCCGATAGCGAATCCATTTCGAAAATTAATTTTTAATTGTCTACAAACAGGAAGGAAACTTCGAAGGATTTCAAATTTCGCGCCATTTTGCGTTTTGTTAATGTCACGCACACATAACTTACATTCGTAATCCAATCCCCACAGTTAACATAAATTGCACTCTTTAACTAATATTGCATTTAAATCAAATTCAAACAATAAAATAGTTTATCTTCCATACATCCGCATATTTTAAGAATATTGTATTCAGTTTTTATTCTAAAAAATGTTTATTCATGTCGGTGCAAGAACGAAACGCTTCACCTCTGCATTCCGGTTCACGCATACGGCATACATCTTATGTTATGAATTTATGTTTCTGTCAAAGTTTTATATTATAATATAGATGACCCACGCTGAACTGTCCCACCAAACTCAATGACAGGGGGGCGCTACCATCGTTCAACTATATGGTTTCCAACATGGCAAAAATCTGAACCAGCGATCCGGTATTGACGGTGGCGCCCCACTGTCAATGTCATCGACAGGACAGTCCAGTATTTTGGAACTATACCTACCTACATTGAATAATAAAATTGACTTGACAGTTTTTGTATGGGAAATATGTCAAAATGACAATTTTTTTTTCTGAGTTAGAAGAGCTCACAGATAAGGATAGATGCAGCATGTGTCAAAATTTGTATGAAGCCGAGCGTGCCACTTTTTAAACGTCATTAGTGTCATTTTAGCGAATTTTAGTGATTGCCGCAACGTAAAAGTAATCGTATCATCGTACTGCATTCGCAAAGTCATCGAATGATATCGTGTGACTCGATTCAAAAATTAATTAATTCCGATAAAACTGATATTTTATTAAATGTATAGCTAGTAGACTGTGGATTAAAATAATTATGTAGCGGTAGACGTTATTCTACAATTCTACATTATTAATTTGCAAATAATATTTTTTTTGTGCCTAATGTTTATGAAAGTAATGATCGTTATTCCATTATGTTAAATAGTACTACTAGTAATTCATACTTAATTCCATACTTTTAAATATCCTAGTAAGTAAATGACCTACTTTCATAAAATAAAGACTATTTTACTCAAGCTTTTTATTTTTAATAAATGTAAAAATGCGTAGTTTTGCCAATACGTTTTTTTCATAAAGCTAAGTCAGGTACCTAGTTTTGAAGATATTTCTAAACGACAAAATCTCGGGCGTCGTATACATAGTAGTATACTGCGATCACTGACCTAACTTCTTGATTTGTATATTTCGACGTTATACAGTGCACTCTGTCTTCCGCGATCACTGATCTAACTTGTTTTATAATTCTTCTTCTGCTACTTTATTAATTACATATTTGTTACTCGTTGCTGTTAATTACAATTCTCAATCCGTAAATAATTTCTTCTCTCTACCGTGTTCGTACTACTGTCCTCGTAAAATCATCGTATCCGATTGTTGTAATCGGATTACATGAACATCACTCGACCATGTATGTCCATTTGGACATATCGGAATGGCACGCTTTGACTAGCAACTTGCTGTATCTACTCTAATCCATATCTGTGGAAGAGCTCTTTGCGTAGAAAGGAACACAGAACACACTGAGCGTGTGCCATGAATTGGATGTTTGTGTTTTATGTGTGATTTTGTTGATTTTCCCGACAAATTAAAAGCGATGTCTCGTCAAGAGTTGATCTCCGAGCAAGATAATTTTAAAACAGTGAAAGAAAGTGAGATTTGCGTGTGTTGCTTGTCAAAAAACGTCGGTTTCGTAAGTTTGACAACATGTAAACACTACAGTTTGTTCGAGAGTCTCATCAACTTCGAGGTATTAATTGTTTATTTACGCATTTTCTTTAATTTTAAAACCTATGATATTGTTCGTAAAGTTATTGTTTTGTTCCGTTTTGATATTGAAAATGATCGTATAGTAAAGCTGTCAAAGATTGGCATCTCATACAAAATGGCTGATATTTTTTTTTATTTACACTAACATATTTACCAGGTTTTACCTGTCTTAGATATTATATTTCATGGCTAATCGAATAGGGATGTTAAGAGCATTAAATATTTTCCAAAGAAAAAAAAATCTAACTGTTAAACTATTGTCCTGCGCGTATAGTGTTAGCACTCACTCATGAGCTATCGTGCTTAAAATACCTTACATTAAAATAAAAATAAAATAGGTAGCATCCAAATGTTTTATTTCAATGCTAGATACAGTAGGCGCGCGAGTTCATGTCCATCGGGGCCTTACTTACTTACTTATTTACTTACTAGCTTTCCGCCCGCGGCTTCGCCCGCGTGGAATTTTGTCTGTCACAGAAAAACTTTATCGCGCGCGTCCCTGTTTCAAAAACCGGGATAAAAACTATCCTATGTTCTTTCCCGGGACTCAAACTATCTCTATGCCAAATTTCATCAAAATCGGTTGCGAGGTTTAAGCGGGAAAGCGTAACAGACAGACAGACAGACAGACAGACAGACAGACAGAGTTACTTTCGCATTTATAATATTAGTTGGGATACTTTCTTATAAGTTGCAAATATACTCAACATCAAATAAACCGCACCTTCCGCGACGCGAACTTTAACGATTTTCTTCTGACACAGTCATGGTGCCCCAACAATATTGGTGTTATTTGAAAGCCCAATAAATAAACATGAAGAAAAACACATTTAATTTCTTAATAAATCATTAACATGTACCTACCATAAATGTGACTTGAAAAAATACCTCACTTTGGGCCCACCTAAGCTATGGGATCAATTAGACCAATTTTTATGGTTATAAAACCAATTAATGATCTCACGTGTCCTCTTTAACAGATGGATAGCGATTAATCCCAACTTAACAGTTTTATAGACATAAAAGTTGGCTTTAGCGTAACTACCTATTTTTTGAAGAAGTGACTCTGGATCCATTTTTGGGGTAAAAACCTTTCCTTTAATGAAATGAAGGTTAGAACTAGGCTTTTAAAAGGTGCCAATATTGGTGGGAAGTGGGGATGCATACGTTTGAAAATGCTTGTCGCGGGAGGTGCGATTTATTTGATGTCGAGTGTATAATTATGGAATAAGTAGATAAGGTTGTGACCTACTTAATTGGTAATAATAATAATTATCGATATCGACATTAGCATAATTAGTTAGGTAACAGCACTACCGCATTCCTCAGGATGGACATGAACTCGCGCGCCTACTGTAGGTACTTTGGAAGTACTTATTTAATTGGTGTCATCATAGCATCGTAGATAATGAAAAAACTTCAAAACACCATTAAATATTTCTCCTCCAATATGTAAGTATCAAGCCAAATCAGCAGAGAGAAGGCTAAGCAATTTATTTATCTACAAAATATACATTATTCAAACAAACGTCTAAGTACTTATCTTTATTGTCCTTTGTTGAAATTACTTTGAATTAGCTGAAGGCAAAATTGCAAGAAAAAATGTTGTTTACTTACAGCTTTGTAAAACTGGATTTTCCAAATCGATTTAATAGTTTCAAGGCTACTTTAATTAAAACTAAAAATACAGCAAACCGAAATACCTACTAGTATCTAGAGTAGAGCGTAAAAATTTCCGAATACCTATCAATATCTACTTAGTATAATGATAATATTATTATTTTCTTAAGTTCTGAGTGTCGTTATTATCTTAATTAGTTCTTTATATTAATTTGGAAGTTTGTAAATAGGTTTAAGCTACAACATTGTAAAGTTTTAGTTTTATCGAAATCCGCCCAGTAGTTTCACACTTTCTTAGCACCCTGTGCACTTCTAGTAGACCTTATTAGGAACCTACATGCCAAATTTGGAATCTCTAGACCCTGTGGTTTAGGCTGTACGTTGATATGTTAGTCAGGCAATTTTTCTTTTTATTTAGTTTTAAAGGTCATATCACACTTATCAGCCCGGAAAGGCATTAACATCATATCGCCTTTCGCTGCGAGGCGCAGCGAGGCACGGATACCTGTGCGTTACAGTACGGAGTTTCATACAAAGAATACTGACCGACTCGAGTTGATACGGCTACGATCCGTTTCCGGGTTGATAAGTGTGCTGCGTTCTGGATGCCTAAATTATTATACCTAACTTAGAAGCTAGGTTTGCTACTTACTAGTTTTATTTTAAATAATAGGAGTTTTTTTTTATTTCAGTTTCAATATGACAACTTAGTGATTTGCCGCCGTTGTCACCATTTTTTGAATAAAATAGACCTATTTAAAGAACAAGTCGAAGAATGTCTGGAAATTGTACTAAAGAGTCAACAGGTAAATGTTTTTGTTATTAAATAGGTTTCATAAAGTTGACCTAGGAAAGTATTCCTTGAAGTGGCACACTTAATCAATTCGAATCAGATCGTAGATGGTCGTAGAATTGCCAAACTTAGTGGCAGTGGGTGGGGAACATAGCTCGTAAAGGAGCTGTTGGTTGGGGCAAAAAAAAATCTTATATTACCATTATTTCTAATTTTTGTATTCTTTTCACAGCTTCCGCTTGCAGCTCCGTCAAAAAGATTCCAAAATTTTATCTGTTCACGCACAGAACAATACACTACCTTCAATGATAACATTATCGTGAAAATTGAGCCTTTGATTGACCACAATCAAACATTAGAAGTCCACCAACCATTACAGTATGATTTAAATACAGATGTAAAAATTGAAAACGACAGCTCGGATCTCGAAGTCGACGTGCCTTTGTCTGAAATAAGAAAAGATGAAGAGAAAAGAACTAAGAAGAAAAAAAGGAAAAAGGTGCCAGAAGTTGCTGTGCCAAAAAAATCTAATACCGAAATTAAAAATTTGGGAGATAAGTACGATGGAAAGATTGCTATTGTGAATTTGGACAGAGAGGAGGTGATGTTGGAAAGAGAAAGAGAAGCTAGAAAAGAGTCGTACTTAAAATTGCCTTTCAAATGCGAGGACTGTATAACTGGGTTTGATCACGAAATAAATTTGAATGAACACATGGAAAAACGCCATGGAAAGGTACGTTGAATAGGTTTGGTTTTATTTTTCTAGAGGCAGAGTAGAATAGGACCACCCCCACTCTTCGAATGTATGTCGTAAGGGATAAATTAATATGCGAACATCAGGCCTCCCCACTCCCCAACCCGTCTGGCTAGCGTGGGAACTGTAGAACAAATCCTCCATTTCTCTCTGGTAAATTGGAGGGGATTAAAGTCATAGCAGACTTATTAACTCGGAAAGCGATCAGCACCGTATCGCCTTTCGCGAGCTGTTATCGACTTCGTGAACTGTCAATCGCGAGGCGAGGCGTTTACGTTACCTTACGGTGCAGATAAGTGTGCGTTGCAGTATGTAGTTTCATACAAAGAATACTGATCGCCTCAACTTGTATCAACTTATGATTCCTTTCCGGGTTGATAAATGTGCTACCTCCGTTATCCTGCAGTGGATACTAAATGATGATGTCAATACTGACCTAACTGCGACACTATTTATTTCATAGATTTTATTTTAATTACAGAAAAAGGGCGGCTACGTGTGCGATATATGCAAATCAAATCTAAGCACTTTGCCATCCTACAAGGAACACTTAAAGCGACACTCCAGAAGGTAAGTCTCAATATTACCTCAAGTTGACTGGTAGAGAAAGTATTGTGGCATTAATTCCGGCAATTGTACTTTTTTGTGCACCAAGTTGGCAAAGAATTTATGGCATTAAGTTACAGATTATGGCATTAAAGTTTAAAAGACGAAGCACACTTATCAACCTCGAAACGGATCGTAACCGTATCAATACTGACCAGTATTCTTTGTATGAAACTCCGTATTGCAATGCACACTTATCCGCACCATAACGTAAACGCTTCGCCTCGCAGCGAAAGGCGATTCGGTGTTGATACCTTACCGTGTTGATAAGTGTGCTATGGACCTTAAATAAAATAGTATTGTTTAATAAGATAAAGGTGTCTAATAAGGTCCGGCCGCCAATACGGCCAGATACCTAATAAGGTCCTATAGTTACAAATATATTTTTTTACTTGTACCTACAATGTTGTTCATGCATGCGTTCACTTGGACTTGACCACAGACGGTGTCCAGTGTGGAAAATCTTTTAAAGTTCGACCAAACCTCTGTCGGCCATTGGCCATTAATACTTGCTATTTTGTTCTATCGTTCGTTCATTTCAAGTTTCAACCTAATGCCGTCCACTGCTGGACACAGGTATCCCCCAAGGATTTTCACAATGACCGTTACGTACGTGCGACTCACCAGATTGTCAGTCCACCAAGTGCGACCTGCCTACTCATTTTCTTGAAATCATTATCTACTTTTTAAAACCAAATCCAACCTTCTCTCCGAAGATACGAGTGCCTGGACTGTGGTAAAAGGTACAACAACGTGTACTCAGTGGTGAAACACTACAATGACACCCACGGCGGCGTCATAGAGACCACGTACACTTGCCACGAGTGCGGGTTCACAACTGAGTAAGTTACATTAAAAGAATACTTCACTTCGAACTCCTCCTATGTTCTTCTGATTAATTTCGTTGCGGGTCCAATGACATGTTTACCTTTCCCCCGGGACAAACTTGACCTTCACTGGTTGGGTTATTGGCGGTCAAGCTGTAGATCCTGGCTACACAGGAGTTGCAGCGGTGGGATCGAGAGGTGTTTCGTGTAGACGCACTGGGGGCCAAAACACGAATCCCTTCTGTAGACGTAACTTTTTAAAAACATGTCATACAGTACGCCTAGAAAGTCCCGCGTCTTGTCCCCGGGAAGATTACGTAATCTATGAAGCACATTTATCAACCCGAAAACGGGTCGTAACTGTATCAACTAGTCACATACACTTAGGCAACGTACACTTATCCTCACCGTAACGTAAACGCCTCGCCTCGTGGCGAAAGGCGATACGGTGTTGTTGATCCCTTTTTGGATTGATAAGTGTGCTATGACCTCTAATTAGCGACATGTTTCGCAACATGTTGCTCCATTTGACAAGTGTATCCGTGGTTTTAACGATGATGTTGTGGGCAGGTCGCACCGCGGCTTCCGCTACCACCGCGACAAGCACAAGCAGAAGGTGTCCTGCAATATCTGTGGCAGCACCTTCGTAGCGCCCGCGGGGCTTAAGGTGCACATGTAGTGAGTATAAACATCATAGTCATACCACCTAAGTCCGGTCGCCGAGCAAATAGAACTTCGTCCAATGACCCCAAGCTACCCATCCTTATCGCTCGCGTGTAATTATATTGCTGTCGCAACTGTGCGACGGGCGGCCGCAGTGAGTGTGCGAGAGCGATATAATTTAATTGCGCGATCGATAAGGATGGGTAGCTTGGGGTCATTGGACGAAATTCTTGCTCGGCGACCGGACTTCAGTGCCGTTTTGGATGCAATAAATTATTGAGTTCTAGCCACCGCCCGCGACTTCGTACGCGTGGGTGGATAAGTCCATTACAAAAGTATCGAATTAATAAAAACAAAAATTCAATTAAATAGCACACACAGTTTATTTGTTTAACATCTTGCTTGCACTTAATCACTGTAGCCGTGGCGGAGTTAATGCCAAGTGGCATTCTCTACCAGTCAATAATATCTCGGGGAGTTTAACTTGAAATAATCGAACTGCCTAAGGCGGGAATCGAACCCACGACCTTTCGCTTACCGAGCGACTGCTCTACCATCTGAGCTACTTAGACACTCGATGAACCCGTCGAAATTTTCAAGTGTAATACTAATACGCTGTTGCGGCCGCGTTTGTTTCATCAATATTGAGTAGTACTACCCACATCCAACAAAAATATTGTTACAAATATTTGACTGTCGTGGGTTCGATTCTCGCCTTAGGCAGTTAGATTTTTTCTAGTTATTTATAATTTAGTTTGGGAAACGACTCTAATCGCTAAGAAATTTTAATAAGTGCTAGCTTTTGCCCGCGGCTTCGTCGTCAGCCAAATGACGTCCACTGCTGGACAAAGGCCTCCCCCAAGGTTTTCCACAATAAACGGTCCTTCGCGCTTTTGCCCGTGGTGCGTGCCCCGCATCGTCATAAATTATAGCCTAATGTTACTTTGGGTTATAAAGAATAATACTGTAAAGTTTCATCAAAATCCGTTCAGTAGTTTTTGCGCGAAAGAGTAACAAACATCCATCCAGACATTTAAACTATCGTATTTTTAATATTAGTAGGATTAAATCTTAATTGCTTATTTCAGCACAGTGCACAAGCAATCCAGCCGAGTATATTCATGTGAGATTTGCAATAAAGTGTACAACGCGAAATCGGGTCTGGTCGGGCATATGACGGCGGTTCACTCTACATCCTATAGTGCGTACTGCACCAAGTGTTGCAAGTATTTCCGCACCGACCAAGGCTTGGCGCACCATTTGAAGACGCACTCCGCGCATATCTCGGATAAAGACAAAAGGTATGCCTGATATTAGAGCTCGTACAATCCAGTTTTGCGGTATCCAGTAATGCAGGACTCCTGCAAAAAACGGAATGTCTTCTCTGTGGGAACAAGGTCTTATAGACGAAGATGCTTAAAATAATCCAGCCGTGTGAACTCGTGTGAGATCTGGTGTCATTAAGTGTACCTAATTAGCGTCATCCAGTGTCATTGTAATTATTAAGTGTCATTGGTATCATTCAATGTCATATTTCCGACAAAGACAAAAAGTATGCATAGACATTAGACGATTATTTGACCAATAGTGCGTACTTATTGTGCCGAATGTTATACGCACTTCCGCATCGGGTATAAGGCTTGATTTCCTCCTACGCTGACGTCGGTCGCGTACATCGGTCGAGCGTATGAATAAACACAATGTTCTATGAAGCATAGCACTGCAACGCCGTCGTCAGCGGCAGATGATTACATAGAACTAGTGTGTAATTGTGCGCGCCGCTGACGTCGGTCACCGATGTCAGCCTAAAAGGAAATCAAGCCTAAGCAATGGTGCACTTTATTTTAACTATTGCATGCCCGATATGGTTAACACTGTTGTAACTCATTGTTTTGCAATGTGAACAGCGCATTGTACACAGTTTTGGTAATAAAGATTATTCTATTCTATTCACCATTTGATGATTTGAACTCCGCTCCGCGCTTACCTTTTTCTGAGGACGATAAGAGTTTTTTTAAAGATTGTCTTATTAAAAGATTTCCTAGGAAATAAGTGTAGATTTTAAGGACGAAGCACACTTACCAACCCGGAAACGGATCGTTACCGTATCAACTCGAACTCGAGACGGTTAGTATTTTTTTCTATCTGCACCGTAAACGCCTCGCCTCGCGGTTGACAGCGCGCGAAAGGCGACGACAGCTCGCGAAAGGCGATACGGTGTTGATCCCTTTCCGAGTTGACAAATCTGCTATTGACCTTAAAAAATTACAAAAGATAACTTTATTGAATCAAAATCAATTGGACATGGATTGTCCAATTGATTTTATTTACACGCGGTTATTGTCTTTCAGATTCAAATGCAGCGAGTGCGACGCGAAGTTCTTAAATAAATCTACTTTGCAAGAGCACACTGACTTTGTGCATCTCAAAAACATGAAGCACGAGTGCTCGGATTGTCAGAAGGTATGTATGGGAAACGGGACTATTCCCACCTCTCGTTCCCACCGCTGCAACTCCTGTGTAGCCAGGATCTACAGCTTGACCGCCAATAACCCAACCAGAGAAGGTCGTTTGGGAAGTAAGGCCCGGTTCTCACTAAGGCGGAGCGGAAAAGTGACGACGGGCTGTGCAGATTGAAAATAATGAAATCTGATTAGTTATTCAAAACTCTTCTGCGCTCTGCTCTGCCTTGGTGGACACCAGGCCTAACCTACTGGAGCTACTCTACAATCATACTTGAAAGTTGTATATGACGTCACGTTATTTCACCAGGTGTTCAAAAACGCTTCTGCTTTGAAGAGGCACTGCGACTTCGTTCACAAAAAAATTCGCCCACCTAGAAACCATATTTGCGATCACTGCGGCAGGGGATTCTTTGTAAGTGCTGGTTTATTCTATTACTTCTAAACTAATATTATAAAGTTGAAGAGTTTGTTTGCTTGAACGCGCTAATTTCAGGAATTACTGGTCCGATTTGAAAACTGTTCCTTCCTCGTAAACGGGTTGGATAGCATTCATCGAGGAAAGCTTTAGGCTTTATAGCCTTACTAGCTTTCCGCCCGCGGCTTCGCCCGCGTGGAATTTTGTCTGTCACAGAAAAACTTTATCGCGCGCGTCCCTGTTTCAAAAACCGGGATAAAAACTATCCTATGTTCTTTCCCGGGACTCAAACTATCTCTATGCCAAATTTCATCAAAATCGGTTGCGAGGTTTAAGCGGGAAAGCGTAACAGACAGACAGACAGACAGACAGAGTTACTTTCGCATTTATAATATTAGTTGGGATACATCACCCTACAGCCGATAGGGGTGGCGCAGTAAAGAAAAATGTTGCAAAAACGGGAAATAATAAGCCGTTTGGTTCCAGTAAAGTAAAAAGCACCACCCCTACTCTTCCCTAGTAGTGGTTAGTAGCTAAGGGACAATATGCGAACATCAGGCCTCCCCAACCTGTCTGGCCAGCGTAGGGAGTGTAGGACAAATCCTTCATTTCCCTCTATAGGTTACTCTATGACCATTTTTTAACGGAACTATTCCCACCCCTCGTTCCCACCGCTGCAACTGCTGTGTAGCTAGGCTTGATCGTCAATAACCCAGCCAGTGAAGGTCAAGTTTGTCCCGGGGGAGGGTTAAACTGTCATTGGACCCGCAACGAACTTAATCAGAAGAACATAGGAGTTCAAAGTTCCAGCTTCATGATATGATGATGATAATGTTTGTCGACAGACGCTGGCCATCCTCCAGGCTCATATCCGGACGCATACTGGCGAGCGTCCGCTACAGTGTCCGAAGTGTCCGGCAACGTTTGCACACTCCGCTGCGCTCTATACACATAACAAACTACTGCACAGTGGTGCTAAGGCTCAAAACTGATAGCAATGCGGTGATTGACATCAGTTGATACAAAGAGAATAATAATATTTACAGTCAGCATCATATAGTTCGTGACACCCAAAGTGGTAAAAAGTTGACTACACAACCTTATTCCAATTGTAACAAAGATTTGTTGCGAACTTTTTGGCTACGTTGGGTGTCACAAACTATTTGACGCTGACTGTACTACGTACAGAAAGTTTTCTTCGCGAAGGTATTTAAAAAAATGTCTACTCAATGTCGTACTTGCAACAAAAAACTGTTGTATGCATGTAATGTTCTTATTTTAAACAGTAACATTGTTGAATTAAATGAATACAAGTATTTTCAGTAAATAAAATTAAGACTTTGTTTTTTACACACAACAAAATAATACCTATACGACGTGGTGTGCTAGCTACCTACGTATTAGAATCAGTCTTACCTTTTTTTTAAACAAGTTTATTTAATCATTTATAATAATATTCTGAGCGTACCATAAACATAGGATTATTTTGAGAGATTAAAACAATTAATTTTATTTTTTCAAAATAGGCCTTATTAGGAACTAGGCCTTATTTGGATCTATTTATTTTTCAAATTAAAATTTTAATTAAATTATTGAAAAATATGGATAGAAATAATAGACGAAAACTTTTTTATCATTTATTATTTAATTAATTATTAAACAGTCAGCGTCAGAAGATGGATGGAAATAATAGACGAAAACTTTTTTTACCATTTTTTATTTCATTATTTTTATTGACATAGTACTTACGCTCAGCGTCAAATAGTTCGTGATCCCCAAAGTGGCCAAAAAGTTGACAACACAACCTTATTCCAATTGTAACTAAGACGTGTTGCGAACTTATTGGCTACTTTGGGTGTCATGAACTATTTGACGCTGACTGTTACTTATAGATGACCCACGCTGAACTGTCCCACCAAACTCAATGACAGGGGGGCGCTACCATCGTTCAACTATATTATGGTTTCCAACATGGCATAAATCTGAACCAGCGATCCGGTATTGACGGTGGCGCCCCACTGTCAATGTCATCGACAGGACAGTCCAGTATTTTGGAACTATAAGTAGGTACCTATCTATCTTTACAACTTACACACGAATATTTACAATTAAAATTACTTCAACATAAAGACGATTTGTACAAGCTTATCTTAATTAATGCCTTAATTATAGCTTAAATTAAAATAAGGTAGATAATTTAATTGGTAATTCCTAATTGATATCACAATCGTTTTTAACGCACGTTTTGACGTTAAAAACATTTTAATTCATACCAAACTGTGTCCTTTTGGCTATTTTAGTTTTTACGAATAATTTTCGTTGTAGGTAGTTAAAAAAATAATTTACATTTATCTTTTCTGGTTTCTGATACCACAAATTACTTTTTCTCTCATAGATTTTATATGGCAATACTCCAAGCTATGAAGTCACTATTATTCCCATATTAATTTTATTAATTTTAATTATTAATTTAAAGTTTTTAAACCAAAATTTTGAGCAGATTCGCACAATCGGATCAGAAATCGGATCTAGTAGGTTAATGGCCGTTTTCACCATCAATCCCTAATTTTTAAGTGAACCCTATGAAAAAATTTCTGTTATGTGTTACAATAGGGGTCACTTAAAAATGAGGGATTGATGGTGAAAACGGGCCGTGTTTAGGTATAGTCTTTAGATATGAGTATACCATACATACTTACTACGACTGCTTACTCCGGACCTTATTAGGACACTAGAGTTTTTTAAATCAGAAGTTTTTAGTTTGAATTAATGGTAAATAGTATCAAATTTCCTATTTATAATTAAAATCATCGTTTCTTAAAATACTCCTCAATCTCTTGCAGAGTTCTATCCTTCGTTTCAGGAAGATATTTGTACAAAATGCTTAAACTGATCGTCACACATATTCCACACACGAAAAACATCCCATGCAAGTCTAAAATATCGAAAACATACGGAGAAACCTTAAAAAGAGTCGCTTGGAGAAGGAAGAAGAATAGAGAAGTTACTATAATAGATTCTCCTTTATATTTTATAGGTATTAATTCTCCATATAAAGAAATACCCAAAATTATAGGGCCAATTCCTATAGCCATAGAAAAGGCTACAAGGAGTGACATGGGAATATAATTGTTGCTAACAATCACTTCTAAATGACACAGGTACAAATACAAAGAGAGAGCAAATAGAAAGAAAACTGCTAGAGACCCGAAAGTGAACAATAAAGTACGTCTAGTAAGAACTTTAGAGAAACCACAGCCTATGTACATACATAGGACTGTCACGCCGTCAAGTAAGAGCATGCCGCTGTACGCCGTATCTTCACTTTTAGTAATTTTCGTCAAGACGTCCAAAGCGTACATCATACAAATTTGCTTCCCCGATAATAAATGTGTACACATCATCACACAGGATAGAGTAACTGGTATATAAAACACTCTGTCTTTTAAGATATCTGAGTAGGAATCTTTTTTTTGCAGCCTCTTTTTGTCGACCTCCATTTGGTGCTCGATCAACTTCTGCAGTTCTCTCTCCGATTCAACATCACATCCTTTCAAAGACCTGTGGACTTTCTTACATTCTTCAATCCTGCCTTGACTGGCCAACCACATAGGGGATTCTGGCCAGAACACAACGGTTAACGAGTACAGCGCATTTATGAAACTGGGTACGCAAATGTATCTCCAATCCGCGTACGTTCCAATTGTATTCGCTATCCACAACGCCCAGAAAACTGTGGCAGTCTTGATCGTTAGTAAAACCCCTCGAACTTTGGGAGAAGTGTATTCTACTGTTGATAATATTGATACAGAGACGGTAGCGGCGTTTGGCACGCCTTGGATGACGCTGGTGATCAACAAGTGAACTGGAGATGACGTCAGGTAGTATCCTATGGATATAAGAACTAAACTAAAGGAGACGAATAGAGAGCTCTTCTTTCGCCCGATCTTGGTCATCAGTATTGCTAGTATGAAGACGAAAGGGAGAGACGAGAAACCGAAGAGGGAGGCTGGAAAGAAACACTTTGGTTAGAAACTATTCGATGTTCTTGACACTTAAAATTGAAAGAAAGAAAGAAAGAAACATTTATTGCCATGGACATCACAAAAGACAAAAGAGGTAAAATAAAAAAAAAAGCAAATGAGACAGAGGTGACATAAAAAATACAATGAATGAGCAAGTAAACTAAGCAGTGCCACCCTGTCGCACAGCGATGCCCATCGCAATGGGACCCCACTCAGCATATGCCGTGGCCCCCGGTGAGGGAAACCACGACGCTGCGCTGGTTTTCAGTGTGCCCCATGCCGAGTGAGAGTCACGGACACTAACCTATACTGCATAAAATATACGTACATAAATAATAATTTTAAGTGTAAATACAGACGTAGTAGAAAATAATAATATACGATATAGACGAAGTAGAAAAGATGTGATAAGATATTTATAAATAAAAAGATAATATTTAAAAAACAAAACTGTGTGTGCGTACATAATAATAATAATAAATTGTAATGTATTAAAGTGCGTTTGTGTATACTGTGATTGTGTGTGTCTCGACGTCCGCAAAAATTGTTACTTTACATAAGTACAACTCGGTCGAGTTAACTGCGCATCTGGCGGCCGTGACGTCACGGTCTGGTACGGACAGGGCGAGCGCGGAAGGTGTGCGGGTGAGTGCGAGGCAGACTCGCATTCAAGCGAGGTGCGCAGTTGGCTCGATCGGGTTTTACACACAATTTTAGCATCATCATATGGGAAAAATGTAATTAAGAACTTCGCGAAATGAATTGAGAAATGATTGGTAAGTACAATAGGTGTACTTAGGTACTTATTTATTTATTTAAACTTTAATGCCAAAATAAATTTGTACATAAGGCGAACTTAATGCACTGAAGCATTCTCGACCAGTTTACCTTTGGGTTGAGCAGAAAAGAAATTTGTTTGGCGGTGTGACTTACTAGTTAAAAAAATTAATAAGATGTTACAAGTGAAGGATGCAGTGTATTTCGTTAGATGATCCCGTCTGTGAGCACCTACGTTCTAAAAGGAACTCCCATGCGAAATTTGAGACTCCTAGCACTTGTAGTTTTTTCGTGATGAGTGAGTCAGTCTATGACCTTTCGCTTTCATTATACATATGTAGACTAGCGGCCGCCCGCGACTTCATACGCGTGGATCCCGTTTTCTCCCCTTAGGGGTGGAGTTTCATAAAATCCTTGCGTAAAATACCCACGTCGTCATAACATCTACCTGCATGCCAAATTTCAGCCCGACCCGTCCAGTGGTTTGGGCTGTACGTTTATAGATCACTATATCAGTCAGTCAGTCACCTTTGAGTTACTGACTGACTGATATAGTGCTACCGCTAACTCCCGTTCCCGTGGGAATTTTGCAATATCCTATTGTAACTAAGCTTTAAGTTTACTAAGGTACCTGCATGCCAAATTTCAAGCGTCTAACTTTAGATTTAGCGGTTTAGATTTTTTATACAAAAGGATTTTCCCGCTAATTCCCGTTCCCGTGGGAATTTCACATAGTGCGCAGAACTGACGGCCGATGGGGCAGCAAGGTTCTGGAATGGAGGCCGCGTACCGGAAGGCGCAGCGTGGGACGTCCACCTACAAGGTGGACCGACGACATCGTAAAGGTAGCAGGGAAGCGCTGGATGCAGGCCGCTACCAATCGATCAACGTGGAAAGCATTAGGGGAGGCCTATGTTCAGCAGTGGACGTCCTATGGCTGACATGATGATGATGATGATGATGTGGGAATTTCGGGAATTCCTTTGTTAGTGCACCTCTACGGTACCTAAGCTACGTCCCTCCCAAAATTCAAGTGCCTACGTTTAGCCGTTTAGGCTGTGCGTTGATATGTCAGTCAGTCGGTCAGTTTCTCCTTTTATTGTATATTTAGATTAGATAGATAGAAGATGGAAGATAAATAGGTAGGTACTTACATAACCAAGACGCCATTTCCACAGACACGGCGTCAGTAGAGTTGGCCTCCTTCCTCGCTTGGGGTACATACACGGTGGGGGTCCCAAGGCTGAGGCCCACCGCGAAATATGGGGTCCATAGGCCGCTGGCTATGAACAGCTAGAAGAAAAAAAGTTAAAATCATTTTTAAAATAGGGTAGTTTCCTAAAACAATTTTTAAGTCCGTCAATTTTAGTATAAAAAAATATTGGACACGTATATTTAATTGTAAATCAAACAAATAATTACAAAGGTATAGTGCGTTGAAGTTCCGCACGAACGTCACAAAGTGCTGCACTTTTACGCACTCACTGACGTCACGGGCCTTTTCTTTAGAACTTTGGCACGCTTTATCTCTTTACATTTTCATTAGTTTTAAAAAGTGAAAAATACGTGTCGAGTAGTTTTTGATAAGCTAACTGACGGACTATTTAAAACTCTTGCTATTTTACCCAGGAAACATCCCCACTAGCACTGCCTAAGGCGGGAATCGAACCCACGACTTTCGCTTGCCGGGCGACTGCTCTTCCAACTGAGCTACTTATGCCCGTTTTCACCATCAATCCCTAATTTTTAAGTGGCCCCTATGGCAACACTTAACAGGAACTTTGTTTTCATAGGGGTCACTTAAAAATAGGGATTGATGGTGAAAACAAGCATTAGACACTGGATGAACCCGTCGATAATTTGCTTTTACGTTTCGTACGGCAGTTCGATTTTATAGGTAGGCGCTGGTAGGGCCCAAAAGATAAGGAGACATATAAAGTGCCCCATAAGGGCTACCTTTTCTTTTTTATTTTTTACTACATTTTGACGTTCATAAGTGCCACTTGTGGTCTAAACTGAATAAATATTTTTGATTTTGATTTTGATTTTATCAAGTTGTTTGTTTAGCTCAGTCGATTTGGGTGGTTTCTTTATTTGTGTTGTTTCCACAGGAAAATATGGAAATGGGTCATCATCATCATCATTTCAGCCACAGGACTTCCACTGCTGAACATAGGCCTCCCCCAATGATTTCCACATCGCCCGGTTGGTAGCGGCCTGCATCCAGCGCCTTCCTGCTACTTTTTAATGTCGACGGTCCACCTTATCGGTTTGACAAAGCTCTATTACAAAAATAAATGAAAATATACCAAAAAGGAGAATAAATGTATAGCTTACCTGCCTCAGTAAAGGTTTCCATGACTTCTTTTTTTCGTAGGCGTACAAAATTTCATCTTTTTCGCTCGTCGGCACCTCCTTGTATTCGTCCATTTTCTTTTCGTTTTTCTGTATAATAAATTAGTAACTTATAAACGAGCTTGTAATGTGACAAAAAAAGGGGTAAAAAAGGTCTTAAGTGGGGCAAGAAAGTCTTGAGTATGGCAAACAAAATGTCTTGAATGGGGCGAAACAGGTGATTACGGAAGACGCCTTTACATATACCTAATGCTATACAAAAAACAATTTAAGCTACCTAGTTACATCCAAAACTATCCGAAACTTTTGAATCGGTTACGGTTACGGATATTTTTTTATTTCGGATATCCGAATGTTTCGGTTATGGTTACAGATATCCATAACATCCCTGAAATGCACATTACACTGATTTGGTATCGGCCGATTCCTCATACAAATTGGAAGACCAAACTATCGGCCGACTAATAGTATTATAGTCACTAGACTAGTGTACCTATAGTTAGTTAACTTTCTTTCTGTAATATTATACTATGGGAATACACACCAAGAAAAAACACGATGTTTTTTCTCTATCACCTTTTTCAAACTAACGCAACATCCAGTTTCTTCCGAATTACAACTGTTTTTGATCAACAAATTAAACTTAATCGATTATAGTTAGGTACTACTTGTAGTTTGTTTTAAAATTAAATGAACGTGTTTTTTTACTTTTTATTGCTTATTTGAAGGCACATTAATACTTTTTTTGTGTTATTCTCACCAGACCTCAAATTAGTTATCTAAATACTTCACACAGGGTGTTTTTATAATCAAGGACTTTAAAAAAAGTGTAGAAAATTGTATCAAATTGACCTAAGTAGTATTTAATATTTTTTTGTCGGGAAATACAAAATCAAAACGTTACAATTTAGGCGGTCTTACCTCTAGGAAGCGGTTTCTTCCAGTCAGTCCAGGTAATTAACATCCATGCTTTTTTTTTTAAATAATTTCGACTTTTAAGGAAGTAGCACACTTATTAGCGCGGAAAGGGATCGTAACCGTATCGTTTCAGCCGAAAGACGTCCACTGCTGGACAAAGGCCTCCCCCAAGGATTTCCACAAAGACCGGTCCTGCGCCGCTTGCATCCAGGTACCTCCCGCGACCTTCACCAGATCGTCGGTCCAACCGTATATCAACTCGAAACGGTCAGTATTCTTTGTATGAAACTCAATACTGCAACGAACAATTTTAATTTCTAATATTGCGCAATTGTTTGTTATCCCAAATAAAATAAAATAAAATAAACACTTATCCGCTTCCGCATCGTAACGTAAACGCCTCGCCTGGCGGTTGATAGCTCGCGAAAGGCGAAACGTTGTTCTTCCCTTTCCGAGTTGATAAGTCTGCTATGACCTTTATTATGAAAGAAAGTAAAACAAAACATTGGCTACGTCGCCTTAGCAACAAAAAGAAAATTATACGAGAGGTGACAGTCCAATCTGGTAAAAACCAGTTGGACAAAATAAACTAAAATATATCGTATGACTCACAGAATCACTCTGTCGTTTCGTGGTATCGGCAGTTACCTACACAATATTGTTTTAATTAATGCCAAAGTGCATTATTTGTTCAGTTGCATGTCTCTTAAACAAAGTTTTCTTTTGTTCAATTATGTTTTTATTCAGTTTGCACATGTATAGCCAATGTCAAGTATTTTATAGTTCAATCAATAGTTGTTGCAATTCACGAAGGCGAGTGAGCTTTACGAGTGGCGGCTCGCACTGTTCGTTTTCCAAAAGTTTTGATACATTACATTATCGTCATATTGTGCATGTACATGTACACCAGGGATGTTATGGATATCCGTAACCGTAACCGAAACTTTCAGATATCCGAAATAAAAAAATATCCGAAACCGTAACCGAAACCGGTATAATATTATTCCTATATCCGTAACCGTATCCATAACCGAAACTACATAATTCCATAACATCCCTAATGTACACACACAAGTAAAGATCCGGCGAAAAAATCTGGACGTAGTCCGGTCAAAAAAACGGATGCTTACAAGCGGCCTAGAAAATTAAAAACCCTGTATACTTGATTACTATGCTAAAGGTGACATTTGTAGGCAGACTGCATACCATTAAGATTTGTATTTTATCTGAATTACTTAGAGTAGGTATCCACTTATCGCCGCACGTCACCGCACGTGGCGTAGAAAAAACTATTATTTATTTATTTGAGGTACCTAAGTGCAGTATACCTACATAAAACAAAATTTAGACACACTGTAGCGTAGTAGCACAGAATACATAATAGTAGCAACAGAAATTGCACTCCTTTGTGTAGGATCAGATGCCGACATTTTAACGGTCATAATAATAATGCAAAATATCCAACGCACATGGTGCATTCGAAATCGCACCTTACACTACGCTCACAAGACCGCAATTTTTTTGTGTTCAGAATTGATCTACCTCACAGCTCAAGCGTCAGGGTTGAATAAGCAAATTAAAATAAATAAAAACTTAATTTTAAGAAGCATTTATTGTATTTACGATTGGTAAACTTTAATCTAGTGGTTTTTTTTTATAATCGTACCATCTCTAAAGTACCTACCTATTAATAAACTTCAGTGTTGCGATAATTCGAAATGGGACACACAGTTTTAAAAGGTGTAGTGTCGGAAAATAGACACGGTGAAGTAAAGTTAATGTTTTTATTAGCTAAATAATTTTTTTGCTATAGTTTTTTGTCATAAGTATTTCAAAATTATTTAAAGTGTATTTTTTTTAAATTATTTAAATTACTACAGTTAATTATTATTCCTAAATATTACGATTTTCCATTAAAGAATAATAATAGTGCTGTTGGAACAATAAACCTTGATTGCGACTATAATCGACCGAGCGTGTATAGAAATACGCGTGTGCTCACTCACAGGCGCGTCACGGCGCGTGGCGGCCTTGACTGAGCCCCGATTACGGTAACTTTTAACGTCTACGTCTACAATCCAATTTTAACGTCTACAATCCAAACACGCTTCTCGATTCTGCGATACGATTGGTCAAAACAGCTGACGTATGCTGTTGAACGACCAATCGTATCGCAGAATTGAGAAGCGTGTTTGGATTGTAGACGATAAAATTTACCGTAATCGGGGCTCAGATTTGCAACTTGAAGTTGTCGCGCGCTGTAGGCTAAGGCTGTAGGTAAGTTATCGCGGCCGGCATAGGCGAGTGACGGAGGCCTGGTAGTAGCTAGTTAGTGCTTGCTAGTGCCTTATTCTTATAAATAAATAAATATCCTTGGACATTTTACACTGCGCTTCTAGTCCCAAACTAAGCAAAGCTTGTACTATGGGTACTAGAGAACGGATATAAACATACTTAAATACTTTTTTTTTGTAAATACATACTTATTATACATAGATCACACCCCGTCCAATACAAACATATANTCCAATACAAACATATATGTTCATGCACACAAATGTTTGTACTGTGCGGGAATCGAACCCGCTACCTCCGGAATAGTTGTCCGTTTCGAACCACTACACCAAACGGCCGACAATATTATGATTTATGCTTGGCATTGGACGTCCTGTGGCTGAAATAATGATGATGATGATGATGATGATGATGATTAGGACTGTTTTAATGGGCTTTATTATAGAACATAGTTACGTGCATGTGGATTGAGTGATCACTGAGTAGTCATGATTTTGAAGAGCACTCATACGGCCAGTGTGCGGTGTGAGTGATCCTAAATAATCGTCATAACTTTGGAACGGGACGTGCAAGGGATTTCTCAATTTGTTAATAGTTTTAACATATTCTTAACCATTTTTCAATACTATAAAAGGAAGTGGAAAGGCTTTATATTCTGAAATAAACATTTTGACGTTTTCTTAAAGCGTCCGGTATGAGTCATCAACAGCCCTTACAGTCCACTGCTGGACTATGAGCCTCCTCCACTACGATGGAGGGATTTGCCATAATCTCCACGCTTGGCAGGTATGAGTGCCGTGAGTCACCGGTATGAGTGCTCCTATTTATTGACCATAACACGTAATGTTTTTAACATTTAACTAAAACTTACTCGATTTTTGCTAACATTGAAGCAAGGATCACTTAAACCATATGCACATTAAATTTTATAGAACTACCTCCGGTGTTCTGACACCGTTGCAAATGGGACATCCAGTATTTCAGTCTTGTGTTGTTGTTATTAATTGCATTTGTCAATCAAATAATTTACTTTCTCAATGAATATTTGAACAAGTTTTACCAGAGATTTTGAAGGCTCGCCGAAATCCAAATGTCAACCTTGCTTTTCGTAGTTTTTAATTGCTACTCATCGGAAAAAAACACCATTATTAGTTCAAATTTACTTTTAAATGATAATGTTTCCCCTAAGAGGTCAACGTGAAAGTTACACGACCTCTCCAGTTACTTTGTTTTTATACAAGGTTATTGAATTTAATTGTTTACCTATTTATTGTAACAATGGGTTCTTAATTTATTTGTGTTCGGTTAAGTTCATTTGATTTCTTTTGTTTTTGCAATTAAGGCTGAGGAGACATTGTGGTAGCTTCGAACTCGATCCGATTTCGCGTTTGACTTGATATTTTTTAAACATTGTCAAAATGGCAATGCCAGATTTTGTATGGAAGGTGGCGTCTTTTTTTTTTCGCGCGGCCATCGACCAAACTTTGTTTTTTGATTACAAAATAGTGTAATAAACTCAGATCATAGAAGGGAATAGATGTGAAACGGGGGCGTGGCGCGTGTCTCCGCGATATGCCCAGAAACGAACATCGGCCGCGACGCCAGGTTAGTCGCGATTCAGTCGTACTGAGGAAATGTTCTCCGATATTGTTGGATAATGCGTCGTAACGTGCAATAACATAAGTGAAACGAAGAACTACAGGAACAATGAAGTCATTTACCACATGTAAGTATTGCAAATCCATTGGTATTTTGCTTATAAATAAAAAAAAAAAAAAAAGACGCCAATTTCCGGCATTGTCTTTTATTTATTGGCAACTACTCTTCTTACTCGCCTTTGTGAATTGCAACAACTTAACTCTACTGACCTGATTGTCTAATCCAGGGGCGTCTTCCACCAAAGTATGAAGTTCCATCATCATTATACAAAACACTCTTATAAACACCAAAAATTGTACCAAAGAAAAAAGTCCAGAAACTGGGAGTTATTTTAAACCTTTTAACCAGTTGGTAACTTTTACACAGTAACTTTTCACTAGCTGTCAAAACTATACAGGGTGGAAACGATAAGTGATCTCACTCGATTATTTCTAAAGTACCTATACAAGATATCAAAAAACTAGTTACTGATCCTGAAAGTGCTTCATGAGCTGTATCAAACGGTACCAATAATAGGTTAAAGAATAAACTGGATCTATCCGAAAATTCAATGTTTCCTTCCGGCTTCCATACATTTGATACAGCCTCATAATATTAAAAACTACAAAATATATTGTAAAACTGGTTACTGATCCTAAAAGTGCTTCACGAGCTCTATCCAATGGTATTAATATTAAGTTACAGAATAAACTGGATCTATCTAAAAATTCAACGTTTCCGTCTTCCATACATTGAGTACTAAGTATCACAAATATGGCATTCATCTCTTGATAAAGCAAATTTTATAGTAAGTAAAGCCTAAAACTAATATTTTCCATAAACAATTTTAAATAAGAATGCAATTTGCAAGTTTATTTTAAGTTTTAAAAAAATTGCACTTCTAATATTGAATGGTTGGCATACATTTAGTATGGAAGCTGGAAACATTGCATTATCAGAAAAATCCCGTTTATTCTGTAACCTGTTATTGGTACGGTTTGAAAGAGCTCGTGAAGCACTTTCAGGATCAGTAACCAGTTTTTTGATATTTTGTTTAGTTTAGAAATAATCGTGTGAGATCACTTATCGTTTCCACCCTGTAGGTATACCTAGTTTCTTCTTTGGAATAAAAAAATGTGACATTTCAATTGATTTGTTGAGTCCGATTTTCCGTTATTTATTAGAAAACTAATGGATTTTCAGGATTAATAAGTATTTTTAAAAAGTTTTGCCTCGGAAGCTGATAGTTGATGGGTCTCCTATCAACTGATGATGAAAAATTTCTTTATCTTCTAAACATAAAAGCGAAATACCACACACTGATTATGCACGAAATCTCAGAAACATCAGAAACTATAACCACTACAAACTTGAAATTTGGCAGGTAGACTCCATAAAGAGTGTAGATACCTACCTATTATGGTAAGAACGGATTTCACGAAACTTCACCCCTAAGGGGTAAAAGGGGTCCATACATACGAAGTCGCGGGCGGCCGCTAGTAAGTATATTCTTCTACACAGTTATTTAGAAACAATACTAAGTTAATAATGAAAAAGTCGCTGCACGAGAAATACCACACCAATAAAGTTTATTATTATTAATAATAATCGGAAATAATTTAATCAGAGTGCAGCATAGTACAACATACTCTACTTAGCGTATCTGGCACAACCAAAGTGGATAAGCGCGAGTCGTACAGACATGAAAAAGGTTACGTATCATCATACATGGACTGACGAACTATTTTATTGTTAAAAGGTCCTTAATTTGTGGGCTGTACTGTAACTTAAGCTGAGTTGCACTATCATATTTTAATTTTAATTTAATTTATAAAAGCAAAAGGTCACTGATTGACTGACTCACTCATCACGAAATCTCAGAATCTACAAGTGCTAGGAGTCTCAAATTTTACATGGGGGTTAGTTTTAGAACGTGGGTGCTTATTAAGACGGGATTTTGCAAAATTCAACCCCTAAGGGGGTAAAACGGGATCCACGCGTACGAAGCCGCGGGCGGCCGCTAGTACGGTAGCTACCTACTTACTTGCGGTACTTAACTATAACCAAACCGGTGTTTTTTTATATAAATAAAGCTTGACAGACTTTTGACGACTGTTTTTAGTAAAATGAAATGGTGCAATCCAGTCTAAGGACATGTAAAAACTGCCGTAATTTACATAACAAAGAAAACTACTTTTAAGATTCAGGAACAATTTAGTCCAAACGTTGAGTGGAAGAGAATTCCATAATGGCATTAATTTCGCTAAATGTACCTACTCGTTTACGCGACATTAAACGTTAAATCTTAGGATATATAGAGCGTCATTTATCGTTGATTTCGAAGTCTGTACCTCTAGTAGGAAAAACTTTCGAGTTCGTTTCGTTGCGTATTCAAAGTGTCATCGAAAAATTTTGTATGAAAATTAAACAGCGCCCCCTAGGGCGGCTATAATATAGGGGGCGCTGTTTAATTTTTCATACAAAATTTTTCGATGACACTTTGAATACGCAACGAAACGAACTCGAAAGTTTTTCCTACTAGAGGTACTGGATATCGCATTTTTTCGAATGCGCAAACGATTCGAAGACGAAAGTTTTTCGTGCTAGCCACAGGGAACCCTAAAAAGCATAACTGCCAATACTGATATCTTCTTTATTAAAGTTTGATTGAAATAAATTAAGTTTGTAATTAATTAGTATACCGACGACAGCATATAAAACTATAACATCGCAAAATCAACCTTATTGCAAGAATATAAGAGCCTGTTAAGTTTGACGTGCTGTACATTACTTTGTTGCTATAATTTCAATAATTGTCCATATCTTAATAATTTATTGTTATGAGAGAGTTAAAATATGAGTATTGCAATGTGATTGTCGTTTTCGTATCGTTTATTATTTAGGATGATATATTTAGGATGAAATACACTTAACAACCCGGAAACGGATCGTAACCGCATCAACTCGAGGCAGTCAGTCAGTATTCTTTGTAAGAAACTCAGTACTGCAACGCACACATAAGGTTGTCGCACATTATCAACCCGCAAACTGATCGTAACCGCATCAACTCGAGTCGGTCAGTTTTGTATGAAACGCCATACTTACAGCACCGCAACGTACACAGTACCCGCACCGTAACGTAAACGATTTTGCACGAAAGGCGAAACGGTGTTGATCTCTTTGCGGGTTGAAAGTGTGCTTTGACTTTAAAAATCCTTTATGGCTTTTTTTTTTGTATCATAATAGCTCATTGACTAAAAAACTCATAAAACTCATTTATTTATTATTGCAAATTGGCTTTTAAAAAGCACTTTTACACGTCCCAGTCAGTGTTGCCAACTCGGATTTTGAAAAAGTCGTAGATCAGATTAGAAAATTACGTAGAAATGGTACAATTTCCATATAGAAAATACGTAGAACTACGTACTTTTTTTTCTGAGTGAAATGAAGAGAGTAGGGGTAGGTAAAAGTAATAAAACGACAATTTATATTACCCTAAAAGTAGTAAAGTACACTTTTATTGTGTATCATTTTCAGAAATGTTTTCAGACAAATCAAATTTATACATAATATTTGTTAAAATGCATAATGTGTTCCTGCGAAGACTCGCGGTTCTTATTTAAGCCACTTTTCGTATAAAGTAATCCTGTGAACGTATCAGTGTGAAGCCTGTTTCTTATGTTAGTTAGCTAGTATGAAACGGAACGTTTATTAACTTTTTCGCGAAAGTAAAGGAAACGATGCCCATTCAGCCTATTTTGCAAATTTGATAGAAAATACGTAGATTCTGGGACTAAAGTTCGTAGGTTTGCAAGGAAGGCTTAAAATACGTAGATCTACGTAAAAATACGTAGAGTTGGCAACCCTGGTCCCAGTATTAACCCTACCAACTGCTTCGGGACAATAAACGGGCCAGTGCTGAGAAGAAGCAGCGCAAGCGCAAGACTTAGTACTAACATCTTTCGTTTTCGAATCGGTAACCCAAAAATCCTGGGACAAGACCAGAAAGCAGGTGATCATGCTTTATGATGCTACAGAGTTCTTCATCATCATTTCAGCCATAGGACTTTCATAGGCCTCCCCCAATGAATTCCAGATTGACCGGTTGGTAGTGGCCAGGGATGTAATGGATATCCGCAACCGTAACTTTCGGATATCCGAAATAAAAAAAATATCGGTAACCGTAACCGAAACCGGTATAGTATTATTCCTATATCCGTAACCGTATCCATAACCGAAACTACATAATATCCATAACATCCCTGGTAGCAGCCTGCATACAGCGCCTTCCTGATAGCCTTGGCTTTATGAAGCCGTCTGCCCACCTATGGACATCCTATGCTGCGCTTGTTAGTACTTACGTGGCATCCACTACAGAACCTTGGCACTCGGCATCCATAGGGGTACCCAGCTGGCCAGTCATACTCCGCATCTGGCCTGCCCTGGGGCACACAAATAATCTAGCGGCGTTCCCTGGTACCTTTAGCATGAACAACTTTCGTCTTCGAATCGTTTGCGTATTCGACAAAATTCGATACGCAAACTTCGAATTAAACGATAATTGTGACAATTTTGATTCTCAAAATAGGTTTCGTGCAACCATTTCTCATACTAAGTTTACTTTCCGACACGTTCACAAGGGCGCTGTTGTAGTTTTCGTACAAATCTTTTGATGGCAATTCGAAAACGCAAACGATTCGAACTCGAAAGTATTTCGTGCTAGCCGTAGACTCGGATCACGAGTCGGTCACTCCGACCCCTTCACCCTTCGGCTATTGTGACTTCAAAATTTCCCTCTGATTGATGATTTATTCAAAACCATGCTCTTCATCATCATCATCATCATCTCAGCCATAGGACGTCCACTGCTGAACATAGGCCTCACCCGATGCTTTCCATGTTACCCGGTAGCGGCCTGCATCCAGCGCTTTCCTGCTACCTTTATGATGTCGTCGGTCCACCATGTGGGTGGACGTCCCACGCTGCGTTTTCCGGTACGCGGCCTCCACTTTACGCTCGTATGTAGGGATTGCAATTGCTGGATCCAGCATACAGCAATCCAGCTGGATCCAGCGATGCGGATCCGCAAACATATAAATTTCTATTGCTTAGTTTCAAATTGCCGCCATTTTCAAAACGGCGCGGTGACGTTGCCGTTCTGTTGTAGTGTGCGTTGAACGGCGCCTCTCCGAAGTTACTGGTACGTTTGTGTGCTTGAAAAATCCAAAAAAGTATGAAGAAGCAGTAAAAAATCAGTCTATTTTCCTTTG